GAATGGTTCCTTTGGAGCCGTAAATGGTTGCATCACTCTTTAAATTGGCTCCAATACTTGTCATGACATTTGCCAGTTTAGAATTTCCGAACGCGAATTGACAACTGACAGTTTCATCCACTTGATTCACAAAGCTTGATACTGATAGAATTGTTTCAGGTTCAAAACAATCATACACAAAACAACACAACGAAATTGGATAAATTCCACAAGCCAACAATGCTCCACCTCCCAAATTCACATCCACTAATCCCTTATTACTTTCATGATTGTTTTGAAATCCCAAACTTGCTTCAACCAACTTGACTTGTCCAATGATTCCCTCTCGTACGAGTTGGATCATTTTCTTAAAGATGGGAAAGAAAGGCATCCAATTCGCTTCCATGAGAAATAATTTTCGTTGCTGAGCCATTTCACACAATTCTTTGCCTTGTGTGTGATTGAGAGTAAAAGTTTTTTCACACAACACGGATTTGTTATTCTCGAGACATTGTTTCACATGAGAATAATGATCGGAAGTGGGTGTAGCAACATAAATGATATCAATATCGGGATTTTGCATCATGGATTCATATGATTCGAAAGCGTGTGGAATTTCATGCTTGGCTGCAAACTGTTGTGATTTTTGTAAATCATTTCGAGTTGCAACTCCTTCGATTTTGCATGAAAGATGTGGTTTTTGAACGAGCATGGACTTGAACGCGAGACAAAAGTCATGAGCGATACGACCTGTGCCAAGAATGCCAAAGCGAATGATTGAGCCAAGTTGTGGTTGTGGGAACATTTTTTTGACTTATTGCATGCTGGAAAGGACAAATTCTGAGTTGGAAGCGGTGAGATCCACCACACGTGTCTATTTCTCTTAATGAGAAGAAGATTTATTTTCACAGCCCTCTAGTTGTTGGTGTTCAAGCTAGCAATACCTTGAATTTCTTTTGCTTGCTTCTTTCTATTTCTTTCTTCGTATCTTTTTGCATTGTCAATAATTCTGTTGATGATATTGGTGGTGGTCAATTCTGGGCATGGTGATTCAATTTGTTGGTAAATTCCTAGCTTCTTTGGCAATTCATATGGATCGACTTTCACTTCTGGTTCCTTAACAGTTCCCGAGATAACAACAGAAATCTTCATGACATCAATTAAATCTTGAGTCACGATGAATGGAGCTCCAATGATGACGTCATCGACATATCTGCACGACAAGACGCTCAACAATCTTTCGTGAATGTTCATGATTGGGTGATGAGGTCCTTTAAATTGAGCAATGACCTTATCTTCATGCAATCCAACAATGAGATAATCTCCGAATTTTCTGGCTGCCTTCAAAAATTCAATGTGTCCAGTGTGGAACATATCAAAAGCACCATCTACATAGACAATCTTTGCTCCTGGTTTAGGAGGATTCATCTTCTCCGAGAATTGGCGAATTTGATGAACAGATGGATAATGTTGTCTTGTACGAGTATAGGGTGAAACAGCAGTTTGATCAATTTCGCTTTGTGGTTTCAATTCGTCACCCATTGTGCTTGGATCAATGCCTTGCTCAACCAATTCTCTGTACTTGGACAATTTTAACATTCTTCCGACAATATCTGTGGTACTAACTCCTTCTGTTCTAGGAACAATCATCATCAGTCCAGCTTGTCTGATGCTCTTGTATGAATCTTCTCCATTCTCGTCAAATGAAATGTCGTCACCATGAACACAATAGTCGACATTGTACTTTTTGAGCATTTCGAGATCTGTCACATAAGGAGCATCTTCAACAACTCCATCCACCCATTTACAACTTCTCACATGCTCATAACGTTCTTGAGCCTTCATCACTGTTGGTCCCTTGTGTCTGAGAATTTCCTCATCGGAGTGAACACCAACCAATAATTTAACCTTTGGGAACAAGTTGTAGGCTTGCCTGATGGCATTGGCGTGACCAAAGTGCATCATATCAAAACAACCGTCTAACCAAATGATTTTGGTGTCTGGATCTTTGGCAAAGATGAGGTCATCGTTTTGCGATGATTTCGGAGCATTAGTAGTGGTGGCGGTGGTGGTGCTCGAGGAGGCAGCGACGTCGTGTTGAGACATTTTTTTTGCTTGAAGAATCTACAACGCGAAGAAGGAGATTAGATGATAATTGAACCTTCATTTGTTGGGGGTAAGAGCAATCTCGCTTCTATTTTCCGATAATTGAGGAATCTTAGCGAGAATGCCGATAGCTTGGAGAAATAAAAAGAATGAATATTTATGGTGAATTTCTAATCTACTACTTACTTGGACGACCATGAGCACATTGGAAAGGTAAAGTGCATTGGGAGAGCTTGTGAATTAGAAGGCTACATTCTTCATTCGAAAGTGGGTCTCCAAACATGACAGCTCCTCTGCATGCTTTCGAGTTCATTATTTCTCGCACTCGTTTCGGACACCAGGACGAGGAGTCATGTTCAAGCTCTGAAAGAAATTCCATCATCACTTCATGATTGAGGGTAATGGCTTCATTTTCAATGAAAATACAAGGTGCTGTTTTGATGCTGAGTGGCACCTTGTTACTTTGAATGGGTAAGGTGGAGATCTCCACCTTCCAAAACCACGTTTCAAGTTTTCTTTGAAAATTCGAAATAAGGCCTTGAACTTTGTCCGGGTCGATGAAGATTATTTGTGAATATTGCACGGAACAAATATTTGGTCCTGGTCTCTTCTGGATAGGATCTAACATGACTTTTTCAAAGTTCTCAAGTCGGACCCTTTCATCCGCGGCATGCTGATCGATAGCCACGATTAAGGTACTATCCCCAACTTGTAATTGAGCAGTAATGAATTTGTTTTCAATCTGTTTGATCACTTTCATTCTGGAAAGATGCTCCTTATTGAATCTGAATGCTGAATCTTCATTCTTGGTATACTTTAATTTTGCAAGCCGGAGGTTCTCTTTGCAAGAAGTGTTACTTCCAACCACATTCCCTCTGTTAACATTTTTCGCTTGCTCTATGAGTTCTCTAATAGCTTTCTTTGGATTGTTGTTGGGTATTGCCTGTTTGTTTGCACATCCATAGAGCTTGTCAAACAAGCCCAATTTTGTGGGTTTAAACTCTTTCTCTTCATTTTCCATATCAATCAACTTTTCTGAAAGTGCCTTCTCGGAAATAGGTCCCACCTTGCAGTAAAATAATGCATTTCTTAGTGATTGATAAATTAATGAAATGTCAAGCGAAGCAGCGCTTTCTGAAATTAGAACAAAGTCCAAACAAAATTCCTCAGCTTTGACTAATTTTTCAACCTCCAACGCCATGTTGTTCACAAATGCATACTGAATACATCGAGAATGTGAAGGAGCAGAGAATCCTGATATGGTCACTTGATCAAACACATTGCCAGAAAGAATTACTGCATTTCGTCGCTTTCCATGAAAATGTTCAAATCTCTCGAGGAGAGCTTGTCCTGGATTGGAATTTGCAGAAACGAGGGATATCTTGGTGTTTGCAACGATCTGATCGTTCACAACCACACAAAAACTTGTGTGCAATGAAGTAAACGATCGCTGTTTAACGCTCTCTATAACCTCAGTTATTGTGTGGGAAGGGTCATGAGCAAGGGCTTTCCTTCTCACTGGAAAGTTGTAAAACACGTTTGAGCAAGATACGATGGTTCCCGAATTGCCATGATTCCATGTTGTATAATCCTGAAGACCTGATGATTTCGAGTCTGTAAATACTTTTTTAAAAGCTTTTGGGAAGTTTGGCCCTTTGGAAATGATGCATGCGTTACAGGTCTTAATTATGGAATGCAACGATTCTCCTTTTGAACTTCTTTTTGAAGAAACTGGAGAGAATGATTCCACTCACATAACAACAACTTCAAACTTACGATATCTGGAGTCTCCAATATGTTTCATATCAGCAAACAAGATACCCTCACCGTTATCTCGGACCTCCAACATAAATTCTGGTTGTGTTTTTAATGTTACTGAAATATCTGTCGCCTTGGCTTCCAAAGCTGTTTCATATTGATCTTAATAAAAACATCATACGCCATAGGGTACCAGGAACTTACAGTTTTCAATAAGCCGCATCACAATTTCTTTAACCGAGGAGCATTGAACACCGCTTCTAATGAGATGTTCCTGCTCAAGGGAAAGCTTTTTAATCATTTTTTCAAGTATTTAAACTACCAACAGAATTGTTGCAATTTACAGAAAGAAGGGATTTGTTTGTTTTGTTTCAAATCATGAATTAAATCACCTTTTACTATAGGCATAGGGCACAGTAGTGGCCACAAACGGTATTGTTGAAGAGTCGAACACACCAGGTTTTGTAATAGTTGGCTTGAATGCCGATCCTATTTGTTTGTCTTTTTCCTCCTTTCGCGTTACGGCTCGTATTGGTGGTTTGAACTCTCCTGATGCAGCGATCGTTTCTCCAAGATTCTTAGGGGTTGATTTTTTGTATGGAATGTATTCTTGTGTGGATACTAAAAAGAATGGAGGTGAGAGAATTTGCAATTTAGAAACATACCTCTTGTTTGTTTTTCTATCATGTTTTCAAATTTGTTGACTTCCTTATCGAATTCATATTTACATGCATTCTGAATGCTTCTAACGTAGGTCTTGTTCTTTATGGTGGAAAGGTCTTCAGGCAGTTTAAAGGGACCATATCGTTTGTCCTTTACCCGCATTTTGTCTCTCTGATCAATTTTTGTTGGAAGGGAATTCTCTTTTTCGGGAGTACTAGATGCTGTGGTCTTGTATTGATCTGGATATAAATAAGTGAGGGAAGGATTGGATTTGAGTTCAGTGTTACTTGTTGATTTCAGTGTGCTGTTGATGGGCACAGCTCTGCTCTTTGAAAGAGAGTTAATGTACTCTGTTTTTGCGACATATCTCAGTTGATCCTCAACGGGGATTCCATAAACTGTCTCTTCTGATATCAATCTGTGATTAGGTTTGTAAACGCCTGGTATTGTTTTTGTACTGACAAGGTGATGCAAAGATTTCGACAATTCCTGGAATCGTTTGAAATCATTCTTTTCCTTCTCGTCAGCCAGCTCCTCCTCTCTGATTTTTCGATAATTATCCACATATTCGCTGACAGTTGCATTTTGCTGCTGCACAAACTCTAAATACTCTTTCCTCTTGTAAAAATTATGTACATATTTTCGAACATAATAGCCACGGTAAATTCTTTGGATTTGGGTTGCACAATAGTGATAAAATTGCTCTCTCTCTTGTTTGATTCGATCTGCCAGCAATTGACGTTTGAGTTTTCTCCCATATAAATACCCTCTAAACACTCGCTGTATCGTTATAACATGATGTCGATACTTTAAATAAGCATTTCGGGCAACCCATCTCCGATAGGTTTTTTGAATGAGAACTGCAGCATTGTTTTCTCTTTCTCGGTTTGCTTCTGCCTCTCTGTATCATTCATAAATATTTTATGTTACCTCTCCATTCCGATCTCAATTTCAACCGGTGTACAATCTTACCTTCTGGCCTCGAAGAAGCTTTCCAGGACCATGTGGGGCGATAATTCGAGAAAAGTGCTTGTCATTATTTTTTTTTCTTTAGGCAAACCAGTAAAATTTTTGGCGCGCACTGACATCATTAAACACACATCAAACTTCGTATGTTTCTTCTTAATTCATTTAATCGTACATGTAATCCTTCTGAATATCAGTGAAAGTCAACAAGACAAAGATCTTGATTATCGATCTGAGTTACCATTGTTCCATAGTCAATAAATAGCTCACTGCCTAAGGATACACAATATGTGGCTTGTCTATTTTCGAGTTCATTAATTGTCTTCTCCTGTAATGTCAATAAATCAATGACCTTACACGAGAAAGCTTCAAAAAGAGTGACCTTAAGTTCATCACAATAAATTCTGTCCACCGGCGATGTGTATGATTGTTTAAGGAGTGGTTGGCTCAACTTGCGCAGGTCAAAAATGGTAAAAAGACCATCTTTTCCACCACAAGAAATACTGTGAGAGTTCATGGCAATAGAGTACACAGATAGCAGCTCGTCATTTCCATCTTTCTTATGTTCCAAAACTTTGATTGGTTTCTGAGAATGTGCAACAGCACGAGCATCAAATATCTTAACCTTTCCATCTTTACCACATGAGGATAGAAGATGATTCCAAGGATTGTATTGAATCTTGTAGAGTAGTCTTTCGTGAACGTCAGATAATGTGTAGATACATTTTCCTACATTAATATCCCAAAATTTGATGCTCAAATCATGTGATGCACTTGTCACAATATTTTCACTCATACTCTCAATGGATACCACACTTCCCTTATGTTCAGTTAAACTTTCAATAAGATTTCCTGTTGTAAAGTTCCATATCTTGATTGTTTGATCACTGGACGCGGATATTATTCTATTGTTAAATGATGAAGAGGTAGTGTTGAGATAGAATGTTCCAGAACCAACATTCTTTGACTTTAAATTAAATGGATCCATGAATAAGCATTTGATGTCGAGCACTGTGCCTTTGTGACCTGTGAACTTTTTCACAATTTGTCTATTCTCCACATCCACTAATGAAAAAGTTGGATCGTTAAATCGAGAAAAAAGTAAATACTTCTTCTTATTGGTCATGGCGTCCAGCACACTCCTCTCCTCTACCGTAAGTCTCGAAAGAACATTGTTGTTAGGCAAATATCCTTCAAGATTTCTAAACTTTTTCATGAAACAGCTATACGATACAGGAAGAATTTGATTCATAAAATCCAGAGTGGAAGATGAATTTGATTGCAATGGTTGGTTATTGCCACGTGTAGATGGAGAATTGGGAATTCCTTTTTCTGAAAGGCCATCCGCGACCTTCAGTGGGTTCAGTACATTCAACGTGAAATTGCCCTTCAATTCGGAATGCAACAAGGCTTTAAAATACAAATCAAAATAATCAATCCATGTAGGTTCTTTTCTTTCCGTAGACTCTAAGAGTAGTGAAGCACATTCGATATTTTCCTTTGATCGGAAACTGCTGTCAAATGATAATTCTAAATAATCTTTCACCTTTTCGAAAAATGTTGGAAATACATGCCGCAATAAATTTCTCCAAATTTGTTTGCGGTGATCCATATAACAATCATAAAATAAGTGAGAGCATTGTCTAACATTCAGAACCTCTCGACCCTCTAAATAGCTCAACACATGAAAAATCAAATCGGAATGAAGGTCTGTGATGATCATTTTTTTGATGAAGTTGTAAAGTGCTCATTGTCGTCATCAATTACGTGTTAATTACAGATTTCGAAAAATGTCTGCACCTTTTTCATGGACCACTATTCTTCAAAGCACGAGACTGAGTGACCCAGCAAGCATGGGCACCCTTCTTCATATTAGAGTGTTTGCATACCAAAAAAATGTTAGCAACGAGCTTTACGAGAGTTCCTGCCGATTTTTATGAGAAGGATTGCGAAACCTTGGCAAAAGAGCTCATCGGAAAGGTACTGGTTCATGTAGTAAATCAGAAGAGAGTTTCTGGTGTGATCGTTGAAGTAGGTTCGTTGAATTTCAACTGCATCTGGATGTCATGATGATCGTATGCATTCGGAATGATCATCATGGCGTTCGTTAATTAGAGGCCTACCTTGGCGATGAGGACAAGGCATCTCATTCCTATCTCGGAAAACAATCACAAAAAAACAAGAGCATGTACTTGCCAGCAGGTCATGTCTATATCTACAAATCATTCCGTGGACAAAATGATTGTTTTAATATCACCAGTGCAAAAAAAGAAGGAATTGGTGCTGGAGTTCTCATACGGGCATTGGAGCCAGATCTTGAGAGTTTTGACTTGATGAAACAAAATAGGTTGGATATGAATCCTTCTCTCAAAGCAGATAACATTTCAAAATACAATGTTTCTGCAGGGCCAGCTCGATTGTGTCATGCGCTCAAATTAAGCAGAGAGGAGCATGATGGAATTGATATGAAGCACTCGGAGGAGATCTTTTTAGAGGAATTGATTTCGAGCACAAGTCATGTGGATAATCATCATCTACATGGTCATTCTGAAGATGGGAATGCTATCGCCACAAAGCAGCAATACTGTGGAAGTTACAAAATCTCAGCATGTCCCAGAATTAACATTGATTATGCAGAGGAATGGAAAGATAAACCTCTGCGATTTTGTTGGCTAGATAGAAAAGCATATTTGAGTTGTCAAGTTCCAACAGCTTTCAAAAACAATTGGTTTTATTATCCTTAATGAATTTGAACTCTATTTCATACAGTGAATTAGCTCAATAGTTCCATAGTAGTGTGTGTGAATATTTGAGGTGAGACACAATGATGGTCTCGATATCGGCAATATACAGTGTCATCCTGAATTCGGAATGGACCAATTGAAAGCATTTTAAAATGTTGATGACAATACAAATCTAGCGTGTACAATTTCTAATGCCACAGAATAAACACTCCTGAAAGTAAGTTACTTATTTTCATTAAGAGATCCATGCAAAATGAATTCTGCAACACATTCCTTAACATCCGAAAAGCATTCCTTTAAATCATTTTTAAAATCATTTTCAGTATTCTTATCAATTTTTGGTGTCCACTCTGCATTCATTCTGATGAGTTTAGAGACACATCCATGTGATTGCTTTAAAAACGTTCTTGGACATAAACTCTCAGCTAAGCACGAGGTCAGTTGCTCTGCATATTCCCTTTCCGAAACCACCTTACGATCATCGGAGGGACTACCACTATTCTTATCCAATTCTACATCAAAATATTGAGCACAATTTGATTGAGCAGCCATGATTGATGGAAGGTAATCTTCATACAGTTGATGACCAATTTGATCTCCAAAGTAGTTATTGCCGGCCGAGAGTGAGAGAACTGAAAGTTTGGGCTTTTTGGTGGATTGTTGTTGACTCATTTTTTGATTGGTTGCTAGCAATTCTTGTTGGCTGATGAATCTTCAAAGAGATGTCTCAATATTTATCGAATCATGATTCGGTCTGTCAACAATTTTACAAGCACACGTGTCGTGTCTACATGAAGGAGATCTCCCCGTTCAATCAAAATATCATTCATCAAATTTGAACGTGTGTTTCTTCCATTTGAAACCTTGCTGTTTCTTCTGTGGAGCAAAACTCTGAGATCATCCACTTATATATGAATGTGTGAATCTGGATTGACAATGGTGCGACATTTTAGTGCCTCACTTGCCACTTAAGAAGCACATCTGTGGTATGGACATCCTTTTGAATCGAACCCCAATAGGACGGCGTGTCTTCAGAGTCTGACCTTCGAGAATGTCGGAATATAAATGTGAGTTGAAAACTCTTCGAAAGAACATAGACAGGAGCAAGAACGGAGACCATTTTCCATTCGTTGTGTTGTGGGATGAAAAAAATTTTCAAAAACATTCACCTTCAACGAATTGGTTGTTGTGATGAAGAAAAGAACGAATATTTCCGAATCATCGTATCAATAAAAAATGATCAAGAAGCGATCTGCAAAAACAATCTCATCTCGGAATGTGCGGAGAGGACATGAAGAGGAAGTGGATGGTCCAATGGTACAACATGAAGATGATCAAAAACAAAGAAACGTTGGACCACCACAAGAAAAGGTTTCGGAACAAGAAATTATTCGACAAGTGTTAGAGGAGAGTGCAGAGTATAAATTCGGAGGAGTCAAATCTTCCTCCTCGAGTAAGAAAAGTACTGTAACAAATGTATTAAATTTAATGGAAATGTACGGAGAGGAAGATAAATCTGAGAGTGGTATTAAAATCACTGTCAATAAGCCAGCAAAATCTTTGGAAAGAAAATATGGAGAAGAAGAGGGTAATGATGATGTCATCGCGTTCAAGCCAAAATCAATGAGAGTTACAAAACAACAATCTACATTTTCTACCTCTGAACTTCGAAAACGAAAAAGACAAACTAATATACTGGACAGTGTGGAGGGAGAGGAAAATTCTGTGACGCCACAGAACATGGGACAAATTGTTGCCATTCATCCCGAAGACACAGCTGTTGTAGTACCGTCTCATCATGATGACACTGACACGAATACTAAACCTAATGCTGGTGTTGGTACTGTAATTCCTGACGATATTACCATACAGGCAATTAAAATGAAAAGAAAAAAGTTGAGAGAAGCGAATACTTCTCAAATGCAAGAATCTTCTGAGGATACCTCTGATTATATTCCACTTGATTCATCCATTCCTGAAAAGGCCGGGCTAGGTTATAAAGGTCAATCTGCTAAAGAAGAAGCAGGTTATACTAGGGCGATTGTGACAAAACATGGAGATGTTGTTCTCCACAAAATCCAACAATCAACAAGCAGATTAGTGCGAGAAGATGACGAAGCAGAAGATGCAGTAGATGAAATTATTAACAAAGAAGAGGAAGTATTTGAAACTCATAAGGATGCAAAGATAAAATTTGGACTACCAAACGACGACAGAAATAAGGGTGATGTTAAAGAATCTATGGGAGATATTGAAATTGAAAATGTTGACATGATCGATGAAGAGGACTACGAGAAAATGAAGGAATTTAGCGAATACGAGCTCAATCAAATGAGAAATGCAGGATTGTCTGTTCCTGAATATAAGCAAAATATCATTACACAAACTAATTTATTCAAACCTAGTGAAGAAATTGAAAAGGAGCAACGAGAGAAGGAATTAGAAAAAAAGAAGCTCATGGCTTCAATTTTGAAATTTTCATCCAAGAAGGATGATGAACGTGTCATTGAATCTTTTGAAACTGTTGAAAAACAGTTACTCGAGAGAATGAAAGAGCTTGAAATTTCACACGACAAAATGCAGCAGATTGTAATTGAAACCAATGCAGAAATTGAAAAAAGTGCTCGTATGCTCTCGCAACTCAATGAAGACAGCGAACAATACGAAGAACAGTATACCTATTTTCAGGAAATGAGCAAATTCGTGGACGATTTGGCTGATCTTTTGGATACCAAATTGCCAGAAATTGAAATGCTGGAATCTCAAATATTTGAATTACAGGAAAGATTTTACCAACAACTGTTCGAAAAATCCTTTCACGGTCATGTTACCTACATGCCATCATATCGAGAGACACAATATGAGAGAGCGGTTGCATTTGGTGGGGATGGAGAAGCCGAAATGACCAATGATCGATTCTTAAACGAAATGAACTCATTGGTGGAGAAAATGAAGCAAGTCTTTGACGATGTGAATGAGGACTATATTTCAATACCTTTGCTGAAGAAGCGCTTTGAAGGATGGAAAGAGAAATATCCCTCCTTGTACAAAGATACCTATTGTAGTCTCTGTCTGCATAATGTATTTGTAATCTTAACAAGATGGGAACTTTTCACTTCAGGATGTTTAACAGAATATAAGACATCAAGTAACGAACCTTTCAACTTTCCAGCATGGAGTGTCAGTCCACTCGAGTGTACAGATTTCACAAAATTCAATTTTTGGAAAGAACTCTTCAATTATGGAGAAGTCTCAATCGAAACAGAACCAGAAAACTTACTTCCTGAAATAATTCGAAAATCCATGATTTCCATCTTGTTACATACCATTTCAAAAATCTACAATCCAATGGACATTGAACAGACACCAAAGCTCATGCAATTAATTAAGGAATACAAAGTATATCTAGAAGGTTCTAACACCAAGGAAGAAACAAAGTTATCGGAAGCCATTCAAAAGAGATTGATTGCTACCATTCACGAATTTAAATTTCCAGCAATTGCTACACTGAACTGTGAGCTTGTCACACAATCCATCCATCAAATTATTTCCATTTTATCTAAATCAGTCATACCTTGGATTGAATGGTATCCATCCTTCGAACAGAGTGAAACTCTAAAAAATCAGATTGTTCTCCAATGCATTAATTTGAAAATGATGACCTTTATTGATTCAGGCATTTCTCAAAATATCATTACAAAGAAGGAAAAGATTAAGTTTATTACACAACTCATGTCTCAATGCAAATTACCCAATAACTGGAAGAGAGAGCTGAATTTATCCATTGATTAATTAACCATGCATGCAATCACAATCGATTTTTCATGATTTAAAACGAAAACAAATTGAAAAATTTTCAAAAAAAGCAAAAAAATGTCCAAGCTGTTCCTGCGTTCATGTCTCCTGACTCAATCGTTGATATCCAGAAACGGTTCATCACGATTAATTCATCAATTCCGATGCTATTCATTGAATTCTATAAAATTATATTCGCAAGCAAGTTCAACATCAGAGAATATTAATACTCAACAACAACCATCATCAACACCACCATCGGAACAACCTAATCAACAAAATTCCGACCTAAATTCAGCACAAGCTCCACAACAACAAGAACAAAATTCTACACAATCACAAACATTGGGTACTTCAAATTTACAGATACCTCTCAATTTGGATTCGGCTGAGACACTGAAACAAAAGAGAGAACAATTACAAAAGGAATTAGAAGCACGAAAGGATGCAGAGGTCATGTTGAAAAAAGTAATTTATAGAGGAATAAGAGCGTTTGGAGTCTTGTTTGTTGCTGTTTGTCTATTGATTTGGGCTGTGAAAAAGAAAAATTTGGAAGCTAAAGTAAGAAAATTCAATGAAAAAATTAAAAGGAGTGAGGAGAAGGAGAAAGAACTTGAAAAGGATCTCGAAGAGAATTTTTCATACATACGAAAAGATATTGAAAATCAATCCAAGAAAGAATAACCATTACAATTTTTTAACTTCCTTAATATGGATAAAAGCATGCTCTTTTTACAAAATGTTGTGGTTTTTGATTGTAAATAATGGAGTATTTATTTTCGTTGTCCAAAACCAGAGGTTCCAAATCCTGATGATCCAAATGGATTGTTGCTTCCCAAGAACGAAAACGAGCCACCACTCGAAAATGTGTTTGGCTTGTTGGTCGCAGTAGTGTTATCACTTTCATCTCCAAATGAAAAACGAGCTGTGGCGAATACGCTTCCTCCGGTACTAGAACCTTTTGAAGTGTTCACTGATGCAAATGGATTGGTAGTAGAAAAACCACCGCCACTCGGGAATGCACTTTGGCCAGTGGATGGTGCCTTAAGTGCTGCAAATGGATTAGGAACTGTTGGTGCATTCTGCAGAGACAAGCTTGGTTTTGGGACCGAGGCAAACACATTGGTTGATGACGATGGCACGGAAGTACTGCTGACAGAGGCAGTATTATTTGATGGGGTGACGGCAGTGGAAGTTATTGAGCTCGATGGAAGTGTACTTGTTGATGATAGATTTGCAGTGTTCAGCTTTGAATTATTCAGGCTGACACCACCAGCGTTGTTATTGGGTCTCAAGCTTGTAAATGGATTATTTGAAGAAGTCATGGTCGGATTACTAGTCATGGATGTACTGGTTGCAGAAGAAGGAGCAAAATTACTACCAATACCACCTGAAGTGGAGATAGTAGCGCTTGGATTATTGGCATTTGTGTTGCTAATGGTGGATGAGGTAGTCGGTAAAGTGGATGACATTGGAGTGGCTAAACTCGAAACAGGGTTGTTTGTAGTTGCGTTATTAGCACTGCCAGTATTGACATTCCCGGTTAAGTTTGATGCTGGTTTTTCAGAGGGAGTTACTACGGTCGCACTAGTTGGTGGTGGAATGGTTCTGGTTGCCATAGTTGAGGGCATACTAGTTGAAGAAAATGGATTGGTAAGTTGAGAGCTAGCAGGTTGTGGATTTGTTGGCTGTTGGGCTTGTTGCACGCTAGAGGGTGGTTGTGACATAAAATTGGATGTTGATGTGATTGAAGGCATTGGATTGGAAGGTGTTGCCATCGTGTTTGCAGAAGGCGTTGTTGGAATGGCTTGTTGTGATGATTGCACGTTAATAGGGGCGCTAGATGGAAGAGTAGGTTTTGGAAGGCCAAAATTCGTAGAATCTCCACTTGGTAACAAAGAGGGTATCTTGAATTGTGAAACATTAAGATTCACAGTTGTGTTGCTAGATGGTACTGATGACGTTGAAGGTTTGTCACTTTGAGTGGATGCAACTTGAGTTTTGAATTGAAAACCTGTTGCTGAGGTAGGTGTGGTATTGATGATGGTGTTTGAAGCTCCTGGCTTTGAAGTAGCAGCTGTAGTGATGTTGTTCGTTTTGATACTCTGTTCTGTAGAAACAGGTACAGAAGATGTTGGCATTGTAGTTGAGGCAAAATTAATTCTAAATCCACCGCTACCGGTGTTTGTGACCGAAGAGTCAGTGGTTGCAGGTGGCTCCGCAGTGGTGACAGTTTTTGGAGCGATGGTTGTCGTTGTAGAACTTGTCTCAGCAGTAACACTAGAGGGCTTGTCATCGTCATCCTTCTTTCTAGCTAAGCTAGATAAATTAAATGATGATCCAAGATTATTGTCTGGTTTTTTGGTTTCCTCTGTTTTTTCTTCGTTAACTAGGCTTTGATCACCTCTCAATAATTGGATCATTAATTCCTTTCTTTGTAAAATATCCTCTTTGCATGTCAATACTCGTTGTTTTTGAATAGTTTTTGGAGTGGCAAAACCAAGTCTTCCTTTGGATTTTGGTTTTCGTTTTGGTTTTTCTTCTTTTTCTTCGTATGAGGAGTTGATGATGCTATCATTTAAAATGCTCTTATCAGCTTCTGTAACAAAAGAAGTTTCAGGTTTTTGCAGAGGGACAGATGAGCTACAAGTCTTTGGAGGTGACAAGCTTGATTGATCCTGTCTCTGCTGATTTGTTTCAGTCATTATTTGATCATTCGTCTTAGTTCTTTTTTGTACATCTCTGGGAAAGCTAGTTTCGGATGGTGCTGGAACCACCTTATCAAAACCCTTAGGTCTGTCTCTTTTGACACCCTTGCCCTCCATATTAAATCCAAAATCTACTTTCTTTTTTCGTGATAGAGCACTTGAATTTAAAACGCTGTCATTAAGGTTTGATAAATTGACCGAGAGATCGTGTTGTTTGGTTCCCAGTGCTCCTCGTACCTTAAGAATGCCTTTAGGTGACTTCTTTGTCATGTCACCAACAGATATCATTGATAAGTCATTAATACCAGTTGTTTCTTCCTCTTTTTGTTTGATTTCATTCGTTTCCCTATTGCTGTCAACTTCTTGTTCTTTTTCCAAATATTCCTTCTCAGAAGAATCTTCTATCAAAATTGATCCATTATTGACAACCCAGCTTGTATTGGCAATAAGTGAATGAGTATTATCCTTTGGTGCTATTGGTGATATTTCTAGGTTTGTAAGTGTATCATTGAAAGTCCTAGTGTGAGATGGTGTTCCATTTGCAATTTTGGAATGAACATTTAAAGTCGGACTCTTAGAAATGCTAGAAACTGGTGCTTTTTTGTTTTCCAATCTTTCAATTGGCTTTCGATAAATCATTGTGTTTGAAAATTCCTCTTCTGAGAGGTTGATTGGTTGATTGAATGGCGAATTTGGTGAAGTTGGTTCTAAATGTAATTTCGAAGGAACCAATACTTTAGGTGTTGAATTAGGCCTGATGATGGATTGATGTTGATTCATAGTCAAGTATTTTGAAGGAGAGCTTGTCAAGTAACTCGTATGCAATAAAGAACGGTTCTTTGGTCTTGAACCTGAGAGATTAATAGTATTATTATTGTTCACTACCACAACATCAGTCGTGCTTTGAAAAGGACTTGTTGGTTGATTTGTTGTTGTTGAATAAGAGGTCCCTCCTCCATAATAATTCATCGGAGAAATGGCATTATTCGGTGATGATGCAGTATTAATGATGAAAGAAGCAATCTTATTTCCAGCAACTTTTTGTAATATTCGTTCCACTGTAAATTTATCCTTTTTATTCCAAAACACAACTCGATTGGCTCGTGATGGCTGCGACATTCGATATCGGAGGTAGGCCGTCGCCAATAAGAGCACACACACGAACAAGAGAACGAGAAGGAATAGACTCATTTTTTTTGTTTGAAAATTTTTTTCAAAGCCCGCCATTTTTTATTTTATCATTTTTTTTGAACCTGAAGAATTCTTGGAATTGGAAGAAATCCTCAATGCTAATGGAAATTGAAGATCACGTGCTGATAATTCTTTGTATTCGAATAGAAATTCATTATTGAAAACATTTACTTCCATCTCTTACAAGCTTTATAGACTTGGCTGTAACTTGGTGCCTCGCAAAGTACCTCTCCATAATTGAACTGTGTCTCATCGGTCCGTGAGACTCCACTCTTTTTCACACTATTCGAAGCATTGCAGTACAAGTTACGATCTACCTTAGAAAGAGAATCACATTCCAACAATTGTTTCGTATTACTTGAAATCACTTCATAGGTTTGGACTTGTTGCACCTTGTGATTCTCTGTCAACTTTTGAAGCTGTTCTGCAAGTTCTTCCTCTTTCATTTGCTTGGCTCTCTCTTCACCAATTTCCTTAATCTTCTCTGCAATAAGTTTATCCATTTCATCATCTTCAATACATCCATTGATAATTATATTTGGAACCTTATTCGCATTGGTCAACAAGAGACATTTTCCATGAGTTTTCGTTGCAAGATAATCCATGAAGAGAGTGAGTTGTTGATCATTTTGTGATCTCTCACAAATTAAAGTATAAAACACACATCCCTTCTCCATCAAGTAATCTCCCAATTTGATCCAGTCAATGACTTGATTATTCTCATCTTTGCATCCCTCTGGATACGAATCACCACTTGCTCCCATTCCATGTGGAGGAGCATCAGCAATCCAAATGACAATCTTCTTTCCCTTCTTATTGAATGGCATTTCAGAGACGACTTTTAAAGCACTCACCAAAGCTTCTGGATAATCTCCACCTCCTTCTGCAAACATTTCTTGAATGTAGGATTTGGCAACCTGAACATTCCGAGTGAATGGAAATTCTTTCACAGCATAGTCGTCACTATGATCACGATAACTCACAGCAGAGAATCTCAAATCTGACTTGAAATGATCATGTAGTGAAGTAATAATGGTTTGAATGGTATCTTTGGCTACATTGATCTCACCCGACATGGAACCTGTATTGTCACAAACGAAAACGAGATCGACAATCTTTTCACTGAATTCGACAAGTTCTTGTTCTTGAGGAGAGAGTTGTAAATTCTTGTTGCTACGAAGAATGGCTCCTTGTGAGTTGTTGTTGTTGTTATTGGTGTAGACAGGTTCAAACGAAATGTCGAGATGACCATCGGAGGGCTCTGTGGTTGATGATTCTTTCTTGGTGGTCCAAAAGGAGGAAAACAAACTGCTTAATCTTCTCATGATGAATAAATGAAAGGTTTAGAATGATATTCTTGTTGTTGTTTCTTCTTTTTGATTTGAAATTGTCATGCCTTCCAACATTTCTTTTTAATTAAATAGAAGTTGCAAGTTCCGACTTCCTTCTAAGGAACAAGGATGATTTCCTTCGACAAGATTCACCACCAAGTTCATTGTGACAAAGGAAGCCAAAGCCAACGGCTATCCAACAGAGAGACCAGATATCAATAGTGAGATGTCATTGTGACGTCACAATGACACATTGTTTCATATTTTGAATGCAATTCCATGGAATACACATGTTTATGATTGTTCATCTTGCAATTCTTGTTGCTCTTCGTCTCTCTGATGCTGTTGTGTTTGCTTCTCAATAGCCATCTCTTCTTCTTTTTGGCGTTGCTTTTCCTCTCTCCATTTGGAGAAAATAACTAAAGCAAGTCCAATAAGAATTCCAATGGCTCCTGGAATGATCCATGGAGAAACTGTTTCTCCAGAAATGGTCACTGTCATGATGGTGGTCACAATTGGTGAAACAGTATTATAAATTCCAATCACTGTTGGAGAGGTAAGACTTGATGCCTTTGAATTCATCACAAAACTCAATGTACCATGAATGAATACTGCATACGCAAGTCCAATATATGAATTTGAATCCAATTTTTGAGATTGAAAGGAAGGATAATAATAACAAGCAACCACAAAGGGAATAAGAAGTCCACCAAAGAATGTCCATAAACTCAAGGTCACAGGTGGCACTTTTTTGGTCAATTTTTTCAACAAGATTAAATAAATGGAATAGGCCAACGTATTCACGAAAATGAAAATCATCCCAATGGTGAATGAAAAGGTTTGTAAAATGGATTTCTGAGGAGATTCTTCTGGATCTTGTTCTTCAGTAATGGCGTCCTCTTCGTTCAAAAGAGCAGAAATTCCCAACATGGATATTGCTCCAAAACATGAAATTAAAACTCCTAAAATTTTGATAATTCCTTTTGACTCTCTTTTTAACAAGATGGAAAATATACAGACCTCTGTGAAGCATAACGGATGATAAAATTCAATAAAAATCATCAAAAGTAGTAGTGATAATCATTGATACATTTGAATGATACACTATTATCGATGAAACCAACTTACCAACTGTAACATAGCAAAGAAGATGTTGTATTCATGATAGCAATAAACAATAGACAATATAAGCATTATTGAAATGAATATATTTGTTGTCAACAACATACCTGCAATGAATGGTTGTAAAAGTCCAGCAACAGTTGCGTTCGTCATGTTAAGTCCAATGACAAAAAATATCATGTTAATTGTATTCATAGAGCCACATATAAACAAGCTCTTAAACATTTTAAAAGTAGGTGTTTTCTTTTTGATGTATCGAATTATTGGATTGTTGTACCTTGAAAGAGCTCTCTCAGACCTAAAAGAATAATTTCTGTCAACAAATATCGAGAGAAAAAACAGTACTATCGTAATAAGAGAAACTCGTACAAATGCAAAAATAGGTGGTTGAAAAGCTCGAATAGGATTGGGTGCCAATACACAAAAACCTTTCAACATTCCATTTTGAAACATTATAATTTTCCAAAAATATCATAAATATTTAAATTTGTTAAATTCAACATCCACACCACAAACAACATTGCAAAAATCAATCATTAAAAGCATATCAAATTTCTGTCATACCTCCAAATGTAAATAAAGTTCCTGTCATTAACAAGTTTGCATAGAGTTGGGATGAAAAAAACCAGTGAGCTCCTTTTTTCAGTTTTTCCAATATTCCCTTCTTGGATGTTTCTATCGGCGACTCATCATGCGCTTCCTGTATTGAAAGTGGGTGTTCATCAATAATAATTGTTTTAAAATTATGTTGTTCATCAAGATCATCGTCATTATGATTTTTAATGAACATGGTTTCCTCATCAAGAGTGTCGTCATTATTCGTTGCTCCGATAATCATGGCATGTGGTTGTGAATTCGTTTTTATCATTATTGAAGAAGCATCATAATCTTGATTGGATTTTATGGAGAGTTGTGTCGCGCTACTCTCAGCATCTGGTCGAGGAAGAGAAGCCATTTTTCTTTGTGAGCGAATTGAAGTGTTTTGTGAAGATGATCGAACGCAAAGACATCTTTTCTGCCATAAGGCAACGAACGAATTGACAACATTTACACACTTCATACTTTTGGGTATATTATTTATTTGTGAACAGGATTGAGAAATGGTTGAGATTCACTTCTAATTTCTCCAAATGTAATAAAAGTTGCTTGCTTTGAAACCATTGAAGCTGGAACTGGCAGATGTTGTGTAAGCACCGAAATTTGGGAAGAAGAAATAATCTCCAACGTTCATCTCGGGCAACTCATAATTCTTGGCAATCACATCTAAGCAGTCACATGTTGGTCCAAAGACGGTTGATTTGAATCTCTTTGATCCCATCTCCTCAGTAGTCTTGGTAGTATTGAATGTTGGCTTGTAGGCATCAAAGTAAATATTGTTGAAAGAACCATAAATTCCATCGTTCACATAATAAATAAAGTCATCCTTGTCTCTCACAACATTCTCGGCACCAATTTGTTCAGCAAGTTGTTGGTAATACAACTCATTCTCTTCACGAAGATCCTTCTTGGTGAAGATGCTGCAAACCAATGTGGATGTTGCGGTAGCAATATATCTGCCTGGCTCAGAAATTACTTGGACATGAGGTGGGAATAACTCATCAATAAGATGTGCTACATTGGAAGCAACATCCTCAACACTGGGTTTTTCGTGGATACCTCCCAGAAAACCTCCACCAATGTCTAACAAGTTGAACTGGAAGCCAAATTGTTCAGCCATCTCGAAGATTTTCTTTGCATCGTTGACAGCTTGGACATATGCTTGAACATCACGACAGCCAGAGCCAACATGGAAGGAGACGCCACACAACTCAACGTTGTGTTCCTTGGCAGCCACAAAGAGCTCTCTTGCCTTGGCAACAGACACACCAAACTTGCCAGAAAAAGCAAAGGCAGAGTTAGAATCTGCTGTTTTGATTCTGATAACTCCTTTGGCATGCTTCCAATTCTTGCTCAATTTTTCAATCTCAATGACAGAGTCAAGAGTAGTCCATTCGACTCCGCTATCTCTGGCATGTCTCACATGGGAAAGCTGTTTACATGGGTTGGCAAAGATAATGTCAGTGGTTGGAGAGAATTTCTTTGACTTGACCAAGTTGACATCTACCTTGTTGATATAGGCCAAGGTTTCATAGTGTTGTGGATTTTCTTGAAGCCATTCATCGACCTCTCTGCATGCTTGAGAAACTTGTTGAATCTCGCTCAAGCTGGCACAGTCAAATCCACAACCCATCATGTACATGATCTTAATGATACCTGTTTGAGGGTTACATTTCACAGCGTAGTAGGGATTGACACGAGGGAACGCCTTTCTCCATCTCTCAACTTGTCGAACCACGTGAGACAAGTCAATCAAATGTTGTTGACCTTCTTCAATATCTTTACAGACATCTCTGACAATGTCTCTAAGAGTAACAGGTTGTTGGGTCTTTTCATCCAGAACAGGAAAGTACTCTGCTCCAAAGTACTGTTCCATGATAGACTTGAAAGCCTTTACCGCACGGCTTTGGTGGTAGTATTGAGTATCGTTAATGTCTTCATAGAGGACATGATTCTCTTCATTGTCGTCATCAAAGGAAGATGTTGTTGGTTGTAGAATTAATTCAGTCTTCTTTGCAAATTCATCATCATCGAGGCAAGATCTAGCGATGAGATTTGAACTGGTTGCAATATCAGTGGTGTGTGTGTTTTCAAACTCCTCCAAAAGATAATTCTCAACAACGCGATATTCGTGAGTGGTTGTTGTAGAATATTGTTCGTTTTCTCTTGGAAATACGAGTACAAGTGATGGATGAACCTCGAGTTGTGCTTGTGGTGGGGCTTGGAGTTTAGTTTGAAAAACAACACTCATTGAGAGTCCTCGATGTTGTGGGATGATGATGCGGGTTGGTGTGAGAGGTAGGCTTTTTTTTTGAATGGAACAAAAAAACCGATTTAGCTTCGGCGCTTGAATCCGACGATGGGAAACATTGAATTTCTCGGAGCGAGAGAGTCTGGGAACACACACGAAGAGAAGAAACGGTTTATTGCAGTAGTGAGAAACTATTTTCATGTTCCCTGAGTTGTATACAACGCCAATGACAATTAATAGCAAGTAGAAACTCTTGCTCAGACCAGCGAATTGGATTGTTATTCTTAGCAAGGAAATAAATTTTTATTGTAAACAACTGAACAACCAATGCTCATGCAGAGGCGGTATTTTGTGCAAAGAATCTTGCCTCAGGTCACTTCAATGGAAAAGGTAGAGAATACTTTTATGGACAGAAAACGTCACTTGCCAAAACTTGTCTACAGTAAAACAACATTTTCCAAGTTTTATAATAACGAATATATAAACCCTCTTTATGTTTTACTGTAAAATGTTTTAAATAGACGAACCTTGAACTTTCTCACTCCTTTGACTCGAGTCTAAATTCTCTGAAATGGCAATAGATTTCACAGGTGACACCAAATCAGCAGTGCAACTACGGAGAGAATCTCGGGCGGCATTCTCTTCTCGAACCTCTCCCGAGATTGCTGAATGTGGATGGGACGTCATAGTGGTGGTGACTGTTGGATCATGAAGAACCTGTTTTCGAGGTGAAGTGAATCGTTGTTCAATTTTCACCGAATGATCCGAATGATCATTGGAGTAATCGTGGACACAAAGGAATATTCTTGTCATGCTCACTCCATAACATTGTTTGAATTCTTCTTCATGGCAAAGAGCATACGTGATGAGGGCCATGAACACTACAGATGCGACGTCAATGACAAAATTTTTGAATAAGCCAACAAATATTCCATCTTTACATTTTAGATGGTATTTAGTAAGGAATTTGGGAACTGTCAATATAACATCTTACTTACAAATGTCCCATCGAGCAATAAATGTTGGAATGAACACACATGCCAAAACAAATGCTGTTGCTAGACCAATATTTAAAATAATAATAAATCTCGTAAATCTCAATTCTACAAAATTGGTTTGGGTTCTTTTCAATCGAAAATAAATTCGAAAACTATAAATAGTAAATGCCACAATCAAAGCAGAAGGCAATAAAATCATGGATGCTGCCGCACATGCAAAGAGAGGAGTACTCCTTTTCAGCACTCCAGAAACCACAGATCCTATCAAAATAACCATAATATTAAACAAATAGATCGAAACAAGTAATAGGATGTTCTTTCGTGAGAGATGTCTCTTTGGATTTGACATGTGGGAAGTACTACTGATCAAATCGACCACATGCGACCAATGCACCAACACTGTTGTAAATGTCAGGGACATGGAAAATATTGAAAGAGCTCTAAAACATCCATACAGTTCATTATTTTCAAATTGAGAGTTCCAAAATTTGAAATTCCACACAAAACCAATGATATTCTCCACAATCATGAATACACCGGTACAAGTTTGAAAGAATAGAATGGCTGATCTCAAATCTGTCAAGAACAATTGATGAAACATAATTTTTCCCAAAATAATTAGATACCATTTCGAAGATGCTCGCAATGCAATTTCCTGTTTCCATTGATGAGAAATTTTCCTTCTTTTCGTTACCACGAAAGGAATGGTATTGTAAAAAACAGAAATTATAAGTGCGGACAACATGAGTACAATAATGATAAAGGGAGTTCCAAAGTATTTGAAGGGAATGAAAAAGAGTTGATAGGCATCTCCACATTGGAATGCAAATTTCGGTCCATTTTGATTCCGACACCAACACATGAGTGGATTCACAGTTTCGGAGAGGAATAAACTCTCAAAGAGATGCAACGTGTTGTCTTCGATATTGGAAGAATAATTTTTCAAATACTTGTTCGAATGATAGAGATCGGGTTGAAAGAATCTCCAATCCACAATTCCAATGTTCACCTTGTCATTGGATGGATCGATGGGTATGAGGGTCTGATTATTGTTAATATTACTATTATTGGAAGTGTTGTTGGTCTTGTTATTGTTAGCATAGGCCGATAAGGAAGCGAAGAGAATAGAATTCAGAATGGTGTCATCCAAAAGTCCATGATTGCAATGTTTCAACATGGATCTTTGAATTCGTTCCAAACTTGGAAATCGTTGTGAACATTTTGAATGTTGATTGATTTGAGAAGAAGTGAATTCACCACCACTCATGTACTTTCGGAATGCATGTGCATCCTCTGAATTGCAAGAAAGACAATAATTCATCATGATAAAATAATCGCTTCGAAAGGTTTGATTGGCGTTGAAGATGAGGGAATGAGTCAAATTGAAACACACTCGAGGATCTATGGAGCATTCACAAAAGTAATCGACACATGGATTTCCAGTAGTGCTATTGTTGAAAGAAGAAGAATTTCCAATCTGACCGAAGAAGGAAGTATTCATCTTGCACAAATCTGAATACGAATTATCCAACACAAAATTAGTAACGTAATAAGATTGAGAGTAAGGTTTGAGGTTTGCAATATTTTGATCGTCAGGATAAGGAATAGAGGTTGGGAAAAGAGAAGAATCTGCCGTACTGGCGTGTACAATGGACACAATAGAGAGAAGTGCAAAGAGCGTGATGGTCATCTTGAACCAATTTTCACTTCTATTTTTGTTGAGGGGAAAGTGTAAATACACTTTATATAAATCTTTCATGCCACTTGTCAAGTAACGATGAGGTGACACCGGTAATGATTGCGTGATCGTGAAATCACAGCGATGGGTTTTGCCAACAATTTGTTTGATCTATGGTGTTGATGTGATTTTGTACATCTGGCCGGTCAATTTGTCGTATCCATTCTGTCGTTGAAGTTTCGACATTTAATGACCCAAAAGGAACGACAGAGAGATGATGATTTGTTGTTAACGTTTCATCACCAACCATACTGCTGTCCATGAGAATCAGAGTGTCAATTTTGTTTTGAATTGTTCTTGACGAGGAGTGCTTATTGTACGACATCAATTCATCAAATTGGACATTTCTTTCTGTCTATTAAAAGAGAGATAATAGACGTCGTAACCAAATGATCGTTATGGGATTCGCATGAACATTCTTCAAGTGAGAGACAACGTTTGACACGAACGAGCTCTTATGGAACTAAAAAACATCATTGAAAATGTCATGAGCGCTTTGATGAATTCAGTTCATTTGAAAATATTTACAGTAATATTTGACATTGCACCTAAATTGTGAATGTCAATTAAAAATTATTTGAAAGTACGATTATCACTTGTTACCAATAATACGGTTCATAATTCTTTAAGAAAACTCCAAAATATTTCTTTCCTTCCTTTTTGCAGGCAATTATGGGATGGAGTATGCGTGAAGCTCCATCAATCTCATCGAGAGGACAAAAGTATGTCGGTTTTACATTTTCAATGTTCAGAGGAGACTCATCGTTATTCCATCCAGTGTCCACAGAAACCATATAAATATTGTCTTTGGCATAATCGGCTGCAGATGTTCGTGTCATCATGTTCAGAGAGGCTTTGTTGTGAATGGTATGCATGTATAATAATTGTTCAACATATAATTCATGTTTGAGTGTGATCAAATTCGAATCAAATTGTTACAATACATGGATTTAGTACACAAATGTGCTGTGTTATTAAACTTACCCTTTGCCATGTTGAGATGAGGATGCAAGGTGGATTTACTTTTTCTATAAAATTGGCCTTCCATACTGCTTACGTTAATGATGAATTTGTCGGTGTGAGGCATCTTGGTCATTAGAGATTTTAGACGTGATGTTAAAATGAAAGGCGCTGTTACATTAATTGTTTGGACTTCCAGAAATTCATAAAATGGAACACTCTCAAGATTTTGTACCCATGAATTGGTTTTCCTCAAATCTACTTGGCTCTTATTAATATCCATTACAGAGTATGGGAATGATTCTCTGTCATAAATATGATCTTCTTCAAGGAGTGGAATTTGTGACACAATAGAGCTCGTTGAAATATTATGAGAATCGTTGAGAGCCTTCAATGAGCTCATAGGCATCACGGAAGAGTTTTGGCTGATTGAAATTTGATGATGTTCATCAGTGAATGATTGAGAGTTCTGATTTGACAAGGCATATATTTTGTCGCTCACTGGTGACAAAAGCGTCTTAATAGCAGTGTCTGCATGTTGGATTGATGAAATGTTCATATGAAAATCAGTGGGAAGAATTTGCTTGATACCATCACTTAAATCGTCAAAACTGACTCTCAACTCATCATTACAAACATGTCTGTAGTAGGCGCAAGGTCTTCTAATTGTTTGAGCAGCATTGTTGATAACAATGTCTAATCTTGAAAGCTTTTGTTTCAGAAAATCAGTAAATGCATACACACTTGGAATATGTTTTAAATCCAAACCGTAGATCTGAAGTCTTGTTTTGAAAGTGTTAAAATCTGGCTCTTGGCTGTATCTCTTAGCAGCATCTTTTGGAAAACGAGTAGTGACAATAACCAGAGCCGCGTTATTTCTCAAAAGTTTTAGAGAGGTTTCATAAACCAATTTTTACCCTACATTGGTGAAAATTAAGGTTGTAAGAATGTATGAATAAACACCCACTCACCTTCCACCAGTTATCAAGGCAATCATTCCTGTAAGATCGCATGTGTCATTTCTCGCTTTGTAATTAAAATCACCACATGTTTGACACATTTTGTGATAAAAGAAATGGACATGATTATACAACTTTTTGCATTGATAACACTTTCTTTGAGAGAATAAAGGTTCTGCGGATGCTCTTTGTGTTTCTTGTGTGGTGTTGTTTGTTTCAGTTTTTTCATCAACATGTTGCAATGCCTGCAGAGTGGGAGTAGAGCTCAAATTCGATGCATCTATCACGGATGATGAATTTAATTCCTCAATTTGATCTTGTGGAGGTTTTTTCGTAAACATTTTTCGAGCTTTTCTTACTTGTTTCAAGGGTTGTTCTGAAAAATCTACCAATGCAATGGCTTTCTCTGTTTGTTCCAACATGAAATGTTCGTGTTCCATTTTCTGATCGAGTTGCTCTTTAATAACAGCTAACTCTTCGTGTTTTCGTTTTTTCATTTCAGTAGATTGTAAAATCTTTTCATCATGTTCAATTCTCTTGTTTTTCGCTGCCTTTCTTCTCTCTTTCCTTCGTTTGAGTTTTTCTTCTTCGCTCAAAGGTTGAAAGAGAAGGTTTCCAACTTCCATCAAAGGCTTTAAGAGCGAATGTTTCAATAAATATCGATGTTGGTGTAATCGATGCAGTAATTGAACAGCAGTATCTACTTCTTTGGAAATGACTTGAAGTGGATCCGTAAATCGCGCGTGTTTGTTTATCATATGGGATTGGAAATTGAAATTAATAGGTTTGTGATTCCACGATGTAATATTATTCGTATGAATATCCACAGACGAAGAATGGCATGCCGCGGAGAGATCCTCTAGAGTAATTTCTTCCTCATTGGCCAAAGTAAACCTTGGATCCTTGCTGTTCGTAATGGCAACATCATCCTCCATTTTGTGTTCCGATGGTGGTGATGATGATGACAGTGCACTCGACATCATGGATGATGATCTTTCATCGAAAGGGTCATGACATGATTGCATTTTTCTTTGGGTTATCTACCTGGTAGTCCAATTTGGAATATATTTATTTAATATTCTTTTGATTTTGTTGCAACATGAAATTGCACTCGCAACGGAATTGGAACTGTTGGATGAATTTGTTTATTTGAAAATTGTGACCACATCGCCAGAGAATTGTGTGACATACAGTTCCCCTTTTCGTTCGTCGAAAGTGATTCCAAAAGGTCTTTTCAATGATACTTTGCCTGCTTTGTAAACATCGATCATATTTCCTTCCTCATCCAAAATTCTGATTGCGTTCTTGTATTGGTCACAAACAAAAATTCGTCTTCCAATCTTGTCATAAGTAATGCCAAGAGGGCAATCGAAATCTTCTCCTTTAATTTGTCCTGAGTAAATGGTTTTAACAATTAACCAATTTTCATTTTCGTCTTGTTTCAATATAACACATCTCCTGTTGTTGTATTCACTGACAATCAACATGGTGTCTCCAACAATAAATTCAATACCATAAGGTTGTGAGATACTGACATGAGGTGACTCAATTTCAGTAATTTTTGTTCCATCAGACGCCCTTACAACAACAATAGAGTTGGTTCCAGAATTGCAAACATAGATCCAATTTTCAGCGCTGCCATTCGTTTTCTGATTTTTTTCTCTACGAATCGCCATTCCATACGGACAAGATAATGAATGATTTTCCCAAATTACATTACATATTGTTCCGCCCTTGCAATGGTTGATTAACGAGGCCAAATGATATTTTGTCATGCTTGTATGCTCGTCGTTCAAAATGAAATAATCATTGTCTTTGTATTCCCCGTTCTCAATCAGAAAACAATAAAAGTGTCTGTTCACCTTAAATGTGGCCAAGTACAGTTTGGTAGTATAATCGAAAAATTGAACTCTTGAATTTCCTCGATCTCCCACAACAATACAATTGTTATTATAAGATATCTTGACATCACTCGGAGATTTCAATCCACCCAATTCTTTTGATCCATTCATTGTATGAACCAGATCAAATCTCATGGAAAAGGCTTGTTTCAACGATTTTCTCATCTTGATTCTCAACTTTCCAAAATTTGGATCAAGTGCAAGATCTTGATGTCCAAAATCTAATAAATTCAAAATCACTTGATCATCATTTCTATGTTTCATCATTTAAATGTCTCCGATAATTCACAACGCTGTGATTCTAACTTTGGCTTGAATTGTTATGATCGATATTTTTCGTTATTTTTTTCTCTCTTCCTAAAAACGATCGTTAGAGGAAAAAATCCATCATCGTATGTAACACTGAAAAGATCCCATATTCAGCTCAGAATAAACCAAGATAAAACCAAGAAAATACTGGATAACACCGAGATAATACGCGCATTTCTGTCAGACAATCCATGGGCTTTGAATCAAAATGAATTATTAACAATTTGCAGGCCATCTTAGATCCGTACTATCCCATGCAATCATTTATTTTCTGACAACAATGGTCAAACTGTTCGAACAATGATAGACATCACTAATTTATGGTTTTTTGGTTGACACCATAACGTAAGGCAAATTGAAATCTACCAAATCATCATCATTCTTCAATCCCAATACTTGCATCAGTTTCAATTTGTAATTGTTGAGTAACTTTTCACGTTCAATCATACCGTATTTGTCGCTATATGAATTCACTGCACTCCATGTATTTAAATATCCAATATAATTAGCAACTGGCACTTTTGTTTTGTCCCAATATGTCTCATAGACTGCATTTTCAGGATAAGGAATGTGAGGAATGGTTAAGTAAGCCTCATCTAAATATCGTCTTCTTTCAGACCAAAATTCTCTAACATGTTTGCATGAACACAATTTTTGTGTTAAATCCATGTGCATTCAACACAGCATTCATGAACTTACCTCAATTCCTCTCCATTATAAAATTCATCAAACAGTTTTTGTGCTTGTTCATTCTCAAAAACATTCGCTCCATAACCCCACGCACAAAATACTCCTCCTCGTTTCAAATACTTTTTGACAAGTTCAAAAACTTTTTCAAAATGAAACCAATGCACACCTTGAGCCACAGTGATCAAATCAAACACTCCATCTTCTTGTTGTTGTTCATTCAATAATTCGCTCTTATACTTTTCAACAATTTGATCCAAATCTTCAGCAGCGGCAACTTCAAAGTAGACTTTGCAATCGGAAGGAATTGAGTTCTTACGAGGATGATTCAATGCATTTGCAATTTGATTCATGCTAGGATCAATTCCAATAATTAATTTACAATTTCTCTGACATAGATCATACGTTGCTTGTCCACTGCCACAAGCCAAATCTAGAATCACAAGTTTTTCGGAAGTTTTTGAAACTCTCGGCATGATCTTTTCATCATACAGTGCGGCAGGATAAGTGGGTCTAAATTTTGAGTACAAATTAGTGTGATGAGCAGTTTCAAAGAGAGCGAATTGATGATTGGCAGATGACATTTTTTTTAGTGTTGGAAAATTAATAATCACAATAAGTAGGGCGGAATTTTATGGAAATGTTGAAAGATTCTAAAATGATTGGCGTTCAAATCCTTTCGGGCAATATCTTTGCGATTAATCTATTCAACACAATTCCTCCACTGAGATCAATTGAATTATACTTTTAACCACTTGCTTGAAGTGAATGATATTTCCTGACAATGAGCCTTAAACACCGTTTGAATGCTTTCTGGAAAGACGCACTCGAGCGCCTCCTATGATTCGAGACTTTAATTGTTTTCTCAGTGTCAGCAAAAGGTGAGAACTTCCTTTTCAATCGTTGCGAGAAATGACTTTATGGAGGATCGGCTGTTGACATTTTCAGACAAATTTTCTTTGTTTGGGTTCCCAATTTCATTTAAATTCAATATACATATTCGCCTGCCTTCTTTGCACTTGTTGCAATTTGAAATGCATGCATGTTTATTTGAGAGAGAGACAAACAGTTCTGAGAGAAGTACTTATAAATCAAGCTTCCTTAAATTTTTTGTCTGCCTCGCAGATCGGCTTGGTTTGGTCAAAAAGGAAACTTGACGGTTAACGACAAACCACAAGCGACGCACCTTAGGGCCACGAGAGACTCACCAATTGGGTCTGAGCTCTCTTTTGCCCGATCCTGGAAAATTATAACTCGCACGATTACGCCTGATAAGCCACTTGCACAAATTCGTGTTTTCTAAAAACCCTTATTGTACTTTGAAAATTGCCTTAAAAGTACATACTAGGTTTTTCAATTCTGCGCTTCTCCGGGGCGATTCATTGAACAAATCGAGGCTTCATCGCCAAAGTTTGCGCACACTTCCTGGTGATACAATCACAAAGAAATCATCTCAACTTCCTACGCTCGCGCGTCATGCCTTCCCGATGTGCCCCCACACCTTACTTGATGATGCAACCATGCAGTCGAGGTTCCACCTTTCTTGGTTCACAGCATCATCCCGTGGTGAGGAACGCCTCTTATGAAGAAAACAAAAAGGACTCTTTCGAATTCATAAATGTTCCAAATTCAAATCTCTCTTCTCCAAACTCCACTTCGTCTGGTTATTCCTTTTCTTCGTCCAGTGGCAGTTCTTCTCAGATGGATGCTTTAAAAAAAAGCAAAATTCATAAAGAACGAGGGATTAAAATCGAGAAGAAGCACATATTTGAGGTGCTACACTTGCCTCAAACACAAGCCTCAGCTGTTTTAAAGTAAGTACGATTTAAGATCCGAATGATTCCAAATCTTTCCAAATCGGGTAATGAGCAGGTGCAGTCTGTCCACTCTTAAAAGAAGATTCTACGCTCTAAAGGATGAAATTGGCATTGAAACATGGCCACAATTCTTTAAGGACATTCGTCATTTGAAATGTTTTTCTCAAATATATCCCATGAGTCTGTCCTTTATCACACATCCAGAGATGAGAGAGGAAAAGGAGATTCTTGATCATGAATGGGAAATGATCCAACATGCCTTCTTTGCCTCGAACTCTTCTCCAAGTTCATGTATCTCTCAAACTTATTCAACAATTGAAAGTCAAAACATTCCGAAAAAGAAGGTCTTCCACGAACACAAATTTGTAATGTCCTCATATGTGAACCAAACTTTGAGTCCAACCAATACAAAATTCACTTCCTCACCTTGTCTCAATCACAGGTGAAATGGAACACTCACTGCTTCAAATGTTCATCAATAAAAATTGTACAATATTCAAAGGTATGTTTGCTGACATCAAAAACATGTGTGATTTATTATTAAAATTTGCATTGCTTAGCAACTCGGAGAGGTTAGAGAGGAAGGGTAATATACAAGTATAATTCTTCATGTGAATGTATATAATTGTTGGCCTATGGTTTGTCAACAATTTAAATTTATCGTTTACAAAATTTCACACTTGCCCTTCTTCTCGTTCTTCTTTCCGACATCAGGAGACTTTGGATCCAAAACACATTCAATAACATAGTTGAAAGTCTCCTTCAATCCTTCTTGAGATTTTGCTGAACATTCCGAGTAATATTGAGCTCCCACTTCTTTAGCAACTCGTTGACCTTCCTCTGGGCTCACTACTTGCAATCCTTCTCGTTGAATGTAATCCTTATCTTTACGAAGATCACACTTTGTACCTGCAAGAACAATTGGAACTTTTGGACAGTGCTGTTAAAGAGATGTAATATGAAAAGTTCGAAAAATGTTGTTGTGAGTGATGTGTTTGAAAACCAACACAATGATGTGGTGCAATATTGCGGTTATTATGATGATGGTTTCATGTTGTTGTTTGCAGCAAGTGCAGTAGTATAGGTCCATAAATTTGAAAGTCGAGAGAGTCAATAGAAAAACAATAGTGAAAAATAATAACAACATTGCATGCCAATCAACAACATCACGTTGAACGTTTGAGAATTAAAAATTTCTCGAAAGTTATCGAATCATACTTACATGTCTAACTTCGGGAACCCACTTGGCTTTTACGTTCGTTAAACTTGTGTGATTGACAACAGAGAAGCAAACAAGAAAGACTTGAGCATCTGGGTATGACAAAGGCCTCAAACGATCATAGCTATTGTGAACAAGTGTCAAACGTCAAGACAGAGGATTAATTCAATACATGTTCAACACACAACTACTACTATTGTTATAACTACTTACTCATCTTGGCCAGCAGTATCCCACAAACCTAATGAAACAGTCGTGTTCTTATACATCACGTTTGCGGACTGTTCATTCACATTGACATTTGACACAAATCTCGTATTCAAACCACCACTAACAATATCGTTACGAGTACTTACATAGTTATCAAATACTGTTGGCACATAGTCCTCTGGGAATGTATTTGACGAGAATCTATTCGCAAATGCCAGTTGTCAAAATGCGGCGTACAATTCCAGAAGGATCATCACCATCATCCATCATCACCCAATCATCATAATATTTTGTTTCATCACCACCCAATCCACATTTCAAGAGTCATTGTATATTTCTTCTTCTACTACAAGTACTTACGAGATTAATAAACAAGTCTTTCCCACTGCTCCATCTCCTACGACGACGCACTTTATAGAAGTATCCATCTTGTTGTTATTGTAATTATTGTAGTTTTGAGTAATTTAAAGGAAGAAATGAATTTCTTTGTTGTTGTTTCGGTGGAAGAAGGACAACGATGAAAAGGCTTTGAAGAGTCTCTTGTTGTTGAGAGAGTAACGGGCTGTATTGGCAGCGAGTTTCGTTTTAAAATTTTTTGATTCGCTTGACTATGAAAAGTTCCGAGTTCTTGATGTGACAAATTGACAGCTGGAAGCAGTGAATGTGCTGTTGAACTGAGAACCAGTCGCACTCGAGGGTTGAAGTTGAGCTGATTTTTATCGAAAAACGTTACCCTAAATGTACATGTTCTTGTTGATGTGGTTGTATTGAAAACAAAAAAGCTGGTTCTCATGGCAACAACAAAAACGTGGTCGACAGTTCCTCAGTGAGAAGAAAATAAAAATTTTACCTCACATATTGTTAGAAACTCTTCCTTTTTCTAAATAAATATGCTTTGGGAAACTGTCATTCTCAAGCATTCCGAGTGAACTGATAGCTTCCTGATATGGATAGCATTAATGGTATCAAAAAAATTGTTTAATATCCATGATGATATCCAATCGAATCAAACATGTCTAACTTTTGTTTTCGAAGTCCATAATTCATAAACACTTTTGGAGTTTGAAGCTCCATATTCAATAAATTAGAAGGAGTGAATTGTTCCCAATACGTTGGAACATTTTGTGTGGAATATGTTGAAGAAGAAAGGTTTGGATTTGAGGTTTTTGCAAAATTGGTCCAATAATTCATCATGGCAGCAGACAACTCTTCTTCTTGTGGCATCAATGGTAAGTTCAATAATTCAGAGGAGTGAAATAATATTGGAAGTTCAGAGCCATGACAAACGTGACCAACACAGAAGGGATATCGTGGCATCCATGCTTCCGAACTGAATGAGAGGGTGTGATTAAATTCAAATAAATAGACAGGAATGTTTGGTTGGTGATTATGAATATTCATGAGCGCATTTCGAGTGGGTGCTGTGAAAATGTAATCGGTTCCGAGAATGGAAAATTCCACACGTTGGTCGCTGCCACTTGTTGGAGGATATAATGAATGAACTTTTGAATAATCAAATAATCCAAATAAGGCTATTAGGGCACCATCGTATTCATAGAAAGGAAGTGGATTGGAGAGGGCCAAGTACACAAACATGATTGCTTCTTCTGACAATGTTCCCATGATCATTGGAACTTTGGCATAATTTCCATTTTTAAAAGCATCTAAAGGTTGTTCAAATAATTCCTTTCCATCGAGACATGGTGTCCATGGCATGAATGAAATAATAGGATGCCAAATATTTAAATGATTACTTGCAGAGTCTCCAATTTCCACAACATCTTGCCATTTCAAATTTTGAATGCATTGAAGAGTGTTTTCAGATTTTTGACATCCACTTTCACGAATAAAACGATCTCCCAATTGATCACTGCTTGAAATGTCTCTAAACGGAAGAGCCAATGGATTGGATTGGAGAATAGCTTTATGGAAAAGTGGCCAACTTTCCTTGTTCATCAATAAGGCAGTGACACTTCCAGCGCCGGCTGACTCACCAAAAATTGTCACTGAATTTGGATTGCCTCCAAATCGATCGATAAATCTCTGAACCCATTTCAATGCTAATCTTTGATCCTTGAGAGCGAAGTTACCTCTGAGGCCATTCTTAGAATTCACTAAATAACCCAATGCTCCCAAACGATAATTGATCGTAACAAGAATTACATTCGTCTTGCCAACAAAATATCCTCCATCATAGAGCGCGCAATTAGCAGTTCCTTTAAAAGTTACAAATATCCACAATTCATCACAAGTGTTTCATATTTCACAAAATAAATTGTTCCATTTCATCGTTTGTGAAAAATCATGATAAACACCGTTTGATATTTTATAATAAACAATGAGCTCACTAATTGAATGGCATTCCAAAACCTACCCATATCAAAATGTCCACCTGGAATGAAAACCATGACCGGTAAACTTCCATTCCCAAGTTGATCAGGAGTATAGACATTGAGAGTCAAACAATCTTCACTCATTGTCTCTGCACATAAACCTTTCGGTAACAAACAATTCTGTGGACATTGAGGTCCAAATTGCGTGGCATCCAACACACCTTGAAGTGGAGTAGAAATAGGCACGGGATCATTCCATCGTCGTGAACCCACGGGAGACTGCGCATAGGGAATGTTTTTAAAGGATCGGAAGTTGAGAGAGGGACTTCGTTTTCCTTTCAAGACTCCGAGAGAGGTAACATTGAAGATGAAATCCACATCATTCCGATGTTGCGGTGAAGAAAAATCACTCTTGGCTCTTGATGGGGAGCTCCATGATGATGGTGAGGCTTGTTGTTTCAATTGTTGGATGAGAGAAGCAAGACGTTGTTGCGAGGAGTGTTGTTGTTGTTGATTCGTCATGGATATATTGTCTTCACCACGAACCATCCTATGTGGACTGAAAAGAAGAAGAGCTGTCGTCATCATCATGATGACCACCAGCGTCGTTGTCATGAGAAACCGATCATTTCGACCCACGGTTCGTGAATATCTCATGTGAATCATCAGGATGATTATGATTTTTTTGAACATGAACGCGTCGGAGCTGTGAGCGTTTTGTGATTAAGGAGTTTTACTGACCTTGCCCATGATGATGATGAGGAGTGGTCGCCTTAAGTTACAAAATGTTAATGTTTGGAGCGCTATTGTCTGGATAATAAGTGCCTTCTCTAAGGGTTACATTAATTCTTCCTTGAAATCCTCTCATGTTCAAATCCTTAGGATTCTTGTGTCATTGCCATACACTTTCTTCACTGTGTGCCACATCATTCTTTGTGAACCACTAAAGATCAGAATATCTCCTTCTTTCAAACGTAAATCATGTTCTACGTGTTTGTATCCATTCACTTTGTAGCTGAAAGTGCATTCATTGCCAAGAGACACGGAGACGCCACGGGACTCGACTAGATGTTGCTCTTCCTCTGTCAGTCCTGAAATTCTGTGCCACCCGAGTTTTGTAGCAGAGTTGAACAGTCTACTTCATATTGTTTTAATATGGAGGATGCTTCTTTGGCAGCTAAAAGTGGAACGTGACACCGTTTCATTGTTAAATCTTGATTAAACCGTTCAAAGGGAATATATAAAGGTATTACAATATTTGTGCATTTTGGATAAGCTTCGGTTGTTATCTAAAAACAACTCTTTGAAGTGATGGAGATTCAGAAAAGAGAATGTAATCATCATCAACAGGAAGTTTTTGTTGAATACGTTCTTCTCTTGTTTCAGCAATAGTATCATGCTCTTCCCAATGTTCATTGCAAACAACACAAAGAAATGAGCTGGTGAAACTTTGGCATTTACAAGAAGGTACAGTGCATCGCTTGCTTGGACATTTGTGATATCTGAAAGAATGTTTGCATTTGCATTTCACTTCATATTTTTGAGGATTAACTGTTTGCAAGATCGTTGATTCCATGGATGACAATTTGTTAACAATACGGTTCACTTACAATCTGTTCGATGTTCCAGCCAAAACTCACCCGTCTCTGCTGGTCTTGTTGGGATGTATTCGAACATTTTACATCCCTTGCATGAAGAACAACCGGAAATGATTCCATTGTTTTTCTTAAAGTGATCTTTCAAAGGGTGGCCACAAAAACAAATTGAGCTTGGAGCTATTCGAGAACAATCTCGGAACGAATGTTGAGAGTATGCTCCACAAGCTCCCTTATTCCTCGTTCTCCAAACAATATACAAACCAGTTTCCATAGAGAAATGAGCAGCCTCTAATTGTTCATTCATCACATCCTGAGATGATTTTGTGAGCCCATTCCGATCAATAGTTTGAACCATGTAAGAGATGACATCACCACATTTAGATTGGATTTGAGTTTCCTCTGTTTTTTCGGGACGATCATCAACCGAGTGATCGTGCACGATCTTCTTTTTATTTCCCAATGAGCTACTACTTGTTTGGTGTTGAAAATCTTTTCTCTTATTTGAAACAGAATAAGAGGAGAGTCCTTTCATTTTCATTCTCAAAGGCTACACACTCTCAATCAAGGCTAATCGTGTCTTTGAGTGCCGTTTGTAATTTTTTGAAATTTTTTGGCGCCTTTTCATTTTAAAAATCCTTCAACAAAAATTATTCGTTAAGAACGACGAATGGCTTCTCAAGTCTATCATAACTCGTCTACACTCTCTGCCTCCTCAACAACTAATGATCGTTATCATCATGATGAGGAGGAGGAAGTGAAATCACCGAGCTCTCCATTCTATAATTTACGGAATGAACAAAAGTTTATCACAGCAGCACAATATAAAGACTCTCAGGACTACCAAGACGAATTACATGAGACTCATGATGATGAACAAATGATTGTTTATGATGAAGATCCTTTTGGTATTCCCAAAGACCCATTTGAAGAAGACTCTAATGAAGATATTCTTGATTATCAGGACTATCCCGAAGACCATAATGAAGATGAGGAGAGATTTGAGAATGAAGTATATCAACACGATGATGACACTCAACTCGACACTTCTAGAACTTCTAGAACGAAATCAATATATAGTGGAGGATTGGAGGATTCTTTCATAAGGACTGCTGTGTTATCACCAACAGGCTCTGTGACATCAACTTTTTCAACTCGAAGCAGTCGATTGAGAAGAATTAGCGGATATGAACCACTTTTAACACCACAATCTGTCTCTGAAAAAAGAAAAATCATCTCGTCTCTCCGTATCAACACTTCTTCCACCAGATGTCGAGAGAAAGGATGTGATTGCCGGTTTAATTCCTAGTTTACATGTTGCATTGTTCATTATCGTACTCATGCTTGCCATTGTATTTTATAGCAATGAATTGCACTATGTGATCAAACCTGCTGTAAGATTTATTTCCAGACTATTGAGAAGGTTAAATGTTAAAGTATGGACCGAATTTGATGAACTAGAGCTTTAAAGTTTTTTACCATTCGTTTTTGAATTTTAATAGTGGTGGTGATTTATTAAATAATGTTTGAATTTTAATGATCAATTGATAATATTATTTTTGTCTTTTAATCAAGAAATTAAATTGCTGGAATGATCGGCACGAGGTTGCTTCTTTTAGAAGTCATAGCTCACTAGGTCTAGTAAAATTTGGTCTTGCTTTCTTGGAACTTTTTGTAATAAATAAAACCAATGGCGAACACAATTTGGAAGAAGATGAAAATGACCAATAACCAGCCATTACTAAATCTTTGCATTTCTCCCAATGACTCTGATTGTTTAGAAATTCCTTGTTGAATGTCTCCATGAGATCGTTGAATATTGCCAACATCATTGTAAATGTTGGTAATGAGTGAGTCCAATCTTCTGAGTTGACTGTTCAAAGTATCAGTATCTCTCTTCAACTCTGCCAAAGTAACAGCCACATCCTTCTTTGTGTCTTCGCTAAATTCTGTGAATTTTCTTTGAACTTCTTCTTGTTTTTTAGAAACTTCGCTTACAAACTCCAGAATCTAAATGAAAAAGATTTTCAAATTGTTGAATAAAAAATATTTGAAAAATGTTGGACCAATCATTCGGAAACACAATGATTATATTTTTTTGATAGATCAAAATTACTAAATCCATCACAATTAAGATAAGTAATACTTACATTAATAATGTCACTCTTTGTTGAGGATTTCTTAATAGTTCTGACCACTTCTTCCAAAGCTTCCAAAATGAGCAATCCTGTTTGCATGTTGAAAGTGACGGCGCCTCCTTCATGATGTTGGACAGGTGGTTGAGCTTCGTTTGATTTTTGTTGTGGCTTGGTTTGAGCTGGCTCTTGTTGTGGCTCATCAACATGCTTCATCTTTTCCTTAAGGTCATCGAACAGCTTTTGCTCTTGTGCCCATGTATCCTCCTCTTCCTTCTTCTTTCTTTCAAGTTCAGCAGTCACATCATGTTGCAAAGTGTTGCCAGTATGGCTTGAATCTGTTGTACTGGCATGTTGATCTTGCTGTGGTTCATTTTGAGAATTTTTTAAAATTTCCTCTTCCTTCTTTTGTTTTTCGAGATACTTTTGGAATTCTTCATAGGGATCATACCAACCTCTGTGATGATGAGATTCAGTTGCCTCTTTGTGTGGCTCATAGGCAAGATCATAGGCCAAGAAACTGTGCACGTCATGATTGTCAGCCAATCCTCCAGTGGCAGCAGTGATACCGAAATAATAGCCATCCTTCAAGTGCACATTATTAATTTCGAAACATTTGGTAAATTGTCCAGAGTTTGTAGTATCCATATAAACACTCAACATTCGGTTTTGATAAGTAATTCGAGCTGTAGTTCTACCATGTGTTGGATTTCTAAAATCTGCTCGACAACGATCCAATTGGTTGGCTCTAAAATCATTATCCACATCAAGCTTCATTGGACCTCCATGATTCATAATTGCAATCACAGCTGGATTATCTCCATCCATGTTGTTGTCATAGGTATCAAACAAGATTCCCAAACCATCAAAACTCTCCGTATAGCCCATCAAGGTACCAGTTTTCATTGGCTCTCTGGCATACCAAAAAGCTAAACCATCAGCACCAGGACTATGTGTATTGTGAATGAGAAAATCAATTTCAACTTGCCAACTCTTCATATGAACTGGTTCCAAATTCCAAATGTATCCCGTTCTGGATTTAATGTTTGGAACCACCCGAATGTAGTTTTCAGTAGTAATGGCACTTCCGCCATATTCCCAGTACGGAATGCCTTGTTGTCCTCCGTAAAGGAAGGGAGGCTTGAATGAGTGCTTTTCAGCAATTGCTCGACTATTACCACCACCACCACCACCAGTAGAAGAGGCACTGTCTAGATCTCCATTTTGTTCATCGTCATCCTCTTGTGGTTGTTGTTGCGGAGGTGGAGATGGAGGTTGTTGTTTTTGTTTCTTTGGTTTTCTGTAATTATAATTGTCTTCATCATCGTCGTCATCATCATCCTCTTCATACTCATCACGACTACTACGGCGAGTCTTTAACTTTTTCTCGAGATTTAATCTTCTTCTTCGTCTTCGTTGAGCCTCTACGACAAATGATGATGTTGTTGTTGTTGTTGATTGAGAAATTGCTCCATGACCCGATGAAAAGGAAAGAAGTCCACTGGATATTTGATGATAAGATTGATTCATGCCATCGAGAATGAATGGCAATAAGAAAAGGAGGAGCAACAAAGCCGCAGTTCCGTAGAATCGTCGACTCTTCATGATGATGATGCTGCTATTGATACCGTTGTATCGTTTGGATCCAAAGCAATGGATATATGATTATTCTTCCTGTCGTTGTTGTTATTCTATGAGAATTTGAAGCCCGATATCTCTCTTGTTATAGAGATTAAAAAATCTATCACTAGTCCTTTCAGAATCGGATCGATCACACACAATGTGTCGTGTATCAGTAGTAGTTTGTTGCTTATACTCCGTTCCGAAAGAGAAGTCAAAACAATTTTTTCTTTCTTTCCACAACTCCTAGAGGCTAGATAACGAAGACAATGACGTGTCATCCAGCCTTTGGATGAAATCGTTTCAACAACAGCATGATGCTCCTTCAACTGGGAGCCATAGTAGTTTCAACACCATCGAATCGAACCACTCTGATCAGCAGAACATTCTACTCCTTCAATCACTCCAATTACGGAGCTCAAAATATTCAATTTTCTCCCATAATATATGAGGGTTTTCTGCTGAAAAAAATGAGGCTTTTATTAAGACTCTCTGTCCCTCACAGTGCTGACCAGTTTCCTCACCGTTCTCATAAGTAACCAATGTCTTTCGCCTTTTACTAAAGACATCCGTGTGAGAATGGACTCCTAGGTAACGCGAATTTTTTCTGCCACTTCTCTGTGGACCCTATCAATAAGAGAAATTGTAATTTACAATAATTTTATTTTGCACTGAACAGGACATAGTACCGAAATCATTGTGCAAACTCGATTGTTTTATGGCTTAAAATCAAAAGCAGATCTTGAGAGTGCCTTGTCATTTCGGGATATTTTGGTGTTGGCAGCAATGATGTCTGCGAGAGTTACACGATCAACAGCCTTTCTCACTTGTTTCATCCATGCTTTTCTTCGGTGAGTGTAGAAACAAGGGTCGCCCTTAACAAATCTTTCGAATTGTTCCTTCACGATCTTGGTGCCCAATCGACCAAGTTGAGAGTTTCCATACTTTGGTTCGATGAGAATACCTAACCATGGGTCAAGATCGTTCAACTCTTCTCCAAAGTATTTGACAAGCTTTTCACGAAGTTCAGGATCAGATGTCATTTGAGAGGCTGAGAGTGGCTTGAGGCCCAAACTCTTTCTCATATCGTTGAAGGATGGAAGACCTGCGTCACGTCCTCGTTGAATGTTGGATGCAGCGAGATCTAAACGAACATTTGGTCCGAACAAAAAGTCTCTAAGGCCATCCGCAATCTTTTCATCAAGATTTTGAGAAAAGTGAGTACAGAGACCTCTAACAAGCATCTCAAGCTCTCCTTTGTTGTTAGTGAGCCTTCTGAAACCGTTGAATGCATCCTTAAACTGGATCGTTTCCATTTCCTTGCCGTTTTCATCAATTCTGTGGAGCTCGCATGACACGAGTGAGTGACCAAATCTGTATGCAGCAGTAGCAAATTCGTTTGCTGGTGTCACGTTCACATCAGGGTCAAACTTCAACTTGTATGGATTAATTTTGTGTTTACCCAAGAGTTTGGAAAGATATTCACGATATGTAATGGATTGAATTTGAGCACAGTTGATAGCTCTTGCAGTTTGGTAAATGTACTCATCCACGCGCTTCTTTTTGGTACTCTTCTTACAAATGCCAAATCTCTTTCTGATGAGTCGAGCCAATCTATTGTGTTCTCTAAGGAAGATAGTTTGCATGATAGAGATTGGTAGTGCCTCGGTGACTCGATCATCTCCGGCAATAATACTGTTGTTACCACCACCAGAGAAGAATTTACCATTGGTATGAACGAAGGAATTTGGAAGAAACTCTTCACCAAAGACATTGTTCACTTTCAATAATCCTCCTTGCAAGGTTCTCAATGCTTTTGCCTTTGTTGGATCGCTGCCATAAATTTGTGAGCAATCAATGTAACCTGTAATAACATTCACTTGATTGACTGGATCACCAATGAAAATAACTTTTTCGGAGGAGAAGGTACCTCTTGTAAATGGAATAGTTGGTGTTTTGAATCTGTCTCCAGGTGGAACAGGAATTGGGAATGTTTCGCTGTTTCTGCCGGTACCCATGGAGTCAATGTCGTGATCGATGAATTGAGCGAACGCATAGAACATGGCATTGACGCCGTACTTGTTGCTTGTGTCACACTTCTCTTGCTTACAAAATACGTTGCTGAGTTCTCTTGCGGAATACTTTTGACGTGGAGGGACCCTTACACCATCCGTATAGGCGGCTGGAGTAAGTCTTGGGAATGATTGTCCAGTTGCACCAAATGTTGGATGTTTGGGATTGACTCCAATGCCATCATGTGAGTAGCAGGCTTTCTTAATTGGATGTGAAAGTCTCTTCAAATCCTTCAATCGAATCTCTTTACCCTGTGTCAGATGTGCAATCAGCACGACCGACAGGACCAACACGAAACTCACAACTAATTTGCGTAGTGAGACCATTTCTCTTTGTTTCTTTTTACTTGAGTTGTAAGAGTTTAATTTTGAGCTTTTTAAAGGATATGAATTGTACACGCTATTTAATTGGCCCAAAATTGTGGTGTTGCGTGACATGGTTTTTCATGTTGAGTGTCACACTTGATTAAAGACTGGCAACAAAAAAATATATGACTGATGAATAAAAACCCCCTATGGTCCTCTCAAATATCCTTGGCATCATAAACATACACCTTCTATTTTTGATGCATCTGTTGAATTATCATTGACATGTGAGATGAATGACCTGGCAGCTGTCATGTATTCGAAAGTCTTGGTGAACTTTGTTGAAACATGCCTCTTTTGGCTTGCATGACAAACCTTTGTGGTCGACAACGGCATAGTCTCTTTTATCTTGGTCATTACACTTCCGATAGTACTTGTTCCCACACATAAAAGTTGTTTTTTCATTGCAGGAATGAACAGTTGAAAAAAGGCAAGTATAGCTTCCAAGTGAGAGATGCATTAAGTAGGAATGAGGAAAGCCAATATGCGGCATGCTTTGATCGTTCTCAAGGATGAAGGAATTAAGGACAAAAACGAAAAATAATTTATAAACTATGAAATGTTACGCATAAAATTGATCAGATGTAGACAAAGAGTTGTAATTAGTTCTCAAGTGGACCGTAGTTCATTCTTGGATCATAGGTCTCATCATAAACTATCTTATTGTGATCATAGTCAGACCGTTGATATTTCTTGTATTGGTTTGGTAAGTTAAATTCTCCAACAATAACTTCTTGATCGTATGATAATCCTACATATGGGGTGACGTTCCATCTGAATTTCAATGTGATATTAGTTCCTCGAAGCTCATTGCCATAATCAATTAAGGAATATTTTCCTTTCAAGCGATTATAAATCAAATGTGTGTCCACTTTCCCTTCAAGAACATCACTTCTTTCAATGATTTTGTCCCATAGCATGATTTGATTCAACTCATGAGTCGGCGTTGAATATTCAGCATAAAGCATGCAAAACAAAACTTTCACATTCCAATTAAAAATAGGAGTAAGATCGGCATCAAGCTTAAATTCAAAAGAAGCTCTATCAGGATTGTAGTGTGGCCTGAAGTCCAATTTGTTGCTGTTCATTCATTGTTTATAAATATCATGATGAAGAGTTATATTTTCGTGTGATGAAAAGAGATTTCCGAAATGAAATATTTATGTGATGAAATGATAATAATCAAACATGAATATCATCGTCGATAATCATAATATTTGAAATGTAAGAAATTAAAACATCCAATGTTTTCAAATATTTGATAAATATCAAAATATGATGATTCGATCAATATCTTCTCGTTCCGAAAACTCATCATAGACTTACAATTTTACAAGATTAGCAATTTCCACCCGAATGTTTACATCTTGCGGCCGAGCAGCCAAGAAATAGGAAGAAACTCCAAAACAAATGGCCATGAGTCCTAATATCGAAATTGCATCGGTCAGGACGCTACTCAAACGACTCGTCCACGAATACATTTTTTTAATTTTTTTTGTTTTTTTTTCAACAACGTGCTCTCGATTCCCCTCCCCGAAATTGGGTTCTACAAGAGTTCTGTAGACTGGATTGGTTCTTTCGTTGCTATGAACATGGCCTACTGTATGCATTCGCATTTGTATATGGGTGTGCGGATTGGTGATTTTTTTCCAGGAACATTTTCCTGCTTTACCAAACATGGCAATATTCACATGATATTTGTAGAGAATATCTTCAAAGACTTCTTGGAGAATTTTTGATTCTCCAATAATTGATTCATCAGCAGCTGAAAAGATATTTTGAGAACTATAAATTGGACGATGGCCAACCACAACCCAAGGTGTTTTCTTTTTATCAATTTTAGACAAGGTGTCACTTAACCATTCCGATTGATCCACCTTGTTTTTAAAATTGGATTCTGGAAAGAAGGAATGAGGAATATTTGTTTCAGTATCAATGGCCACAAATGTCACAAGTCCAGAATGCCACATGTTGTGTCCAATTAGGGAAAAATTTCTTCCTGGCATGAAAACGATTGTTGTAAGCCATAAAACCTCTTTCAAAGTCATAGTAGGGTTTGTTTTGTGGTCCATTCTGTTATGAAAAGATTCCCTCCACCCAATTAATGCAATCCAAGAGTGAGTCATCCAATGAAATTCAAAGTGTTAAAGTGGAACCGTTGACATGTCATGAGATAACGACATTCAATCGATGGACACAATTACTTCATCGATGACGTGTAAAGTATAATTCAACTTACCTCATGATTTCCAACACAAACTATATAAGGCACATAAGGCATAATATTTTCCATCATTTCCATATATATCGATTCCAAATGATTTGACACTTTTCAACTGAAAAATCATCCGCAAACGAAATATCTCCCAAATGATACACAAAAAAATAATTTGGATGTTCACTGTTATAGAATGTGTGAATATATTGTGCAGTTCGAGCAATGACTTTTTTGCTATTCGTTGTTCCCTGATCGGCATACATGATCACTGTATGAGTGAGCGCTATGTCATTCTTGATCTCATTCGGAACAGTTCAGTTGGGTGTTTAAAAGTCTTGTTGGATCTGTCTTCAAGTGAAAAAGTAATAAATTTCACTCGAAGTAATGGGCTTTCCGAGCCATTCTTTGTCGAAGTTTTTGGTGTGGAAGGAAATGACAAGCTCGTCATGTTGTTGGCTGCTGTTCTTATTGTTGGTAAAAGCCAAGTGAACTTGAGTGGGAGTGAAATCTGTGGTAGTAGTGCTACGTCTTTTGAAATGCTTGTCATCACGTTGGCCAAAAATTCTTTGACGACAGATGACAGCTCCGCCAGCAATTCAGGATCACGCAAAAAAAAAACATGCTACCTTCCACATCTTCTGATCCTATCAGACTCAGCAAGAAGGTGGTCATATCCATCGACTTTGGTACTTCGAGATCTGGTTATTGTTATTCGTTTAAAACTGACTCCAAAAAAACCAGAGTCAAGAACAATGAATGGAAAGACGCTCCAAAAGGTGTGAGATATCCAAAAACTTTGACACATCTACTCTACAAAAAGGATAATCTAAAAAAGCCAGTGGCTTGGGGTTACTCCCCTCTCGAGTTGATTTCTCAGGAGATGGAGGATGCTTCTGATGACGAGATTGAACAGACCAGTCAATATTTCCACTTCAAGAACTTTAAGATGGGTCTTTTCAACAATCCTTCCAAAATGTGTAGCGACACCACAAACACCGTTCAGAAGAATGTTGGTGAATTGGTCGTCGATTATTTGAGACTCTTGTATATGGAAGAGATCAAACCTTCCATTGAAAAGATTCTGAGATGTCCATTGGAAACCTCTCAAATCACATGGTGCTTGACAGTTCCTGCCATTTGGAAAGATGAACATAAAGCTGCCATGAGAATTGCAGCCTATGAAGCTGGTCTTATTTCAACCAAAGAACCTTCATTGGATGATTTCAAAATCGTTTTGGAACCAGAAGGTGCTGCTGCATATTGTATGGAATTCCAGGCCATGAAAGGTTCTGCATTGAGAGAAGGTCAATCGTTTTTGGTATGTGATTTGGGAGGTGGAACGGTCGATTTGACATGCCACTCGTACACAAAAGGAAAATTGAAAGAAATTTGTGACGGTGATGGTGGTGATTGTGGTTCCACTTATTTGGACGAACGATTCCTCCATTATTTGGAAGAATGTTTTGGTGTTGAATTTGTGAATGCTCTGAAACGAAAGTATGCTCAAACCTACTTGGAGGTGATGAAAAACTGGGAGAAGCTCAAGGTCTCTACCAAAACCATCGATGCTGATGTTCAGCTCGAAATGCCAAATACTTTCCCAGCAATAGTCGAGGAAGAAGGAGTTGTATGTCCCAAGTACAGGAACAATCGTCGTCATAATTATTTGATCATCACAAAAGAAGCCTTGCAGAAAATTTATGGACCTTCCATGAGCCAAACTGCCGAATTGGTTTCTTCACAACTTGAAAAGGTAAAAAACAACACTGGAAAAACAGTGGATTTCATTTTCATTGTGGGTGGTTTCGGTTCGTCTGAAGTGATTCAAAACCGTTTGAAGAGTTTGTTTAGTAGTGCATCGACTCAAGTAGTCGTTCCAACTGAACCTGCAGAAGCTGTGGTTGACGGTGCAGCCCTATTGGGATTGGATGATTCCTTGATTTGCACGAGAAGAATGAGACTGACGTATGGTGTGAAAGTAAACATGAAAGGAAGTAAGGAAGAGATTTTTGATACCTTTGTTAGTTTTGGACAAGAAGTGGAAGTCGATCAAGGAATTGAAAGAGTCTACAAAGCACAGAGAGTGAATCAACAAGCGATGAAATTGGTTTTCTATGCCACCAAGTTGAAATCGTTGAAAGTGGTGGACGAAACAAAGTGTCGCAAGATTGGACAAATTATTGTGGACATGAAGGACACTACCGGTGGTTTGAATCGAGTGGTGGTTGTGAAAATGTATTTTGGTCGATCGGAGACGAAAGTAGAAGCTTTGGAGAAAACTTCAGGAAAGGTGTATTCGGCCACAATCAAATACGATGGTGAAATATTTGTCTCTGAAGATTCCTCTGTTCCAGAAGAGGAACATGCAGAGTCCATGAATCATATGTAAGTTATTTGTGGAACTTGAATGTTTTGAATTCATGTTTATGGATGGGTTGTGAATATAGTATCTTTGCAAATGATATTTCTGGATCGATGAGCTGCAGCGATGCCACTCCTTCCAAGGATTTCTTAAGAGTAAGTATCATTAGTTAGAACCTACTTCACATTTGACCATTGGAATTGTTTAGAGATCTCATAACAACCGAGTTGGTGCCTTGTATGAAGCTTGTTATGAGTTTATTGCACAGAGAGAATCTTCACAAGATATTTGCTCGTGTATTCTTCATCATCATGACTCTATCCTTATTTATGAAAAGCAACCTATCAGTACATCCTTGGTGAAGGACTATATGATGAAGTACAATGCTGGCGGCGGCAACAATTTCAAGAATGTGTTTTTGAGGGTTGGGGAGGTTCTTGCTCACAACGATCATTCCAACTACAAACCAATTGTTTTGTTCATGACCGATGGAGTTTGGCATGACGATGGAGGTCCTCAAGTTCTTGAAGGGCTTATGCAGAAATATCCTGATCTTGTCGTGCATGTCATTTGTCTTGGAAACGAAATCAACAAAGAACTGATGCAACGTTTTGCAACCATCGGAAGGGGAACTTTTTCAGTTTCTGGTATTAATCTTGGAGAGTTGAAAAGTACATACCTTAGTTTGTTGCCTTTGCTTGAATAACCATTTTTGTTGTCAAGGAGTGGTTGGCTTCCAAAGAAGAAATCCTTATTCAAACTTTTAAGGTGTGATAAACAATATCTTTTGATCCTTACTGTAATTGAATTTTAAAAACCGTAGTCGAAGAGAAGATATTTACTTCTTTCACAGAATCTTTTCCTCCTTTGCTCAGACACCATTAGCGTGATAACGTTAGCGTTTTAATGTGAAATTGACATGTCACCATTCACCTTCCCATCAAGCTACAAAAAAATGTTAAAACACGATCCTGTCCGTCTTAAGACCAAAAAGCGCTTTGTGGTGGGTGTTGATTTTGGTTCCACTGGCTCTGGCTTTGCCATTGCTCTGGTCAATGGTGATGACATTTTCTCACCAAAAACCTATGAGTGTGCTCCAAATGAAACTTATCGCAAGAATCTTTCTGCCATCATGTACGATCGTGGTGTAAGGTTTCAATACGGATTCAGAGCTCAAAATACTCATTTCTACGCTGATGATGATGACGATAAGGAGAGTAGTGATGGAGAAGAAGCTACTCGTTCCACAAGTAGTGCTCCCTCATTGATTAGTGCGAAGTCCTTCGAAGAGAAAGACCGGAGAGAGTACTTTACAGATCTCAAGCTCAAGTTTATGCAGAATCCAGAAAGTGAGTATGTGGTAGATAGGGTGACACTCACGAAAAAAGTCAATTGTCGACATTATTGCAGACTATCTGGCCATGCTGTTGGAACATATTATGCAACTTCTTCACAACGCTGATAGCTCGGCTACGATGCAAGACATTAGATGGTGTTTTTCTGTTCCTTCTCATTATGACGAGAAGAAGATCCACTTAATGAGAGAAATTGCTTACAAAGCCAAGTACATTTCAAATGTCAATGCTCCTGAGGATGACTTTATGATTGTCACTGAACCAGAAGCAGCCTCCATATATTGTTTGAAAAACATGGCGCAGATGAAAAAAGGTGTAAAGGAAGGTGAAACCTTCATGATCATGGACGCAGGTGGTGGTACAGTCGATATCACTTGTTATGAAATGAAGAAAGGCCGTCTTCGTGAGCTCACCATTCAAAATGGTAATATTTGTGGATCCAAAAAGCTTGATGAAGAATTCATGAAGGTATTGGATGAGAACTTGGATAGCGGATTCATCACCTTCAAAAGGGATTTTCCTCAATCATTGTTAAAATTACTACAATATTGGGAAGACAAGAAGAGAAACGTGAAGGTGATGGACAAGATTAAAGTTGAAGCTCCACCAGCCATGGACAAAGTGGACAATGCATATCCATCTTCAGGCTTTTTCAACAAAACAAGAAGAGGAAATAACATTTCACTATCAAAGGAGCATGTGCAAAGAATCTTTGACAAGGTCGTTCCTAATATTTTACGTTTAGTGGATGATCAAGTTGAACAATTCAAGAAGGAAAATCGCGATCGAAAGGTGGATTACCTGTTCATGGTGGGAGGATTGAGTGATAATCTATACCTTCAAGATATGATCAAAACTCAATATGGAAGTATGTTTAAGGATATTGTCTTCCCAACATGCAGTGGGAATTCTGTCATTCAGGGAGGTGCCTTATTAGGAAAAGATCCAAGTCTTATTCGTTCAAGAAGAGCAAAACTTACCTATGGTATTAGTGTGATGGACGATTTTGATCCAGAACATCACCCAGGATCCAAATATTACTATGAGGGAGGCCGACATTTATGTAAAGACATTTTCGAAGTCTTTGTTGAAAGAGGACAGGAAGTTGATGAAGATCATACCATTCAGAAAGAATATGATGCAGTGAATGACCATGTTACAATTCGTTTGTTCAGTTCTCCTTACAAGGCAAAGGATGTACCATTTGTTGACACTGTTGGTCGAATTCAACATCTGGAAGATATTATAATCCCATTTCCTGACAAAACTTCGAATGACAAGAGAATCATTGTCAAGATGCAATTCGGAAAGGCAGAGATATTGATTACAGCTGAAAATGCCCAGGGACAAAAGAAAGAGGTTCAAAAGAAATTCGAACAGGAATCCTTGTCGCTCATTAAATAAACTTTGACGTGATCGTCATTTCGATTACCCTTCAAACGTCAATGAAGATCAAAAAAAATAATAAAATATGGGGAACGGTGTGTCTGAAGAGGAAAAACAAAAAATCTATGCCCTTCAATCCAGTCATCAACAGCTCCAAGCTCAGCACAACATTCTTCAACAGCAGCTCCGTTCATGTCAACAACTTGTCAGAGAGAAAGATTATCAGCTCCGTACCTTTGAAGATACTTGTAATCAACAAAAACAACAAATAGAACAGAGTCAGCTTCAGACACAACGTATGGACAAAAGCATGAATTGTGTCGAACAAAGAGATCATTACAAATCGTCAAGAATTCTCATGAAAGATTGAATTTTGATTTATTTACAAGTAGAGGTCACAGAGAGGTTTCAAAGTTAGTCATCTTCTTCTTTTGAAGCAATGGTTGGTCTTGTCGAAGAGCTACTGCCCATGAATTGTGAAATGACCACTTCGAGATCATTCTTCAATTCATGAATAAATTCCTCAATCTTTTCTACCTTTGTTTTGATTTCGTTCATAACTTCCAACACACTGCTATTCGAAGTAATGATCGAGTTCATCATAGTTGAAGATCCAAGTACAATACTTATTACCACTGCAATACCCCTTCTATATGATCAGTACAACATGTTTATGTTGTTTATTTCATCAAAAATGAGACATGTTTGAAATAGTGAAGAGTCGGTTTTTGCTTTAGTGGTGTGTGGGATTAATCGAAAATTTTATTTGCAAGTTCAAAAATGATAGAAAGTTCCAGAGAAAAAGTTAAATTGAACTCTATAACAATAAATACAAGTTGATAGTTTGTCAAATTGATATATGTGATGTATCCATGTGTATTTCACACTATAATTGTGTTTTTTGGAACCAGTGTGAATTATTGATCATGGTGTTGAGTACAATATCACTGATCATGACAATCATGTCACATTGATAGTTTCAACGTTTCATTGTCTCAATTAACAGACGTAGACTGTCTATAGAGAGTATTGGGATGTATTTCTTTGAATAACACAATCAGAAGTGTTTTTGTGAATGTTCTGTTGACAACACATGCATGGCTTGCACATTGGACGAAATCATTCAATGATTGATCAATTCTCACGGGGAGTTCCTTGACAATTATTCATTCTTGTGATAATATATGTTATTGTTCATCATGATGAGCACTGTAGAAGTATTTGTTGTTGAGAATGTGAATGAATAGTCATGACAAATCCCTTTGTGTGATCAATGATGACAAGTACAGCACTGTTTGGAACAGGTTTGTGTTTAATGATTGAATATGTGTTTATATCCTTTGTAATTGATGTAGTTAAGTCAAATAGAGTGATTGTGAAGAACCTCACACAACAAGGAATTTCATGTTTGAACCATGTCATTGCCTTTGTGTCCTTCAAATAAGATAATTCTTAATATCCATGATCCAGACAAGAGATTTTATCAAGGGTTTGGGTTTGGAAATATCGCCCATTCAGTGATCCCAAAATTTTTTAATTTTCAAATATACAACATATTTAGTTGTCTTAGGACCTATAACGATTGGATGGTACAAGGAAAAAGGAACTTGTTGTCACTTCCTTCTTTTCATTTGAGTCGTCCGTATCATCGGAGAGTGACAAAGAGGACAATTTAGAGGTTGATGAGCTTGCTGAAGAACTGCACGATCCCACCGTTTCTTCAAAATTCTTTCTCTTCATGATGATGATGATGATTCGATCCAACAACAACAACAACCTTCCACAGTTTGTGTTTCTTTTTGGAGAACGAATTTGTGGAGCATTCATTCATGAATTATTGCACTTGCAAAAAAAATTGCGCTGAGAATTAGTGTTGTTTTCAGGTGGGAATCTTCGTATATATGTGTAATAGTAATGGAGAGGGATCTTTGAGATGGGAATTGCCATCGTGGACGTGCCTCGTTACATCGTGACATTTTGATGATCTGTTCACAGATTCATTGGATTGATTCATTCAATACAAATGTAAAAGGCATTGAATCAAACAAAGTCCTCATCGTCTTCTAAGACCTCTTCTTCCTGTTCAACATCTGGATTCTGTAATGAGTATTGTTGTAATGTCATACCTTCAGAGTTTAAAGTTCCATCCACTTCTTGGACATTTAGAAAGGTGAAGGTTGTTCAAAGTTAGACTCACTTGTTTGAGAAGTTGATTCATGGATGGAATCCGAATCATTGGAGGATGAAGAAGGGACCGAGTGTGAGGAGGATGTGGGGGTATTCGTTGATGATGATGATGATTTTCTCTTTCTTTTAATGCCTCTTTGCTTCATGAATTGGTCCAATAATGTCTGTCGTAAATGTTGCCAATCGTTTTTTTTGATGTGTCAATTCCTAATGTTTTAAATGGATGGGTTTAACATCACTTGAGACATCATGTCCCACAGGAATGAAATTTTTATTATTAATAAGGATTCATCTTGTTTCACTATTCTCGCTCCATATTTAATCGTATGGTCCAAAAATAGAAATTTCAAAGAATTCAGCCATTAAAAAAAATGTCATTACCAATCGAACCGTGTACATTGGAGGGTGAGAGCATAGGAACCCAGTTGAATCATCATCAGCAAGCTCGAGCGAACGGAATAACAACGAGGGATGGAAAAGTTTCAAATTCTGAAACCACACTTCCGAACATGGTGCTACTGTCAGGTTGTCATCATCATGAAAATTATGGACCTGTGATGGGTATTGCTATCAACAATCATCGGGATTCTACAACAACTCATCTCGCACCCTTGCCATCATCTTCGACGAATATAACTTCTCTTCCAGACTCCGTATGGAATATCATTCTTTCTTTTCTGTTGAATGTATTTAAACATTCTACAAAACGAGCGAATTCATTAGGCAGTGATTTACAAAGTGTCACGTCCTCCTCGTCAGAAGAGCATCATTACAAATCTCCTGAAGAGTGTTATCATAGGTCGATATTTGACATTGAGGTTGTACCGTTGGTGTCACAATCACCTCTCGCCAAGTTTTATGAAACACGTTCGGACAGTGTCAATGAAGCAGAACAAGAGTCCATCAAATTTTACTGCGAATTTTTTACTACATGGATTAGAATTTCCCATGTCAACAAAAGACTGAGAGAATTAATGCGAAAAAGTCTCGTGACAGAATTCATAGAATTTGATTTCATTAATTTCATGTACTTTTACATGATTAACGAGGAATCTCTTGTTCTTGATCATCAACCATCAGGTATTGAGCTTGAAAATTGTGACAATGAGACTCTAGTGTTCCAAAAGGAACAATACAAACATTCAGTTCATGAGCTGTTCATTGAATTTATGCAATCCATGATGAACTCTGAGTGTGCAAAAAGAATTTCTCTCGATATTAATTTTGTATGTGATTGGGTGACCGTTACTGAGAATGTAATTGAATTACCAAGTGTTCCGTCGACACCAACAAAAAAAGAAAACATATTACATTATTACAATACTTCATTTCCCAATGTCGAAGTGCTCACCTTAAACTTTACATACAGGGGAAGAGAAGGAGGATATGGAGAGGAAGAACAATCGAACACCCGTTTAAAGTCTATTGACACAAGTATTATTCAAAATTTGACCGAATGGAAGAGCTTGAAAGAACTTCGATTATGTTGGCATGTCGAAGTGAACGAAGACACGAAGAAGATTGATCTTGAGTGTGGATCTCATCTTGTACAAGAATTCCTCAAAATTATCAATGAGGCAAAAAACAATCCCAACATTGAATACGTATCCGTTTATATTAATGGATCTGCATTCCATGTGACAAAAACAGAAGAGGGTGCTATTGTTTGTAACCATTCATTTCCTTCCGCAGTTTTTGAACAATTAGGCGATGTTGTTGATGACAATAGTCACCTAAAGTTATTATATCTCTGTATCGACCATTTTGGATATGCAAACTACAACAAGCAACTCTCACACATGTCGTTTTTACAAAATATTCTCCATATTGAGCTTGAAGAAATTAATATTGTTAACATTAATCAATTATTCAATCTTCACTATCCAAAATTAGTTACACTGATATTGACAAACATTATTACTTCAGGAATTACAGGATATGATGTGGCAATTTCCTCTCAATTTCCAAAATTGGAGGAGCTGGTTCTCAAGTCAAACACAGATTCTTCGAATATTTTTAACGTGGTCAACGTTGATGCTGTGTATATGAAAGCTCCTGTGATTAAGAAATTATCGCTCATTGGAATTCACAATTTTTCCGTTTCAAAGAGTTCATTTGGCTCACATCTCGAAATGCTTGAAATTTTGACCACATGCACAGACATGATTCATAATTATTCAAGATGGATTACCACCTTGAAAGGGTTAAAGAATCTAATTTTTAAAATTGAGCCAGAAAGAGGTAAAACCTACCAAGAATATCAATCGAATGAAAGTCTAGAACAATCAATATCAACAATTATTAATCATGATGGAATTGTTGATATCTTGTTAAAGGATACCAGATTTGCAGGCATTACTTTAAAATGCCCTCAAGCGAAAAAAGTAGTCATCCGGATGCCACATTTGCAAGACTGTTTTATTGAATGCGCCCAATTGAAGACGATTGATTTGAATGGACTAATCATTGGATGCAGCTCTCGAGGAAATAAGAAATTATTCTACTATTCACATCAATGGAGATGGGAGACCCCTTTAGTGACCTCATTGAATTTTTCTAATCCTCAAACTTCTAGCGGAATTATTCTTCCCAATGCATTAATCTCTCACATTGAGGAGTTGGTAATACGTCTTGTCATTACCGCATACGAAAAAGAAAAGGAGCTTTTGCCAGCATTATTTATGAGAATTGACGAATTGTGTGGCAAAAAAAGCACAAACAAAACTTTGAAAAATGTCAAAATTCAATTAGATATTAGCACGTTTTATTTGACAAATCCTTTGATCAAGAGCATGAGTGCATGTTTGGAGTGGAATGAGAAAATTCCTTATGAAAGCGAGCAAATGAAAGCAACCATTCAACATTTGTTGAAAACAGCCAAGACAACAGAAAGGCTCAAAGACGATACTCTCTCCATTGAGTCCCCAAATTTAATCTCTTTAGAAATGAATATTCATGAATCAGTGCAAAAAACCAAACTGAAGTGTCCAAACTTGAAGAGTGTGGATCTTATTCAAACTTCCTATCCTGGCCGTCTTAAATTTTGTGACAACGAAGATAATCCATTGGAATCTTTCACATCCATGGGTCTATGCTCACCGTTCAATCATTTGCATACGCATCGCTTTGCAAATTTGAAAATTATTGAAATTATGGATCCACAACAACGATTTTCATTTGCATTGAGCCAACTTCCATCCTTGGAAGTGTTAGATGTCAGAATGGAATATGGTTTTTGCTACAATGGAGAAGAGAGATCCTACGTCACACTTAAAGATTATGTGCATTCCAATCTTAAAATGTTACGATTATTTGGAGTTAGAAATGTTACAATTGAGCTTGACTTGCAAACACCCAAACTTCGAATTTTAGACATTCAGGATACTGATGGACGAAAATGTGAAATTACTTTTAGCAATTGTCCCAAATTAATGAAGAAAATGTTGAGATATTCCTTAACTAAAGAACACAAAGAAAGGTAAAAAGTTTGACATTTCCATATGTTTTGAAAAGTTAATTATTGCAGACCAAAGATATTACGTTGAAGCAACATTCAGTAGCTGTCAACCCTAATTTATGAAGAAGACGAACAAATATTGGAACGTTGAAGAACGATTTAGAAAGTCGTTGATTGCCCTCTTACCATCCCAAATAAACTCTCTTTGACAAGAGACATGTCCACCAAAACCACCATCAAAAAAATGACTTCACTCATTTACTGCACAGACCCTAAAGTTATTAAATCATTATTCACCAAGTATGACTCTGTATGTATTGCACATGTGCAAGCAAATTGTGTCTCATGAGAGATATCGAAAAACAATTATTTTTTTTTGTGATTATGAACAACCCCTCCAACCATCCTGTCATTCCATCCTGTCATTTCAAACATACGATCATCCCAACCTGTCATCGAATGGACACTCGGACATGCAGAAAAAACTAGGACACATTAGCATGACAGATTTAGGACAACTCACCTCCGATTTGGGTTTCAATTTTGACCAAGATGAACTTCTCGCCTTGTCCATGTATCTCGACAAAAATTCAGATGGGAATGTCACTCTCGATGAATTTCAACAATATTGGATTAAAATTGCATCTGCTCATGAATTAACAGTCTTGGAGAAGAGAATGGAGCTATTGACACAAGCAGCAACCATGTTTAAAAAGTATGATACGAATGCTAATCGAGTGTTGTCTTCGGATGAGTTTGAAAAATTCTACAAGGAATTATATCAACACCGGAATGATGCGTCCATGCAAGAAGTTCAACAAGCCATGCAAGGTTTGGATTTGGATAAGAATGGAGTGATAAGTTTTCAGGAATTTATCATTTGGTTGAATTGGTTGAATTTGAATTAATCTCTCTTGCTTCAGCAATGATTTCACATCCAATGGTGTGTTGCAATAAATTTAAATTCAATTTGTAAAATCAATCTCTTGCTCAATAATGATTTCGGAGTTCCTAAAAAGTAAAATTTTTTTTGTACAGTCCAAAAATAACTAAGAGAATTCCTTGTAGGTTACATCTCTTGACAGACTGACATTTACAATTTTACTAAACCACAAGGTGTCCAGAAATTTCTTCCTTCACAACAACAAGACTACTCACCGTCACATCATCATTGAGCAAGGAATGAGCGATCTTACTGCTACATACGTTAATCAAAATGGATGTCGAAGGCTGGGCTGCTTAGGTTGCTGGCTTCCTGCTCAGAGCAGCAGCAGTTGGAGACTTCCTTTTTTTATATCTGCAACATGGCATACCTGAATTTGTAAAAAAAAACATAGATCTTAGTTGACATTTCCATTACGTTCTATTTGAAATTGTCCTTTTCGTTTGTCAAATTCTAAAGTGTGTTCCAGTGCACGTGCTGTTTGAAATTATCATGAGTTCTTTGACCAGAGGATAGAATCCTCTATGTCATCACATCCGTGCAATTACAAACGATCACTTGAAACATTCCCTCTGATAAATCTAAGGGCGTTTCCATTACAATGAGGTGACACGAGGTTCTAATCACCACAATGACTTTTTTCTTGTCAATGTCCAACATTTTCTGAGCTGGAACAATTGAATGGTGTCGTTCTCTCGGAGTGGTCCTTCTCCACCACCACCAACTCGTGCAAAATGTTAAATAAAAAGACTCACATGATGGTGTTTGACGATCTCGCATTGAGCACGACTCGATCATTTCATATTAAATACAAAGAAAGTTGTCGAACGTGTCAAGAGACTTGCATGATGTCCACAAAGTGTTACAGACGCACCTCCTCAAAGTATTCTTCAAAGAAAAGAAAATATGAAAGAATCCACCATCAAGATCTCTCGAATGGACTTGAAGAACAAAATGAATTGCCAATGAGACATGAACGTTCACCAAAACAGGTCAAAAAGCAACTCAAATTCAACTTTGAACAACAAGAGACAAATCCCAACAACAAATCCTCTTGCGCATCAACACAAGCGAATCCTCTCTCCTTACCTCAACTCAAGAAACAACTCGATGAATGCATTGAAAGGTATCCCGATCTCATGACTACTCTTCTCTCACTGGTGAGGAAACATGTACTCACGAAACAACACGTCATTGATCAATGTAAGGAATTTATGCATCGACAACCACACGATACTGACACATGGTTGTTGCGAAGGTCTTTCCCACCTCCCTTACCATCGTATCCTTTTTAAATTTTGAAGGAGGAGGAGACAAAGCAAGATAATTTCGAGTCATCCACTACACATTGACAATGTGATGGAAAGAAGAAGACAAAAAGACAAAATACCAATAATGAATGAACTTGTTTTTATGCAGTCTTTTTAAAATTTGAACAAAATGAATTGGATATGAAAGAAGAAGAGTAGGCAACCTCTGAACCAAAAGGGTCCTTTAGACCATTTACAGTTGATCAATAATTATACAGTAGTGACTTGAACTTTCTCAATAAAATGTTGTCTTTTGAATATCTCTCAAGAGATTCGGTCTGCAACCAACACCCAGCACACTCTTGTGACGTTGACAACATGGAGTTGGTTGCAGACCGAATCTCTTGTGGATTGAAGCAATTCTCTCACTTTTTTAGACAAAGCTCCTTCTTGTTCTGAGTATTTCTTGTTTTGGAAGCCCACAATAAAAATTACCCTTTTCATCACTTAAAAAAACAACCTTAGCTCCAAAATGCCACAAATCAAAAAGGTAACATAATCATTGTGTTGACAAGAACGGTCATCAAAACGAGAGTTTTCACGGTGTTGATGTTTGATCCATAACGAACAAAAACATCAGAACGTGGCATCCACCTCCAAATCAAACTCCACCTTAATGACAGTCGACTGTCACTACATGTAAACTGATCAGAATGATCATCAAGTGAGAATGAACTTTCTGAAGGTTGAATTCGGTTAAATCTGGGTGTCAGCACCAACAAGAGAATTTCAAAAGATTCGTTCTCAACCTCCTTGTTGGTGCACGAACAAGCTTACTCGAACAATGTTTTGAAAACAGCTGATGCGTGGTTCTAGTGTAAATGGCAAGAATTGTTGTTACTGGTGGATTCGGTGTTCCATACAACTGTCGTCCAGTCACGAGTTGGATTAAATTCTCAATTCGAAAAAAACTGAGCTTTTCATGTCAGCACGAACAAATCCACCGCAAGAAGTACAACCACCACCTCCCTCCGAAACAACAAGTCATTCTGATCGAGTTTCTTCCATCATTCTACCTGCATGGATGATTGGAAATCGATATGGACTGTCATCCAGCTCTTCACATGCACTACGGACCAGAAGAAAGAAACGACCATCTTCTCACACAGCCAAGCACAATAATGGTGAAGAAGAATCACATCGAAATGTTGATTCCAACACCTCCTCCAATAGAAAACACAAGCAACCAGTCAAACAATTGACATGCGAAAATTGTAAAACTGTGGAAACACCTGTATGGCGAAAGGGATCGAATGGTGAACCACTGTGTAACAAATGTGGTCTCTATGAGTTGAGACATGGCAGAAGTAGGCTTTTGGAGTTTGATTCTATTCGAGAATTTAGAAAGAGAAAACAAGAGAGTGAATGTGACCACACATGTCACACATTTAAGAGTGCCTCATCCATGCGTAGTGGTGGAGATCCTCACAGTGAGCATCTTGAGTGCATGCCAACCTCACAGAAAAAGACTAAATACCAAAGTGTCACCAATGTCCCCATGTTAACAACAAGAAACTCTCCAAAAGATCAAGTTCCTTCCTCTGTGAACAACAATAATTATGGCAACGGTGACTCTTGTTCGACGGTTAGTTTCGAAAGTCAGTCCCTGCTTCGATTAAAACAACAATTAGAAGAGGCAATCCAGAAATATCCAGAGGTTGTGTGTACCTTGATTTCACTCGTTCAAAAGCATGTGTTGCCTCAATATCTCTCAAAACATGTAGATCAACAACAACAAGTCTCAACAACAACAACAACAAACACTCTCCATAGTAATGCTCTCCATCCATCCTCGACAACATCCTTTCTGCATGCTTCAAGTTTAGATCCTCTCGTGAACCATTCGAATGTTCTCAACCTCTCCACTAGTTTGACAAGTGATGATAGACAGAGTGACAGGGGCCTATTTTCTCCCATTGTTGTTGACCTCACTCATTGTTCTTCCACTTCTGAGAGCAGCAGCTATCATTCAGGACATTCCAGCACTCTTGAAAGTAATGACGAGGAGGAGGAGAACGATGAAACATCTTGGGACTTTTCTCTAGAGTTTTCTGATGATTGTGAAACCAATGACTCTCTTTAGTGTCTTTCACATCATAACATCCAGAACTGATCAATGAATTGTCATTGGTGTCAATACGCAGGCGCATTAAGGTTTTTTCTCTCCCTCCTTCTCATGTCCACGCATTCCACCATAACCACCTGCATCGTGTGATCATAGTTCAACCATGATATCAACATCTCCACAATAGATTGTAGTTACGAAACATCGAACAGCATTCTTTCATCCATGTACCATTTAAAACAACAATTACATGATACACCAGAGATCATTCACACTCTAGTCTCCAACATTCGAAAGCATGTATTATCACAACCAACAATGGTTTCTCAATTGAAATGTAACATAATTAAGGGGAAATGATGTTCACTCCTCTTCACAGAATCATTAATCATTATCTTTATTAAGGAAAAATATTATTCACTCCTTCACAGAAGGTATTGAGACATCATCCTCACCATTTAACTTCACTCTCAATTTAATTATTGGAACATAAAGTGTTTTCTTTCAATAACAGTCATCATTCCAAAGGTCATCAATATCACAGATTCAAAGATGAGTTTCAAAGTAGTTGTAAAGAAGAGGAGAATACGAGTGAAACACAATAGACATTTCCTTAGATCAATCAACCCCACTATTGTAAATACCTTATGTAAATTAGATAAGAAATTAAAATAGCAACATTTAGTCATTATAACAATTGCACTTGATTCACGTGTTGTTGAACTAAAGCAACTTTTCATGAACTGAATACCATCTCCTTTTTCCATAACAAGAAATCAATCACGCTTCAATTCAAATAGACGGTCAATGGTTCACACTGGTAAGGCATCCAGTATTGAAATAGTACCACATAAACACATGTTGGATGCTCTTTTCGGAATAATTTTCTTCTTTTCGCGTTTCCATTTGAGAGAGTTCACCCGAATCACATGTAAGTTTTCATTCAGATTTTTCTGCTGTCATGAAATCAATAGGACTTTCACTTCTCGATTTGCAAACCATGAGAGAGGCGCTCGTGATGCTTCAAACCGGATCACCTCTTCAAGTGCATTTCGGTGAAAAAGTATTCACAAGAGTGAAAAAAAACGTTCAAGAGACTTGTCACATGCCTTTAACTACCAGTCCAGAAAATTTTCTTCAACAACAATCGTCTCTAGAGCCACAACATCAACATCACTCTTCATTGCCTGACACTATTTTCATGGAACACTCAAAAATCTATCCCCAACAACAACCTCTTGGTCTTTTTTCATCTCAGACAAGTCCCAACTCATTCCCAACTCAACGTCAAGCATGTGCCAACTGTCAAGCCACTGAATCTCCTGTCTGGAGAAAAGGCAATCATGATGAAATGCTTTGCAACAAGTGTGGACTCTATCGGTTAAGATATGGCAAAAATCGACCAACTCATGTGAAAGCTGGACGAAGACAAAAGAAGAGTTCTTCAAAGAAACGAGATTTACAAGTGACATCTGAAGAAGAAAGCGATAAAACATGTCAAGAGCAAGTATACACTGCTTGTCCTTCTACCAAGAAAGTGAAAACGAATCCTTCGAGCGAAAAACTCACCATAGCTCCTCGTGAACCATCCTTCAGCCCAGATAGAAGTACTGTCAGTTGTCAAAACTCTTCGAATGGCAGCGATTTGCAAAATTCCTCCTCCTCAACATCGTCGACGAATAACTTCAATGAATTGTCATTGGAATTTCTTGAAAATGAATCTCTTTTCAATGACTTGGATGGTCACGTGGAAGGAATCATTCCACAAGTGTCAGTTGTCGAAAATCATAATATCCAATCATCTATGGACATCCTCAGAAAACAATTAGCAGAAGCCTCTCAACGATATCCATTACTCATGAATACCTTAATATCAATCATAAGGAAACATGTATTGAATCAACCCAACGTTGTTGCAATGATTCAATCTCAGCAACAATATCCAAAAGTGCCAAATGTCATGCATAGTCATTATTCACCCATTTTAGATTCATTAGTTAGCTCACAACAACAGCCTAACAACAACAATAACTTTTTCATGCGAGAGATGGAATTTTATTCGATACCTCAATATTTTCACTTTAAGAGAAATGCTTAAACCACGAGATGGGTATAGAAGATTTCCCCTTGTATTTTACTCGTCAATAAATCGCTCATCACCAACTTCACCTTGGTTAAGTCTATTGACAACTCAACAACTTCGATTCGACTTTTAAGGAATTAAATAAATGAGGTCATCACTTCACGTCATCACTCTCTCCTGTTGGCGATATTTGATCTTGTTGTAGATGAAATGAACAGAAAGTGAAAGCAGTTGATTAATACAAACATTTTTTGCACCAATTAAAAAAAACTAAAATAATTAAATAATATATCATTAAAACTTCAATTAATTCATTAAAACTTTAACAAGAATGGATGAACTTGCCATCCAGTTGGAAGTGTTCTCTTCACACTCTCTCTTTCTTCCATTCTTTCTCTCCACTTTTTAAGCTTTGGAAGATTTTGTTCATTCAATCCATATCTCACAATTTGATAATAATATGGAAATAATGAAACATCAACAATTGAGGGACGATCCGAATCATTAAAATAATTCATATCATTTCCCAATCGATTTTCCCAAATCAACATTTCGCTTTCAATTTTTTGTTTCCAATATTGAACCAATGTTTTGTAATCTTTCATTTCTTTTGGAAGTTTCTTGTGTGAAGTGATACTCTTTTCTTCCAATTCAATAAATGTATTGATCATGTCTTTACAGGTCTGAGCAAATGCTCCATTCGCTTCATGAAACCAACTCAAAATCTTTCCATAAAAGGCGCGATCTTTTTCTGGAGATGGAATGAGAGGAGGTTCTGGATAGTTTTTTTCAATATAATTTAACATGGCTGTTTCTTCTCGAACGGAGGCGGAAAAGTCTTCAAAGAGTGGTAATTCACCTTTTGTGTGAAAAAGTGTGTGAAAATAAGTGTGAATGTCAATTGTCATGTGTTTTGGATATAAAACAGATTGAATGTATGTGAATATATGTGTAAATATAATATCAAAGAAGGTGAATGTGTCATTGAAATAAATTCGTGGTAGTGATAGTGATGATGGTAGTAAAAGGTTTTCAAGAATGACATGGATAAATTTGGAAAAAAAGAATAAATTGTCATTCACAATAGTTGTAGTGGTATTCATTGGACATGATCACAGCATTGTTAGTAGCATTGGTAGTGATACATCCGAATAGAAGAATCAAACATTGAAATGCCAAAAGATCATCGTTTTTAGATCATCACGTGAGACAACATCATATTTCGATCATCGTCATCATCATGACATCACAAAACATTCCATTTTTAGATCATCATCACACAAGTGATTAGAAAAATCAAATTCCATCCAAACAATAACAACAAGATCCGTATTACCAAAACAAAAACGAGAGTTTGAAAATATATTCACCCGATCGTGATGATGATCATGTTCAACAACAAATATTGAATTTAAAACTTGTTGAACAACTTAATATTTACCTCTATAACTTAATTTTCTAATTTCTTCATTTAAATGTTCTCTATGTTCGAGGATCACGAGACGGGTTTCGTATTTGACAGCTTTTTCTTCGAGCATTAAACGAACACGCCAACCATTGGTGGCATATTTCTTCTCCATGGGACGAAAGACTGTCACGACCATTTTTTTTGATGACTGACAGGTTGATGTGTGGAATCCTTTGAGAATGGACACACAAAATAAATTCCCAACTGGTCAAGACACACCATTCGATTCACATCAAATTTTCATTCCATAATGAAAAACACCTCTTTATAAAAATCCATAATATTGTTCCTCTTCCACAACATTATAAAACAATTGTAAAATATATTTCCAGTCATCTCTGGAACGACATCTTGCCGACAGAGAAGACCATTTATCATTCACAAGTCTTACAATCACTCGTGTGAAATCTTCCTTAAATGAATCCTGTAATTTATAACTTTCCATAAAATCGAGAGCTCTCTCGACAAGTGAAATGGTATGATCGTCCACAAAATTCTTTTTCAATAATTCCAAAATTTCAAATCCCTTTTGTTGAAGATATGAAGATTGTAATTTAAGTGCTACTATTTGCATGCAGAAAAATAAATCAATTCCATCTTTGGGACCCATGAAGGGAGAAAGAAAAGAATTGGAATTGGTCGTCGTGTTGTTGTCACAATCATTGTGACTACCACCATCACAGTCGTACATCAATTGCAATGAAAGTTCGAGCGCTTTTTGAGTGAAATTTCGATTCAATAAATGTAATTCACTTCCAAAACATAGAGAATATAAATCAAGAGTTTCCATGCCATTGTTGTTGTGATTGGTGTCATCATTCAGATCTGATGAGAATTTTCTTAGAAATGAATCCAAGACTGGAGAACAACTGGCAAGAATGGTTTTGTGAGCTTGAATGAAATGTGAACGATGATGATTGAGTGCGACCTTAATGTCACTTGTCTCTTGATGATTGTAAAGAGATTTTCTTGTGGATCCCAATGTGGTCACAGTGGTCAGAGTAGGATGTGCATGTGATAATTCACTTCCAACAATTATGGAATAGGTGAGAGAAGTGTTCTTGAACAAGTTTGGTAATTTTTGTTTCACTAATTGTTGAGCAAACTCGGATTTCACATCGAGTGACATGTCCAATAAATCTTTGCAATATTCTCCAAGTAAGAACATCCACTTGTAGGAGGTGTTTGAAATGTCATGGAGAATCATCTCGTGACATTCATTCAATGTTTTAAGAATTGTTGAATTGATCTTGTGTTGATGAGATGAGAAATTGGATGATTCAAGATGATCCATTTCTTCCATGCATGAAACAATGTCTTTTAAAAAGATATTCACATTTTCCATATCAATCAAGTTCAATAATTTCCACAAAATTTTCATCTTGAGATGAACTTGTTCTCCCGATTTCACATAAATAGATAATAAAAATAATAACCTTAATAATTTGGATCCATCATTCATGAGGGTATGATCATGATCTAGATCTTGTTCATTCGTAATTGTGTCAATCAGTAATTGAAGAAGTGGGACATCTGATGGTTGTGACACATTCACACAGCGCCCCTTCTCAGAAAGCATTTGAGCCAAACTTGGGCATGATTGTTGCAACAGAGGTAGAAAGACATTCAAGGATGTCTCTTTCACAGACGTGTGAACTCGTTTCATAAATAATGGTTTGAGAGGAATTGGATGTGTTTTTCTTTTTTTCAAAAACTCTTCTTCCATCTTGTTGTAAAAGATGGTAAACTTTTCTCCACAAGCCACTGAATTAAATGTTTGCATGAGAAGACGATTTGAAAATTCCACACGTTTGACCTCATTCACATAAATAGGTTTCTTTTCTGCATTTGGTTGTTGTTTCTTGTTTGAAGAATCACACGAAGAAGGTCTTTTCGAAAGAAATCCCAATCTTCCATCATCATTTCTTCCTAATCCATAAAATTGATCAAGATAATCTGTAATCATGACATGATGATATCCACAACAAATGTCCTTAATTTTGGTCGTGAAAGGAATGTCATCCGTCTCTTTTGCTTTCAATCGAAATGTTTTGAATGGTTTTGTGGAATGCTGATTCGAAGAGGAGCTGTTTTTGTTTGGTAACAACATGGATTGACGATAATAATCCATCACAGAGGTTGATGAGCTGCCATTCACAGTAGTAGCATTAGCATTGTGTCTTGGTGAATATTCTTCTCCTGAGCTGTTTGCTGTCGTTGTGGATCCATTGTTGAACACAAAAATGTCGTCATTGGCTGTGGATGCAAGTGTAAATGTCGCTCCACAATGAATTTGTTCAAATTTTTCATTTGGAATATTCACTTTTTTAAAAGATGGAATAATTGAGATTTTTCTATACATGGTAAATCGTTTCTCTTCCATCCAAGTGGAAGAATCTCCAAAATTTTGATCATTGAGCTCTCCACCAATTCCACAACTGTACAAGTCTCCATCTGTGCTCAATACGACGGTGCAATCGATGGTAAATCGAATGGATTTTACAGGAGTGTTGAGTGGAACTTGTGAAAAGACACTCACTTTTGCTTTGGGAAGTAAGAGACCTATGATGATTTTCATGCATGAAAAGGTTTTCAGTGATAGATCGCATTGAATAATGATTAAAAAGTTGTGCATGGATGATTTAAAAGGATTAGTGATATATATCGCATGATGGATGAAATTATTGAAAATATTTGTGGATGAAAGAGTGGGAAAAAAAAGGTGAATCAAAAAAAGGAAATACTTCAACTTACCCAATTCGGCATTAGCATTCGATCCACACACAAACAACTCTCCACGAGTAGTAATGATGGCACTATGATTAAATTGACAATGCAATTGTTGAATGGCTTGTTCCAAACAAACATTAATTTTCGAAAAGATGAATCTGTCACAAAAATCACCCAATCCCAATTGACCTTCAGAATTTGCTCCTGTGGAATATAAATCTCCATTATTGGTCACAATGATGGTGTGATTGGAACCACAAGAAACTAATCGAACTCCAAAATTTTGTTGTAAATCATTCATTCTTGAAAATGCTCGAGAGGCTCTTCGTTTTGGTAAAACTGGTTTTCCAATACTTTCGACTGTAGGAATGAGTAATTTCAAATTGCATTCCACAAGAAAATTTAATTCCAAATCGTGATGAGGATTAAATTCTTTTTGTAAAAGTGTCACTTGTTCGGGAATGAGGTGTGGTGCATGATTTGTAGTTGTAGTTGTGGCTGATGCAGCGATTGTGGCTCGAGGTGACACCATTGGAACACTTTCTCTGGGTGAGATTAAATTGAATCCATTACTGTTGTTGTCATTGGGAGATGTCGCATTCATGGGGCCTCCCAAACGAGCATTGAAATCCAAATATGTCGAGTTTGTCATTCTTTGATTCAAAGTTTCTGGAATACCCAATTGTCCAAAATCATTTCTTCCACTGCAATAAGATGATCATGTGTCCATGATGTCAGTTGTCAACAACAATATTTTCCCAACATGAAATCCATTTAAAGAGTTGAATTGAAAACATATTCCTAACCTACCTACAAAACAATCTTCCACTCTCTGTCAAAATCATGTAATGATTCGAACCGCATGAAATGTGTCGAATCTTCTCTCCAAAAGGTAATGATTTGTAAAACAATGAAGAAGAACCCAACGATGAACCATTTCCTCCATGTCCATGTGGTTGTTGTTGTTGTGATAGTTGTAATTGTTGTGATGGTTGTTGTTGTTGATTCTCTCTGTTCGACGTCTTTTTCAAATATTCCATTCGTTGTTGTTGCATTCGAGTCGTATGAAAGACAGAACCACACAACAACAAGAAACAAACATTCTCGGCATCAACTTGTTGTTGAAGAGCAGCGAGACGTTTCTTTAAAGTTCTCTTCTTGATTGATTCGAGTGATGAATTTGTCAAATAGGAATTTGAATCATGATCATCATCGGTGACAGAATACAAAGAGAAAGGTTCCAACTGGTCGTCAAAGTCATCCCTTCTTGAATGATGATGATGGTGATGGATCGTTTCGGATTCATCATCATGAGGATCCATTAAATAGTCTTCTTCTTCTTCTTGTTGGTAAATCTTGTGGAAAGGATCTTCTCGAGAGGTATCGACGTCTAATTCATTATCATCATCTTCAACAAGAACAGAAGAAGATATAACACTTCTTGGATCATCTTGTAGACCTCTTCTAGGAAGAGCATGAGGATAATGCCACGAAGAAGAAGAATTTAATAATTCAGCATCGGAAGAGGAAAAGGAAGAATAGGTCGATGTGGAAGAGGAAGAGGATTCAACACCTTCTGCTGATGAACTCGAATTCATCATGTACCGAATGGAGTGATGGTTGTTGTTACTGTTGTGGTTGTGTTTGTACTGGTTGTTCTGGTTACAATTCACCAAGTGATGATGTGTTGTCTTTTGACAGTTGTGAGGATTCACCAAGTTTTGATGATAGATTTATATGAAAACACTCGAAAGAGTGTGATGCAAGGTGTGACTTTTTATTGTGGGCCTTCTTATCTTGTTCTTTCGATCCTTGCTTGTTCTTTCCAAACTAGAGTTCTCCATGACAGATGAAGTTTGAAGGATTGAAACTCTCGGTCTTGGTATCATGTTCCTTAATTGGGTTGCACCAACTTTAAACTCTCATTTTCATGCTCCATCATGAACTCTTACCTCTCTCTTGTTCTTTATCCTTAAACTCGAGGGTAAATGCCACCAAGAGCGAGCATTTTTGAGGTCCACAATGTGAGTGTTTCCTAAACTTGGTCCATTTCTTTGATTTTCACTACTGCCAGAACTCGGAACTTGAAAATATCAATTTCTTGAATTCTTTTTTCGAAATTTTTTTAAAAAAAATGTCTTTCAGTAATTATGGCCTTTACGGAGATTCCGGATCGACGACTCAACCACCATCATCACTCAACAATGAAAGTGGTGTTCATTTCCAAAATTCATCGGTAACTTCCTACTTGTCCTCACAACGAAAATTTGCAAAGCCTTTGGATGCCGGAAAAACTGAATTACGGATTGATGAAAGCAATTTTAGAAGAGAAGATGATTTGGAAAGTCATTATCGGGGAGACGTTGGAAAGAAGAAGAGTGCTGTAAAGAGTGCTTTGGTGAATTTAGTGAAAGCTGTTGTGATTATGATGTTATTTGCCTTCTTTGTAGGAGTGGTGATTTTAATTGTTCAGTTGGTGGAGTTGTTCCATGCTTCGCAGGTAGGTTGTGAGAATGATGAAACTATTTAAAAATTAATGTTCATATGATGACATAAAATTATTGATGTGAAAATTTTAATGATTGGAATTTTATTGAAATATTCCACAAATATTGTGATGATTATGAAATTAATTTGTTGTCGTATTCTGTTTCGGAACTATTCACACATGTCGAATTTATTTCAATAACATTATCTGAAAAAAATTTACAAATATTCGTGCGAATGAATTCTTTGTAGATTGCCGATTATAACATTCATATTAAGTTGAGTGCTGAATGTGAAGCTGTAGCAATGGGTATCAATAACAGAGTGACAGACATGGATCCAAACCAACAAATTAATTTCAATATTACTCATCAACCTCACATAACGTTGTACTTGACAAGATTTATTTCCGAATTTAGAGATACTATTGTGAGTGACGTGAACAACACCTTAATATCTCAGTTTAATACCCTCAATTTGGGTAATTGCTCGATATCTACCACTACTTATTTTAATGTGTCAGGCTCTTATGCCATGTGGGACGTTCATAATTCGCCATGTCTTCAAGGCCTCAACAATGCAATTGTTAATGCCACAAGTCGTTACGTTGATCCACGAAGTAAGAGCACAATTCCTTCCTGGGTCAATAATTTGCCACCTCAACTTCGCCAAGTGAAAGTTTTGATGATTCAACAATACGGTTCACCTAATGTTTTTTCACAATTTCAACCTCAGTAAGTATTTTATGGCGATTCAAAGTTAGTGCAAGCATTGTTGTTGTTTCGTACGGTGATGAAAATGTCCATTCTAATTATCCTAATTCATTCGAAATCATTCAGTGTGACCATAGCACATGATGATGTGACTCCAACACAACTAGACTCTGCCGTTCGTGCAATTGGAACTCCTGTACCATGCACCTATAAACTCAGATATGTGAGCATTGGCCTCACTGGAGATTATGGTACAGTATTGAGAGGAAAAGATGTTGCTATCTTTGATTTGGAGCAGCTTTAAACTATAAATTTATTTATTTTCCTTTCGAAATTTTGAGAGTTTCGTCATCATGATTTCATGTTAAAGAGACAACCAAGAACATTTTTTCGTTGTGTTTCATCAATACTCACTAGAGAATACCAGTCCTTCTTTCTTCTTTTGATTGGTCGGAGAGCCAAACATCATTTTCTAGAGGTAATTTGTAGTACATATATTAATGGGAAAGTAGTTTCTGACGTATTGTGGGGTGAAACTTGTGGTTTCATACACAAATTCAAAAATGTGAATGCATGAAGGCATAAGGTAAATCAATCAACAAAAAAGGTTGATTCAACATGTGTCTCTGAAAATAGCCTTTTAATTATCGGTAAACTCGTATTTTTGAATGAGCAATGTCGCAAACCAATAATTCACCGTTTCTCTCATTAAGGCAGACAGCTACTGGACGTCCAAAATCGGACTGTTGTTGTGATGATTGTTGTTCATCTCCAATCGACTTTAGGAAATGGCCTTCTGGTGAGATGACTTGTAACCTGCAGTTTCTTGTATCACACACAATTAAATTTTGACTCTCCTTGTCCACTATTACACTGCTTGGAAATCTAAATTGAAGCTCCTCTGTACCGCTTCCTCCAATGTCTTTCTCCAATTTCCATGTTTGATCCTCGTCATGAGCTAAAATATCAATCACTTCTCCAACGGTTTCACACACAACCAAATGCCCATCCCTTGTAATGTCTATTCCATAGGGATAAGAAAACGAAAGAGAAATGCAATCTACTAAATCTCCACTGTTTGCAGATAGAATCTTCACCTCATTGTGCCTATAATCACAGACATAAATCTGATCCTTTCTTAATGGAGTGCTCTGGCCAATTGGAAGATGATAGCTGTACATGGCCAATCCTCTCGGTAAATTGAACATATCTTTCGTGTTGGGAAAGCCAGAACGCCAAATATATTCACAAGAATTCGGATTGCGGAGCAATTTTCTAAGATCATACTTGTACACACAATGATCTCCGCCACTCAAAATAAGAGCATCGTTCTTGTCTCCATCATAATTTTCCTGGACGAACATGAAGGCTACCTTATAAGGTAAATCAATGGTGTCCAAATACCGTTTCGTTTGTAAATCCAATACTAAAATTCTTCCAATGTTATCGTCGGAAACAAGAACGCATTTGCAAGCATGTGAAATCTTTACATCACTAGGGCAAAACAGTTCGTAATCCTCTTCAGGAGAATCGTCGCTGTCTTCGTCGTTGTCTTCTTCCTCATCAACGAAATCCTCGAAATCACTGTCGGAATCTTCTTCCTCATCATCGTCTTCATTTTGCACCTTTCGTACCTTTTTATCTTTGCAATCAATAACGTCCAATAATTCAAATTTATATGAAAAGGCCATTCTTTTTTGATCGCGCAATCTTCTGGTTAAGAAGGTTTGTAATTCCCCCATGGTAATATTATTTCGAAAACAATTTACAACTTCGTGAGAATCAACTTTTTCTTCACGATCTATATTATTTGAAAAATCACAAAGAATTAAATGGATTCGTTCATCATCAAGACCGTCGGATCTGTGATCTCGGGCTTTACAATCATCAAAACATTGTTCTTGGCGTGGCTGCATCATTATCCTTTCGTTGAAGTAGGATTTGTGTTTCTTTTTTTTCAACCTTGAAATTGAATCGGGAGTTTTGCTCAACTTTGAAGGTACCCCTTATTTCTCATGCTTCAACTCTTCCTCTTGAAGATCATGATTTGCCAATACGAACAAGAAATTTCTTAATCATCTCATCATCCAACGAAAAGTGCAATAAGGATGTTGTTCATCATGGAGTAAAACTTAAGGCATTTTTATTTATTCCGCCATAAAAAATATCCAAAACTTCAAATTTCTCACACCAAATTTATCCCATCTCATCACCATTTGATTGGTGTTGATTGTTGTTGCATCAGCAGATCGGAAACCAATCATATTTTAGAATTATAATTTTCTGACAATTGTTGGAACTAGTTTTACTCCTATTGGACGAATCATCGAGCTAGGAATTTTTTGTTGTTGGAATTTTGATATCATTATTTCGGAGCCTTTCAAATCATCATCATCCTGTGAATCATCAATTTCTTTAATTTATTTGTAGATTTATATTTACACCATTCTCAAATTCGCCATCACTCCTCTCTCATAGATGTCTTACAATTTACTACCAAATGGAATGGTTCCACAACAACAACATTTATCGTCTTCCTCGCAACAACCTCCGCCTCTCTCAAGTATCGCACATAATCCTTCACTGATGCCCCCTCAACGATCATCGTATCATGGATATCCACCACCACCTCTCTCCTCGGAAAGCTCGGCTCATCTTCCTTCTCACCATAGTGGATTTTCCATTCCACCAAATGCCAGCTACAACAACGGCAGCGGCATTCATTCTCTTCCTCCCACAACAACTACTGTCTCTCATCATTCATCCACACTAGCTCCTCCTGTATCATACTATCGTCAACATCATCAGCATGTTCATCCTTCCTCTCATACAGGCAACATATTCGGAACTCATCCTCCTCAACCAGGTTACTCCTCTTCGCATCCTCCTCATCCTGCAGGAGCCCAATATTCGACTCACCCTTCTTCAATGATTCCACAAAATCCACACAGCATGATACCAACTAGATCTTCACCGCAATCCTCCTCTTCACCAACCTCAGCAGAGGAGGAACGACAAAATAACAACAGATATCCAACACATCCATATTCTCCATGGTATGCAAATACGAGTGCACATCACGGACATCCTCCACCACCAATGTACACATCTCACCCTCACTCCTTTAATCCTCATTCTGCTTCGTCCAATTTATTGGAGAATGGTGGCTCCATGATTCCACCTTCTTCACAACAACAGCATCATCATCTTTTCAAGCCACATCCAGGTCACATGGGAGGAAATGGTGTTATGAAATACGGTGCAAGCATTAGTGATCCAAGTGGCAGACCCTTTACAGATTACCAACAGATTGTACATAGTAATAGCAATATAATGCAGACTTCATCCACAGGCGTTGATCCCTATCATTCAACCACAATTCCTCAACCAGCAATGCATGTTTGGAAAAAGCTCATATTTGAAATGGTACAAAACTCTGGATCAAAGAAGCCAAAGAATGAATTACCTTTAGCTCGAATTAAAAAGATTATGAAATCGGATGAAGAGGTTCGAACCAAGACCATGATCAGTGCTGAGGCACCGGTGTTATTTGCTAAGGCGTGTGAAATGTTCATTATCGAGCTCACTCTTCATGCATGGGTTCACACAGAAGAGGCCAAAAGAAGAACCCTTCAAAGAAATGATATTGCTGCTGCCATTGGAAAAACTGACGTTTTTGATTTCCTTATTGACATTGTTCCACGAGAGACTGAAAAGGTGCAGCACACCTCTCACAAAGCAAATGACGACCCCTATACTCACTCGGTATCAGCCTCAGAAATTGCACGTCATGCTGCCACAACTAACACCTCAGGAGGAAAATCTACAATTGAAACCAATGCTGAAGATGAAATATCCACCGAATCAGATGACGATGAAGACGAAGATTTCGGTGTACATATGCTCATTGACACTCAGTCAACTAAGGAAGATGCTCCCTCAACTCAATCTCATCTCGCGAATATTCCGTCAATAAGTGCCCCAAGTGGCCACAATCATGCCAGCAAACCAATGACTGACAACACAGCACTGCAACCACAGCACGTGTCAGCCCTTTTGCAACCTTCCCTGATACCATCCACTAACAGTAATACCAGTCACAATTTCAATCCATCGGTCATGATCAGTACAGGCAGTTGTTTTTCACTTGCTTCCTCTTCCTCATCAACAACAACTGCAAACAGTGTGCTTGGTGGTGGCAGCCGTAGCAACAACACAAACGAAAGCAACAATAGTTCTGTGAGGTCCCCTGGTACACACCAACAACATATGAATGAGAGCACAAGCAATAGCACAAGTGAACATCAAGACGAACGTGAACATGGCAACATTGGAAGTCGTTGTTTACCGAGTATGGATTCCATGGTTTCTTTTTCATCGGTTGAGAGCACGAATGAGTCGTCCGCCTCCCATTCGAATCAGCCTCATGCCCAGGTGACATCAGGAAGCAATGTCGGAACCGAAGAAAGCAGTCATCATCACGAAGAGGAACAACAAACAAAATCAACAATCCAACCCACTACCAACAATCATCCATCTATTGAATCCTACTCATTCCCCATGTTTCAATAAAACCACCTCTTGTGATGGCATGTTACTATATTGGTTCTTTCATTATTACTGCCAAGGAAACGAGTTCAACTCGAGACCCCATTTATAAAAACATTGTGATGGTGGCACATATCAAATTTTGGAATTAATATATTTATTGTTTAGTAATTTAATCGGTCTTGACTCTGAAAGAGCATCCTTCAGTCAAACGGGCCTTACCTCCGGTTGGTTGGCACAAAACAGTGGAGCAGTTTCCGCACAAAACAACTCTCTTAGCATGGCTGAAGACAGTGGTAATCTTGTAGCAACCAGGGCACTTAACGTCCATGAAATAAGAGTTTGGTGATGGAATCAAACGCTTCAACTTATGTTGAGTTGCTTGTTGCTTTGGATCAGGATAGAGTAAATCTTGTTCTAAGAAGCCCATGTTTATGACGAAATGAGTGGTATTTTTTTTGCAAACAGTTTTTGAAAAAATTCTAGTCAACCACTTATAAAACTTTACAATGTCTAAATTTTTAACTTTTCTGTCAGCTGCAGCAGCAGGTTGAAGTGAAACATGTGTGTTTTATTTGGAAAATGGATGATGCCAATTGAACAACTATCTCCATCTTGAATTCAACGTAGGGTCAATAATAATTCTGGAAGTTTATTTACATCTCTATCCTCCTCGGTTCAGCTGCAAGACAAATCAAATTCAAACTTGAGATAAAAACACTCTTGGGTGGTAGGTAGAAAAAGTCGGGTATTCGTTTCTCCTTATTAATGGCGCATGTCCATAAATCTCTTAAACGAGTCGTGAATAATGTTCTGAATGACGACCTTCTCCAACTCATCGAACAATTCAAATTCTCCCAAACCCCTACTTATTTTGAACGAGTGTGTTTCCAATTGCTTTTTCGAAATGTTCAATTGTTTGGGAGCATTCGCTTTCAGATAATTTTCAAAAATTTCTTGTTGCATATTCACTCGTTCCTGAATGAATCCTAAACTTTTATAGAAGAGCACATCTTCTAAGAATTGAATATTTTCATCGTTGTGTTCATTGGCACAAAATTCCTTAAAGAGTTTTCTCTTTTCTAAATTCATGAAAAATTCTTTAAATTCGAAAGTCATTTGTTGATTTGTGAGTGGATAATCATGGATTGGAGATGATTCCATTTCCAATGTATTATTCATCACCAGTGTGGATCCAAAGGGAGAAATCTTGCCCAGAATATGAATCAAAATGACACAAACTGTTTCTTGACGATTATCTTTCAAGAGAGAAGTTTGAACATTTTCGAGCGGTTGAGGATTGGGAATCTCTGAAGCTGTGAGAACTGTGCTTGAGCTGTTGTTCTCAGCCACTGAGAAACGTGTAATCGATTGTGAATAAATTTGACTTAGCGAGACAGAAACTTTGACAGAGAGAGAAACACCTGTTTTGGTTTTTGCATTCGTTTCCACGGAATGAATCGAAGATAAACCATGATTGTTAGCTTCAGTTCGACTCATTTCTTGAATCAAGTTGGAGAGATCAATTTGGGGTAAAATGGTTGAAATCACTGCTCGATCTAATAAATCTGTATCTGTATATCCAAAATTCTTAAAGAATGCATTGTTGCAGTGAATGACTTTTCCATTGGCGTCACTTGTCACGACTGCATCCTCCAGCGAGTTCATGATCTTTTTTGTTTTTTGTTCTTCGAATGAAATTCTATCGACCAAAAGTAACAGCTGATTATGAGAGTTGGCTAAATCTCTTGTTCTTTCGTTCACTTTCATTTCCAAACTATCCTGAATGATTTTGAATTCTTTCTTCCTAAAATAATCCTGAATTAATTGATTCACTCCCAAGATCACTAAAACAAAAACGACAAATTCAACCAAAATGGCAATTAAAATTTCCAGCCATAAAAAACTTCCAGTATTCCATCCATCCACAGGTCTCAACGTAATTTTCCAATTCGAATTGAGAACACTCATATTTCTCTCCAAAGCATCTTCCAACGGTTTCACATTCTTCACACCAATTCGTCCTTCTGTTCCATTCTTGGTTCCGCTTCTATTCTCCAAAAAGATTTGATTTTGAGCGTACTCGTACAATTGATATTGATAACCAGCCAACACTTCATACAAATCAATTTCATTGAAGAGAGACATAAAATTGAATAATTCCACACTGAGACCAAAGAAACTTCCATTATTGGGAAAGAAGATGGGTTGTTGAGCAATCACAGCAATGGAGTTTGGATCTAAATTGATGAGGTTGATGGGTCCGAAAAGTTTGGTTTCTTTAGTGTGAATGGCTTCTTGAATGGCTGCTATGTGTGCTGGACTGAGAATGTGAAAAGATATAGGGAGAATGGATGTGTGAAGATCAAAAGTTCAGTCACAAAAGAATTAGGTCAATTGGGTTACAAATCCAAGAATGGAGAGAAGAAGGTCAAGATTTCAAGTTGTTGTCTTCACTACCACTACACTACTTACGTATTCAAACCCATATGATGTCCAATCATGAATTCCACACCTTGCAAAGGATAGATATAATTCAACACATATTCATCAGTAAAAGCATATTCAAACATATCAATTTCAGGAAATTGTTGCTTCAAGCGAGACCCAAGTCGATTGAATCTCTCCCAATCAAAGGTGAAATTCCATTCAAGTGCCACATTGGTCAAAATATTCAACGAGCCAAACGACACTTCCACTTGTTTTCGTATCAACAATTCAGCCGTGATCGCCACTTGTTTGACTTGTTCTTCATGGGCATGTCTTTGTTGTTGTTCCATCGTATGAATCACCAAAACGATAATGGGAGAGAGCAGAGCCACTGCACACACAGCAAAGATGAATCCCAAGGCAACGGAGAGAGCTTGTATTCGACTTCGCTGTCGTGAGAGTTGTGTTTGAAGAGAGGAATCCAATGCGTCCTGTGGTTGGGATTGTGAAAGTGGATGAGCAGGACGGGAAGTACTTTTTGTGGTTTCCTGCTCCGGCAAGAAGTAACTGTTGTTTCTAAGCCGAGTGTTGGTGTTGGTGTTGGTGTTGGTGTTGGTGTTGGTGGTGGTGGTGGTGAATGAGTGTGCGTGTGCAGTGACGATGGTCATGATCAAGTTGTTGAACAACGTGTTTGTTCTTTTTGTTGGGTTTGATCCTAGATATAAACGTGAGGTTCGTTATTACTCTGAAAGGGTTCGTGTTGCTCTTTATCCGCTTCTCACACAAAGAATATATTAAATCCACTGAGTCCATCTCTGTGAGAGGTAATTTTGTAGTGAGATGGACATTGCCTGCATGCATCACAGTGCAATGATGGCTTCTAAAAAAGCTCTTCTTTTTGAAGTCCATTCTCGAGGTCGATATGCTGCAAAAAGAGTTGGAGGATGAAAGGAGATGATTGTTTGTGAGGCTATCATCTGTGCAGTGAAAGCAAAAGATCACCCCTCTTCTTAATATTCAAATGTATTATATATTGGAGGCATCAAAATCATTTGAAAAGTGTTTGGAAGGCCATTTATGTGCAAAACCAGATTCGGAAATGATAAGTTTGTTCCAATTTTGGAAAAAATGTCAAAAGGAAGCAAAAGCAACACGACTTTGGGATGTCATTGCGAGTGCACAAACAGTGTTGATGAGAATACAAGATTGATTCCTTCTTCTTGTTTTGATGAAATTATGGAAATTCTTGAATCGGAATTGTTGAAGCTCGTTCATCCATCCTCAGATTTGAAATTATCATCCTCAGCTTTAGAGGTAGGAACAATTACTAATCTTGTACAATCTTCAGAAACAATGAATACAATTCGTGATGAAATTTGGTGTGTAGGAATATTTGGTTCTCACGTTTATGGATTGGCTCGAGAAGATTCTGATTTGGATTTATTTGTCATTATTTCTAATGATCTCGGAGATCAAATTGAAGAGAAACAACACTCATCCAATGAATCACTCGGAAAGAAAGAAGATTATACCTATCAATTCAGTGCAAGTTTGAGCGTAGGAAATGTTGCTCCACTGAACAAAAATATGGACTTTACAATTTATTCCGAGAAATTATTTAAAAAGTTAATGCAAGAATATGTGTTGTGTGCCATGGAATTTGTATCGATTTTGACGAGAGAGGATCTTTCAAAATTTGTCTTGTTGTTGAAACAAAATGTCAACTTGGAGATTCAAACGCCAATGTCGTCAATTTCGAATCAACAAGAAAATTATTTGACTCAAGCCAAACAATTGCTTCGAAAAAGCATATCCTATGAAACAGATCATTCGTTTGTGAAGGCAAAAAACAAAATAACAAAAGAGCGCAATATCGAAAAGGCAATGAAAGCTTTATTTCATGCATTTAGAACGGTCGTATTCGGAGTGCAGATTGCCAAGTTTGGATTGATTACAGATTTTGCCGAGGCAAATCATTACCAATCAGAAATTCACAAGACCTTCAATTCATCATGCGTACAGAGCTTATTGTTGAAATCGGAAGAGATGGGTGCGTATGATAAGGTTTGGGAAATTTTCAAGAAGGAATTTAAATCAAAATTGAATCAACTTCAATCGATTTTCAGAAAAACATTAATGGATGTCAAATAACACAACAATTTAAGAAGACTGCACTTGCAGAAATTGCCACCCAACTGGGATTTTTTGTCCTACTTTATGTGTCCTTAATTGTTGTGATGTTGAGTGAAGTGGATGTTACTGAATGGTCTTTGCGAATTTCTTATGGAAAATCTCACATTTTACAACATTGTTGTCACCTTATGAGATGAAGGTCATGTCAGCTCGAGTACATGTACCGACCTGTGAATGCAGAAAAAGGAAAAAAGTGGTGGTTGCTGCTTTTTAAACATTATTTGGTCTTTTTCCAAACAATTAAAAAAAGCAACCACTTAAAAACCAACAAATCAATTAGCCAGTATGCTCTCGGATCCATCCCTATCTTCACTGCATGCTTGTAGACAAATTCCAATCATATCCTACAAAAGCACTCCCAATGAGAGAAAACACGAAATACGATCTGCTCTCACATCCATTGGTTTTTTCTACTTGGTTGATCATCCATTGTTTTCTGATATTCGGAAAGCTTTCGAGTATTCTAAAAAGTTTTTTGATTTGCCAGTCGAAGTGAAAAATCAATTTCACACTCTCAAAGGTGGAAGTGGATACATTTCCAAGAGTTCAGAACGACTCAACCGAAAGGATATTGATTTTAAGGAGGCATATAATGTGAGATTTAAAAATTGTCCCAATGACCAAGGTGAAGAAGTGAATTATTTTCCTGATGAGACACAATTTCATGACTTGCAAGGTTTTGAAAAATTCAGTAAGGACTTGTTTAATTCTTTGCATGATTTGTTGTGTGAAATTTTGGATGATTTACAAAGTAGTTTGACCATTCGAAACAAAACGAGTACAATGGAGCAATTGGAACATAATTATTTCTCGTCGACTCATAGTGATAAGGAACATTCATTGAGGTATTTGCATTACCCAAAAATCGAAAAGAATGATTCAACCACTAGAAATGGAGCAGGTTTGCATTGTGACTATGGATCAATAACATTACTTTTTCAGGATGATGTTGGAGGATTGCAAGTATTGAATAGAGAGACCAATGAAATGATGGATGCTCCCTATGTCCCAGATGCAATGATTGTAAATTGTGGAGATTTGATGCAAGAATGGACTGATGGAGAATATAAAAGCGTGCCTCATCAAGTAGTGCTTTCGAACTATGATCGTGACAGATATAGTATTGCATATTTTGGTCAGCCTAATAAGGATTGCTATATTAGCTCAATTAACATGACAGCCCATGATTATCTCATGAAAAAGTTTGAAGAGAGTTATCACATTAAGCAGCAATCCAAACCAACGACAACCACTCCTTAAAGTCATAGAATTTTCTTGGGTTGTAAGGTCACTATTGAAATATCTGAATAAAAGTCAGTGATACTTCTCCGTTTCATTCTATGAAAGAACCACAACAATCTTTTTCTCTCATTCTTCAGTAAATAAATGTATCGACATTGGGCACTGCAAAATACCTGAAATGAAAATGATGGAAATTCAACAAATGAAAGAGGTAAAGATATTTTGGTTGGAACATTCACGTCCACAGGTTGTTGTTTGCAAAAGTAACTCGAACCTGTATAATAAAGTTGACCAGTTCGGGTTTGAAAAACACTGTTCGCTCTTCCAGCATGAATTTCTGTGATCTGTTCGTTGGGTATTTCAATGAATGTTGGCTTGTTTCTGTCTGTGAAATTTCCAGTTCCGAGTTGACCATGCTTGTTTCGACCAGACACGGCTGCCTTATTGTTAAATGTCAAAAAAATGGAATGATTCCAACCACAAGCGATCGATATTATTTTCTCCTTGGAGAAATATTCTGGATTGACAAGAGTTGGAGCGAGTCTGGATTCATTATCAGCCAGGCCTAATTGCCCGTAATAATTTCTGGTGTGATGTGAATATTTGAATGAATTTAAATTAATCGACAACCGATTGGTTGATTCACACATACCTCCCTGCAGCATAAACAAATCCTCTTCGTGTTAGGAACAAGGTGTGCAGCTCTCCACATGATACATGCTGTACGTAATCTCCAAAGTGATTGAGAGAATCAAAGAAGGCAACCTTGGTTGGAATTCTTCTGTTGTCTTGGTCATTCAAACCCAATGCTCCGTATGCATTGTCGCCTAAAGAGTAAGGTGAATAATAACCAAGTTGCGTTTCGGGCATACATAGTTAAACAAACATACCACAAGAAAATACCTCATTGGACCGTGTCAACATTATTGTGTGATAGCTTCCACACGAAATTTTTCGCACCGGTTGATCAATATTTGTTTTTGTTAGAATATTCACTCGACTCCAATCTCTATTTGTCTCGTGTGTGACGGGTGCGAGCATTCCGTAGAAATTGTATCCAACTCCATAAACTTCTCCCTTCTTTGTGAGAATCATTGTACTTCGTTTTCCACAGGAAACGTCTTTAATGGGCTCATCGAAATCAAATCTTAGAAATTGATGTCTCGAGTCAATAAATGCTGGTTTTTGTTGAAGATTTAATTGACTGTCACTGTTTTTTCCTAAACAAAATATTCTATTTCTATTTGTAATAAATAGTGAATGCCAAGATCCTGAAAATATCTTTTCCACATTCTCATCCATATTCAAAGATTTACATTTCATTAATTTCAATTTGCTTTCGAAATTATCAGATAAGTTATTATACAACGCTCCTCCTTTGCTTAAGCAATTAATTCGATTACAGCTCTGAGTAGAATTTACAAGATACCAAGGCTCATCATATTCCTCCTTGAATGTCCTTCCAATCGGATGAACAAACTCGGAAATAAATTCCTCTTCTCCAAATGCATAAATTTCAACAGTTCGTAGAGGTCTTTTACGTAGGTATCGAATGATTTTTATATCATCATTACTCTCCTCATGATGATGACTAATGTTCAATGATGATGGTAATGATAATTCAGAAAGATTTACTGCATCGGAGGGAGAGCTCAATGCCGCTGGAGAAGTCATGTTGGATCCCAAGTGATGTTGTTGATTTAAAGATCCAATCAAGGGATTGTTGTACGGAGCAACAGGATCATCATCGACATAGATTATTCTCGGCATTCCTTTTTTTAAACAACAACAATAACATCTGATTGTTTCCAACTTGCAATTGAAAATTTCATTCGGAAATGAAAATATGGCCCGAATAAAAATTATTCAACTCGTTATAAATATATGAAAGAAAGGATATATCAATTTTAAACGTTTTTTTGGGGTGGATGAAAATTGTTTTCAATATTTTTTTTTTGGAATTAGATTTATGGAATCCGAGTTTGTTTGATTTGATCCAAAAACGCCATGAGATCGAACATACATGATTTCTTTATTTAAAAATTAAGAGAAACCAAATAGAGAACTCTCATTTGTTGTATACATTTCAGCAATCCAAAGTGAGAGTGGGAGGAAGTTGGAATTCATCTACAAGGTGTTGCGCCAAGAGTTGGAATCTTTCTTTTGGAGCCTTGTTGTCCAATTCTTGGTCACACCGCTTTATATAAATGGTAGTTGAAGTAATTCACATTGCACGAACACCAACATGACGACATTGAAAGAAGAACGAAAAAGTAGAAGTAAAGTTTATGAAGAGAACTTGGATCTAAGAGAGAGGCATCGTAAAGTTCGTTAGCAGGGAATGGAAATGCATGACAAGAAGTTTGAGGTCACATCCCTTTTTTTTCACAATTTCTCTAAAGATGTAAGGCTATTTAGAATAATTGAATTGCAGCAAGTCACAGCATCAATTTCAAATGAAATGAAAGGTAGAAATTTCGAAAAATAAGGCCATCCGAACAGAGTATATGAAAAATGTTTCATTTAAGAATAAGGCTTCAAGTTTCACACAAATATTTGCGAATTATTGTTGGGTTGCAAGAGTGGAGAACCGCTGGTGACCACAGGTTTCTTGTTGGTTTTCTGATGCTTCTTAACGGTGTCCACGGGAGCAATCATATTGTCCATTACAAAAAAGGCGATAAGCCATGCAACAAATGATAAACCAAGTATGATTTGAATAGTCACAACTTTGAGATAAATTCCACAAAAGAATCCAATAGCAGAGGAGAGAGATTGCGTCATTTTGAAAGCAGCAAAGGCTTCAGCAGTATTCTTCTTCTTGTAATAATTTGGGCTCCCTAAAATACCATAAATTGAATTGGTGAGAAAACTATCTGCCAAACCAAACAATGCCATATTCACAAAGAAGAGCAAGTATAGAGCTGCTGGTTTTTGAAGAGCATAAGTTTGTTCGCCCTGATTCGAAGCTATTTCATTGGAAAAGGAATTTCCCCAATACACAAATTGAGTGCTTAATGAAACAGCCACACAGTGGATGAACATGGCCGAGAGCATGGAGATTCTTCTACCAATATAGTCCAACATTTTACCTGAAATTAAAGCTCCAGAAACTTGACTTAGACCAAATAAAATCATAACCCATCCCAACATATCTCGTCCAATGATAGGAGGCAGTGAGCCAGTGAAATACGAATTGCTAAAGCCAGAGTAAAATGAAATGATGCTAAATACAAGCATCTTTTTTGAAAACAACACAAGAAACGCTTGCTTTAAGAGTGAAATGAAATCTTTGGCTTGTTTGGCTAATTCTTGTGTGAAATAATTTTTGATTTTGTTTGAAATACGTTCGGTGAAACTTCTTGTGTCGATATGAATGTTATCTTGTTGTAAATCCTCTTCATCACCTGATTGTGAAAGCTTCTTTTCATATTCACTTTTCTTGATTGGTAAAAGTGCAATCAATGAAAAAGATCCAACCAAGGCAATAATTGTGAGAACAAAGAACAATTGAAAATTCGTTAATCCTGCACCTAAAAAAGAATTAATTGTTCATGAAAATATTTCGAGAAATTTTGAAATTCCATCAATAAAAGTGACAACGAAAAAAGACATTATTGCAAAATTTTGTCGAACAAGTGTCACTCACGAACAGTCTCCATTCTCTCAGTTCTTCTACTTACTAAATAATGATCCAGCCAAAATATTTCCAAAAATCGAATTCAATTGAAACAAGGCAAAAAAAACTCCACTGAAAAATCCCATCACTTCCACACTCGCTCCCGAAGATGTACTTGTTGGTTGCACCTCTTTTTCTTGTCCAGCATTCTCATGAGTGACTGTTGCAGTAGAGCCACTCTTATTCTGGAATTCTTTAATTTTCACTTGTGCCACATTTGCAGATTGTGTCAACAACGTGCCCTGTCCCGTCCACAATAAGGCAGCTCCAAATCCATTCACCACTGAAGCACAATATAATAATACACTGCTGTCAAATCCAGCAGCAAAAACAAATAAACAATAACACAAAGCTCCCAAAATACATGTCCATTTCGGAGTGAATAATTGAGTGAAAGACGGAGCTACTAAATTGGAAAATGCAAAAACAAAATATAAAATAGACAAGCTCACAAATCCTTCTGATTTTCGAAGGGTCGTAATAAATGATTGTGTAGTACCAAACGCAGCAAATAATAAAAAGAAAGAAGCTCCTAAATTAACCACGTTGAAGAAGCCTTTGTTGATGAATTTGGGTCCGAAAAAATTTTGTAGTGAGACAATGATTGGAAGAGATCGAAAACGCGAAAGAAGTGAATTTTTTGATGATGATGAAGAAAATTGATTTAAACTGTAGGAATGGTCCTGTTCGTGGTGAGAGGCCTGTGGAGAAAAATCCTTGTCGTGGTTATAATTGGTGGCCATTTTTTGTGTGTGAATGACAACAGTTTCAAAAAAGGAAACTTTGTTTGAGAATGAAAAAGAAGGGTTTTTTGTTTTTTTATATTATCCTGTATTATTATAATTGAAAGGATGATTTCAATGAAAGAATCAAACTTGTAACTATTGAATTCGAAGTGGTGCCACTGTCTTTCAAAGAGGTTCAATCAATTTCTGTTAAAAAATGTTGCAAAGAAACATTCTGCGTTCTGCAAAGGTCATTGCTCGTCGGAAAAGTGCTTCGGAATTCAAAACATCATCATCCCATCATTATTTATCTATACCATCGTCATCAATGTTGAGAAGATATTCCATTTTGAGAGAGGAGTAAGTGTTTGATTGGCAATTTGGCTTAACATTCCTCTTATGAAATCATAGTAATTCTTCTACGAGTGCAAATCCAATTTCAACTTCTCCATCAGAAGAAGAATCTCAACAACAAACCACCCATTCCTCATCATCCACACGAAAAAAGTACATGATCATGATGAACTCATCTTCCGAGATGGAAAACTCGAGTGCTCAAAAGGAAAAACCATCCAACAAACAACAACACCACCAATTCATGCACTATGCTAACAAATCCCTTTCAGAAATTATTCAAGATGTTTTGAGAAGGTCCCTTCGTTTTTTCGCCCACAACTATTATCTCGTCTTTGCTTTCGTTTTGCTCGTTGCTCTCATGTATGCGTTGGACGTTTTCAATTTGAGAACTGAGAAAATTTTGTCGGAACGAGCCAAGTTGGAAGAACTTGAATGGAAAACGCCGATAAGAACAACGAGTAGCAGCAACACTAGCAACAATACTACTACTATTAACACTAGCAACAATACTAATAATAGTGAGAATGATGGTTAATGATAAAAGAGAGAGTTCCCTCCAAAACTTGGATGGCGCGTACAATTTGCGTGATCCTTTTGAGGTTGTTTCAAAATTTGAAAAAAAATGATTCTGACAGGAACCTCACCCATTCCGCAAGATGAGGAAGTAGGAATACGATTGTTGAGGATTCGAAGGAATGAAAATAAGAATTTGTATGAAAATATTCGTCAAAGAGGTAATGATGGATGTTGTAGTGGTGGTATCGGAACAACAAATGACAATACGGGTTGTCGTAGGCACAAGTATCCACATGTGGATGAAACATCTCACGGGCCCGTATTGCTGAATCCGTGGTATCCTCATCATCAACATGCATTCGACGTTCATAATGATGAAAATTATAGACGGAGGAAGATGGAAAAATTGCATCATGATTTACATTACTTGCCACCACCGCATTACAATTATCGACCATCTGTTCATCCTGTGCCTCCACCCATGCAGTATTTTACGAGTGGGAAAATTCCAGTCATGCAGCAAGAACCTCCTCCTCCGCGGTTATTGAGGCCAGAAGGAAAGAGAAAATTGAGACGTTTAATCCAACAACAGCAACAAGATACAAAATCTTCACGACATCAACTCTTGTTAGATCCCTTTCATCCAGTCAATAATAATGTCGTTGCTTGTTCTGAAGACATTAAAGAAGACCTTAAGAAAAAACACAAAAAGATAATCAAACTGAAAAAGTATGATTCAAATGATAATTCCATCACCGAGGACTTGTCCATTCAATTGCTCAAAACAAATTATCCCATGTATAATATTGCCAATAATATGCTCTTCCAATATGGTGAGGAGGTCCAGGAAAATTGTACAGAAGTATCCTGCTCCACAGAGAGCAGCAATGCCACCGCTGTAGTCGACAAATCAATTCAAATCAATTCAACTATTATAGAGGAATGCACTCAAACAGAGCAACATGTAGTACTTCGCAGCAATGTTTCTAATTTAGGGACACAAACTAGCCCTGAGGAGCAGAAAAAGGTTCAACTGAAAGGAGAACAGCTTTTAGATGTTTTAAGACATTCCCATATTATGGACCTGGAAACTTATTTTCAATTGATGGAGAAACAAGAACGAGAAGGTACCTCAAATTCTGCCCTAGATATCTCCATTCTAAACAATACAGAACATTTTCCAGAAGTTCCTCATGCACTAGCACCCTCAAATCAAAATAAGGGTATTGCTGATTCACGCGATTTACCCAATGTGAGCAATATTCACCACGCATCTGTCGACTCGTCCACAGAGTCAAAACCAACCTCAACAATTCCTCAAACCAAGAGTACTCCATCGAGTGTTGAAATTACGTATGCTCTTGAAGATTACATGTCTCCTGTGCAAGTAGTGGACAATATTCGAAATAATATGCAGCAAGAGAAACCAATTCTCACTACTTCAACAACAACTCCTTCCAAGCCACAAGCTCACAACGACCCACCCACTGATATAAAACCAATATCAACCCTCACAAGATCAAATTCAAAATCACAAATAACTGATCAACATTTGTCACGACAGGGCTGCAACAATGCCAACTCTGAACTAGGCGATCAACCTTTCACCATTATCAAAAATACCAGTGAGGATCCTCAAAACATTGTGAGCATTCCAAATGTTGAAACGACCCCTTCTGACAACAATATTGTATCTAAGGATGCACCTCTTCTTTCATCTTGTAATGAAGATGATGAGCCAAAACCTCCAAAATTTGAAGAGAGAATTATTTATCTTGAAGAAGAAAAGTCACAACCATCTCTAAATAGCCAATCTTATCCAACATATACTCCAGCGTACATGGATAAAGTAATTTATATTGATGAATTGAGGAAAGAAAAACATCCAACTTGTTCTGATAGAATAGAACAAGCAGAAGAGGAAACCAGTTATTCAAGTGTGGAAATACCTTACTTTGAGGAACGAATTTTGGAACTTGGAAAGCAACCGACATTGACAAACCTCAATGAACAAACTCATGTGGATGACGACAATGTAAGCATCACAACGATAGGCAGCCAAGAAACCTATGAAGAATATCTTCAAAGAATAGGAATTGACATCACAAATATGCCGTTTTCATCAGAGGCTGTAAAAAAGAAGCTAGAACTTCAGATGGCCATTTCAGCTCGAAACTCTTTAAACTTCACAAGAGGTAGTCTTTTGATGCCTCAAGATTTTGATTTTGGAAATCAATCGTTTCTGTCAACTCTGAACAATAACTTTGCAAGTTCTTTGAGACATTCAAAAGCCATTCCTAATGGAAAAGAAGAAGATCAGAAGACTAGTTCTGTACACCAAGCAGCTTGCAACAGGGAGGAACAAAATACCACACGAGCCAATACCCAAGATAAGAATATTAAACCCAATCCACCAACTGTAGAATCCATCTTGAGAAACATTTTAGAGAATTCAAACAAAATCAAATCCAAACTGAACAAATGCAACGAAGAAGCGTCTGCCAATAATTCACCAGCTCTGATTAATCAAAAGAACATCCATATTGAGGAAATTACAGAGTACAAGAGTCTCATTTCAAAACTGGAAAAAGAATTTATGTCAAATGCTGATTATCTTATTGCACAAACAGAATTGATGAAGGAAGAGACTGAGGAAGCGTTGGGAAGAATTGATAGACTTCAATTGATCAAGAAGGAACGTTTCAACGAGTCCTTAGATGTTGTATATCACCAAAAACGATAAACCAACGTTGGTATCACAAAAAGTGGCACTCAAATCCTAACATTACAAATGAATTGGTCAGAGTTGACAACTTCTGGTCATTTAGGAAATGATGGCCATCAACAAGGTAAAGTTCCAAGTTCCTACCACCAATCTTTCACTTAAGTGAAAGCATCCTATTGGATACTGCAAGACCTATCTTTCAAACTTGTTACACTTCACCATGGAAGATCAAGTCCTGATTATTCTAACACGATCCAAGTGCACATGTGCATTATTCCTATAAATACTCGGCATGAGTCAAAACAGTCCATATCAACAATTACAAAAAAAGTACAAAGTGCTCACACAAAGAAAATGATGCTTCCAGTCCAAATTCATGAAGATGCTCTCAACGCCTTCCAAAGCATGAGAATGGGAAAGGGTGATTTCAAATTCAAAGATTCCAAATTCCTCGTTTTGAAAAAGCACCACCAAGAACTCACATCGTTCTCGACCAAGAACTCAATTCCAAATGCAGCACATTGGAACAACTCGCCAATGCACTTCCACACAATGAAACTCGCTTCATTTGTTATCGTTTAAGCTTTGAAATGCCAAAAAGTCAAGAATTTGCTGCACGTGAAGGCTCTCGTACGAAAGTGGTATTTGTGGTGTGGTGTCCCTCTACAGTGTCTGTGAAGCAAAAATTTGAGTTGGCTGCCACTACGAAAACTGTGAAAGAAAAGTTGAATGGTATCTTTGTCACTCATAATGCAACGAGTAAGGCCGATTTAGAGGAGCAACGATTTGTTGAGAGATGTTTGAGTATTATGAAGTAATGAAGGCAACAGTTGAATAGTGAACACGATTCACGCGAACAACAGCTGTAAATAAAATTACAACGTCTATTTTTAAAAAAACTATTTTTAAATTCAAGGATTTTCTTCAAAATACCGTTGTTCGGGATCACGGGTCACTAACAAACAAAAAAAACAAAATCCTTGCATTCATCATCATGGCTCGCTCTTTCAATAGTCGTCGTGGAATCCGTTCCATCTCCAAACGCTTTTGGAAGAAGGAATACCATGGAAGCAAGAAAACTCTCTACCGATCGGCCATGAACGCTCAAAAGCATTGCGGTGTGGCTGGTGTTGAAGATTTACCACACAAACATGAATATAGCGACATTTGGGATTGGTGGTAATAATGATCAATATTGTATCAATAGTAGACTACTACTATGATCAATATTGATCTATATATCTCTGTAACATATTTGATCATCCTGAATATATTTATTTCCGTTCCGATCCGAATGTGCAGATTAGACCTGAAAATCCTTCAACAACTTGAAATGCAAGACAAAACTATTCACTCGATTCTGAAGCTCTCCATAATAATATTGATACACGAGATGAGGGCATATTGGAGATGAATTGTCCTTACATAAGGCCACATGTGCTTTCTTTAGAGTCTTCATGAATAACTCGGACTCGACCTTAATATGCCTCCGATAAATACCCTTCTCTTCCGCGAGTGGCGTCTGATAGATTTTAATCATGAGATAAGGATTGGATCGACTCAGTGATGATCGTAGAATGAATGGGCGACTCTCATTCTTGTGCAAAAAAAACGTGTAAAACTTCTGTAACAATACTTCATCGGTAATAAATCGATGACAATCCAAATAATAGATGGTTTGAACTTGTTGAGTGAAGAAATTCACTGCTTGTTGCATGCAATTCATGAAATTGTTGTGTTGCTGTTGTGGAATGGGTTCTTGTAAAAGTGGCACTCGATAACACTTTTGAACGAAAGGATTTGGATGTTCGTCCCAATGTCTATATTTGAATGAATGATTCCAATGATCAAACGTGAGTGATGTTCCCATCATTGAATACAATGAAGAATTTTCTTGTTGTTTTTGCTGTTCCAGATACATTTTAAAGTTAGTCACTTCACAAATTAAAGCGTTCAATGGAACGCATCCTTTTGAGAAGGCCAACAAATGAACACAGGCTTCACAGTGATCTTGTCCAAAATTTTCATGTGGAAATAAATCATTGAGAATTTCCAACAACAGACGATTGGCATTTCCTTTGACATAAAAATTTTCATATTCATAAATAAAGGAAGTGAAATCTAATTGTGAAGGTTGAATAATTAAATAAGCCACAGAATTTGGAAATTTTTCATGCAATAAATCGAACACATTTTCATAGTAAACTTCTAAAATGGCAGGAGGAGAATTTTCTTGTTGTTTCATCTCTTCATCCTCTTCAAATGGATAATCGGAATTTAAATATTTAATAAAATCACTTCTTGTTAATTGAATGTCTCCAGGAAAAAAGATGTTGTATTCTCGGTTAAGAGAATTTGAAGCAGAATCATTTAGCGTGGGTGTTGCTGTTGTTGGTGTCGATGATGATGATGATCTATTTTCCGTTGGATCAAGGCGGCTCGTGTGGTCGGAATGAAAATCATTATTCAAATACTTTTCATTCAAATAATAATGTACTATTTGTTTACGAGGAGGGTTTGATGATGTGTCCAACCATGTTTTGGTAAGAAAATTACTCCCTGCTTTACCAAATGAAAAATTATGAATTCTTAATTTCGACATTTTTTTGTGTGTGATATTTCGAATTGAATCGAAATAATTCATAACTAGTTGTGACATGCAGATCATGACCTCTTTCTTTGTTTCCATTTTGAAATTGTGAATAATTCTGTTTCAATGAATAATTCGTTATATACATGCAATGACCATGTCTATTTACCGATTCTAATACTTTACATGTTTCAAATTTATCAGACCTTTTTGAACAGCATGGATGACTTCATAAGCATATTGTAAATAATTTCCTTGTAAATTGAGATGGATTAGTGTTTTCAAATTTTCACTCGTGGCAATGGACATTCCTGCTGAAGTTCCAATACGAGTGGATGACAGGTCCAAGCTCATAAGGTTTTTCAAGTGCTTACTTGTAGCGATAAATTTTACACCTTCATCTTGAATGGGATTATGACTCAATAAAGTTTCCGCAAGTTCCCTAAATATTCTGACTCTGCCAGCTGTTTAGCGCCTTCGACGCCGATATTATTACTTTTCAGGTCCAAAATGGTTAAATTAGAAAGATTTTGGCTTTGAGCTATGTATGAAGATCCACGATTGATCACCTTACAATCAATCAAGTAGAGCTCAGTTAATTTTGTCAAAAATGGACTTGTACAAATGCATTGAACGCCCTCAGGATAGAGTTCATTATGACTTAAATTCAACATTGTTAAATTTTTCAGCATATTGCATTGGGAGAGTGTTTCTACATCGTAAGGGTTCAATGCATTGGAATCCAAATCAAGTGACTCCAAATTGCGAAGATAATTACTCGAGGCAATGGCAAACACACCTCCTGATCCTAAATTCTGACTAAACAATCCCAACTTTTTTAATTGTATCATTGAACTACACACTACAAGAATCTCCAATTTTTCAACAGTCATATCCTTGAACATGAAATCCAACTCGAGGGATAATTCTCTCGCCTGTTCATTCCATTGTTTGGAAACAAGCATACACACCCTCACGATAAATTCCGAGTCCAAAAATTGCAAAATAGAAAAAACCATGTCATCCACAAGCACAACGTCATGGTTTGAGTCTATGGACTCGCTCCGAATCTTTTTAATTTCTTCTTTTTCTTCTCCATATGATTGATTGAGCAATGTTATTGCTGTTGAGGAAGTTATGATGGAACTAAATTTCAGAGCTACCGATTCTTCATTAGGCGTGATGGAGAGGCCTCCACGATCATCTTTTTCCATTTTTTTTGGGTTTTTTTGTTACAAAAAAATGCCAAAAAAACGCCACCATCACGATGCAGTGGTTTCATTATTTTCATCCTCTCTTTCATCATCCTCCTCATTATCGGAAAAGCATGCTTCTGAAGAGACGTCTTCAAGTACTCTCTTTATGATGCAAAATCAAAATGATTCATCATGTTCATCGGAAGTAATTTTTAATAGAAAGAGAGACAAGTTTTACGATTTGCTTCGGAAAGGAATATTATTTAGATTGGAAGAAAATTATGTGGAGTCTTTTGAGTGTTTGAAACAAGTTGTAGAATTGGAACCGAATAATTATGAAGGATATTTGGAATGGAGCGTTTGTATGACCCTTTCAAATAGGTAAGTGATAGATAATAAAAATACCTCAAATAGTTTTATTTTAATTTATTGATTATTTAAACTTCCACAATAATAACCATAATGTTATGGTGGCGCACTGAAAATTAATTGTTTAATATTTTAAATTGAAAATAATCTGAATAGAAATGTGTATGCAATGAGAATTCTAAAATTGGGATTGCATAATTGTAAATATAGTTATTGGTTTTCGGACTCAGAAAGGGACATTGAGAGAGAATATTTTCATAACTTATTTGTAGGATTAATTTATGAAATTAATGAAGAGCAACAAACAAGCTTGGAATATTACAAAGAAGCATGTCGATTAGTTCCTAATGGTTTCTATGCTTTATTCTCATATGGATATGCTAATGGATCTTTGGGTCTTGATAAAAATCCAGGATTGACGGCACATGAAAAGGAGCGCTACATAGAGGAATCTTGTAAATATTTTGAAAAGGCTCTTGAATGTCTGTATGCACACCCTCTACACTCTAAATATCACAGATACTATATTTGTATTCTCTGTACAAATATAGCATGGGTTCTACGAGAAAATAATGAAACCTCCATCGACGCTCTAAAATATTATTCTAAAGCAACGGATTGGTATGATAGACATTTGAGATCTTATTTTTCAAGAGCGAGTCTCTATGGAAAGAGAGGAGAATACGAAAATGCACTGAAAGATTTTTCGAAATGCATTGAAATTAAGGAATCACAACTTCCAAAATGGGAAGGAATTTTGGTGAAACTGAAAAGTTATACCGGATCGAACATTTCAACACTCCTATCGTTTTTCACATCAAGACAGAGAGCAGATGATTTTCTTTCTCAATATTTCTATCACAACGAAGAAGTACACAATACTAATTTTTCAGCATATGATATGAAAGAATATGAAAAACGATTAGCCGACATGTATGAAGAGAGAGGACTGCTTCACTTGGAAAACCACGTGGTTGAAGATGCTCTATTTGATTTTACAGCATCAAAATTAATTAATCCTTGCAATGCGTGTTCTCATATTTTTGTGTATTTTATTGGTAAGTAATTCTTCAAAGTTGAACAATTTATGAAAAACTCACGGTTCGTTTCATCAAATCAATTTAGCGAGCAGTGTCATGGATCCTTCGGCAAGTTCTTCTATTTTGTTGAATCATGTCAAATACTTGCAAGAGGCGGAAAATGTATACGATCATGAGCTTGATTTTTTTGACCTTGCCTCAATATTCAAGCATACGGCAAATATTTTCGAAGATTTGAACGACACCACAAATGCCAAAGAGTTTGAGACGAAATCTCATTGTGTTTTAAACCATTCAAGAATTTGCTAGAATATAAAGCGAGGTGAGACGAGTTTCAAAATTTCTCTCAAAACGATTGTTTAGTACAAGTCTTCATTTTCACAGTCATGTTCAATTCGGTCATACAAGCATCATTGAAGTGACGACTTGGCAGCATGACTCCGTCCACCTCACCCTTCTTGAAACACGTTCTTAATCAACTCGTAGAGTGAGGGCTTTCTATTTTGAATAAATTGCAACAATTCTTGTGTTTCCATCTTTTGAATGTCCTCAAGAGATTGGTCTTGACTTTGTGCGATCAAGGAGGAAGAGGACAACTTCCCAACAGAGGACGATGTCTCACCTTGCAACACTCCTGAACTTTTTCCACTCTTCTCATCATGAGACTCTTCAATAATGATTCTTTACTCTTTGTTTGGATAATTGTTTGATATTGGGGGAAGTGTTATATTTGCCACGTGGAGAGCTGTCAAATAACCAAGTCTTATAAGGTATTGAATATCAACAGTTGCCACCTTCTGTTTCGTTTGGCCTGATGCTGCTTTCTGAACGAGTTCGCTCCCACGAGAGAGGCAAAGAGAAAATGCATGCTGTTTCTGATGTTTCTCATAGATCTTAATTTCTGGTGAGATTCGAGACGCAACAGGAAGTGTGTTCACAGATTCATTGATCCTCACTTCGCCACTCCTTTCGAAAAAAAAAGGCAGAAATGGAAATGTTTAACATACTCAACAAGTTCTCATCTGTAATAGGTAATAAGATTCAACCTTTGTGACATTGCTGAAATTTATTCCAAATCAACGGAAGGATATCCCCAATGTTTGAGTGGTACAAATGTTTCCTTAATTGCTCTAACACTGGTCCATCTGAGAAGCATATTCTCTGAACCAGCCTTATCATTGGTTCCAGAGACTCTACTTCCACCGAATGGTTGTTGACCAACAATGGCACCAGTGCTCTTGTCATTGATGTAAAAGTTACCAGCACTGTGTCTGAGACCTTCCACACATTTTTCAATAACTTTGCGGTCACGAGCAAAGATTGCACCTGTGAGTCCATATGAAGATGTGGTATCAATCAAACGAAGTACATCATCGAGGAAGGTCTGTGTCGAATCATCGTAGGCATAAATGGTGAGAACTGGTCCAAAGATTTCTTGTGACATGGTTTCAGAAACGGGATCAGTCGTCTCGATAATAGTTGGGTCAATAAAGTAACCAACTTCCTTAGAATAGGTACCTCCGACAATGATCTTTGATTTAGGATTATTTCTTGCACGTTCGATAAATCCAACAATCTTATCGAATGACTTCTCATCAATTAAAGCAGAAGTGAATGATTTTGGATCGTTTGGTTGACCAACTTTAAGCTTCTTGGTCTCCTCAATCAGAGCTTGCTTAACCTCAGCAAATTTAGATTTTGGAATGTAGCATCTTGATGTGGCACTGCACTTCTGTCCACTGTACTCAAATGAACCACGCAATGTTTGATTTACAAAGGTGGTCACATCACAATCTGGATGCATAAAGTGGAAATTCTTTCCTCCAGTTTCTCCAACAATTCTTGGAATTGATTTGTAAGTATGCAATTTGCTCGAAATTTCATTGTACAACAATTGGAATGTCTTTGTACTACCTGTGAAATGGAGACCAGTAAAGTTTGGATCATTGAGAACTGTCTCTCCAAAATCGGATGCCTTCTTAGTTGGAATAAATTGAATAACTCCTGGTGGCAATCCAGCAGCTTCCAATACTTGATAAATCACATAATTACTCAAAACAGCAGTGTCACTTGGCTTCCACAACACGACATTTCCCATTTGAGCAGGAGCACAAGCTAAATTTCCTCCAATCGCTGTAAAGTTAAATGGAGAAATTGCAGCAACGAAACCCTCCAAAGCACGATACTCCACTCGATTCCAAGTTCCAGGATTGTGATGATCAACTTGTCTTCCAATCAACTTGGCAGCATAAAAAGCATTAAATCTTAAAAAGTCAATTAATTCAGCAGAGCTATCAATCTCAGCTTGATACATGGTCTTTCCTTGTCCCATCATGGTTGCAGCATTGATCTTGTATCTCCAATCTGGGCTTGATAACAAATCAGCAGCTTTCAAGAAGACGGAACACTTGTACTCGAGTGGTAAGTCTTCCCATTCCTTCTTTGCTTTCAAAGAGCCTTCAATCGCCTCACGGATCATGTCCTTATTGGCACCATGAGCACGGAAGAGATATTGAGAACGAAGAGAAGGCATCTCACGAAGGAAAGTTAAATCTTGATCATTCTGATAATAACGTTTGCCATTGATGATGGTTGGAATTTGGAGAATGGAATCCTTTGGAACATTGAGATACTTTTCGCATTCGGAGAGAACAGCGGATCGTTCTGGAGACCCTTTTCCATAGGTTTTCTAAAATAGATGTCAGAGGAGTTAATAATAGTTTCATGAAATAATCATACGTGAAGTATTGAGAAGTGAAGTATCAGAGGATGAATGTTGGAAAGGAAATTAAAAGAATAAATGATAAGATTGATTGGAACAGAATCCGATAAAGAAATGATCATCATGATTGAATTATTTTGACAATGATAATTGTTTGTGGATTAATCCATCTCGGATGAACACAACATACCATTGGTTCATTCACAATCGTAGGCAATTGAATGGTACCATGACTGGTCAATCGATTCATTGCATTTCCGGTAGAGAATGCTCTCTTTTGAATGTATTGAGAACTCAATTTCTGAATGGTTTGATGGGTCTTGGTCTTCATCATTTTTGATTGAATTACGGAGGTTGCATCCGGATGTGAAATATTTTTTTATTGCTTTTTTTCTCACTCCCATCGCTCCGAATGATCTCAACTTTACAAACCAAATCTTTTGATGCATTTATTCAACCTCTAGGATAACGCCATCATCAAAATATAACTTTACATTTCAACAATGGAATAACAAGTTGAACAAGGCCTGAATGTAATAATTGTAAACAATAACTTGAGCTATATCCTAATTGCAACCAGGACAGTTGTGCAACGACTCGTGAATGAATGCGTCACACTCTACACAGAAAATATGCGTACAACTTGGGCACTGAACGGCAATATGTGCCTCCGTTGACAACTGCTTTTGACAACCATAACAAAATAATTGTTCGCCTTCTTTTTTAGCATAATCCACAAACTGTTGAACGGGAAATAGATGGTGATACGATCGAGCCAAATGAGGAGATGAAACCAACATTAAGCCACATGTTGCACACTCCACTGGAAGGTCACAATACTTGCTCTTACAACGGGGGCAAATGTATCCTCCAGGAGTAATCTTTTTGTGACACAAGCACATCGAGTAGAGGGTGTGAGCTCTTCTCTGAGGAAAGCCCATTCTCATAGAAGGTGGAGCAACAATTTTCTGGGCATAGGTGGTCGTGGTTGGAGGTGGAGCAGCATGAGCCATGAGCATTTCTTTAAAGCTCTCATCATCCATAGGTACGTTATAGGTTCCTTGTGTTTGTTTTGCAATTTGTTTACAAATATACAGCTCGGCATCTAAGCTAATGACAGACACTCTGATGTTCTTATCTCTGAGAAGCTTAATGGTGTCAAAAATATTATCGGGATCGCATGTTGAAAGAGAGCAATAAATTATAACAACTTCTTTGGAGCCATAGTTTGGAATTTGATGAAGAGAGTCATAGGAAAGAGTAAGAACATTTTGTAAGGAAGGATCTCCACCAAATGAACGTGTTGGATGAGAAGATGTATGTCTATTGGCATCATCAAAAAGTTTTTTCAATTCCGCAATTAAGAGTTTTACGTTTCCTGTTAATTCTTTCAATATTTTAGCAACACCATTCTTGGTTGTAATTAATCCTAGCTGTGAGAGAGGATTTTGATCAAAATATTCTTTGATAAATTCTTTGGCTGTTGAAATTACAGATTGTGCACGTGAAGTTTTTTCATCGTGATTGGATGGTAACATGATCCCATTACTACAATCAATAACAAGATATAAAAATCGAATAATTCCCTTTTTGATGATTGTTTTTTCTTGCGGAAGGGATTTACCTGCACTTGCTCCAGCATTCCAATACATCAACTGATGCCTCTTGACCACTCGTTCTCTTTTACTCAATTCCTTTTCCAACATGATTCGGTTCATAAAATCACCGATGGGTTGTTCTTCAAGAGCATCCACACCAGCGGTATCATAACGTTGTTCCCATCGGTATGTATTTGCATCATTTTTGTGAGCATTGTACGTTGTTAATTCATTCTCATTGTCATGATCTTCATCGACCATCGCATCGGCCGCATCATGATGCTGTGTCGATGATGAAGGCACTTCATGAGGTTGAATCATTTTTTCGCAATTAAATTATTCTATTTCCAACAAACTTTGAAATTTATGAACTTGGAACATTTTGTCATGTTTCATGTCTTTGAATTCGATACTATTTGTCATTAAGGTTGGACACTCTTGCAAAGTTTATTTCCATACTATTTCCCTTTTCATTGGAAGTCTTCACAACCCATGCTCCATCCTTGTTCAGTTATATGATTTGTTCGGCGACAACTCCGAATCAGGATTTCCTTCCCTCCAACAACAAACAAATTGTTAATAACAACAAACACTAACGTTTCCAACCTACACAACTTCCAACCCTTTCTTCCATTACCCACTTTCCCAAAACATCCATCTCTGCATCACCTCTCCGTTCGTTCTTTGATTGAACCCAAAAAGAAAAAAATGTCTGCCTTTGCCTCATGGTTGATGAACGGAGGCTCATCCTCGTCTTCCTCGTCGTTGCATTCATCCTCGTCATCGGATCAGCAACATGAAATGAGTCATGGAACCCATGCTTCAACAGCCTCACATTTGGCGCCTTCTACTACAACAACAACTCATCCTTCTCCATCTCACCATCAACACCATCATCATCATATTCATTTTGAGCACAAGGCAAGACATTCTGAGGAGGAAGAGGATCTTGGTTTGATGCACAAGTTAGATGAAGAAATTAAGAGTAGAACTTGTTTTACAAGAACAACCAATGGCCATAAGGAAACAGAATTGTTTGTAATCAGCACCAATATGCAACAACCTCCACTTTGCAACCAGACTCTTGTGGACAACACGGCAAGTTTCGGAGAGGAACCTACTCAACAACATGACGATGACAGCAACAACCACTCACAGCTTGCAAAGAAGAGAAAGTACCAATACTACAGAACTTGTGCCATGGATTATGATGAAGTCTCTCACTTATCTGCTGCTTTATATGGTGATGAGGTGTGTTACTTCCCGTCCGATTATGGTTCAAGTCTTAGAAAGTTACTATGTTGTAGAATTGTACCAAACAAGTCATCGAGTGACATCTTTGAATCAACCTTGAAGGAGGAGAACAATACTCTATCCAATAGAAGCGATAAGGCTGCTGATCATGCTGATTTCCCACAATACAATGGAATTAAGGCCACTCTTGGTAGAATTGTTTATAGTGCTGCAAATGATGTTTATAATGAGAATAGTCTCCTATTTAGGGGCCTTTGTACAGATCATGTGAAGGGGAAAGTGTATTTGTAAGTATGGAGTGCATTTGATGATACGTATGACAATCATTGTGTGTGACACTTCCCTTATATTTTCTTTTGGCCTGATCATTGTATGATTCACATTGTTGCATCACCATCCATCCATATAGATACGGAGGGAGCACCTACTCGTTTGAGAGAACTCCCACTCGCAAATTTTTTGTTATGGACATGAAAACAAGACATTTGCAGAATGTGCATATCGAAAACAGCGAAGAGTTGCCTCAAGTTGAAGGTCATTCAATAGTTTTGAGAAACAGCAATTTGCTTTACATTTTTGGAGGTCTCATTGCTGGTTCATTTTGTAACAAACTATTCGAAATTGATCTTGGAAAGAAGACTTGTAGGCAAATCATTGCACAAAATCATGACCAAGTTGTTGCAAGAGCATACCATGCTGCTCAATACCTACCCAAATTCGATGTAATGGTCACAGTTAGTGGAAAGCTGAGACCAGGAGCAAACGCTCCAATGACCAACCAAATTCTCATTTACCACTTCAAAGAGAATCGATTCCAAATCATCTCCGATCCAATCTCTCCATTGTGTGCCATACCTGCTGTTCACGTTATTCACAGCACCATTGTTAGTGACCATCAATTTGCATTCTATGGCGGATGCAAAACCACAAACTATAACAGAGACGAAGACTATGACCCCAACCTTTTTGTTCTCACATTCTCCAAAAAGAAACCAAAACGTTCTAGTGATTTAAGTTGTAATCTAACTGCCATTAACTTGGAATCTCGTCAAAGCTCCTGTTACACTACCATTGTTTATCACAAAAAGTTGAAATGCTTTGTATTGTATGGCTCTAATGCTTCACAACGATGTAAGTTGGTTTGTTTGTGAACTTGTTGTTGTTTAAAACATTGCTTTACTTTCGAAAATGTTGTGTGAATCTTCATTCTTGGATCCCTCAACACATGTTGTCACCAACCAACAACAACAGCACATTGTCTAACCTTCGTACAAGCTGATGTTACTTCTTACCACGATCCTCAAGATTGCTTTTTCAACTTGAAATCTCTACTAAGTAGACATCACCAACACCCATTGGTCGACATTACCGTAAACTGTATTGTTTAAATTTTGTACTCTGTATTATTAGGAGATGCCTCCACCACAAGTTTTCTTCCCACTTTGTAAATTATTAGGTTTTTCAATTTTGAAACATTCAATAATAACTTAGTTTAATTTAAATAATACCTGGAATGTAAATATACTTGACTGTGTTACAATAAACATCCCAGTCATCCTTATACTTTCTCTTGCATCTTTCCATGTCTCTGTGAGCACGGTGAATAATCATACCGGTGAAGAAACAGAAATAAAAGTATGGAATGAAAGATCCAAAACCACAAATCAATCCCCATGACAAAGCCATCATGATATCAGTGGTGTAGTGAGGCTTTCTAGCGTAGGCCCACCAACCATCAACCAACAATTCACTTCCAGCCTTAGTCTTCAAACACTTGGCATTAGGTGGCAAAGTACCATATGGTAATTGTGGGAATGTCTTTCTGTCCTTGAAAGTACCTGCCTTCATCATACGGAATCTGTTACGTTGACTTTGAGCAGTGTCCCAAATGTAATATGAGAACAATAAAACTGCAAACAAGAGAATTGTGTACCATGTTGGATGATTGATTTCAGTTCCCTTCTTCAAAATGTAAACAGAGGAGTAACAATAAACGAATGGAACACCAGCCAAATTCCAGAAAATCAAGAGCCTAATGTTCAATTCAATTGTATCATGTTGAAGTGAAGAGGCCACGATGGTTTTTTCACATTCATTCGCACGGTTTTCACACACAGTCACAATTTTTTCATCACACATTGTGCATTCCATAAATGATTATTAGTGAAGTGTGAATAATTTTTCGGAAAGTATCATCATCATGCAGATAAATATTGTCACCCTGATCAAATTCCGAGCTCAGATATAACAACTTACCATCCCCACTTTTCGTAGAAAATATCCCAAGTGGAAACAATGCATTCCTCTCCCTTCATAATTGCATTACAGTACAAGAAGTGAGCAGTAATCATGAAAGCCATTGGAGAAGTGATATAACCCAATTGTTCGTATTGCTTGGCAGCTGCGGAAAGTGTCAACATGAACAACAAGACCCATGAAATTCTAGCCTCAGTAAACATTTTCAAATCCAAACTTCCCAATCTTGGGTTCAAAATTGCTCCCATAAAGTAATCATAGAGGAAACCTCCAGTCATTCGGTGTTGTCTGTTGGTAGCAATGGTAAAGAAATAGGTAAACAAGGCAACCAAGTTACTGAAAATGATTGCTACCGACAATACGGAAGCATAATTGTCCAACAACATGGAGATTGGAGCAATTCCAGTAACGTACAAAACAGCCACGGTACCCAACAAGACATACCAGGCTTGAATGGCGTTACAATTGTACACCAATTTCTTTCCACCCTCATGAGCAAGAGGAAGACCTTCATGATAATGGCCCGGAATCAACCAAGCCAACAATCCCTCAAAGATGATGAATCCCATATAAATATTGAAAGCAGTCCAGTTGGGACGAGCTTGCTCCCAAGCTTTAGCCCAATCCACATCTCCGAACCACACCAATTTAGAATCATTAAACTCCAAGCAATACCAATAATAATACGGAATGATATGAGAGAAGATCATGATGGCCAAGCATCCCCATGGTCCACCAAATTCTCTAGGTTCTTCCTTTTCTTCCTTCTTGTTTGGAGCTGTTGAAGAAGATGACATTTTTTTCGAGAGAGTCCGTTAGAACGAGCGTTCGTGCTGTTGCTCTTGTTAAGGTAGGCCGAGGAAGAGAATGAGGAAAATCCGTCCGAGTAAAGAGGAGCTGCGTTCGGGACCGGTTTCCGACTTTAGACTTTTCACAAGCTCTGACCAATCATCCACCCTGTGAAAGTGTGCTAACTTAATTGTTCCATTCTACAATTATTTTGAGAAGGTTATATCGACGAACGTCTCACATGGATGATGAGTTTCATTCGTACATTTGCCGGTGAGAGTTCACTACATCTCCGCAAAAACAGAGAATTTTCTTCATTTGAATGAGAAAAGCATGATTTTGTACTGCTTTGGTGTCACTTTTCAATTCTCACCAAAATAGAGTACCCTTGATCTTGCTCTTGTTGAATCACCTAATAAGGGAAGGACATGAAACCTTGCTGATGTGGAGAAAAGAGTTAAAGTTTTTGCATGATTAAGGAGAAAGACCTTTGTATCATAATGTTTTTGATCTGCTCAAAAGCTTTGGCCTGGTCATTTTGGGTTAGAAACTTTGTTCTTATTGTTGATGTTATTGCCTGATTAAAGACGTCCTGTTTACTGGACTTGTGTCGGGGACTGGTTGAACAACATACATTGTCTCCTAAATTGAAAGACAATGGTTCCACCTCCTAACCACAGAGTGTTTTAAATATGTCGTTGTTTATAATTCCATGAAGGTTGTGTCTCAACTGTCTATCACTCTCATCTTCTGTTTCATGTTTGACTCTTGCAGCAGTGCAACCTTCGAGGAAAGGATCAAAAATTTGTTTGAAAAAAAATTTGTTCATCTGTTTCTTCCCTTTCGCTCGCTTTCATTTTCAATAGGTATGTATTCAATACTAGCGATGAAGAACAATCCGTATTCATATTATGATAATATCCATTTTGAATGTTATCAAATTTGCGATTTTTAATGATACTTGTTTTTTGTTGGGATGTGATAACTCGATATTTCATCATCATTCCGTTCATCACCACCAACAACAACATCATTGAACTTGCTATGGCCAACAACATCATTATAACATCTTCTGCATCATCACCAATAACAACAATCATATAGATAACAAAAGATGCCTACCTATATACTCTATGAAAGCGCTTTAGGGTTTGCCCTCTTTGAAAAGAAGAAGGTCGATGAAGTGGCCCTCTCAAAAATTGAAAAACAAATCGGAGAGTACAGTCGTTTCAAAGATATGGTAAAATTTGTTGCCTTCCAACCATTTGATACTCCAGAGCATGGTCTTGAAAATATGAATGCCATCTCTGAAGGAATCCTTACCGAGTTTTTACAAAACTTTTTGGAGGCTAATTTGAAGACAAAGGATGACACCAGGTTAGGTGTTTTGGAAAACAAACTTGGAGGTGCTATTCAAGAACACTTTGCAAAGAAGATTACTTGTTTCACTGATGACTCAGTTTTGGGATTGTGTCGTGGTATTCGTTTACATCTTCATAAATTTATTGATAGTTTGAAGAAGGGAGATTTGGAAAAGGCACAACTCGGTTTGGGTCACGCATACAGTAGAGCAAAGGTTAAATTCAATGTGAATAAGTCTGATAATAACATTATACAGTCAATCTCAATGCTTGATCAATTAGATAAGGATTTGAATACATTCTCCATGAGATTGAAGGAATGGTATGGATATCACTTCCCAGAACTTGTTAAACTTGTAAAGAAGAATGACACATATGCCAAGTGTGCACTCGCCATTAAGAGCCGTTCAAATCTCTTCAAGGATAGCGAAAAGTATGACGAATTAATTCACCAACTTAACGAAATTACTAAGGATGAGGAAGTGACAGAACAAATTGTTAGAGCTGCTCGTTCATCAATGGGCCAAGATGCTTCTGAATTTGACATGATGAATATGGAACTTTTTGCCAAGAAGGTTGTCGACTTGACTGAATATAGAGCTGAATTGTTCGAGTATTTGGAAACCAAGATGCACGATGTGGCTCCAAACTTGACATGCATTTTGGGTGAATCTGTAGGTGCTCGTCTCATTTCTAAGGCTGGCAGTTTGTTGAATTTGTCTAAATGTCCTGCTTCCACAGTTCAAATTTTGGGTGCTGAAAAGGCCTTGTTTAGAGCTTTGAAGACACGAGGCAAGACACCAAAGTATGGTCTTCTCTATCACTCTAGTTTTGTCTCAAAGGCTTCCAAACAAAATAAGGGTAAAATTTCCAGATATTTGGCCAACAAGTGTGCCATGGCTGCTCGTATTGACGCTTTCCAAGATTTCCCAACATCCAAATTTGGTGAAATGTTAAGAGATCAAATTGCAGAACGATTAGAATTCTACGAAAAGAAGGCCACTTCAGGAAATGCTAAAATCTCTGTCAAACTCAAGAAGAATATTGAACTTATGAGAGATGCCATCAAGCAAGCCAAGAAAGATGAAAAGAAGGAGGATAAGAAGAGTGAAAAGAAACAAGATAAGAAGCCAGCTGAAAAGAGAAAGAGAGACGTTGTACAAGAAGGTCCTGTTGAAGAGGAGAAGAAATCCAAGAAGGAAAAGAAGAAGGATAAGAAGAAGGAAAAGAATGCAGATGTCATGGAGGATGAACAAGCAACTGAACCAGTCGTTGAGGAAAAGAAGAAGGAAAAGAAGGAAAAGAGCAAGGAAGAAAAGTCTGAACAAACCATTGAAAACGGTGACAAGACTGAAGAAAAGAAATCCAAGAAGGAGAAGAAGAAGAAGGAGAAGAAGGAAGAAAAGAAGGAAGAGGAACATAAGAAGGAAGAAAAGTCGGAGAAGAAGAAGGAAAAGAAAGAAAAGAAAAAGGACAAGAAGAAATAAGCAGGCAGATGTGACATCCCATCATGTGTTCATTCCATCCTAATCTCATCCTCATAAATAATCATAACTACACTTTTTATCTATTCAAATCAAATTGGTGCCAAACTTTTTTCACATCTGTTCTCAAAAAATGCAACAAGTTCAAAGAGTGAGAATTACAGAGCTGATGGTGGAAGACTCCCATTCTACGAGCAATTCATTGCAACCACCGTCCAAAAAGCTCTCTGATTGGTTGAAACAAGATATTCCGATCATTATTGAAGGACTTGGTCATTCCATGAAATGCATGAGTTGGACTGTGAATGAACTGAAGCAATCCTATTCTCACATTCCATTTCAAATTACAAAAACCACTCAAGATCATATATCAGGAGCTGGTACACTTAAAACCATGACCATTCCTCAACTATTACATAAAATCGACCAATTAAAACTCACCAACAACCATTCAACAAGATATTATCTTTCGGGATCCAATTTAATTTCAAAAAGGAGAAAGGATGAAATTCAAACACATTCCGAAAATGAAAGAACAACGTCATATGAAACATCTTTTCATACAAATGATCATCAGCAATTACTTGATGTCACAATGTCCGATCAAGAAAAATTAGAATTGGAACAATTACAAAATGATTGTCAAGATTTTACACAATTCATCATGAAAGAATTGACACATCACGAAGAATTGTCATATCTTGGGATTTGGCTTGTCCATGATCAACAAAAAACCTGGCTTCATTTCGACTGTGCTCACAATCTCATGCTACAAATTTGTGGCAAAAAAACCTTTTTATTAGCATCTCCAACTCACTACCTCAATCTCTATCCCTACACATTTAAATCCTGCAAAGGGCAAGATATGAAAGGAGAAATTTATCGATTTTCAGAAGTGAATGCTTGGGAATCTCAACTCGATCAGTATCCTAAAAGCTCTCGAGTTCAATTTTTAGAAGCTCAGCTTGAGAGAGGTGATGGCTTACTTGTGCCATTGGGTTGGTGACATGCAGTGTTATCGGAAGGCGAAGTACATTCCTCTTGTGAGGAAGATGAGGGTCCATGTGGATTCAATATTGCCCTGAATGCCTTCTGGGATGCTGATGAAGAGTTTTGGGCCAAACGAAAGCATTTAAAGTCCTTTCGAAAAACCTATAAATTCATTTCAGCTGAGTCAAATTCTAACATTCAATATTGTGACACCATGATTGAATCGCTATACTGCGTGGACTCAACTCTGGCTGGGACACCTTGAAAGAAAACTAGTTTCAATTCGATCCAAATGGAGGAACTTGTCCTCGGGAAAGGAATGAACAAAGGTGCACCTCGGGGTGAACAAGAATCTCATTCCAATGACTTTCCAACATCCAGAGGGGGTCTCTCTCTAGTTGCGACACCTCTCAAAAAACTCACAGTTCATAACTGGAGATTCCACCACGTAACGTCGTTATCCTTTCATCATCATTTCTCGAGTTTAGAAATGCCATTAGTTGCAGCGACCACATTGCCAAAATTCAAGCCAAGAAACTCTAAAGATGAAAAGCCATTGATTGCATTAATTGGTGAAAATTCGGGAACAGAGCTGACAGATTTCATCATTCCATACAGCGTTCTTGTTGAAGCCAATGTTGCTTCCCAAGTGCTCACCGTTTCCACAAGGAAGGACGAACCCATCCATCTATTTCCCACACCCTCATGTAAAATGTTGGCTCATACTCATATCAGTGAGTTTAATGAACAGTATCCTCAAGGAGCTGACTATCTGTTTGTTCCCGCAGTTAAAAACAACACGAATGAAATCTTGTTGAAATTTGTGAGAGAACAATTCGAGAAAGGCGCCACTGTGATTAGTATTTGTGATGGCATTTGGGTTCTCGTGAATGCAGGTTTATTTGAAAAAGATCCATCGAGAGAATCATTGCAACGTGGTGTAGGTCATTGGTATTCGATGAATCGGTTACGAAAGCAACATCCTCATGTGGAATGGATGAGCAATGAAAGATATGTTGTTTCGTCGAACTTCCATGGTGGAAACCCTCTCATTTCCACTTCTGGAATTTCTGCTTCAATTCCTGTCAGTTTAGCATTGGTTGAAGCCATTGCTGGGCAGGAACATGCCCAGCGAGTGGCTCTGAAGTTTGGAGAGAGGCATTGGAGCGCTCAACATTGCAGTGATGACTTTAAACTCACTCTGAAACGAGTGTTCACTTTGGCAAGTAATTTTCTGAGCTTTTGGAAACATGAAAAGGTTGGAATTGTCGTGAATTCTCCAAAGTTGCTTGAATATCAAAAAGAAGAAGAATCAGCAGTGGATGAAATGAAACTGGCTTTGGTTGCGGATTGTTATTCGAGGACCTATTGTTCACAAGCTTTTTGTGTTTACAGAAACATCCACTCGAAAGAACAAGGGAAAAAACTCGAGGAAAAACCCCTCACTTTTAAAACATTGAGAGGACTCACATGGATTCCAGATCTTGTAATGACCATTCATGAAGAAGCGGCAGCTGACTATGACGACTCTCTCAAACATCAACTCCATTTGGATCGATTGGTCGACCTCTCTCCCAGCTCTTCTTCAGAAAATGCAACACTCAATGCTTCTCAATTATTGAACAAGACATTACAAGACCTTTCTGAGCACTATGGTGAATCCACTCGTGATTGGGTGGCCACTCAATTGGAATTTCTTGAATAAAAGTATCAATCTGTATTATCTCAAAGGCGTGTGAACAGGTGTGTCTCAGGAGATTTTAGAAAATTAAGCGAATTTTTGAATTCGAAAAAAATTTTCTCAACCTTCTAAACCGAACCAATTCTTTTGATTCAAAATGGCTCACGCATGGCACGGTACGTAGTAGACTGGATTAATTCTTTGAAGGGAGGAGAGGATTAATAAATTCGTGGATGCTACGATGATGGGGTTTTGTTGTTTGTTTTGAATATAATAGATTTGTGTAAGTATTGATGATAATGATGAGAGCAGTGGTAGTAGGAAACTAAAGATTCTTGTACTCCTTGTCCGTCTTTTAAATGGAATATTTTGTTCTTGCTTTCGTGATGATGATTTTTCAATGGCTTGATGGATGTGCTCTCTCATCGCGGACTAATATTTCTTCATGATGATAATTTTATATTATTGTTGCTAATATTCAGCTGTATGTAGTACATGTTTTATGTTGAATTCAATATATATATATTAATTGATTTTCTGGTCCGAACTTATTCCGCTCTCTTCATGACATTTCATTCAAACAGTGGAGATGTGAAAAGGGAGAAGACGTCTCTGAAGACAACCCAACCATTTTCAATGCTCTCGTTGAAATTCCAATGGGCTCAAAGGTCAAGTACGAATTGGACAAGGAGACTGGTCTCTTGAAGGTCGACCGTATTCTCTCTTCATCTGTAAGTGATTTCATGATATCAAGGTTTCAAGTACTTATTATAATATTATATACATGATGGGAATTGGCCACTCGGCTCGCTCACGAACGAAACTACTTTAACATGTTGTGTACCTTTTCTGAAATTTCAAAATCTTCAATGAATGAATTGGATGTATAGGTGGTCTATCCGACCAACTATGGCTTCATTCCACAAACCTATGGTGAAGATAATGACCCAGTAAGTTGTTGTTAAAATTCATCATTCACAAAATCTCATTCGGAATAATTTTCACATGACGATGATGATGATGCAACTCTCCGATATGCACCGCATGATGAAATTGCAATGATTGAATCGCAATACATCACCGCTAATGATGTGGATCAATAATAATTGTGAAATTTTAATTATCAATCGATGCACACAACAGCTTGATGTTTTGGTATTGATGCAACAATCTGTTGCTCCAATGATTTTCCTCAGAGTCAAACCAATCGGTGTCATGATCATGATTGATCAAGGTGAGAGAGATGACAAGATTGTCTGTGTTCATGCTGACGATCCAGAATACAATCACTACAATGATATTGCTGAATTGCCACCACACAAGTTACAAGAATTGAAGATTTTCTTTGAGGACTATAAAAAGTTGGAAAAGAAGGTCGTTAAGGTCGACGGTTTCCATGGTCCAACTGAAGCCCGTCAAATTGTTGCTAAGGGTATCAAGGCATACAAGGAATACGTCAAGGAAAAGGAGAAGAAAGGACAAAGTTTAATGTCACCTAAGTTGCAAGCTTACAAGACATTCTTTGGAAACGAACAATAAATTCCAGAGAGCTCTTTACTTGGATGGTGTGATCCTGTTCCGACACGAGATTCTCAGAGTGCAATGTCACCACTTGTCTTGAGCATGAAGAGAAGTTCTGTGTGTGGTATTTTCAGTTTTTATTATTGATTTCTGATTGTTTCAAGAACTTGGGACCTTGCTTGTAATTATTTTACTGAGTATCATCGAATGGGAATTGTTTGTTCTTCTCCCTCTCTTGTAAAGTTTTAATAGTTTGCTCTTGCAATTCCTCCTTGGAGAGATCATGGGCACGCTCTGCCTTAACAATGGCTTCTGAAGATGAAGCGAGTGTTTCGTTCCATTTCTCAAACTCGGGAACCGTCGATGCGACCTCTCCATGCAAGGTTTTTTTAACCTCACCGTTAAATCTAACAACACACTGATCACTCTCTGTTTCAAATTCACAAACAAACCTACCTTTCGTCTGCTTTTTCTTCTCCTACTGCTAATTCTGTCTATTATTCCATAGTCGACAGTTTCATGAAATTTGTTGTGATCGGATCATGAAGAGGGCGAAGGACTGTACTTACTCTCACATATCTTAATTGAGTAGTAAAACCGAAATGAATTGCTTTATATTGGGTGCTCACACGAGAACAACATTTTGATAATAACCTGCTCTTCATGATGATAAGTGAATGATGATCTCAAAACTAAAGCGAGTTTTCTGAATAATAATACTATTGAATTATTTTTCTTATTTGATTTCCAAATGCGATTCTTAATCTATTTCTGAGTGTTGCAACAAAAGGCAATTAGACAAATATGGAACATTGAGGGAATTTCCAAATTTATTAAAATTAATTAATAATATGATAAAGTCACGCTCAGTCAATGAACAATTTAACTTGGGATGCCTTAAATTGGAGTGAGGTTGAAATTTCTTTGTTTCATTTATTTGCCATAATATCACTAAAAAAAAAACGAGTGAAGAACTTAATGACTGTTCAAATCATGATTATGAGGATTTCTTGGATGAGATTTTTATTTGAAATAACAAAAATTTGTTCGTTCATACATCTTTTTAACAACATTTCCAAAAATAGAAAATATCAATAGTAAATTTCGAGGTGAACAAGAATGAATAGAGCAAAGTGGCGCAGTGGGATAGCGGTGGGCTCATAACCCACAGGTCCTAGGATCGAAACCTAGCTTTGCTATATCCTTTTACAAGCGGCAATTTGGTTGTCTCAAAGTAGCTGTAGTTGAACTTTTTGCTGACGTCCAGCGAGCAAAAACCAATTCGTCAAAAAATTACCTAATACGTGTTGTATATTGTAACAATCAAATTTATTGATTTACAGAATGTTATGAGCCAGACGTGAGTACCCGTCGAAATTACCTTCTGACAGCACAAATCCCGTTATTTATAAAGGTACAGTTCGTTTTAAGCTCTTCTTGTCTATCTGTCGTGCCTGTTTGTCTGTTGATTTCTTTTGAAATGTCATTCATTGAGTAGTTGTTAGATGCAGCGCATTCGATCGCATTCGCAACGCGAGCCGAGAGGAGCATGGCTAATGCATTAAGTTCTGCTTTAGCTATTAGATCATTGGTGGTGGTGCTGCTATTTAGTGCTCTACTGATGAGACCACAGCTTATCATCACGGTATTGAGAATTGGTAAATGTATCTCTGGGCACGGAACAATTCTGACGTTGGTTTTGAAGTCTTGTTTTATATTTGATCATTAGATAATTTAAGGCAGAGCCTGAGGGTTTGTTTCATCGTGAGGAGATCTTGTGTTGTGTTTTGAACAAGAGTGAATAATTGTTCCCCAATGTTTTGTTCAGCTAGCTCCTCAGGTGTCGAGTGCCATTTTCGTGAGAGGACTGCTCCAACCTTGTAACACAAGGATTCGTTTGATAGACCCTTCAAGAAGAACGTTGGTCCTGTTTGTTTCGGGGTATAAAGGTTCAAAGTATCTTCTGAGTTTGGTGGGTGATGAGAGGTTGGAAAGGGATGAAAGTTCTTGAAGATGTTGGCAGGGTTTGTTGCAGTGTTCGTAGGGTCAACTGGAATGATGTTCAACGTTTTCGGTGGCTGAAATCCAAAAGGATTCGTGTTGGGCAACTGGTTTAAAGGGCGAGAATGTTCATTCATTTGTAGGAAAAGAGACTCCAAGCCTTGAATGTGTGAGGCGAGAGATTCCATTTGTTGAGAGCATTGATGACGCATTGCGAGAAAGATCTGTTCCGTATTCAGATCAGAAGTTTCTGAATTTAGTTTCCTTTGTTTAGGACTCTTCATAATCGTTAGGGAATTCTTGAATAGGGGACTGATCTTCTAAATTTCTCTTCTTGTTATCCTCACCTCGAAGGCTAGAGTTTGCTTGGTTTGGCTGGGACATAACAGACACAGCTGTTCTGAACAGATTTATCAAATACCACTCGCCGCTTCAACTTTTTTACAACTTCCTGCTGACCACAACCGTATGAAGGAAACATGTAATTGAAAAAAAGGCTACAGCACTGCAGGTTCCCAAGTTGTCTCCAACCTCAGTACTGATGCAGCTAGATCAGAAGAAGGCTGATGGGTGGAAAAATCAACAAGAGTAGGTGTCACTTGTGAAGGACAATTTGGAACGCCAAGTGAAATGACTGGCAATTGAGATTGTTGTGACGATTTTTGATGGAGAGCTTGCATGACAATGGCCATTCGCTCTTGTTGTAACGTCGTGGAGAGAGAGGCAATGAGTTGATCGACCTCTTGTAAATCTCTCTCAATTTGAGGAATACAAGTCATTTGGAGCCAATTCAGCGTGATGGTTAATTGTTGAATGGACTCACTCATGGCTTCCTTACTCTTTCGAATCTTCTCTCTAACAATATAATCAGCAATGATATTATCAAAGAAAACATCAAAAACAAAATCTCCTTGTGTGACTTTAGCAACAAAAAGTGGTTGGGATGCGAGTGGTGGACATTGTCGAACAGCTTCAGCAATGAACATTTTAGCTTTCTTTGCATCATCATTGGCTCTATTGAGATTTTCATACTTCATACTATCCACATACATGTTCGCAATGCCTCCATTCATAAATAAATCAGCTGTTGCAAGATTCTTTGCTTCCGATAATCGTTGATAACAGGATTGTAATAAAGAGTAGGCTTGTTGCAAATTGGTGAGTCCAGCCTTATATTGAGACAAATAACACACGATTTGTTGTTTCTTATTTTGATTCATGAAAAGTTCCTGTTGTGTCTGAGGAATGATATGATGAGGTGGTAAATTGGCTGCAATCATCATTCGATCAATACATGATTCAAGTTCACGCTTTTTCGTTTCATAACTTTGAACATGCTGATGGAGTGAAGTTTGAATACTCTGTGCTTGCATCAGCTGTGCTTCCAACTGTTCCAATTGATATTTAGCTTGATGTTCCTTTTCAAGTAAGGCTTTGTATTCCAATTGTTCCTTTTCAATCTTTTTCTCAAATCCATGCTTATCCAAAGCTTTGGAGAAGAAATTGGAAATGGATGGTTGATAAAGTTTTTCAACAGACTTCTTCTCCTTAAGGACCTGAGAGGAAACCGATTGTAAAACTTGTCGTTGTTGATTCACTTGTTCCTGCAAGGAATGAACCACGAGGGTCTGAGAGTGATACTGTGGTACAAAAACCGATAATTGATTCATTGAATCCTCAATGGAAATATATTGATCCACCAATGGATTCGGAATTGGTGAAAGAGCAAATCCCGATCCCGATGGTATTGGCATTCCATATGCCGTTGTGGTAGTGTTCATGTTTTGCAACTACTCGGCCGTTATTATATCGATTTGAAAGGTGTGAGTGGATGAATGAATTCGATTTTTTTTGGTTTAAAATTGGAACCTCAAGTTGTAATAATAACCTTCTAAGAGAACAACTATCAAGATATAAAACATCATCTAACTTTGCCATTTTCATTTGGCAGGAGTTTCTTTACAAGTTAATTTAAATACGTTGCCAAGTCTCATAAGGAAACGTACCAATCAAACGTCCACTATGCAGTACTAGCAGCAAAAATACCTTGTTTTTGAGTCGGACAGCCCTTAAATTACACTACAGGATTCCAATAAATTCCTATCATGCAAAAAAATGATGTTGGACGTCAAAACTCCAGATAAAGGATATGATCGGGCAGTTGTGGTTGTCGTTGATTGGGGAGTAGCAATACTTCACATTGATTCGCTATCATAATATGTCAAAAAGAAACGCACAAGTAATTGAAGTAATTGTGTTTTTCGGTAAGGTGCTGATGTTGCGCGGTGAACCAAAAGGTCACTGGCAGCTGTTGGATGACTTGATCTACAGGCTGCTTAATAAATGAAAATACAGGGGAAACCCTTTCAATTTTTAGTTTTCTTAGCTGAAGGGATAATATGTGGAAATTGGTGATCCAATTGAAGATGGCCATTCTTTGTATCAAAAATTTCTTGAATGATTGTGGAATTGAGGCAATGAAAGGAGTGTTCGCTTGTGAGGACTTTTAGCTCAGTAAGTTTGTAGGTCGAGGTCGATGATGATCATTTAATGAATGGTCTGGAAGGAGGTCCTGAAAATCGATTCAATCGATCGAGAAGAGGAGGTTTTGTGAAACAATCACATCTAGTTTTGAAATCTTGTAAAATTGAATTTGAAATGGAAAGAATAGAATCCTTCAATGGTTGGCACTTGAGTCTTTCGTCAGTCTTTTCCAAATTTTGAAGAATTTCTTGTTGATGCTTTTCAAATTCTTGTATCATTTGAGAAACAGCCAAATCAAATTCCTCAATGGTCTTGAACTGCTTTGGACATGGATTGGATCGTCTATGAATGCCCTTGTATGAATTCTCCAAATTGTAATACAAGGACATGACATTTTTGTAAATGACATGTGAATTCATTTCCTCCTTATGATCGTTCTTAACAGCAATGTCAGCACCTCCACTGTAATAGAGCTCTGTTGCAATTATTTTCAATAAATCTTTCAAAACAAGTTGTGAAATGAGAGGTTCAGGAATTCCCTTCACACCATAGAAACAACCTGCCAATTGTCCATAAATACATGCCACAGTGTCAGCATCATCTCCAAGACGAACGATTTTTTTCAAACCCTCAAAATAGGTGTCCGTGGATGCGAATGACCATAATGCAGCTTCAAAAGCAGTCACCGCATAGCCTGAATTGGAAATTTCATCCGCGCTCTTGGATTTGAAATTTTGAATCATTTCTCGCACTTCTTTTCTTAATGGAAATTGTTGCCAATAATTACGAGGCAATCCATGAGGTACAAATAAATAGGAATCACATGCTTCTTCTTCGTGTTGGTAAGAATTTTTAAATAATTCTTCTTTAGTGACACCTTGCATGCATCCTATCATTAAGGCAGCCATATATCTATTACAATCAAAAGCCAATTGAGAAGGATGAGTTGTGAATGCAGAAATTCCACTCTCTGTGATGACTCTATGAAGAAACTTTTCCCTTAATACTTGTTTTGAATTCTTGTCATCTTCTCTCAAAAGTGCTTTTTCACACAAGCGATAATAATACAATGGAACAGGAGCCAGTCGCATCAATGCTCCATTTCCACTCGCCTGATCATTCCAACTCTCAACAGGACAAAACGCTGCTTGTGTTTTTTCATTTTTCAACAAGTGGACCAAAATTGTTTTTCCAATATCAAAACAATCTCCACTTGCACTCAAATGTCCCTCATGGTACCACTCTAAAAATTTGTTTTGAATCTGTCGTCCATCCAGTAGAGTGTGACGTGGTTCACCATGAATCAAGAATTCGATCCATTTTGAAATTTTGGAACCATTTTGTTCCTCGTCCTTCATCGTGTTCAATTGAAATTCGATTGGAAAGTTTTCGAGTTCTTGTTCAAAAAGAGATGGAACAGTACTTGATGTTTCTTTTGATGAGGTAGTGATCTCATGGGAATGATCATCATTCGTGTTTGTTTCTTCTTCTTTTCTTCTCGATAATAAACATTCGGCTTGTAAAAGAGCCATCGAAGTGTCATCGGTGAACATGCCTTTCATTAATCGAAATTTTCCACCACCGACAAGTTCATCACTGATAACAGTTTTGTGTTCAATCAGTTTAGTTGATGAGAAAATGGATTCAGAGCGATGGAATTCAAGAAGCATGAATAAAAGGTATTGTGTGATTGAACTATACTCACGTCAAATCATGATCGGAAATTCCATGTCTAGGAATAAATTCGAAGGTGGTACCATAGGCATCACCAACAGCCATTCCGAGAATACATCCCAAATACTTGTCAAGCAAGGAAGATTCAAGAGGATTTTCAAGTGCACACACTGATTGTGACATTTTTTTGGAATGAGCTCAGAGTTCACTCTTCACAAGTTCTTTCAAACATGAAAACTGTGAAATGAAAAGAAGAAGTGTTTATTCCGGTTTATTGAAAAGTGTCAATTACTTTCTGGACAATATTTGTTTGAACATTTCCTCTTTGGTTAGTCCCTGTGGAGGTAAAAGCCAATTCAAATCAAAATGACTCCAAGATGTGACACCACCTCCACCATTCAACACATCTCGCAAAATGCTTGCAGCGGCTACTTCATAAGGTGTCAACCCGAGACCATTCACAACGTCCGTTCGACTCTTATATTCTTGCACCAATCGTCTACCAACAAGGAATAAGGTATCAATGCTTTGATAGCAAGCAAAGTGGAGTGGTGTGTTTAGTTCTTTGTTCACCATGTCCACAAGTTTTGGTTGTTTCTTCAATAGGAGTGAATAGAGATCTTGTGAAGTGAATAATTGCAATACGGCAATGTGGAGAGCGTTATTACCGTTCGAGTCTTGGAACAATAACTGCTCTGGACTTAAACGTTCGAGAACAGTCAAAACAACACTCACTGGTACACTTGCTGAGACAAGCAAGTAAAGGAAAAGATTAATCTCGAGTGTATCCGATTCTGATTCAGCAATGGCATTGTCAAGATCAGCAATGGAGAAAGTATGATCGAGTGCAAGACCCTTTTCATATATCAATCTCAAGGCATGCTTTCTTCTCGTGAATTTTAGTTGAAGGGCCTTGGAGTTAACGATATCGACTTTGTCAATGTCAGAAGATGCGTATTTGTAGACTGTTGGGAGGGAATAGATATCATTTTGATATCTATTTGTGATTTGCATATGAATGGTCTTGTCAAAAACTTTGTTAAAGTCCTTCATTGCTTGTCCCAATGTTAAAATGGTATCGAACTTCTTTAAATCTCTATCAGAGATGGAATTAATCAACAAGACAAAGATCTTATCTGGTGTTAACTGAAGAACTTGTTTTTCAAAGGTAGTAACATCTTTCTTTGGACGAGTAATGTAAGTGAAGAAGAGTTGAAGGTTTCTCTTGGTTTGGTCATCCTCATTGTCACACTTCTCCAAGAGTTGGAAATCTTTTTGAGAACACTCAGTCTCCACTTGTGTCAACAATTCCTCCATATCTCCGCTGTAGCTGAATTTGCATTTAGTCAGCAACAAGTCGACAAATGCCTTGGTGTCCAAGTTCTCATAAAATAGCTTGGCCATAAAAAGCTCAGAAAGGACGGAACATGCTTCTCCTTCTGTGCTGGTATTGCCGAGCCGGCCACAACTTAATTGAGCTCCCAACATTAATTCCTCAAAGACTTTGTTATCCTTCAGGAAATCCCATCCATAATACATTAAGGTCATCAACCAGCTGAATGTGGAATCATAAGTGATATTTTCAAGCCCTAGCAAGCGGCCATCGTTGCAATTTGCAAGATGGATCAAATACTCTTCAAGGATACGTTTTTCTTCAGTGAAATCATATGAGAATGTGTCAATCACACTGAATGGATATTTGTGTTCCTTCAACATTAAATCGATTAAGGCTTTCTTTTGAGCAATTGGAAAACCATTCGATTGAGTAAGAAGGAAGTTGGCAACTGGCAACTTTTCGAAGACCAAATCAGAGTGTTCGAGGAAGGTATTTAACAGATCTTTCGTCATTTGGCACATCAACATGATTCTGAGAGTCAGTGTTGATGTTGTGGAAGGTATTGCTTCTTTTTCAAGTAGAGGAAGTTTTGAATTGAATAAGACATTTTTCAAACCACCTTCTTCATCTTGTTGATAAGAAACATCGTTGCCATCCTTCCAATCAAGTTCTTTTTGAGGCTTTCCTTCAGCTAAAATGATGATTTTTTGGAAACGTTTCCTGAAATAATCTGCACTAAAGTCACTAACGCATGAATTGCAGACAGTGTTCACTTGAGAATCAACGGTGTTATTTTCTCTGGTCTTTGCAATGATTCTAAGATCGGTTATGTTGGGTGTGAAATTAGAGAATAGATAGGTTTCTGGTGAAAGTGTGTAAACATAGTCACCGTAAAAGTACAAATTCACACGTGAAACAGTATTTCCGAGAGAGGAGAAAATGTACTTTCTCTTTGTCTCGTCCATTTTGGCAAAATTAGTCAAGCCCTTAAGGGCGTATGGATCTTTTGTTGAGGCGTCGTAATTACCCTACAGTACATGAATTATTTGGCATCACATGCAAACAAAACAAGCAACTAATACTTACCGATGATGGATAGTATGAACGATCATTTGAAAAGATAACCAATAATTGATCAAAAGTAAAGTTAACAAAAGAAAGCTCTTGAATTCCACATGCTTGGTTAAAAGTAGCGTTTTCTTTGATAGTGATGTCTTCTGGTACCTGCTTTCCATTCTCAATTAAAATGTGAAGCAGCAAGTTGTTGAAAGAATTACAATAAGTCAAGTTCACTAAAGTTAAAGAACGGAAGATTTGGTAGTTGTCAGCATAAAAGTCATTATTGAATAATGCTGGAAGAACTACACGCAACTTGAATCTCAAAAGAGCACATAAATATGTCTCATATGAATAAATCGGAGCAATAGTTTGAAAATATGAGGACAATGATGAGTATGTTTCATATTTGTATATTGCTGGCAATTCTCCAGCCTTATGGAAAAACTTGTTATATAACTCTCTTGGGTTCTTGATCTATTGTTGAATATAAAAGAATGAAAATGTGTATATCATGGCGGATCCGAAATATGGTTATCAGATCAACACAGAGATACCATATATTGATACTTACTTGCAAGTCATTATTTTCAAAATCAACTTTAAATTCACCATCTTCAGATTCATGTAAAGTTACAAATATTGAAATATGAATCTTCCAACACTTACCTTCAATTTGTAATCCTTTGAAATTCTTGACCGCTTGTTTTTGAACTTTCTGATACTCCATCTCTTGTTTTTGAGTAGAGTTAAGAAACATTCTTGTGAAAGAAACATTAGTTGAGAGGGTGTGAGAAGTCGATCTTGAATCGATTTCGTTCATGAGAGTTTCCTCGCTTACTTCTTCTTCTTCATTGTCTGTTGTTTCACGATCTTTTAAGAAACCATTATTGTCAAGAAGCATGTCATTCTCCTCTTCGGTATATACCAATAAAGTATCATCCTTATTATTCTTGTTTTCATCGTCAATCAGGTCCAAAGTCTCAGAGGTGGCACCTTGGTCAGTTGCTCCATCTCGATTTATACTGACATCTTGGAAAAGATTTTCGTCATGCTCCACTTTTTTGCTTGTTGCATTAGATTCTTCGTCTTGTTCTCTTGATGAAGACGTATCCTTTTTCTTCGTCTTTTCCTTGCCATCTTCTTCCTCACCGTCGCTATCGGAATCATCAATATTTTGGTGATAGTAATTCATTCGATAGTAGGGAATGGATCCATTCAATACAAAAGCACCTAAATCAGCGTCAGTTTTCAACTTGTACAACTCATTCCAGCATGACTTTAAGCAATTAAATACCTTAGGGTATTCATGATAAATACTTTCATGATCAAAGTCAAGAACTTTTTTAGCCAAGTAGAGTTTCTTGGTATTGATGAAACACAACAAAAGAGCCATCTTTGACATGAAGGAATCTAAATCTCCTTCAACTTCCATTTGATTGGTTCTTTGATTGTACAAGTGCATCAACATGTTTGCCATATTCAATTCATCACAACCATTGTGGGATGACATTAGATAATGTTGCACTCTCACATTAAAAGTCTTGCAAAGGAGACGATATTTGTGATAAGTGACGAGAAGTGGATCTCTTCTAATACTATAGATTGTTTCGTCCTCTCCTCCAAAATAAGTGGTGAACAACCTTCTGTGAGGATGGTCACGTCTCTTCTTGATCTCAGTATAGGTTGGGATCATGCAAATAATGTGGAACTTGAGCTCAAAATCAAAATGATCCCTAATCAAATGACAAAGCGACTCGAGTTCCTTTTCTTCTCGTTGCTCATTTCCAGCAGTAACATTTGCAGAGGAAGTAGCTGCCAATTTGGCTTGTTGTTTCCTTTGCCTCTTGTCTCGATCGATCCATATTCTTGCTAATGGAGTCAATTTGTCTCCTTTAGCGGCAGTGAAATCGTGACCAGTTGAATACTTGGTGTTCTCAACCTGGTCCGTGTTGTGTTGAATGAATTCATTGGTAATGAGTGGAATTTGATTGAATTTTAAATAAATCAAGATTCTTTTTTCGGCAACTAACACAAAACAACCTACATTTTTCGCTTTTGGCATCTTGCCATAACCATTGTTATAGTAAGAGGACAAGTAATTTTCATATTCTCTCTTTTCTTCACGAATCTGTGGCATGACTGTCGAAATTGATTGGGTTCAACAACAATCATCAATTCCCGTAATATGATATGAAATCAACACCAATATGCCGAATGAAAATTTACATTGATCACCATCATCACACATATTTCGGGAGAAAAAGAGGATTTTCAAATATATATATTGATGAAATATAATGATATTATATATTGAATCAATAAATCAATTAATGATTATCATGACTCTAGACATACCCTCTGCACCACCACCACCACTGCTGGTGTCCAAGTCATCCTCTCTGTTCTCCGTTTCTCTTTCCTTTCTAAAATACCCAATACGGTCATGAATAAATTCCAACCAATTCGTAGTTGTGGTGAGATTGAGAGTAAATGGACCGTTCATGATTGGATCAGAATGAAGCAATAAAAGTTCTGCTTTTTTTCGAGATGGTAGAACTTGATCATCAATTACAATGTATCAACCTCATGCATGTGGACAAAACACCACCACGTAACTTGGACCGAACATGTTCTGTCGTCATCCAGATCTCCTTCTCGAAATAGATCATAAGGGAGACTTCTCTGAGAACAAGGCGTGTTTTTGAGCTTCCAATCCTCATCCCAGTTAGGTTGCAGTTGACAACTCCCTCAACGCGCGCATGACCACTAAATTATTTATATTCAAAGGATGAAACGTTCGTCCACCAACTTTTCCAACTCACAACCACCGTTGCAAACCAGTGAAAAAAGCAGCTTCCAACACCAAACACGCCACCATCACGACCACAGTCCATACCTTACTATATCTCAACAAGTGATAGGAAGCACTCGATGGAAACACCACACAAAAACATTCAAAGAGTGAATAAAACGCTGCGAAAAATCCCAACCAACAAAACCAAACAAACCACGAGTCTTGTTCTCGCTCTTGAGTACTCACATAATCATGAAATCTAAAGATGAGTAATGGAACGGTTACCACAAAGAGAACCATTAAACATAACACGACAAAAGGCAAACCAATGAGGAAGATGGTTTTTCTTCCTTTCAGAGTTCTGTAATTGAAGGAGGGATCTGCAATATAATAACCTCCAATAAAGGGTAAGGTAATGGGAGATCCTGTAAAAACTGTTCGAACAAAGAGAGTGAAAGCCATCGTATCGTAACATCGAAAGAGACAAAACTTTTTCTTAATCAAGAGAGAACTCAAATTCACACAAACAAATTTTGTAATTGGAAACACGAATGCAAGTGTCAGGGCAACCATCATGTCCAAGTAGAGCCATGAAAATATGGTTGTGTGTTGTATCGAATGTGAACCTGAACCGTGGCTCTCTTCACGATATGGAACGAGTTTGTAAATGAGTTTTGAGTTTTCTTCTGAATTGAGGAATTCTCCAGCTCCCAAATGATGTCGAACCATATTGAGATTATAGACATCATTGACCATTTGTCTGCCGAGAAATAGGAAGAGCATACCAAAGAGAGTTGAAACGAGAAAGCTGTAAAATCCAACATTTTCAGCAGCAATGTAATAACGACGTTCTCCTTGTGGTGAAAAACAGGATTTGACAAAATAGCAAAGTTTTTCGAGGAAACGAGTAGTTTTTGATTTCATCGTGCTCATAGGTGGTTTTGTGGTGGTGTTGCCAATTGTCGTACCAGAAGAGGTATTGGCAGGGGTTACTGTTGGAATATTTTCATGGCTTGAAACTTTGGATGGAGTGACATTAAGGATTCTTGCGCGGATAAATTTTCCTGGAATATAATGAGGAATAACGAAAAGAGTTGCTGGATAGAAGAGTCGCCACCAGCTAATTTGTTGCATGAAAGGCCATACTTGAAGATTGGCTCTATTGCACAGAAACCATGAAGGACTGTCATAGGCGTCGACATCAGAAACCATCACTACATCAATTTCAGAAAATGGTAATTGCTTTTTGAAGTGATATATTAAATAATCGACCATGGCTGTGGCGAAAAATCTTTGTCACAACGAAAAGAATGTTTCATGAAAAATGATTACAATTTGGAGGGTAATAATGTTAATTATTAAAAATTTTTTTTTTACCAATTATCGTAAAATTATTAAAAAATTATCTAAACCCAAACCTACTGCTGCCGAAATTGTTTTTTCACACAAATCAACGAAATGATCAAATACTTGGTCCCGAGCCAATTAAATCGATGACACATCAAACATCCCAGTACTTCAATTCGATCTGCCACATTCTTCCTCGTCACACAAACTCCACATACTATTTTCCTCCAATATCTCAACCATAAATTCGAAAAACAATACAATGGCCCCACCAAATATCCAAAACTACCCATAATTAAATAGAAGAAACTCCACCAATAATGATGAAGAAATTCATGTGTAAAACATGAAAATTCAATTCCTTCTTCTTTGGCATGTTCCAGGAATGGAAATAAACCTTCGTACGTAGGTTTTGATGTAACTTCGGAAGGAATTGGAGTGGTGGTGGGGTTCACAGGAGGAATTTGATCTTGCGTTGTAGATGATGACGATAGAAGAGGTGGTTGGGTTTGGTGATGATGATGATGTGTGGTGTTGACAGTTGGTGTTGATGACGATTGCATTCTTTTTTTTTCTTCAAATTTTAAAGTCGTCTTAACATGAAAATAGAAATAATATTTAAAAGGAAATAGTTTTTAAGAAATGGAATTCCAATGTGAAAATGAAAAACAAAATTGGGTTCTACAAGAGTTCTGTAGACTGGATTGGTTCTTTCGTTGCTATGAACGTGGCCTACTGTATGCATTCGCATTTGTATATGGGTGTGCGGATTGGTGATTTTTTTCCAGGAACATTTTCCTGCTTTACCAAACATGGCAATATTCACATGATATTTGTAGAGAATATCTTCAAAGACTTCTTGGAGAATTTTTGATTCTCCAATAATTGATTCATCAGCAGCTGAAAAGATATTTTGAGAACTATAAATTGGACGATGGCCAACCACAACCCAAGGTGTTTTCTTTTTATTAATTTTAGACAAGGTGTCACTTAACCATTCCGATTGATCCACCTTGTTTTTAAAATTGGATTCTGGAAAGAAGGAATGAGGAATATTTGTTTCAGTATCAATGGCCACAAATGTCACAAGTCCAGAATGCCACATGTTGTGTCCAATTAGGGAAAAATTTCTTCCTGGCATGAAAACGATTGTTGTAAGCCATAAAACCTCTTTCAAAGTCATCGTAGGGTTTGTTTTGTGGTCTATTCTGTTATGAAAAGATTCCATCCATCCAATTAATGCAATCCAAGAGTGAGTCATCCAATGAAATTCAAAGTGTTAAAGTGGAACCGTTGACATGTCATGAGATAACGACATTCAATCGATGGACACAATTACTTCATCGATGACGTGTAAAGTATAATTCAACTTACCTCATGATTTCCAACACAAACTATATAAGGCACATAAGGCATAATATTTTCCATCATTTCCATATATATCGATTCCAAATGATTTGACACTTTTCAACTGAAAAATCATCCGCAAACGAAATATCTCCCAAATGATACACAAAAAAATAATTTGGATGTTCACTGTTATAGAATGTGTGAATATATTGTGCAGTTCGAGCAATGACTTTTTTGCTATTCGTTGTTCCCTGATCGGCATACATGATCACTGTATGAGTGAGCGCTATGTCATTCTTGATCTCATTCGGAACAGTTCAGTTGGGTGTTTAAAAGTCTTGTTGGATCTGTCTTCAAGTGAAAAAGTAATAAATTTCACTCGAAGTAATGGGCTTTCCGAGCCATTCTTTGTCGAAGTTTTTGGTGTGGAAGGAAATGACAAGCTCGTCATGTTGTTGGCTGCTGTTCTTATTGTTGGTAAAAGCCAAGTGAACTTGAGTGGGAGTGAAATCTGTGGTAGTAGTGCTACGTCTTTTGAAATGCTTGTCATCACGTTGGCCAAAAATTCTTTGACGACAGATGACAGCTCCGCCAGCAATTCAGGATCACGCAAAAAAAAAACATGCTACCTTCCACATCTTCTGATCCTATCAGACTCAGCAAGAAGGTGGTCATATCCATCGACTTTGGTACTTCGAGATCTGGTTATTGTTATTCGTTTAAAACTGACTCCAAAAAACCAGAGTCAAGAACAATGAATGGAAAGACGCTCCAAAAGGTGTGAGATATCCAAAAACTTTGACACATCTACTCTACAAAAAGGATAATCTAAAAAAGCCAGTGGCTTGGGGTTACTCCCCTCTCGAGTTGATTTCTCAGGAGATGGAGGATGCTTCTGATGACGAGATTGAACAGACCAGTCAATATTTCCACTTCAAGAACTTTAAGATGGGTCTTTTCAACAATCCTTCCAAAATGTGTAGCGACACCACAAACACCGTTCAGAAGAATGTTGGTGAATTGGTCGTCGATTATTTGAGACTCTTGTATATGGAAGAGATCAAACCTTCCATTGAAAAGATTCTGAGATGTCCATTGGAAACCTCTCAAATCACATGGTGCTTGACAGTTCCTGCCATTTGGAAAGATGAACATAAAGCTGCCATGAGAATTGCAGCCTATGAAGCTGGTCTTATTTCAACCAAAGAACCTTCATTGGATGATTTCAAAATCGTTTTGGAACCAGAAGGTGCTGCTGCATATTGTATGGAATTCCAGGCCATGAAAGGTTCTGCATTGAGAGAAGGTCAATCGTTTTTGGTATGTGATTTGGGAGGTGGAACGGTCGATTTGACATGCCACTCGTACACAAAAGGAAAATTGAAAGAAATTTGTGACGGTGATGGTGGTGATTGTGGTTCCACTTATTTGGACGAACGATTCCTCCATTATTTGGAAGAATGTTTTGGTGTTGAATTTGTGAATGCTCTGAAACGAAAGTATGCTCAAACCTACTTGGAGGTGATGAAAAACTGGGAGAAGCTCAAGGTCTCTACCAAAACCATCGATGCTGATGTTCAGCTCGAAATGCCAAATACTTTCCCAGCAATAGTCGAGGAAGAAGGAGTTGTATGTCCCAAGTACAGGAACAATCGTCGTCATAATTATTTGATCATCACAAAAGAAGCCTTGCAGAAAATTTATGGACCTTCCATGAGCCAAACTGCCGAATTGGTTTCTTCACAACTTGAAAAGGTAAAAAACAACACTGGAAAAACAGTGGATTTCATTTTCATTGTGGGTGGTTTCGGTTCGTCTGAAGTGATTCAAAACCGTTTGAAGAGTTTGTTTAGTAGTGCATCGACTCAAGTAGTCGTTCCAACTGAACCTGCAGAAGCTGTGGTTGACGGTGCAGCCCTATTGGGATTGGATGATTCCTTGATTTGCACGAGAAGAATGAGACTGACGTATGGTGTGAAAGTAAACATGAAAGGAAGTAAGGAAGAGATTTTTGATACCTTTGTTAGTTTTGGACAAGAAGTGGAAGTCGATCAAGGAATTGAAAGAGTCTACAAAGCACAGAGAGCGAATCAACAAGCGATGAAATTGGTTTTCTATGCCACCAAGTTGAAATCGTTGAAAGTGGTGGACGAAACAAAGTGTCGCAAGATTGGACAAATTATTGTGGACATGAAGGACACTACCGGTGGTTTGAATCGAGTGGTGGTTGTGAAAATGTATTTTGGTCGATCGGAGACGAAAGTAGAAGCTTTGGAGAAAACTTCAGGAAAGGTGTATTCGGCCACAATCAAATACGATGGTGAAATATTTGTCTCTGAAGATTCCTCTGTTCCAGAAGAGGAACATGCAGAGTCCATGAATCATATGTAAGTTATTTGTGGAACTTGAATGTTTTGAATTCATGTTTATGGATGGGTTGTGAATATAGTATCTTTGCAAATGATATTTCTGGATCGATGAGCTGCAGCGATGCCACTCCTTCCAAGGATTTCTTAAGAGTAAGTATCATTAGTTAGAACCTACTTCACATTTGACCATTGGAATTGTTTAGAGATCTCATAACAACCGAGTTGGTGCCTTGTATGAAGCTTGTTATGAGTTTATTGCACAGAGAGAATCTTCACAAGATATTTGCTCGTGTATTCTTCATCATCATGACTCTATCCTTATTTATGAAAAGCAACCTATCAGTACATCCTTGGTGAAGGACTATATGATGAAGTACAATGCTGGCGGCGGCAACAATTTCAAGAATGTGTTTTTGAGGGTTGGGGAGGTTCTTGCTCACAACGATCATTCCAACTACAAACCAATTGTTTTGTTCATGACCGATGGAGTTTGGCATGACGATGGAGGTCCTCAAGTTCTTGAAGGGCTTATGCAGAAATATCCTGATCTTGTCGTGCATGTCATTTGTCTTGGAAACGAAATCAACAAAGAACTGATGCAACGTTTTGCAACCATCGGAAGGGGAACTTTTTCAGTTTCTGGTATTAATCTTGGAGAGTTGAAAAGTACATACCTTAGTTTGTTGCCTTTGCTTGAATAACCATTTTTGTTGTCAAGGAGTGGTTGGCTTCCAAAGAAGAAATCCTTATTCAAACTTTTAAGGTGTGATAAACAATATCTTTTGATCCTTACTGTAATTGAATTTTAAAAACCGTAGTCGAAGAGAAGATATTTACTTCTTTCACAGAATCTTTTCCTCCTTTGCTCAGACACCATTAGCGTGATAACGTTAGCGTTTTAATGTGAAATTGACATGTCACCATTCACCTTCCCATCAAGCTACAAAAAAAATGTTAAAACACGATCCTGTCCGTCTTAAGACCAAAAAGCGCTTTGTGGTGGGTGTTGATTTTGGTTCCACTGGCTCTGGCTTTGCCATTGCTCTGGTCAATGGTGATGACATTTTCTCACCAAAAACCTATGAGTGTGCTCCAAATGAAACTTATCGCAAGAATCTTTCTGCCATCATGTACGATCGTGGTGTAAGGTTTCAATACGGATTCAGAGCTCAAAATACTCATTTCTACGCTGATGATGATGACGATAAGGAGAGTAGTGATGGAGAAGAAGCTACTCGTTCCACAAGTAGTGCTCCCTCATTGATTAGTGCGAAGTCCTTCGAAGAGAAAGACCGGAGAGAGTACTTTACAGATCTCAAGCTCAAGTTTATGCAGAATCCAGAAAGTGAGTATGTGGTAGATAGGGTGACACTCACGAAAAAGTCAATTGTCGACATTATTGCAGACTATCTGGCCATGCTGTTGGAACATATTATGCAACTTCTTCACAACGCTGATAGCTCGGCTACGATGCAAGACATTAGATGGTGTTTTTCTGTTCCTTCTCATTATGACGAGAAGAAGATCCACTTAATGAGAGAAATTGCTTACAAAGCCAAGTACATTTCAAATGTCAATGCTCCTGAGGATGACTTTATGATTGTCACTGAACCAGAAGCAGCCTCCATATATTGTTTGAAAAACATGGCGCAGATGAAAAAAGGTGTAAAGGAAGGTGAAACCTTCATGATCATGGACGCAGGTGGTGGTACAGTCGATATCACTTGTTATGAAATGAAGAAAGGCCGTCTTCGTGAGCTCACCATTCAAAATGGTAATATTTGTGGATCCAAAAAGCTTGATGAAGAATTCATGAAGGTATTGGATGAGAACTTGGATAGCGGATTCATCACCTTCAAAAGGGATTTTCCTGAATCATTGTTAAAATTACTACAATATTGGGAAGACAAGAAGAGAAACGTGAAGGTGATGGACAAGATTAAAGTTGAAGCTCCACCAGCCATGGACAAAGTGGACAATGCATATCCATCTTCAGGCTTTTTCAACAAAACAAGAAGAGGAAATAACATTTCACTATCAAAGGAGCATGTGCAAAGAATCTTTGACAAGGTCGTTCCTAATATTTTACGTTTAGTGGATGATCAAGTTGAACAATTCAAGAAGGAAAATCGCGATCGAAAGGTGGATTACCTGTTCATGGTGGGAGGATTGAGTGATAATCTATACCTTCAAGATATGATCAAAACTCAATATGGAAGTATGTTTAAGGATATTGTCTTCCCAACATGCAGTGGGAATTCTGTCATTCAGGGAGGTGCCTTATTAGGAAAAGATCCAAGTCTTATTCGTTCAAGAAGAGCAAAACTTACCTATGGTATTAGTGTGATGGACGATTTTGATCCAGAACATCACCCAGAATCCAAATATTACTATGAGGGAGGCCGACATTTATGTAAAGACATTTTCGAAGTCTTTGTTGAAAGAGGACAGGAAGTTGATGAAGATCATACCATTCAGAAAGAATATGATGCAGTGAATGACCATGTTACAATTCGTTTGTTCAGTTCTCCTTACAAGGCAAAGGATGTACCATTTGTTGACACTGTTGGTCGAATTCAACATCTGGAAGATATTATAATCCCATTTCCTGACAAAACTTCGAATGACAAGAGAATCATTGTCAAGATGCAATTCGGAAAGGCAGAGATATTGATTACAGCTGAAAATGCCCAGGGACAAAAGAAAGAGGTTCAAAAGAAATTCGAACAGGAATCCTTGTCGCTCATTAAATAAACTTTGACGTGATCGTCATTTCGATTACCCTTCAAACGTCAATGAAGATCAAAAAAAATAATAAAATATGGGGAACGGTGTGTCTGAAGAGGAAAAACAAAAAATCTATGCCCTTCAATCCAGTCATCAACAGCTCCAAGCTCAGCACAACATTCTTCAACAGCAGCTCCGTTCATGTCAACAACTTGTCAGAGAGAAAGATTATCAGCTCCGTACCTTTGAAGATACTTGTAATCAACAAAAACAACAAATAGAACAGAGTCAGCTTCAGACACAACGTATGAACGAAGAATATCAAAAACAACTTTCGTCCACATTAAACCTATTCCAAGAAGAAATTGAAAAAAAAAATCAAATTTTAGAATTCAATTTTAAGGAAAAAATAGATCTTATTCGTGCCAATGAGAAATTGGAGAATGACTTGTTGATGATGAGAGTGGATTCCAATTCTGCTCTGAGTAAAAATGATTTTTCAAATGAAGCAAGCCCAGAAAGAGTGAGAGAATTGTTTGGTCACACCAAAGAAAAATTGAGATCGCTTGTGGATTATTTCGAAGATGAATGTCAAATATCTGAGGACAAGTCTTTTGAGCTGGAGAAGGATCTTTCCAAATACTTATTTAAAGAGGTTAAATCAATTTTATTGGAAACATCAGACCAAGCGCAAGTATCTGCTGAGAAGAGAAATGAAGAGTTGGATGGCAGCACCGAATTTGACACCAAGTCAAAAATGTTGATTATCAAACAAGGAATTCTCAAAATTATCTCCGAATATGAGCAAGATTCTACTCTCATCAAGGAAGAAGTAATCGAAGAGCTTTGTAAAGAAACAACAGAATTATTCAGAACCATGCAAGCATGCTCAAAAACACTGGAGTTCATATGGTATGATTCCTTGAGTGAATACAATCCGTATGAACAATCTTCCATCAACAATAACTTTAAAATATTGGTCGAGTACACAATTTTCCCATGTTTAATGATTCCTTCCACAAGAACGGTCTTTGAGCGAGCTCTTGTTGGTGTTAAGGAAAAAAAAAGTAAATAAGTCCTAATAAAACATTCACACAATAAAAAATTGTGCATTGATAATTCTCGAAAAGTATGTTTGTATACCATTATCTATCTCCTCGAAATGTACAGAGCATGGATAATTTAATTTTCATTAATTGCACTATAGAAAGTAATTCATTGATAAGGGCATTACTTTAGCTTTCTATTCTTTGTGATAACTACCGCACGTTCAAACACCATCCTTGAGGTTGGAATCATCAAACATGGATATAACACAGTTTCAATGAGAATTGTTTCCTTCTGATTGGTTGATTTGTGTTCATAAGGATTGAATGTATCTGTTTTCTTACACCATACCAAATCGAATTTCTTTTCACACATCATCATATCAGCAAAGAATAAGATAACTCTCTGACATAAATGGGACAAATTTTCTTGATTTGTCGCGTTGCCAAGATTCATGTTGTTGCTACTGGTGTCCGATTGAAGTTTTTCATGAATAAATCTTGTGAGACCAAGCTCAGTATTTGATACGAGTTGACTTTGAAGCTCTTTGCTTTCCTTAATGATTTTTCCAATGGATTGATCATCCACTACATTCTGATGGTATTGTGTTACAAATCCCTTAATCTGAGGCAATAATGTCTTAAATATGCTTTCAGATATTTGAGCTTCCATTTCGATGGTTTGGACTTCTGACAGCTGACAGTTCTGGGAAATTTCTTCTACAAGTGCCTGTAACTCAGATTTTACATTCAAAAATGACTCACAAACCGACTGAGGGCCGCGTTCAGTAAAATCATTGGTAATCGTATTTGGATCTGTTTCAATTCGTAATTTCAGTAAATCGTTCGTCAACTTTTGAACTTCTTCTTCAAAGTGTTGTTTTTCTTTTAACCAATTTTCTTTTTCTGTTAAAAATTCTTGTTCTTTCTTTTTATACTTTTCATTGAACTTTGTTTTCAATGAATTAATTTCTTCCTCATGCTGCTCTTTCAATGTTGTACGTTCCTTGTTCAGTACTTGTTCGTTTTCTTTAAGAATTTTGTCCTTTTCTTGTTTCCATTGATTTTCCATTTTTGTTTTTTCTTGTGAAAAACGTATATGGAGTTCTTCCTTTTCCTTTTTCATCTTTTCCGTCTCTGAAACTTTTTGATCGATATTCAATTTTGTTTGTTCGAGTTGTTTCGACAATTGTTCTTTTTCCGAATTCAATTTTTTCTGTTGTTGAACTTCATTCTTGAGCTGATGTTCGAGTGATGAAATTTTTTGAAGTAATTTGTTTTCGTTTTGATGAAGAAGACAATTGGCTTGTTGTAATTGTGTAATATGCTGTCGATAATCTAACAAGGGATCCGTTGAAGGTTGATGAGAAAATGAAAGACCCATGCTGGCGTGATTTTTTTGTGTGGCGTGATCACCTTGTAATTCCTACCTGTCAATTTTCAAGTTTTTGAAACCACAAAAAAAATGGAAACTGATCCAACTGGCCCCAACAACAACAACCCTATTAGAGATCACGCTCAATGTGGTGAACAAAAGGAAGGAAATCTCTCTCTTGGCAACAACAAAAGCACTGAAGACCCAAACGCTCCACTAAAGCTCAAGACTCATGAATACTTCTCCAAGCTTGAGACTCTTTGTGTGGATACTGTTCTCGGTAAAATCGACCCACAAGCACTTTTGGAACAAGCAAAACAACAATGTCCCTCTGAATTGGATGTCCTTGCTCAACATGTTGAAAAAGGTTTCACTCAGGCTTTGAAAGAAAAGATCAAAGAAATCTCTGATGAGAATGGTCTTCTCACTCGTCAACTTGAAGAGCAGAAACAAGATATCTCTTCTAAAGATAAGGAGATCGAATCCTTGGAAGAATCAAAAAGAACCCTTACCACTCGAAAGAAAGACCTCAAAACCAAATTGAACGAGGAAAGGAATAATTCAAGAAAATTGGAAAATCAAATCGAAATATTGAAGAAAGAAGTAAAGAACTTGAAAAAGGAACGCTCAAATTTAGCATCCCAAGTTCAAGAAGCAGAAAAGAATTGTAAAAACCTTCACTCGCAACTGGATGAAAAGAATCACACCATTGTAGACTTAAACAAGCAAGTCAAGGACCTCAACCACAAGGTAATGGTGATGCAACCAAGTAATGAGATTATTGAATTGTTAAAAACTGCCACTCATAGTCGCACTTTACAACTTGAAAAGGACGTAAAAGAATTGAGAAAACAAACACAAGAAGACGAAAAGCAAATCAAAAAGCTAAATAAGGAAGCACTTGATAATGAAAAACAAATCGAGAATTTGAAAAAGGACATGACATTCAAAGAGAACAAGTTTAATAACGCACTCAAACAGAAAGACCTCGATCATCAAAATGAACTCAAAAACAAACAAAACACCCATGAATGGGAAATTAACAACTTGAAAACCAAACATGAAAAACTTATGAAAGAGAAGAATGAGGAAATTGAGACAATGATAAAAGATTTCAACATGAAGAAAGAAGCTCTTTTACAAGAAAAGAAAGTTTTTGAAAAGAAGATCGAAGATCTTGAAGGAGATCTCATGTTAGCAAGAGCTCAAAATGATCCTGCCCTTACCATGAACGATTTTTCAGGTTCAACTCCCCAAATGATCGCTAACAATTACAACGATTTGAGAGATCTCCTTTCGAAATTTGTTTCAGATATTGGTGACCAGTATAAAGAGGCACTTAATAAGGAATTACCAGAAAATATCATTGAATCTTTGGAGGATGATCTTTTTAACATGATATTCAAAACTGAAACGGTAAACAACATGAAAGAAATAGCCTCCAAGGATGTGAAAGATGCCAAAGAAATTCCAAAAGTGTTGAAAAACCAAGACAAGAATCAGAAGTATGTCAAAGGACTAAAAGAAGAGATAAACAAAATGATTATGAAACTCCCAGAAGTGAACTCAAAGATGATCAAATGTTTGGAGAAGTCTCTAAATGAGATTTGCCAAGAGACTCTCAATCTCTATGGAGGAATGATTGGAAATTCAAAGATGGAGTTTGTTTGGCCACAAGTGGGCGATTACTTTAATCCTTTCGAACAAGAGGCTCATAACGCTGTTAAACATGTAGTGATTGACATGATTTTACATCCAAGCTTGATGTATCCTTCCTCAAAAACTGTGTTTGTGAGAGCAAAGGTTATAGTCAAAGAAAGAAAAACCAGATAGTCACCATTAGGTTTGCAATAACAATAGAAGAGACAATATTTCAATAAAGACCTAATATTTACACGTTTGAGACTGTGCATTCCAAATCGGAATTCCCAATCACTCCAAAAAAAAATGTCAACATCCACTTCGCCTATGAAGGATGAAATTGCGTCTCTTGTTGTGAAATCGGTGATTAATGGAAATACCATCACAGCCATTCAAACACATCATCATCATGATCCTTCTTCACAAGAATTGATATTGGTACTTCAAGATATTCAAACACCTCGACTCAACGAAGTAAGTTTCATTTCCAAATCAGAAAACACTATCAGACAGTCTCTTGTCGTTCATCATACATTCTGCTTTTTAATTCATTCACAAAGCCTTTCGGCTTTGAATCTCGTGAATTCTTACGAAAAAAGTTGATCGGAAAAACCATCCATTTCCAACTCGCATATTCAAGAGAAGAATGGGGCTGCAAAACTATTGATTATGGAACCATATATGTAATGAATGAAAAGAACCAACAACAAAACATTCAACACAAAAAAATGCTAAACATCAACGAAGAGGTGGTAAAGGCAGGTTTTGGAAAAGTTGTCAAAACGAAATATCCCAATGAATATCAAAAACGATTACTTGAATTGGAACAATTTGCCCGACAACACAAGATTGGTCGTTGGAATACAGACAATCTATCACCTTTTCCTTCGAGCCATAATATTTCGCACCACGAACTCGCCCATCAATTGTTGAAACAATTTCACTTGAAAATTCTGAATGTAGAGATTTTGGAAGTGAGAATGAATGGAATTCGGTTGCAAGTCAGACTTGCAAATTCGTATGACAAGGTTTGGATTAAACTGACAGGTGTGTTGAATGATTCATCTGAAGAAGTGTCCAAGTCAGGAAATGAAAGAACTTTCTCTAAAGAATTGCAATATTTCGCAGAACTTCGGTTACTTCATCGAGATGCTGAAATTTTGTTAGAAGGAATCGATGACGACAACGACGCATTATTAGGGAGTGTCCTTTTAAATTCTTTAGAGGATTCTCAATCACGAAGTGAAGATAGAACACTCCCTGTCACCTATCAAGAAGAACTACTAAGGGCAGGAATGGTTTCTATCGATGAGAGAACCATTGTATCCTCCAAATATGCTCACAGACTACGTGCAGCAGAAATGCTTGCAAAAGAGGAAAAACAAGGTTTATGGGCTGTGAAGGTCCGAAAAAACAGAAAAACCAGCAATACCGTTAAAAAAGAGCAATCTCCTGAGAGCACTTCATCCATGATGATGATCTTCCAGGAAATTGTCAATTTGAATGCAAAAGTGAAAAGAAATAATTTGGAACTTTCAAAGAAAATGATGATTTTGGAACAACTCATTGTTCATCTTGAGAATGTGAAAAAAGAAAATGCTGAATTTACCTCTCTGATTGAACAAGAATTGGTGTCACTTGTGGAGAAGTGTCAAGTTGAGGCTTTCATGACTCATGGAAACACCAAGATGAGTATTCACAATCAAAGTGATATTTGTAAATTTGAGACACTTTTCGAAACCTTTCGAATGGCTAAAAACACCATCCTTGAGAAGAATTACATTCGTACTTTGAACGACTTTATTCTCATGATGGATGAAAAAATTGAAGCAATGAATCAATGCCTACTCGATTTAAGCGAAACCTTCATTCCTATGGAGAATTCCAATGAACGTTCAACAGTTCCTAATAATAATAACAAAGAAGTGATTACACAATTGCGTGAATGGAAACAATCAGTTGAGGGAGCCAGGACTCAGAAAGAGGGTCAACAGGTTGTGGAGCTTATCACAACGACCTTGCAAGGAATTGCGAACAGCTTACATGAAGGATCAAATTTTGAATGTTCCAATCTTTATGAATTGTTGAAACAAGGAAAGACATATTTGATCTATGAATTGGCCTCTTTTTCACACACATTTCCTACTAAATTGTTTCATGGTCTGCAAGAAAGTGTTCAATTTTATTCGGAAAGAAAACAAGTGGCCGTATCCCTGGTCGAACAAGTTATTCCAACCTTTTTCCAGAAACACCAATATATCCAACATTCACTCGAGTTGATACATGATTATTCAAGTCTAAAAGAGAGAGTTCATTCCATCACAAAAGATAAAAAGAAACTAGAACGTTCCATTCAAAACTCTTCCTCACAGATTGAAGAACATCAAGAACAATTACAAGAAGGTGAATCTTTGCAACATGAAGATTTGAAGAAGAAGATTTCTGATCTTAATGATGAGATACTTTCAAAAAAAGAGAAATTAAGAAACATGATTACTGAACTGAATGAGGTCAGACTGAAATTGTTGAAGCTTTATCAACTCGGTTTTTCGGATGCTTTTTCACAATGTCAAGAAGAAAATCCCATATTTGGTATTCCCGAATTGTCTGCTCACTTTTTCACAAAAATCGAATTACTTTCTGAATGGAATGGAAACCATCATGTTTATGTTGGAACGGACTATCAATCCAAAAAACATATCATTAAGCAATATCATGTCCAGGACGAAAAGAAATTGAGTAGAATTAGAAAAGAATTGAAAATACTTCAAAAAATTAAGCATCAAAACATTGTCAATATTGAAGGATATTATTTAGAGAAAAACACTCACTATCAATCTATCATTATCAACATTGTCATGCCATTCTACAATGGAGAGAATTTAAAAAAGTTCATCTCTTTTTGGAGAAGTACAAACAATGACGATCATCCTGCAATTTTCTGGGAAATAATATGGGGACAACTTTTAGTGGCCATTCAGCATGTTCATTCAAGAGGTGTGATTCATTGTGACATCAAACCAGAAAATATCTTTATAGATGTCGATCTCGAAATGTTCATTAGAGTTATTTTGGGAGATTTCGATGTGAGTTATGATACTCAAAATCGAACCACATATAATGTCACGACAGGAACTTGTGGAACTTTTGATTATTTGGCACCAGAAATTATAGAAAAAAGAGAAAAAGCCTCTTTCATGTCTGATATGTTTGCTTTTGGTAAGACTGTCCAAAATGTCATGACTCTTCAAGAATTGAAAGAGTTACCGTCTTTCCATAAATTAGTGGAACAGTGTTTGAGTGAAGATCCTTTGAAAAGACCAACAGCTTCTGAAGCATTGGCCAATGAGTTTTTCACCATCGATACACAAATTGCATTTCAAACCAAGTTAAAACAAGTAGAGGTCAGCAAACAATTACAAGACCAAAAAGAACAAGTAATTCAGGAACTATTGAACAATTTACATCAACAACAAGAAGACATTATGAGAAAAGTTCATGAATTGGAGAATGAGAAGAAACACTTTCATGATCACACTTCTCAACAAGAAAAAGAGATTCAACAACGTATTGATTCACTCCAAAAAAAGGAAAAATTATTGAAGAAGCTCGACGAAAATTTAAGAAATAACTCCAAGTCACAACTCGCAGTGACTTTTCCTTCCTATTGGAAAAACCGAATGATTCATGGAGAGACATTTTTTCAAATCATGGTCGATGTGACCAAACACATGAAAACGATCATTCAAGAATTAATGGACATGACCTGTAACAAGTCCACCTTAGGAACTGGACGAGATCAACAAACGAAAATGAAATATTCAAAATTAATGGTCAGTCAAGTATTTAGAATTGAAAAAGTCTCATTATTTTCCATGTACATGAGCAGAAAACAGCAACTTTTATTATACAACGATCCTCCATATGAAATTAAGGTAAAAACACACCACCAGGATTCCTCTCAATCGTATCCAAATGCTACTTCCTGGTTGAAACAAAGCAGCTTGGATGCATCCATCAATGAAGTCTATTTATGGCATGGTACAAAACCAGAGTTTGTGAAAAAGATCGCCGAACATGGTTTTGATGAGCGAGTGAGCAATCTGTCAGGATTGTTCGGTGCAGGTATTTACTTTGCCGATTATTGCAGTAAGAGTGATCAATATTGCACACCAGAGTTGTCAGAGACATCTCGAGATTCCTCAAACCCAAAAGACCATTTGTATTGCATGTTTTTGAGTCGAGTGGTGTTAGGAAGGCAAGTGCATCATGTTCCACATGGTCAAAGTTTGGGAAATTCGAGAAGACCTCCTGACATTCCAAATACGAATGGAAGACCATACGATAGTGTGATTGGAAAGTCGAATGCATCTTCGAATGCATATACTGAATTTATTGTGTATGATCGAACTCAGTGTTATCCAGAATTTCTTATCAAGTATCAGAGAAGATAACATATTTCGATCTCATTGGTGTAACAACAGTTTGATTCTACTTACGAACTTCCTTATTGCCTTATTTGAATGATGAAACAAATTGTAATCTTAATTCCAGTCTTACAAAATTCCATCCAATAAACACTACAGCTTTAGCACAGCCCACTACATCAATGTTTCATCGGTAAAATAATTTCCAAATTTGGAAAATTTCTAACAATGATCTTGTTCACAATGAAAAGAAATTACCTTAAACTCAACCGATCCTTTTCGTTTTATTTTAAAAAACAACAACAACAACAACAACAACAACACATTGCATTGATTCCTTCAAAAAATCAACGTCCTCTCACCACTTTGCGCACTCATGTCCACACAATTATATCCTCCATCCCATCAATTCCCAATCTCCGCAACTCCTCAACAACAACAACAACCTCTAACATCGCTTGTTCCACCCACCACAGGATCCTCCACCCAACGATCACCTTCTCCTTTCACTGCTTCATCAACTCCTCAAGCGGTGACTCTTATAAAAACCGAACAACATGCAAAATCCATTTCAGAGACACAAGATCCAAATGCAAAGGAAGAAGAAGTGATTTGGATTCTTCCACAGACGTTTCTGAGTGTCTTTTCAACACCACATCATCCAGTGTCGAGTTCGAAATGTCACTTGCCAAGAGATGCTGATGAATTTTCTTCTCCCTTCAGCTCCTATGAACCCATATTAAAGCAATATGAAAAGGAACATGAAGGTGACATTCCACAAGAGGATCTTCTTGAATTGAATCCTTCTCAATATCTTCTAGAAAAGTTTCCCTCAGAAAAACAAGTCGAACAATTGATCACTCAAAAAGCATGTCGTACTCGAAAAAATTTAGAACAAATTCAAAACAATGAAGGTCGTTACTGTGAAGTCTCCTATCCAGATGTCCATTTGAAATTGTGTTTGTACTACTTTTTGCATCAGCAATGTTGGTACGTCGTTGGCTTAAAATTCATCAACACAAATCCCGAGTTGACAAAAATAGAAGCTGTGGATTTGGTGGAATGCAGAGCAGTCATTCCCACACTCAATTATGGTGAATGCACTGGAGGAGGAACTTCTCCTACTTCTGGATTGTGGCGTCAATTTGAAACAGAATATGAATACACATTCCAATTGGTGTTGAATTCGGGCGCTGTTTATGAGCTGATTGTGAGTGGATTGGGAATGATTCATTTTCAAATGATGAGCACACGACCTCAACAACCAGAACAATCGGTCAATGTGGCAGGAGAGAATGAAAATGATGATTTTAGAGGAGAGATTGAAATTTAAAAAGGATTGGATCAAGACAAATGAAATTTGGTTCAAAAATGTTCATCCTGTGAAATTAATGAAATAAATGAAAATGTGTTTCATGTGGTTCAGAAATTTCCATTGTTGTTCCAATTCAAAGATAGAGTTTTAAAGAACAATAATTATGAAAGACAACCTCTGTGAATACCAAAAAAAATTTGTTGTTTACAAACTTCTTCCAAACACTCGAAGTCAACCTGTCAAAAGGCATCCAATGAGGAATCTTTGTCTCACGAGAACATCATGTATCTACCTTCTCGAGAAACCCAACTCGAGTTCCATGAATGGTCGAGTTCCACCGTTCCACCTTCTATTCAAACCAAAAAAAATGCACGAACAACATGAAGAACCCTCTCGGAAAAAGAAGAAATTCTCTCATCATCATCCTCTGGAGGATGAACAGAAGAATTGCTTAAAAGAATGTTCTTTGAGGAATCATCAAAATATTCTACTCGCTGTAGATACGTTAGTATTGGTTGGAACGTTTTTGGAAATTTCAGACATTCTCAAATCCATGTCCCGAGTTTGTACAGGTTGGAATCAAGTCTTTTTGGATGATTGTTTGTGGAGATTCTTGTTCCAAAGAGACCTCGGGAATGTTGATTGGTTTTTACAGAAATTGAACCATAATTTCAACGATTTGTCATCCCAACTTTGTTCGACATCTGAGGACTCTGAAGAAGAAAAGGATAAAAAGAAAAACGAAAAGCCTTCTTATAAGAGCAAACTCAGTAAGAAAGATCAAACAAAATCTCCTGAGAAAAAAGGTGAATCTAAAGTGATAACATCCAATAAGGATGGAAATGAAGCTACAATTTCTCTTGAGATTTTACAAAAAGTTCTTGAAGATTGTTATGGTGAAAATCGATTTTGGTTGAGTTTATTTAGGTTGGTGGTTGCCATGATTCCTATTCAGAATTACAAAATGATGACTGACAAACAAATTGTTCAGCCCCTAAAGAATTCCACGCCTGGAACAAGGAAATCAAAAAAGAACAACAAAGATAAGAAGAAGAAACCTTCCTCTCAACAAAAAGGATGTTCTGATTTGTTTTTCCAAAAAGATTACATTGAAGAAGAAGACGACGACGGAGATTATTACAGCAATGGCAATCGCCTTGTTTCAAAAAATTATTGCTACTTTACTGTGAGATTTGGGGAAATGATAGGTACCATTTTGTCGTGTAAATCGGAGGGCACCACTTTATTGCGTAATGCTTTATACTTGGATGCTAAGACTCACAAACTTGCAGTAATTTTGAGCATTTTCGATCGTCATGGAATTATTTTGAATTATTTTGGATCAGATTCGCTCACAACACAGAACTATTTGAATAAGATCACATATGGGATGTCTCAACAAGCTCAAAAATTGAAAAATTATTATCTCTTCGACAAAGAAATACCAGCACTTCCTCGAACACCATACATTTCAGAATGCGATCAAATGTGTGTGGGTTTCAAAGATTCTCATCATGGCATTTCAATTTTGAAATTTTGTTATTCAATTTTATGTGGCAAAGAGGAAGCCATTTATCAGCCTCCACCAATACAAAACAGTTCAGATAAATCCACAACAGAAAATACCTCACAACCAAAAGTACAAGATGACCATGATGATAGTGACACTAATGATGATGACGGCGATGAGGATGATGACATTTATTATTATGATGATGAGGATGACGATGAGGATGAAGATGAGGATGACGATGATGAGCACAGGAAAAAGAACATTGCTGTTGGACCCTTCACTCATGATGCATTCATGCCATTTTGCAAATATTTATTAATGGATCATCCTTTGTTTAACAGACGTTCCTATGCAGTGGATGATGGACTCAACTTTGACTATTCATCAGGCAAGCCCGGATGGTGCTGTGGATTTTGGAATGCCAATTTTTATTGGTATCATATTGCTCGTTTCAAGACCATGATCGACTTGACTGAACCACGTATTATTCTGAGAGTGGAACAAGATCAGTCCAGTGTTTTACAAAGTTTATGTTAATCACAGATGACTTCATGATTTTCACACAATTTCGAATAATTCCAATACAGAGACTGCCCCCTTAATTTCATTTTTAATCTCAATGATTTCACCACTTTCAAATCTGTTCCTAAAATGGACATGGTACTTGCAAGCAGAATACAATGATTCGGGTGATACATGTGACACAAAGTGCCACACAAAGATTGCTGCAATTCGAGTGAGAAATGATCTACCAAATTTTGGTGAAGCTTGAATGGACCAGAAGATGCATTTTTCTTCTTTAAATCAGTTACCACTCATCTATGGTTAACGAAAGGACCAACATAAACGTTTATTGTGAAACGTTTTGCTGCTTCATCTGAGGTGATACAAGAAACTCAATGACATTAAAGCAATCAGTACAGAAAGAGCAGTCAAGTACCACCGAGAACTAGTAGTATGATCGTTGCTTGAAATTGGTTCGAAACTCAACATGACATTTCTCAATTTTCTCAAAGAAATGGATGAAAGAGAAACATTCTTGAATCGTTTCTTTTCGTCAAAAGACTCTGTACAAATATTTAAATCAACAAGTTTTGAAGTTAAGCATTCACTAAAGGCAATAAATTTCAAACCTTCTTCAGAATGTTCGTTGTACTCTAACTTGAGGGATGTCAAATTTTCCAAAGTAACACTTTTTGAAATTGCATGAAAGCCATCATCTGTTATACTGTTGCATGACAAATCCAAACTCGTCAAACCTGTCAAGAATGAGCTACTTGCAATAAATGCGACACCACTGTCTCCAATCGAATTGGTTCCTAAATTTAAAATCTTTAAATTCTTTAAATATGGGCTCTGTGCAATGTGTTTCATTCCTTCTGACCTAATTTTGTTCATACTTAAACTCAATTTGGTCAATTGTTTCATATTTTCACTGCGGGCGATCAGCTGAGCTGCCTGATCATCCATTCTATTTCCTGATAACTCGAGTTTTTTCAACCTTAAAAATTTGCTTTCTGTCAATGATCGAACACCATCGATATCGATGCGACAATAGTCGACTGACAATTTGGTCAAGTTTTTCAAAGGTTCACTTTCACTGATCCATTTCAGCCCTTCACTCATCACTGAACAAAAACTCACATGTAAATTCACCAAATTTTGCATCTTTGGACTCGAAGCGAGATGACCAATTCCATGCGCCTTCAAGCTTGATTCTTTGACATTCAGTTTCTTTAAATTTTTCATGTTTTCGCTTTTGGCTATTGAATGGACACTTTCAATGTCATTTCCACCAATATTCAAAGAGGTGAGATTTTTCATGAATGGACTGTCCGTAATTGCTAAAACTCCCTTCTCTGTAATTTCTGTGTGATAGAGATCGAGGGAGGTAAGATTTCTCATCCTTTCACATCCCACAAGCATCGCTATTCCTTCATCTTTCAGATGAGTGTGTTGCAAGTCAAGTGTCAATAAATTTTCAGCGAAACGACAAGTAGATGCCACCAGTTCTTGTATTCCAATCACAGTGATTTGTGGACCATTCAAATGTAGTTCAGTAAGATTGCACATATTTTTACTCCTAGCAAGAATTTCAACTCCTTCATTGCCAACTCGAACCATTCCCATATGAAGAGACTTTAAATTTTTCAAATATTTACTCTTTGCAATGGCTTTATATCCACTCACTCTCAACCAATTACCTTCAATGTTCAAAGAGGTCAAGTTTGAAAAGTTTTCATTCTTTGCAATCTCAATCACACTCTCATTCATCAGTGGATTGGATCCTAAAAATAACTCTTTGAGATGGTTCAAATATTGACTTGAAGTGAGCGCAACGATCGATTCATGTGAGAGATTATTCTCACTCAAATCAAGAGAGGTCAAATGTTTAATATTTTTACATGAAACCATTAAAGGTAGAAAAAGATCATCAAGAATCTTGTTTCGTTTTGTAATCTTCAATGGAATTTCAAGAGATTTTAAATACCATTGTTTTGAAAGGAACATACACACTCGGAAAATGGTTTCGGAATCTATAAATTGTAAAATATGAAAAACCATGTCATCCATCCATTCGGTAGCATGAACTTGTTGTTGTTGAAACAGGGTGACCTGTTCAATTAAGTTGGAATCTTTTATCATCTTTTCATCGGGAATTGAATTTGAGATCATGCATGAGGATTTCATCGTTTTTTAATTAATTAATTTTCTGATAAGAACAAACACGAAATTGAAGCATCAATGGATGACATCTCATGACTTCCAGCACAAGAGGGATTAAGAGTTTGTGACATTTTCATAAAATCTTTTTAGCGATCCAACGAGTAAAATCGAAACCTTTTTATCAAAGCTCACAAAATTTGAAAAACTTAAAAGTGTAATCTCATGCATTTCATCACTTGACTGTACTCGTGGATGTGCTTGCATACTCTTCATTCATTCCCAAAAATAATTGTTGTTTCAATAATTGGCGTTCTTTCTGCATTTGCAATAAGAGTAATCGCAAACCATCGACAGAATCTGGTAGCTTTTCCAATTCTTCTCGATCTTGTTCTTCATCCAAATAACAATTCGAAAGTTTTTCTGTTTTCTTTCTTCCAATGACAATAGGTAATGGATTGGTTTTGAAATACATTTCTTCTCCGTGGACTGCTCGATCGGCCTTGTACATGAAATTTAATTCTTCCTGTTCGATAGTGTCCCATTGTGGAAGTGGCCGTAATCGATAAAGCTTGTTGATTGTTTCGATTTCTTCATTGTCATTCATGTCTTCGTATTTATCGAGTGAAATAAATGTCAATTTGTCAAGGTCACGTTCTTCGTAGGCCGAAAGTGAAGACATTGGATTGACAAGAACTCTCTTGTGTGATTGTTTACCTTGTTCCTTCACATCAGCATCGAGGAAGGAATCAATGGTTTCTCGATTGTAATGGAATGGTCTCTTATCTTCATAATGAGATTTTGAAAGCATATTTCGAGGTGATCTGATTGAGGTCGAATGGCCACCACTGTTGTTCTGCCCTCCACTTGTGGATTCTCTGAATGAGGTAGATCTTGAAAGAGGTGACGCTTGTGAAGAGAAACTTGGTGATAAATCTGAAGAAGACAAATCTGAATTGTCGGATGTGAATGAAGTATTGGTAGAAGATGGCTTATTTGCTAAGAACAAAGGAAGAGAAGGCATGGTATTTGTGGAACCAGGTAATGTTGGAAGGCCATATTGAGGAGCATCTGCAACTGGTGACTGACAGCCAACAGGTTTGATAAGAACAATACGATCCGCTTGTGGACTGGAAAGTGACGAAGAGCTCGTATGACTTCCATTGTTACTGAGTTGTTGATTGTTTCCACCAACACCACCAGGGCTGCTATTATTATTCGCAACAAGATTTTCAGCAGAGGATGTTCTTCGAGCTTGTTGCTGTTGTTGAGAAGTATTTTCACTATTTCCAGCCAAAATTCCTTTTGCTTTTTGCAACAAAGTTTTTCGTTTGTCATTGTTACTTTGTTTGGAATTTGAGGAATTATTGTGATTTGATGAAGAAGATCCATTGTTGTTCTGAGAAGATGATGATCCTCCAAATCCACCATTAAATGTCATGGAAAGTATTTTCCTTGCTCTGTTGGAACCTCTTGCAGATTTCACTGCACGGTCCGAGCCCATCAATTCTTCCGAAGATCCAGAAGAGGTTTTTAAAAAGTCAGCATCTGAGGTTCTTCTTGCATCCAATGCGAGAGATGGAACAATAAATTCCTTTTCAGTGGTTTCTTTCAATTCATCAATTCCACCAATGATTGGTTTTCTTTGCTGCTGTGAATCTTTGTCATTGGAAGTTGATGTGGAAAGCTCGCTAACCTTAATAGGTTTCAATGTGGCAACACTATCATGATGATCATCAATTGGCCTCACATATTTTTCCTTATTTGAATCACAGACTGGATCTGATCCAAATATTTCCACAAAACTGCAAACCTCATTGCCCAACGCTGCCATCAATTTGGAATCCACTTCCAATAGCTCAGCATCTGTGGTTTTCTTTTCTTGTTCGTGTGTCACGAGATTCTTTTCAACTTCGGAAAATTCTGTTTCGTATTGATTGTACTTTTCTTGATTGGCACGCATCATCTTTTCCAGTTCTGCAATTTGATTTTTTTGTTCTCGGATGGTCTTGCTGAGTGTGTACATTTCATGCTTTACAGTTTTGTGTCTTTGCTGAGTTGAGCTTAATTTTGAGTTGTTAATTTTTGATCTATTGTACAATCTAATTCTTCTATCTTGAATCATGATAGATGTTTCTTCCTTATTCCCCACTGCGTTACTAAGATGCTGTCTCAAGCTTACAATTGGATTCGAACCAATACTACCAGAAGAGGAAGAAGCTGCACTGTTCGCATGATTGGAAGTTGCAGAATCTGAAAAAGTAGCAGTTGGGTTATTACTGTCACTGTAAGAGCTAGATGTATGATTACTTGAAGATATGCCACTTGATGTAGCTTTTGATGACTTTTCTCGAGCACTCATTTCATCAATGTGTGTACCAAATGTTTTGATGCCATATTTACGACATCGAGTGTGTTCCATTTCAATGAGTTCTCGAAGGTCTTTCTCCCATTTGATTCTTTCTGTTCCATTAATGGCTTCAAATTTAAAAGTGTAAATGGAACTCTTTAAGAATGTTCTGATGGTGAAATCTTTGCGTTCTTCATCGTTGAGTTCTTCTTCCGTTTTAGGATCCATTTCTGAAAATGTGAAAAAAATGAAATGTGTATAATCTACTCTTAACCCTCTATCAGCTGTCATTGGGATACAAATCATCATGTCATTACATAGGTAGACTTCACAGTTAGAATTTAAAAATTTTCTAGAGCATCGAACTCGAAAATCATCCTTCTTCAAGTATTTTCTGTGAGGTGTGACCAAATTGTTGAAACGTTTCTTCAAAATTTGTTGTAATCTGAGGAATGTAATGTTATTTTCATCGTGTCGCTTCTTTTCATTCACGAATAGTGCCAATTCATTCAATATAGCCAAAGTTTCTACAATCACATTATATTCGACATGTTCTGGAATGGTTCTCTTCAATAGCTCACTAAACAGCATTTTCAATCTGGGTATTCTCTGAACAGGAGTAATTAACAAGCTCTGAAGAGTCACTCCCTTCTTTTCATAAACACTTTCCACAAATTCATTAAATTTTGGATTTCTCAGTATTAACTCTTCCACTAATTCATTAGCCTTTTCATAGTTATTTACATATACTGTGTAAACTTTTAAGAACGGCAAAATCTTTTTGAAAATTGAAGGGAAATGATTTTTAGGCCAGTGCATTTTCCAGTCCATCTCAAGATCGTGTAAGAGCGCTGTGTTCGTTTTCAAAATTTGTTCAATATTACTGAAAATAGAGTTGTACTGCATTTCTGGAGTCAATCCGTCACGCAATACAATATTTGTGGCATTGATATTTGGACCAGATTGGTAATGGTTGAAAATTGCAAAATTATTTTTCTTCATGGGCAGAAAAAAATCATAGTAAAGTGTTTCAAGTTGATTCACGTAACTTCGTTCTGTTGAGAGAATTTCTTTCAAACAGCTTTGTCTCAATCTCTGTTGTTTAAACTCTGGAGCGACCCTCAAATAATTAACAAACTTTTTCAATTTCCACCATTCTGTAAAAACACGATAGATGAGTTTTCCTGCTTCTTCAACAGAGAATTTTTTAAAGTCTTGATATTTCAGTGGTGACACTCCTGAGAAAATTGTGGCCTTTCTGTTGGTCTGTTTGCCTCGAGCCCTGTCCAAACCTTGTTGAATGGCCAATTTTAAATAGTAGTCTGCTCCAACATCGACCAATTTACGAGCAGCATGTTGAAGAGTTATATGATGTAATAATCTCTTCTTTCTCTCATCAATATTAGGATCAAAATCGAAAAAGTGTGGAAGTTTCGTTTTGTACAATTCTAATTGTTGTTGATCAACATTTGGTTCATAATTTTCCATTTCTGCTAATTCAGAGAGAGCCAACAGGTCTTCAAGATCAAAATCTTCATTCTCAAACGTTTCAAGTTTTGAGAAGGGAAGAATAAAATCTGCGTCTGTCTCAGTCTCTGCATCAAAGGTTTCCAAATCGTCTTCTTGCTCTTGCCACATATCTCCAGTTTTTGGTAAAGTACTTGGGGTGGCCTTTTCCTCTTTCTTATTGACAGGAGATACAGCCTCATTAGTATTATCCAAAACGGGTGTGACACTTGGAAAAGCTTCAGAAACAACTTCTTTTTCCACTGGTTGGTTATCTTGTGTTTTTTGTTGAGATTGTTCCACTATAATAGCACCATTCTCTTGAAGCCTTTCCGAAATTGTTGATGTTTTCTCCTCATGACTTGGAGAAACAGAGGTCGTGGTTGTTGATGTTGCAGTACTTGTTGTCGTTGTTGCTGTCGTGGTTGTTGTTATTCCAGAATTCTTACTGCCTTGATGATTGAATACCAATTGATCGAACAATGATGCTGAGTCGAGATATGAACGGTAGGATCCCAAAATTAAGGCATTAGAAGTATCTTTGGTTGGTTTTAAACTCGTTAAGTGTGCTGATTTTCTCGCTGATGATGATGATGAATGGGTGGAAACTGATTTTGATTCTTCTTCATTATTGGAACTCTCTCGTGTAGAACTATTAGCGTTGTTGTTTCCTCCCTTCATGGAAGTTCTTCTTTTGGAGCTGTCCACTCTCGGATCGAGAGCAGCATCTGAATCCTCTTCCATAAAGTTTTTACCGGCTGCAGCATTCAATAAGAGTTTTTTGAGGGTGGAGAGTCCTGTAGAGGAGGCTGTTGTTGTTGAAGATGTTGATGATGATGATGAATTATTATTATTTACAAGACTTTCGGGTTGTTTATAGGCCACACATTCCAACGGATTCAATTCATCCTCATCTTGTTTCGTGAATGTTGTGGTGTCGTTGCTACCCCCCACATGAGAGAATTGATCATCCAATTTTCGTACAGCCTCTTCATCGAGATTGAGATAGATTGCAGGAACTCTCAGTGTTCCCCATGAATAGGATGATAATGATGATGGTACAGGAATATCGGAAGAGGTGTTGGTATTTGTTGTTGTTGTTGTAGATTCATTCAGATCGCTTGTTGTTCTTGATGAAGTATTAGCATCGGACGAGGATGATGAGGAAGGTGTTTTCAGCTTACAATGAATGTAACACCAACCACCTCGTTTTTTCTCGAGAATGGCCTTCTCTCCGGCTGGACACACCACAATGTAGCCCATGTAGTGAGTTTCGACATTGGAAGCAAACGTTACGATCATCTTTGACTGTTTCAAGGAGAGAAGTGTTTGGATGAAAATTATGCTGTTGGTGATGAGGACGATGGCGTGATGATGGTGGTGGGGTTTGATGAAAATGGTGAAATCAATGATGATGAGATAGTTTCAGGTCCTGAGAGGTCAGAAACACAACCCTATTGGAGGAGGATGAGATGGCAACGTGTTGCGAGAGAAGGAAGGTACTCGACAAGAGTTTTCACCTTGAGAGCTTTCACAATGACAATCCCAGGCGCCGAGCTCAGTTAATACCTTGGTAGCTGTCAGCGTAAATTTTTTCTTGTGATTGACATTTGACTTGGGAGGTCCTTTCGCTAGTTGTCGAGACAAAAATGAATAAAGAAGAGTTTCTTTCAGTTAAGAGGCCTTTGCACTCGCTACTCAATGTTTAAGCAACTAGAGTGAGATAAGGCAGATAAAAGATGATAAATCTATTGACTCCTTGTTTCATATCGATCAAGCATTAGTTCATTCATTAGTATTATTGGGCATCAGACAGTAATTAAATTCGATATTGTTCGGGTCACCTTATTTAAAACAATAAACTAGCCATCCTCTTTCTCGTGTCAATAACCAACTTCTTCTTGTCATCCTTCTTTTCGAGACAATCTAAAATACGAACGAGGGCTGCTCTTCCCTCAGCCTTTGTAGCACTCTTTTTTAGCAAGGAAATTCCGTGCTCAATGGCTTCTTTTGCATGACCCAATAAGAATAAATACAGAACCTTCTCCTTCTCTGTTTTGAGGGTTTCTATTGGATTTCCTTCATGAATGGCCTTAACCACTTCATCTCCTGCCTCCTTATAGAGTTCATAGAGAGAGATGGCTTCAGAAATCTCTTTATCAGTCTTTGTTAATTCAATATGATCTTTTTGAAGTCTGGAAACAATACTTTTAGCTGCATCCATTTTGTATTGACAAAGTGAAATTGTTAAAAGTCCTGACAATCCCTTAGCAGCAAAATCTGGCAACTCTTGATCCATTGATTTTTCTACTATTTGACTATAAACCTTTGAAGCTTCATCAAGCTCTCCATTCTTCATTAATTGCGCTGCAATTCCCAAGAGATATTCGGGAGAGTCAGCATCAACAGTAGGACCTTGTTGTTGCTGTTCGAATGAGCCTCCACCCTTCGTTCTGGTCACATACTGAGCAAAGTTGTCGAGAGTTTGAGCAACACTTTCATCAGGTATAGCTCCCTTGAATCGATCTACAAGCTTTCGATCCATAATAAATAGCACAGTTGGAACCTCCTGAACCTGGAATGCTTCGGCAATCTGAGGCTGTTCATCAATATTCACTTTAATCAATTTGAAAACTCCCCCATGCTTGAGTGTGTTTCTTTCAAGAGCAGGTCCAAGCTTTTTACATGGTCCACACCAACTGCATGATGTTGAATTATTTTTAATATCATCAAAGTAATGTTGATAATGTGTTTATCAATATGGTTACCATTTCATCCACACATTATATCCAATAATTGATACATACTCAGCATAAAAGTCAACAATAATTGGCTCTCCAGATTCAATAATTGCTTGAAAATTCTCGTGTGTTCCCTCTACAATACAATCCGAACGATCAGCAACATGTTGTGCCTCAACTTTTTCATTCTCCTCTCGTTCCAAGTATTGTTTATAGCTTGTTGAGAAATTCCGCACAGAAGGACTTGAATTTTCAAATAATCCCCATACATCATTCCACTTGGCAGACACTTGGACTCCTCTAAACAACAAGGAAGACGAGCATGATGGTGAAACTACCAAGTATTTTCCTCTCATCGGAAAAGCCTTTGCGGAATTATCTGATAATTTCTGGCGAATCATCAAGCCGGAAGTTATTCTTCCAAAAAGATTACAACAACGTTTCATCATTTTTTTTAAATATTTTCAAATCAAATTAGTTGGGCTTATAATTTACAAAAAGCATTGGTGATGACAATTGCATTTAGCGATCGTGTGATTGGTGTTTCCGAATGAGATGCTTCAACTCATTGAGGTCATTTAATTAACCAGGATCCGTCGACGGATTGGATCGGATTGCCCCAGCGATTATTTTTGAACTTTCTATCCGTCAATCCAATCCTAAAGTAATTTAAATTCAATTCACACAGATATGTGTCTAGAAGTTTTTTATTCAATGATGGGAAGGGAAATTGGTGACAATACAACTTCAAAGACAATTGCTACTAATGACACTGAGGCCAAACTCTCACATCCTAACGCTGCCGCTCATTCATTACCAAAGAATGGGAACTGATTGGATTTTTAGGGCCTAATCTTGAGGAAGAATTTAGAGGTTTTGGAGTATTGGGTGCTTTAATGTTATTATATTTCTGTACACATCACAAAGAACTAGCTCAAAAGATTTATGCTCTTTCTCTTCACGAAAAGAAGCATTTCCCTTTTGCTATTTCAGTATTGCATTTGCTTAAGATTGGTAAGTGATATATTTCTTTCAAATATTAATGTAACACTGAAATGCAGCAATTGACTTAATTAAGGGACGGAGGTTTAACAAGTATATTAACGAAAATCACAGCGTCATGAGTACGATGCAAATAGTGCAGGCAGATATATGTAGAGAGTTTCTAAAACTATGGACAAGCAAATCATACATGGAATTGGATTTTCATCACACCATTGAGTCCTACAATTTTGAGATTGTAAAGAAGGAGAGCTATGCTAAGAAATTATTGCTTTCAGACATACAACAGTCTGCTCAGCGTGGCCAATCTCCAATATCACAGCAGGGAAGATCGCCTGCTTCACCTTCATCTTCGCATCAAACAACTCTTAAGAATAGAAACCTCTTCAAATAGATTAAATTTAAACCATTGTAAACTTGTATGACTACTATTAAAATTTATTAATGTGCTTTATCACCTCCTTTCGAAAGGTCCATTATTCGAATCAATCAAGAACCGAACAAGTTTGACTCTTTCCAAGTGATGATCAACAATAATTGTAAGTTTTTTGAAATTTAATGACAAAAATGAAAAATGAAATGGCGGGGCATGCTGCTGCTGATGTTTCGGATCATTCCTCGGTGAATGACGCCGTTCAAACTTTAGCCAATTCATACCTCATGATGGAGGTGAACCGAGACAATATTCATGGCCTATTGACTCAACAACAACGGAAACATAGTAATTTAGAACACAAACCATTATTAATGTCTAAAGCATCAACTTTACAGCTTCAACAAGCATTTGATAAAGCTCGGAAATTCAATCATCATCGTTCTATTGACACACACAACTGATTGATTCCTCAAACATTTTTAGCAAGCCTTTCACCTTGAAAAGAATTCGAGAGTCGTGGCACTAGTTGCTGAGATTGTCAGTGGATAGACAGTTATTGTTCCGAGTCTTCTTCCTTGTCGTAGTGTCGAATCGCAAATCAACGACATCACTTTCATTATTTCAGAATACAAAATATTTTGATGAGCTCAAAAACAAGCAAGCATGACCTAATTGTTCTCGTATGGAAGCACTACAATCGACCGCACATGCGAATGATTAACCGTGCATTACCCTTGTAAAGCAATGATCCTTTTTTCATGAACTTGAGTGATGCATTTAACAGTTGTCAAGCATCATGTAACTTCTTTACATGACCAAAAATTACCCAAAAGTAACCTGTTTACTATTTATACAATGCCCTCACAAATATTTCATTGATTCTGCTGTGACAAGGTTCCAATAAAGAGTGCCATTCTTGTGGAGTGTCGTTTTTCCTTCTCCACCTCCACTACTTTTGTACAATAATTCTCTGTATTTGTTATTGCGCAGTGACATCCACAACTTCGTCGATCTTTCAACAGTGCACTCTCTCTACAACAACAACGCCACAACGTGACATGCAAGAAGAAAATTCCACAAGAACACAACGACATTCCTGTGCGAGTGTCAATCGACCAAGTGTACATTCTAATTGAAACACTCGTTGAATTGTGGAAGACATAGTTTTGGTCCATCGAGATTCAAAACTCGTGTCGAAATCTTGAACAGACCTTGACAATTGTGGTGAGAACCAAACCCGAACCAAATCGATCGATCGACCTCTTTTACGGTTCTTGATCATCATCATTCAAAACAACCTTGTTATGAAATTCACAATTACCGTCTTTGCATCCTCTGACAAAAACAACCACAAATATCACAAATTTGAACATCGAAATCTCGATCAACGAATCACAAAAGAAAACAGAATCTCCTCATCCACAGCAAATTGACGACAAGATCGCTCCTCCTTCTTCTCACTTGCGAGTACATCATTGTTGTTCATTCACCTCCTCTTCCACTTCCACCTCCTCCTCTCACGACTGACATAGTTCACTTCAAATTAAATAATCAACAAACCTACCACTCGTAGGAATTCCAAAACAGTATTGCCATTTGCCCAACTCCACATGATCCCACATTCGTCTGTCAATAGAAATAGTTCCACTTTTTCCATATCCACCACCACTCAAAATTTCCCTTTTTCTCATCCGCAACAACAATCGCATGGTCCACCATTTCAAAAACAAAAACCATTCGATTTAACAACAACAACTCGTTCGACCGTCAATACCACCAATACCATCAACACAACCACCGCCTCAACAACGGTTAATTACTTGTCTGATTGGATGCCTCAAAAGAAACCAAATTCCATCACCACCTTTTCCTCCTCCTCCTCCTCAGGAAGTGTTTGCCAACCTACTGAAGTGTCATCCTCAACAACAACATGGTCATTGGTATCCCCACGTATGTCATCTAGATCTCCTCACGATTCCACCAATACACCAACTGTTTCCTCGGACATGGCGACTACAATGGGAGGAGAAGGAAGTGAATTCATTCACACGAACCACATGATGATGATGACGAGGCCCAATATCAACACATCTGTTACTACTACTACTACAATTCCAACAACGAGCAGTCAAAATATCAATCATCATCATCAGGTTCTTCCAGATCTTTACAATTCTTCCATAAATGGTATGAGTGATGGGCATCAAATGTTCGTTTCGAACTTTGGATCCACTCCTCCAATTAACACTTCTACTACTAATGAACCTTCTTCTTCCGTTTCTTCCATCCCAATGCATCCTCTAAATATCTTGGATAGTCACTCGGTCGATGAATTGGTGAAGAATATTCTCAATCATTTACCAATGACTACCTTGTTGAAAGCTCAGCAGTGTGGTTGGGTGTCTCCCATGTTGAGCAGCTGTCAGAACTCAAATCTTAATTCCACCACCAGCACTCATCCAGTATGTGGTAATATGAATGTTCATTCATTCGCACCTTCTCAGAACAACCATCATCATGAAACGGATACACCACTCGCTTGTCATCCACTGATGGCCATGATGCATTCAGTCATGAATCAAACTTTTCAATTTTCAAATATCAATTCAAATTCACCACAACAATCGACGAATGATGAGGTGCATTCTTTACCAACCTACTTGAATGACATTCGACATCATTTACCATCACAACCTTCTCTTGTTCCATCCTTTGAATTTAAAAGTAGTACCGCCACCACCACATGTCCATTTTTCATCAATGACCACAACGAAAGATGTAAGGATTTTTCGTTTGGTCATAACACCCTCACGAATGATGATATTGAAACTTGTATTGTTGGAGACGAGTCATTTAATCGTCTTGTTCATGCCATTGGTGGAAGTGAGGTTTGTAATTTCACTCATTCCCTTTTTCAGTGTTCCAGTCAGTCACAACAGCATTTTCAGAGAGAAAATGAATCGGTTTGGACCTCAAATGTTGTAGATCACAACAAAGAACATCAACAAGGTTATTTGAGTCCTCGCCAATCCTGTGAAAATCCAACTGCTTCCTCTTCATCTGTCCAAGCTTTAGTGACCACTGACAGCTGTCATCACAGTAAGACATTATCCACCGCGACTTCAGACCATCCGATTGCAAGTTTTGATCGATCTCCTTTTCCTAACCAGATTCCATCTGTGTGTAATCATAATCACCTCATTCCACAAATCACTGTTTCACAGTCATCACCATCCACACCCGAACCCAAACTGATCCTCAAATCTTCTCCTCCTTGTAAAATTGAAAAGCCCTCGAGGAGGAGGAGAAGTAACGCCTCTCATTCGACTGCAACTTCGAGTGGTAGTAGTAGTAGCAGCAGTTCTGAACAACGACCATTGCTGAGCTCATCACCAAAGAGTGCTTCTAAAAAACAAAAGAAACTCGTCTTCAAGATTTCTTCGACGCATCAGGAACAACATGCATTGGATCAAAAGTTGGTGAATATTTCAGAAGAGACACTTCGAGCGATTGTGATGCGAAGTAAATCTCCAAAAACTGAGCAGAGAAAGAGAGGTAGACCAAAGAAATCAGAACCATTGAATTCACAAACGGCGGTCCTGAAACTCACGTTTTATGACAATTGTTATGAGGATCTCAATGTTTTGTATAGAGACGTCGATGAGGAGTGTGAAGAAGAGCTTGCAGAAAGAGAGCAGGCCAAAAAGTAACAAGAAACTGCCGGCGTCATCGTCACTCGACGACTAGTTCAATGGTGGTGGTTGACACTATTTTTTTAACTTGTTGGTCATGTCTTTGGGTGTGGCCATGAGAATTTTGGATTCCCATTTGTCCTATAGAGATTACAAAATAAAATTCAATTCGTTATCAAAGTGGTTTGGATGAAAGGTCAACTTGGTCAAGAGTTTTATAAATATCAGAAATTGATCATGTGATCACCATTAATTATGGACACAGTCTTGTGTCTAGACCTACAAAAATGTCAACACATCATGACTAATTGGACTTTTTCAATGTCGAGTTCAGATTACCAATATACTTGTCCAAATGCTCGTCAAATAAAGAACACTTGATTGGCATTTCTAATTCATAAAAAGGATTTTTCATCACAAAATCCACGTAACATTGATACACCCATTTACAACATTCCTCCATGGTACTGACTCCATCATTGCTGAACTTCTTTGCATCAAATAAATAAAAGAATTTCGTTCCAGTTGGTGTTGAATAACAATAAATTTTAAAAGTATCGGCGTCTAATACTTCAATTCCACCATTCTCTTCTTCTGGTTGTGTTCTAGCGTGAGGAGGAATGAGTTCTTTAGAAATTGCATGCAAACCATGAAAAGTGGAAGCCAATGTCAGATATTGATTTCCTGACGGCTTTACAAATTTTCCGTCATATTCATTTGGTGGAATTGGAGCTGTTGGATCTTGTTGAAGTCTTTCAGCATTTTCCTTTTCTGTTTTTACAAATTTTGCATATTTTCCAAAATCCTAAAATGTTAAATGTGTGTGAAATAAAGTTTCCATAAATTTTAAATAATTTGAATAGCCAATCAATGGATGAAATTATATTTCGAAATAATAAAATTATTATGACAATCAATGATCATTGACCATTTGGAAAATTGACAAGATTTGAAAAATCATGATGATTCGTTCATTCATTCCGATTTATTTCAGCATCGGTTCCGAATGAACACCGGTGTTACCACGATCATTCCAAAAAATTATTATCATTATGGAATATATCAGAACAGAAGTGATCCCGATTCCACTTACCCGTTGATAAATCAAACCTCCGGCTTTATTGATAATGTACATTGAAAAGACGACCATTTTTTTAAAATTGAAAAAAAAATAAATTATTGAACAGTTCAAATGAATTTGTTTTTCATTAGGACCATACATCTCCAATTTGTTTTTCATAATTATAAAGACCAACAACACCCATTATGTAATAGCAATGATCAAGCCCAAAAAAAGACAACAGCAAGTTTCTCGTTCTCTCTTCAAGATTTGTTACAAAAAAAATGTCTTCACGAGTAAATAGAAATTCGTTGTTGGTCCTCATGGCCATCATCATCTTCGTCATGGTCGCTCTCGGATCTCTCGTCCAGGCTCAAACTCAACCACAACCCTACTTTCCTCCACAATATCAAATGACCATGAAAAACTACGTGAAAGGAACCAAAGTCTTTGCTACTCTTGTTGTTGCTGATCATGTACAAGGAAAGTTCTCTCATCGTTTAACTTCACCACAAGGCTTTGAGTCGAGATACATTTATATTCAATCGATTGATACTTTGTATACTTTGAATCAAGAGAGCTCGGGACAATGGACTTGTTTGAAAAGAATTCATAGTGGAGTGAACAATTTGGCAATGGATCCGTTGAGAGAGCCTTTGCTAGATGGAATTTCCTTCACTGGAAAATTGAATTGTCAAAATCAAGAGACTAAAGCAAATGGAGTGTGTTATAGATATGACAAGGAAGTTGTGGCGAGTATGGTAATTGATTATGCATTGTATACCAATGCTACTGCTTCCTATAATTTGCCAATTCAATTGTACAAGAAGGTTGCTACGCAAACACCAACACTTTTGACAACTTACAGTGATTTTGTGCTCGGACCTGTCAATCCTGCAGTGTTTAACTTGCCAGTTCCGGAAAGTTCATGCAAATCTCAAAATTAATGTCTTGCTTAATTTATTACAGCATTTGCTGTGTGACTTCACAGCGGCAGTAAAATCATTGTCAATAATTAACATTTTCAAGACCTTCATTGCATTTTACAAAATTATATCCTTTGTCACACAGATATGTGATCGGAAGGTTTCACAAAGCAATATTCCTCTAGTTCACAATTTAGGGTTAATTTAGGTTTTATTTGGATGAATGGGTGCTCTAGTTTGACAGAATATCAAGCACATATAATTGTGGCAAAAAATTTTAATGCTCTGGTGTGTAGTGCAGACTGGAAATGATGACGCTAACGTTGTCCGTGCTGTTGCGGTTGTAAATGCAAAAATTAACCAAATTCTTGGCAATAATTCCAAAGTCTTTGACTCTGTGATGATAGTACTGTTTGTAAATGTAGTCAGCAACGTCGCTATTGCTCATAACATCAAACAAGCCATCACTTGCAACAACAATTAGAGTTGGAAGACTCAAAGTAACAGTAGAAGTCATTACTTCTTTTCCATCTTTTTCATCTCTTCTCTTTTCAACCACCTTCTTTGGCTTCTCCAAGTGGATCTTGTGTTTGACAACTTCTGGTAAGGCCACTACGGCTTGCTTTCTAAGGTTGGCATTAAGATTGATCGGTTGTGTAAATCCAACATTGATTCCTGCATTGGGATTGGTTGGATCGAGATTGTTCTTTGCATAATAATCTCCAAAAGTCCTAGAAACAGCGAGTCCACATACACGATTATTTTCCACTCGTGAGCCAAACATTTCAATTCTCTTTCGCTCTTGCTCATAGAAAGGTTTATGGTCGCTTGAGAGAGGTATAATCTTAGATTGGTGAATCATGAAGGCACGGCTGTCACCTACATTGGCACATGTAATGTAGTAAGTGTTGTGTTCCTCTTCACTTGCTGTAATGAAAACAGTACATCCTGTAGAACCAGCACTAGCTGTGATTCCACTGGTTGTTCGTGGAGAAGGAACATTCTTCTTGATAGATGCTGAACTTCTATTTAGCTCAACAACTTTCTCTCTGTACTGCTCATCAATTTTTACAAAGGCATACTCTAACAAGTCCCTCCTGGAGAAAATAGGTTCATGAATGTTGAATACTAAGGACTGATAGCATTCCAAATGATAAATGAAATTTTGATGTAAGAAATCTGCACATTCATATCCACCATGTCCATCAAAGACACACAACACAGCAGCGCGTTGATTATGGAAAATGTCGAATGACTTATTTACAAAGAAAATGCGATCTTCCATGTAATTTCTCTTTCCTTGCTCCTGAAAATAGGTAATGGTGAGAGGAAGTTGTTTCTTATTAAAGTCAAATCCCATATTATTATTATTCGAGGTGGTTGTAGTATTCATGGTATCTGAGATGGCGACGCTAAGGTTGCTACCAATGGAATTCTGTGAAACTAAGCTTGGTTTGGGCTTGTGAAAATTGTTATTGAATGGATCTCTCCAAACGAATGGTATGATACTAGATGGGCTATCATTAACTTCAATGTTAGAAAATGATTGTTGTGTTGACACAACATGGTGATTCAAAAATTTGAATATGGATTGTTCCACTTGGCGGTAATAATCCATTTGAGCTGGATGTTTCAGTAAGTTGAGTTCTTTACAGACATCATTGCATTGGTGTCTTGAGAAAAATCGCTTCACTTCCAAATATTCTGAAAAGTTGCCAGTGCTGCTACTATTGCTGCCACCGGTACCGCTTGGTGTTGAATTATTTGTTGTGTTGCTGCTGCTGCTACTACTACTGTTGGTACTACTATTGCTACTATTACTACCACTACTATTTGGTTCAATTTTCTTAGATTGAGGTGAAGCGAGAGGATCCTCTGAAGGTGAAGTTTTACCTTTGTTTTTTTGTGGGATGGGAATTCCTCCATTATCAAAAATTCTACAATCAAATTTCCCAAACAAGTAGCTTCCATAGCAATAGATTTCGTTGGCCTCAAAAACAAATGTGCCTTTCGATTCCAAGTATATAAAATGGAATAGAGACTCTGCAACTACATTGGTGGCATGTCTAGGAGGTAAAGAATTGACCTTGTCTGTATATTTCTCATCATTGGAGTCAATAAATGGATATTCAACAAATGGATAGGCAATAAGCGTAATCTCTTCAATTTCGTTATTGCTTGGGGTGGAGGTGGAGGTGGAGGAAGAAGCATTTGAAACTGAGCCTGTTTTTGGATCATAATGCAATCTATAGACATTGTAAAAGAGTGAGAAGTTTTTCTGAACTTTCAAATTATAGAGCTGCAAGTAATAGTTCAAATGTGTGAGAACGTTCACTGGATCATACTTTTGATGACGCGTATGAATTCTTGTTCCATGGAATATCAAGCCATTCATAGAAAGGTCTTTGATAAAGACAGAATTTGGAAAAGAGGAAGTCTTACTTGATGATGATTTTTGAGGAGTTTGAGATTTGGAATCTCCTTGTGTTTTTGCGTCCACTGTCATTGCATTCCTATACTTGTCCTTATAATAAATGACAATATCATGATAGAGAAGGGTGTTTGCATTGGCTGCGTTGGTAATACCAGAATTATTGCAATTTGAAATGTATGTCATTACCTCTGCAACGTTGTACTTGTAGACATAGTGAGGATCGTAGGGCGCATTCTTCCAGAACATGTTGTTTTTGTTTACATCTGCCAGTGAAGCTGATATTCCACTATCTCTGCTCTTACTTCGTGTCATTCCAGTAGGAGTTCCAGTTGCTAATGTATTAAGCTGGGTTCCGCTATTTGAGTGAGTCAAACTTGGATTACTGGAAGAATGTGAAATTTGAGCACCGTTTTGAATTTGATTTGCAGATGGCAAAAATCCAATCTGTTGAAGTGGGCTTCCTTCGTAGCATGGGAAGGAGACACACCTAGTTTTGAATTCCAAAAATCCCGTTGGTGGAAGGGTTGTGTTGACAGTAGTCGACGAATAATCTCTTGTTGTGGATGACGATGAAGGAACTGTGTTCTCGTTTGTTTGGGATGTTGTCGTCGACGAGGATGTTACAGTGGCATTATTGGTTGTTGTGTTGGTAAAAATGGCCGCAGAAGATGACAATGATGAAGAGGAGGCCGATGTCAAACTGGTGCTCTCACTACTTGAACGACTCAAACCCGAGGAAATAGATGTAGAGGATTTTTCGCTGACTATTGTTGAAGTTGATAAATCATCTTTTGATTTGTTGTTGCCAGAATTGCATGATGATTTTTCTTGTTGACTCTTTTCGTGCACTACAATGTGATTCATGAGAACACTTGGCACGTTGGAAAAATTGGTGAATGTGAACGCAAGATGTTTGTTGTTGGAATGTGAGTGTTGGGCATAATTGGCACTACTTCCGTTCGCATCAATACTTGAAATATTTGGAGTTGATGTGCTGTTGGAAAGGGATGGAGCGAGAGGTTTGAGTGAAGGTGATGAAATACTTTTCACAAGCGAAGGACCAAGATCTGAGCCGTTTGACGATGTCGACGATGATTTCTCCTGAGGGTTGTTCGATGATGTGGTTGTGGGTGATGCTGATATTGTTGACACGCTCAGGTTCGTGTTGTTATTGGTTTTTGTATTGGTCTCTTTTGTGGGTGGTGATGCGGAAGAGATGGTCAAAGTGGGCTGATCAAGCTTTAAACTACCTCGAGCACTTTGTGGTGTTGAAATTGTTCCAAGCGAAGATGATGTCGTAGTTGTGCCTCCAAAACTTTTTGTTCTTGAATGGAAAATTGGAACTCGGTGCATTATATTCTTCACGAATGAAGAAGACTCTCCTGGATCTGATGAGGTCGATGATGAGGCTGAGTTTATGGTATTTGATCCAATTCCTTGACCCAGTTGAATTGGTTGAGTCGGTGGTTGACTTTGTGGAGTATTGGTCTTGTTGAGAATGATAGAAGCTGTACCAGATTTGAGGGAAGATGTAATTTGACCACTCATCAAATTGGGAGGAGGAGGCATTGGAACTGGTGGTGTTTGAGTGGTGTTTGTATTGCTCGGGTTGGTGTTGTTGTTGGGAGCCATTTTAGTATTCGTCGTGGAGCAAGAGGTAGCAATTAAATGAATATGGGTGATGATGGATGGCTGTTGTTGCTATTATTATTATATTAATGTGAAGAAATTTGAATGTGTTGATGATGATTCAAAACAATCATCAATTTAAATTATTTTTGAATTCCTTGCTCTAATTCGGATTGTAGGGAAGAATGGTGAATATTCTTCTTGGTGTTGATGAATAATATTCTGTGGTTGAAGTAAATGTTGATGGCACTGCTGTCAGTGGGGATGAAAATTCTTTTTCTAATCAGATTCGTATGAAAGGATAATGAATTATTGTTTCAGAACGGAATTATGGATAATGAAAGGTACAAGAGGAGGTCGATAACCAAGTTCAACAAATGCGTTCACCAATCACCTATATGGATCAATCAACCTACCAAGAGAGTATTATAATAATTTTGTATGTTGTTTGTAGGACGACTGTTTCAACGACTGCTCTCTCGGGAGCAGCCACAGACCTAATTGGATTGAAACAACGTAACAACTCAGAAACAGAGGACTGATGGACGATTTTTATTGTCGCGTTGTTTTTTCTTCTCTTATAACGTCTCGAAAAGGATCGTTTTCCTATTGTGGAAACTCTAACGGGAGCATGGCGATGGAAAAGGATCCAACAACGAATATTCATTTTAAATCTTCAAAGCGTTCGATTCACATAGAGCACGAATGTGCACACAGGGTCTGAAAACTTGAGACACACATGTGAAACCAATTTGGCTCCTTCTCTCCGTACTACTCAACACTCAACGTGAAAGATCAAACGTGATTCTCTGAGAAAAGTTATCACTCATTCAATTTATTAATGTCTCCTTGAAGAAAAGAACATGTTGTGATTGGTAAATCTGGAGCAATACTTGTCTTGAAGGTTCTTAAATTGGAGTCGAATATGAACACCAATTTTCCGTTCAATGAATTCTTTGAAAATGATGCCATGACTTGTTTTCTTTTCATCTCTGTAGACATTATATTGCAAATATTCGATGGGAGAAAAATTACTGCTGTTCTTTTCTCCAAAGAGCTTAAGTAATTGAGTTTTTGTGGATTCTTGCAATTTCCCACTCTTATATGCTTGATCAATAATAGTCTCCACTAAATGAATCCACTCTTTGAAATAATCATTCTCATCAAATCCACACTTTCCATTAATACCAACCAAATAATGAATAATATTTCGTTCCTTTTGAAATGGGTACAATTTTCTATCACAAATCAACTCGCTACAAAGAATTTTTGTGTGTTCAAGTAGACACGTTTTCACAACATGCATTGGTATTAAATGGCGTATGAATCGCACTACAAGTGTGACCTTTGAGCGATTGGTCATGTGTTCGGACAAATAGGCTCCATATTTCTGAAACACGTGCAGTAAAAGTTGAGGACTCTTCAATTGCACAATCATGACTAAGATATTCATATCCTCATAAGGTTCCTCAATTAAAACATTGTAATGTCCAAAACTGTTAAAATATGCTTCAACAAAGAATTCAAAAATTCTCAAAACAAAGGCCTCATTTCTCCGTTGTTGCTGTTCTTTCAATTCCTCCTGAATGAGAGTTATCATGTGAGAGTCTAGTACAAGTTTGACGAGGGAAAAGAAAATATTATAGCCCAATGCTCCAAATTTCAAACGTTCGCTATACAAAACGTGACCCGGGTAAGTGATTGGAATGGCTTGAGTCAGCAACTCTATTCGAGAGAAGGTCTCAATTATTTGTGAATGAATTTGTTGTACAATATCTTGATTACTCATCATGTAATAACGATTTTTTTCGATCATGGCATTCAATTTCAGTGGAGAATGCAGCAGAATGTCCAACTCTAGAAGCTTGTGTTGCTTGAAATGGCCTTGTAGTGCCTTCTTCCAGTTGCATGGCTTTACGATTCGTTTTTCACATTTCGAAATGGACTCTTTCAAACTTTTTGGTGGTGTGAAAATTCGATTGGAAGGAGCACTTGGAGTGGTTCTACTTTGTCGTTCTTCTTCAAGTTTCAGAGCTTGTCGATCAACAGCTGCAATGACTTGTTCTCCATACATTTGACACAAGTCAGGAAACATGCGATAAGTTGTTTTCAAGAACTTCCTTACAGAATTCCGTAATTGAGACAAACTTCTTGAATGTGTGGTCCCACTCTTTGCATCACAGGATGTTTTTGAACAATGTATTGAAGTAGTCATAGAAATAACTTACTGGCCTCATGACTTGGTTGTTTCCTTGATTGAGTCGTTCCAATAATAATTTTGCTTCACGTTCCAATAATCGTTTAAAAAACATTCGATAAATATGGGCATCACGATCCTCGAACATTAATTTTCTATACAATTTCATATTCACTTGTGTTGCAAAGGCATGTGCTTCATTCCATGAAATAAATTCAAAGATGAAACAAAACAATTCCGGTGGTATTTGTATCCATTCGGATTGTTGTTGTTGTTTTGATTGTTCAATAATATTGTGGTGTAGCACACAGTTTTGATTCATGATAGAAGACCTTTTCAAAATAATATGGAATGAATAGATTCAGCGTTCAATTCGACCCGAATATTGTTGTTGCGAAAACAAGAGGCAATTTTTGTCTCCAGAACTGCACGGAAACCTCGAAGAAGATGGTTTAAATAAAAATCAAGCAAGAAATAATTAGAAATAAAAAGCCTCAACAACCTTGGGACAGTTTCAACAGTACAACAACTGTCACTGGATACAATTTTGTACTTTCGTATGTTCCATTCTTCTCTCTCATCATCAACAAACGAAATTTTCAAAGTTGGTGCTTCCAACAACATCAGCATCGGATCAGACAAAGGATCTTGCAACAAGAAGAGAAAAGAGCCTCCTTCTTCCTCACCCTCTTCATTATCACTAACAAAAACATCAAATTCTCATACTTTTCTGGGCAATAGTGGTTATTCTGCTCCTAAATATCGTGAACAACAACAACGCTTCTTCAAGAAAAGGAAACAAGAATCGGAACATGCAGAGCAACAACAAAACTCATCACCAATTCAAGAAAATCTCGTCTGTGCGATCGCCACTTGCAACACTCTCCCAAAGAACACAACGCCCATCGATGATCAGTCATGCAACATGTTTGGTACGAAAATTGCCAAGAAAACTGTGATGGTGGTGGAAGGCAGCCGGTTCTATCATGCTTCCTGTCAGCATGCTGCATGGAATGGACTGTAGTAACCGTGGAGGAGCGTCTAACAGCAGAAGTGACAGTGGAGAGCGATTCCATCAATTCTCTGTATCAAGAACGTACAAAACAGAATAGATTTGTTGTACTACTGTTACTACTACTCTCGATGGTAAAATGGGTTAATATTAATAAAAGTGTTATGCACGAAGCCAACGGATAACATTGAATGTTTCCAATGTGCTTGATCTTGGAACATTTTCAACCAACATCCATTCCAAGAGAAAATACGTTTTCCCAATTTCAACCACAAGGGTAAATTAATATCCTTCAATAAACTACTTGCACCACCTACTCATTCCTGTTAAATTCTCTCGCCTGTCATCCAAAATGGATCGCCTTGCCAGCTGGAACATGAACTTTTCTGGTCAGTTAAAACAGCCATTTGAATCTTAGTGGGGACCTCAAAAAATGTAAAAAAATTATCTTTACTCTGGTGTTTGTCGATAACACTCAAGGTATTCCATCCTACAATTTTGTGTAGCTACGACGAGATAGACTCATGAGCCAAACAATGAACTTCAATAACAAGTACACCCAGCCAAAAGGAACTGTTCGAGCAGTGATTGGAGGACAATGGGGTGATGAAGGTAAGGGAAAGTTGGTCGATTTGATGGCCCGACAGCATCAAATTGTATGCCGATACAATGGTGGAAGTAATGCTGGCCATTCCATTGTTGATTGTAAGTGTTTAATAATAGAATTTTGTGTGTGATGATGGCTCATAACTTATCATCATCATCGTGGTTCTCGCTCCCTGAAATAATCATCTTTGTGGCTGACCTCGTTTAAAATTTCGATTCCTACTTTCAAATTTGAAAATATGGACAATTTTATGTGCCAATTCTCCCATGTGGAACCTGATGCAATTTTTTATTCCACCCAACTACTACTTTGACCCAATTCATTGTGCGTTCACTATTATTGCAATATGCATCATCATTGTGGTCTCAACATTTCATTGTGGTTGCGAATGATGATATTTGATGAAATTAAACCTCTCTCACACAGCCAATGGCCACAGATATGCCACCAATTTACTCCCTTCTGGCGTTCTCACTCCCGGATGCATCAATCTCATTGGTAATGGTGTTGTTTTGGAGGTACCAAAACTCTTATCTGAAATTGACAATTTGAAAGAAAAGAACAAGAAACACAAAGGTGATGATTCTGCCACTATTGACCAAGAGTTCCAAGATATTGAGAAGCGTTTATTAATTTCCGACCGTGCACATCTTGTTTTCGGTTTCCACAAGGCCATTGATGGCTTCCAAGAAGGAGTTTTACAAGAAACTGGATCACAAATTGGAACGACAAAGCGAGGAATTGGTCCAACCTACACCACCAAAGCAGCTCGAAGTGGGTTGCGTAGCGGTGATTTGTTGACCGATTTTGCAGTTTTCGAGAAAAAGTACATGACCTTATTGAAGACATTGAAGAGTCAGTATGCATCATGTGTCGAATTGCAAAATTATGATGCACAAGGAGAATTGGCTCTCTACCGAGATGTTTACATTCCCCGAGTTCATCCAATGATTATTGATACCATTACTTACCTTCATAAGGCCATCTATGTCGATGGACTTGACATTTTACTTGAGGGAGCGAACGCAGTCATGTTGGATATTGACTTTGGAACTTATCCATTTGTGACATCTTCTTCACCTTGCATTGGAGGCGCTTGTACTGGTTTGGGCATTCCACCTCGTGCCATTTCTGAAACTTATGGTGTCATTAAGGCATACTGCACACGTGTCGGTGCAGGTCCATTCCCAACTGAGTTGAAGGATGAAGTTGGAGACACCATTAGAAAGGTTGGTGGTGAATTTGGTACCACCACTGGAAGACCAAGAAGTTGCGGATGGCTCGATGTTGTTGCTGTCAAGTACGGTTGCATGATTAATGGTTTTACTGCATTGTGCTTGACCAAATTGGATGTTTTGGATCAATTGGAGGAAGTTAAAATCGGTGTTGCCTACAAGTTAGATGGCACTGAGATTGACACTGTTCCATATAGCGCTGATGATATGGCCAGAGTGGAAGTTGTCTATGAGACCTTCCCAGGCTGGAAGAGTGATATCTCCAAGGTTCGCACCTTTGAAGAATTGCCTGAAAATGCACAAAAGTTTGTGAAGCGAATTCAAGAATTGATTGGTGTACCAATTAAATGGATTGGTACAGGAGCTGGACGTGACTCGATGATTTGCCTTTAATTTTGTCTAATAACGAGTGATTTTGGCACTATTATTCATGTATTGGAATTTTTCTAAATAAATTTGTACTTGTTTCTACTTTGTTTACGTCGGGGTGTGTGGATACACACCATCAGCCAAATGTCATCTCTCTCGGAATTCTTTCAGAATTTCAAAACCAAGAGAGAATTCTTGTTGTTCATCAAGTAGAGCCGCCAAAGTAAAAAAAAATGAGTCAAGGTTCTCCATTCCATCCTCTTCCAAATGGTCGTTGTTTTCCAGAACAATCACCACCACCACAACAACAACTGAACTTGGCATTCCCATTCCGAACGGGTGAAAGTCCACCTTGGGATCTATTCCCTAATCAACCACCACCACCACCAACACAGCCACAACAACCCTCTTCCTCGCAACAGCAGGTTCCTTCAACTCGACCTTCATCATTGCATCAAAAACCTGCAAAAAAGCAAAAACGACCACAGAACTCGAAAAATTCAAAAAATTCATCGTCCAAACCTGTGCAACACAAGAATGTTCATCATCACAACTCGTCCATGAACAGCGAAAAGGACAAGATATTGAAAAAGATGAATGCATTGATTGATGAAATTTCAGTAGCAGAGCAACATGCACAATCAATATATTCATGCGTCTCGTTGTTTGAGGTGAAAACATGTATTGAAAGTAATTTTAGTCAAATTGATTCGTTCTCAAAAATTGACCTCTATTTAGTGGCAGAAACATTGTGTGGAAAAACAAAATCTTATTTTGAGAAATTCATGACAAATGTAAACCCTGAAATGTATTTTATTTTGAAGAGCTTTGTGTACTTTACCAATCAAATCAAGTATTTCCTCCTGAAAGGAGATGAAGTTTCTAAATATCGAAAACAAGGCCTTTTGGAATATGACGATCACATTTCAAATGAAAAACGAACGAAAATATTTCTTGATGGTGGTAGAGACCATGAAAGTGGATCATCAAAGAGAGAAATTATTGTTGTCAATGAGGCCAAAGATTCAAAATTGAAAGAGCTCTTGATGGACTTGTCCACAAGTCTCCAATTGAAATTTCCCAATGTCAAATCGAGAGGATTATCTGGATCTGAGTTGAAACGTTTCTACGCATACATTAGTGAATTTGTGAGCTCATGTATGGGCGGGTATTCTCCAAATATTGCAGACTTTTCGTCGACACACATTTCCAACCTTGCAAAACAAAGGAAATCGAAGTTCATTTTCATTGGAGATGTTCGTTTTGGAGTGTGTCGACATCGCTCCATTCTATTCAAATACATTTGTGACTATTTATTTATGGATGGATTTAAAGATATTCGATGTCGACTCGTTCGAGGAACGTGTTCAGGAGGAAATCATGCTTGGAATATTGTTTCCATTGTGGACACGAAATCCAACTCTGCAACACTTCCTGACTTGTATTTGGTTGATATCATGAGATACCCTGGACGGCTCTACTCTGTGAACAGTGTGGATGCTGACATGTACAAACAACAAAGTTTTGGAAGCATTGGTGGTCATAGTCAGAAAGGATTTGCTACCGACCTTTCGAAACTTCAATATAAGGAGAAAAAACTACTTGGACGTGGAGCCTCTGGAAAGGTAAGAGTTTTTCGAAGAGAAAATTTTGTGACTTGACAAAGGGTAAATTAATATTCTCTCATGCTTTTACATCACTGTTATTTACGTTAATGATGGTTTAATTATTTTAACTCTTTGATAACGTTATGTATGATGGGATTAATTATTTTAATGATTTTGATTATAATATTCTCTTGCTACTCCTACTACTATGATTCACTTCATTTGGTCACCTTTCCCTTTACCACCACAGGTCTTTAGTTGTGTCGTGTACATTCCAGAGAAGGGAGAAACCGTTTGTGCTGTAAAAAAGGTACCACTCACATTCGACAATAATTGTAACTTTGAGAGAGAACTCAAATTATTGAACTATTTGAGCCATCCTAATATTATTCAACTCTATCATGCTACACTTATAAAAAACAATCATGGAGAACATTGTATTCACATGTTCATGGAATTGATGGATTGCAACGCTCGAAAATTTATCAATGATTTCAAAGCCAATTACATGATTCATCCAAAGTATTATGTCTATGAGCTATTATTCTTTTTAAGTAATGTGGCAAATGGATTAAATTATTTGCATTTACGAGGAATTGTTCACCGAGATGTAAAACCAGAGAATATTGCCATCAAGTACTATCGTCATTCTCCTCACACCATTAAGGATGTGAAATTAGTGGACTTTGACGTTGCTAATATTGTTCACAATAGCAAAACTATTTGTGGTACTCGAGGATATTGTGATCCACAATTATTCTCCACGTCCTTAAACCAAATAGTCGCCAAACCTTCTCTCGATTGTTTCAGTTTTGGAATTCTCTTGGCGGAATTCTTTATGGAATATTCACCGACAGTATTCTTTAATTCGAGTGACTCATTCGATCAGGGTTATGAAAAATTCCAAAAACACTACTCTCCTCAAAATATTCAATTTACCATTACGAAATCGAGCAAGTATAATTGCATCCCACCCAAATATAGAGATTCATTGTCACAAATGATTCTGAATTGTATTCAGACAGACCTCACAAAACGACCCACCATGCAACAGATTGCTTCTGAATTGGAAAATTATCTTTTGAAGAATTTTATCATTAGGGCAGAAGAAGAATGGCAGCAATTGCAACGACCAAAACAACAATAATATTATTTTCATATTTCCGAATAATATGCCATCAAGTGGAATTTTACCGAATTCTTAATCACACAAGAGGGTAAAGCGTTGAGAGATACTCACACGAAACCATTGGAAATCGAAGAAGATTTCAAAAAATTGTATTCTATTAGCTTTTTGTCATTTCTCAAAGTTCTTTGGAAGGATTGATGACGAACGTATACTTTCAAAATGTTGATAGGCCCTAAAACGTAATGACAAAAAGAAACCTCGATTTTGGTATTTACCTTCACTCAATTAATACCTTTTGGAACTTTTATTCTTCAATCCACTTTCTCTTGTCTTTCCAATTTTGGCCCATGTAAAGGATTCACGAATTGGTTTTGATCTCCTGTCTTGACATTTCCGTTTAGTTGTGAAACATCTCAAAGACAGGCAACTCTTTTCAAGTCCTTCCTGCACTGCATTAAAATTTCCTATAAATTTTACCATTCATCTCCCTCCTTACAAGTTCCACATCAAAAAAAACAACAAGATGAAATCAATTTCACTTGTCTTGCTTGTTGCACTTGTACTCCTTGCTGCTGTCTACGTAGCAGGAGCTGCAGACACTTACAAGAAGGTTGATACTTACAAGAAGGTTGACACTTACAAACCTCCAAAGAAAAAACATTGTCGTAAAAAGTGTGTCCTTCACAAGTACGTTCGTGGAAAATGTCTCAAACACAAGTGGGTGGGTCGTAAAAAGTATTGTGACAAGTACACTGTCGTAGGAAAGGGTAAATGCTTACAACACAAGACCTATTCCAAGTGTGACAAATACAGCAAGCCTTACACCAAGTGTGTCAAACACAAGTACAGAAAATATTGCCACAAATATGAAACCAAACAAGTCTGTGATAGTTATGGCACTCGTAAATATTGCAAGAGACACGTCCATAAAAAGTATTGTTCTCAAACCAAAAAGTACAAGAAATGCACCAAATGGGGAAGAAAGAAGACCACTTGCAGAACTCCAAAAACTTATCCAATTAAGAAGTGTTACACCAAGAAGAAGTGTGACAAGTATGTGGATCCCTATGCTCCTTCAAGAAAACCATCTTGCAACTATGTCCGTAAATGTCGTGTCATTGGTTACAGGACCAAATGTTTAAAGTACAATTACCGTCGTTATTGTAAGAGACACAAATGTTACACCAAGTGCATGTCTCACAAGTACAGAAAATATTGTCGCAAATGGGGCACTCGTAAATATTGCAATCATTACAAGAATGTGACAAGATGTTGTCAACACAAGAAGAAGAGATACTGTACATATAAAAAGACCTATCCAGCCAAGTGTATTCATAAAAAGTATTGGAAGAAGTGTTGTAAGAGAGCACCACCAAAGAAGAAGTGTCAAACGTACAAGTACACCAAAGGAAGAAAGATTTGTAAGAGACGCGCCCCTTACAAGAAAGTGTGTGTCTACAAGAAGAGTGTCTGTAAGAAGATTAAGAAGGTGAAAAAGCCAAAGAAGGTGGATACTTACAAATATTAAGAACCATTCCTGGAATTCGGTCTTTTGTAAATAAATTGCAGTCTCCTGACCGTTTGTCCTCTTGAACTGTAATGTTTGAGAAAAATTTCGAGAATTCGATCATCATATCTCAATCGATTACAACACAAAATTCGTTCCATTTGACTTGTTGAATGTCTGAATGGACTCCCCTTACACCTTTGTGATCCCAATGGATACTCTCAATAAGATGTGTGATCGTTGGAAATCATTTCATTAAACAAGGAGAGTTGTTTTTTCTTTCCTTTTCTTGTGAGCAAAACTAGATGCTCATCTCAATTATTTGGTTAATCTCGTCCATAAAATCCTTGGTCAACTCAAGTGAAATTGAAGAAAACAGACCATATTCATTCGTGACCTCATCCCAAATTTGGGTTGGTTCATCAGTCGAAATGGATGCCAAGTTTAAAAATTGTTGTTTGATGGCTTCAAGTACAATTTCCTTGTCTTGTTTCAATGGTTCTGAAGCATAGAAAAATGCAAAGCCATCTTGTTTGACAGCTTCCAAAACAACTTCCTTGTCACTTTTCAAGTCATCAGAAGCATATTCTAATACACAACCTTTTTGTTTGACTGCTTCAAGAACCACTTCCTTGTCTTGTTTCAAATCTATAAAAGTATATTCAAGAACTTCACCATTTTGTTGGACTACTTCAAGAACAAATTGTTTGTCCTTTTTCAAATCTTCTGAAGCATATTCAAATGCACGACCATGCATGCTCACTGCTTCAAGAACAATTTCCTTGTCACTTTTCAAGTCATCAGAAGCATAGAGAAGTGCCAAACCATTTTTTGACTGCTCCCAGAACAATTTCCTTGTCCTGTTTCAACTCTTCTGAAACAAATTGAAGTGTCCAACCACATACTTTCACTATTTCAAGAACAAATTGTTTGTCACTTTTCAAATCTTCTGATGCGTATTCAAGTGAATGACCGTTGACAGTCACTGCTTTCATCATGAACACTCGATCTTCTTTCAAGCTTTCGGAAACTTTTTGAAAAACTTGACAATTCCCAACTGCTCTCCATATCTTCCAATAGTTTCCGTTCATCAGATCTTGCTTTGAGTGGTCTCGCATTTGACATGAATTTTGTGGAAGTTGCATGAATTTTTTATGGCAGCGCGATCATCTTTTGAAATCTCTAATCACTTCAAGAAGATCACTTTGAATGCACTGATCTCTTGAAACGCAAGTCCCTATCGTTTTGACACAACAACTCATTCGTGTCTGTTTGTTTCCATTTAATCTTTTTCTGTTTCGAATCGATCGACATTGTAATACTTGTAATACCTAGGAAAAAAATAGCTGCATTACGGTTGTCATCTCTGCCACTCCACACACACATGGAAAATATCGTCACAAAATTCCCTTTCAAAAGCTCTCACCCTCCCACCCAACAAACTGGAATTCAGATCGAAAAATTTGCCAAAAGGTAAGTGTTACAATTAACGTTACAGAACACACTTGGTGTGTTCTGGTTTAAAAGGTGCAAGGAGATGGCACCTTGTGATGTGGTTATGGTTTTTGTTGTCACCCTTAGATACAATCGTTGCCAGCGCAAGAAACGATTGGAGGCATTCAGAAGAGGGCATTATTTCCATTGTATTCGAATTCTTCTGAAAGGGCAGAGTTTTTAGCGTCGTGTGTTTCACTCTGTTCTAAGGTTGTACAGTGGTAAGACATTAATGTGTTAAGGAGACTTGAGATGGGATCCATGGACCAGCATGAGGTTGGTTATGGAGAATCAGTTGATCATTCTCGCGAAATACATGATGTCTGTGACATGATGCTTTGCTTGGTAAAGTGCTGTCACTTTGAGTGTCAAAAATATGTCGGTCTGAAGATTTTCTGTATGTGAAACTTACTTTTGACCGACGAAAACACTTGCAGAACAATGGTAGTTTTACCGGATGGTGTATGAAGGCAGAGACGAATATCCCTTGATATGAAGTCACATTTAAGCAATTGCTTGATAAATCCATGAAAATTATGATATGATGAATTAAATTAATGAAAATTAAAAAGATGTAGTTACTGAGCTCAGTAAAATCCTTGCCGAAAATTGGACCTGCACTGTCGCAAGAACATTCCGATCAGAGAACAAAGTACCTGAATAAGCTTAAGAAAGCAAGTGAGTGGGAATGCAAATGGGTGGGAAGTCATTAAGCAACGCAAAGAGAGACGAATTTTTAATATTTTGATGTGCCTTCAGAAGGCAACATTATTAAAGGCACCTTTACAGAACATTAAATGACGAACATACCTTAAGTTCTCAGTTATCCATGCATCTTTTGGTGCTAAAAGCATTAATTGAAAAGTATATCTTGATCAAGTTTTGACCATTTTAAAAATTAACTTTTTTTTGATCAATATCTAAACCGTCATTGCCAAAAGTTGCCAAAAGAGAATTTGTGAAAGAAACAAAGTTCATTGACATTCATCTCTCAAATTGGTGTATTTCCTTTTTAAATCTTTAATTTCTTAATAAATTGCTTTTCTTCTCACCATTCAACAATCAAACAAACAAAAATTCAAAATGTTGTCATTGAGAAGAAATTCAATGGTTAAAGCTTTTGGCTTTTGCTTACTCTTGCTCACCTTTGCATTAGCACTTACCATCACTGTTCATAGTGAACAGGTTGAAGAGAAAACTCTCACCCCAACTCATCGCTACATCTTACCAAAATGCAGAAGATTCTTTTGTCACAACCGTTGTAGATACGGCTATTGGACTGACCAATGTGGATGTCAAAAGCATTGCAAATGTCGTCCTAGACCATGCAAAAAACTTCTTTGCAGAAAATATTGTAAATACGGATTCAAGAGAAATGCTTATGGATGTCCAATCTGTGTGTGTTTGAGAGGAAAATGCAGATCATCTTTGACCCTTCCTCACTAATTGTCTATTTGTATCAGGGGCCATGTTTAATGGTGTGTGTGTGTGTATAATAGATTCGTTTGGTCTAATAATAAATAGAACTCGAGGTAGTTGATTTGAGTGCATTGTTGTGATTGTTAACTGTGACTGAGGTACATTCATATAGGTCACTGTCCGATGTTTAACTTCTCTGCGTTTTATGAATTTATATTGTTCAATCTTTGGAAAGTTTTAACACGTGGCCTCTTAATTCCTACCTCCTCGAATGACGACAAGTTGGGAAAAACATTTGAGAATCTTCAACAAAGATGAATATTGTTTTGAAAAAAACGAAAAAAAAATGAACCAATTCATCAGCAAGTCATTCATTCTTTTTGCTTCGTTGGTCTTGTTGTGTGGCTTGTGGATGGCAGCCTCTGTATCGTTGGCCGATGAGCAGCAAACAAGTAGCACCACCACTTCCTCGTCGGATATTAACGTGAATAATTTATTGCAAGGAGAATGGATTGTTGAAATGACTACCGTGGATCAGGATTCTTCATCAGGAGATGCTGATGAATTGTTCCCACAGTTGGGAGTTTATAATTTCTCTCATACTCCATTGCAAGAAGGTGTTTTGTTTGGAACCTATCTTCCAAAGGGTTCCGAAGATGATGCTTCAGAATTTGATGTTAAGCTTTTGGTTCAATCCGATGCGGAACACAGCGGTTCTTTCAAGATGATTAAGAGAAAGAAGGAAGAAGAGCCCTCTGAAGATGTTGAAGAAGTCGCCGAGTTGAGAAGTGATGATACCATTGTTTTTGATATTCCATATAATTTTGTCACTCACAAACCAAACAGTCCAAATCAACCTCCTGTGGTTTATGCCTCGAGCCAAGGACGTTTCACTGCAAACAATGGTGTCTTGAAGGGAACTTATCAATTCTTGTTCACGAATAAGGAGAATTTCATTTTGAGTTTGGTCTATGATGCAACCACAGGACAAGATGGTGTCACCAAGTACAAGATTGACAGAATTGTTGGAACTAAACAAGTCAACAAGGAGTTGAGCTTCTTCCAAAAGTACGGAAGTACCATCATGATTATGGTTTTCTTTATTGGAAGCAGATTTTTGACAAGAAACATGCAAGCCGGTCAAGCCCCAGGACAAGCCCCTCCAGCTGGTGGCAATCAATAAGAGTTTTATGCCAATTTTTCAAATAAGAACCATTATTGAAAATTAATAATTTTATTATTTATTTTGATCTGAATGAAATATTGCAGCTTTTTGAAATCATTCAATTGCTTTTGAATATAGTTCTTGTGTTTTATCCACTTCTTTTACAAACATGGATTAATTTATTTAACCAACAAAGTAGATTATAAATTATCATGGAGTTTGACTTTTTCAATCTTAGTCACTTCTCTACCTTGAGATTCAGCTCTTTTTGTGGAAAAAGAGATCTGCATCACAGCAAAACGCATCAATGCCACAAGATCAACAATCAACACTCCCAACAGGACTACTCCAATCACAATTCCAACAATAGCTCCTTCCGAAAGAGTCAGTGTGGTTGGAAAATCAGTGGAATAGACACACGAAGGGTCTTTGGAATCCACTGCCCCAAACATTTCTTTCGGATAGGTCAATACGAGAGCAAAAGGTTGTTTTTCTGCTTTCAAGATTTTGGACACATACACTGCTACAATGACATAGACGGATTGATCTTTCGAGGATGTATGAGGTAATTGATCCATCACCACCACTCTCTCCACATTATTCGTCGTGTCCACTCGGTCTCCATAATTTCCAGCAATCACGGAGAGTTTTGAAACTGTTTTGGTGGACGATGAGCCACGGCCACCACCATTACTGCTGCCTCTTACATAGGTGTTGATGAATAAATTCAAATCACTCAAAAGTTGAGGCGCCACCGCAACACTTCCTGGATAATCATACCATGCAAGAGTGGCCTTAAAGATGGGTGAAGTTTGAATCATTGACTTGTTCTGTTTTCTCTTGAAACATAGTTTGAGAGAATCTGAAAGGTTCGAAAATGATTTTTCTTGGACGAGAATTGTCAAGGGAGTACCATCTTGATTTTGTAACAAACTTCCCAAATAAACTCTTCCAAATCCTTCGTACGAGTTTGGACTTCCTAAATCTGAGAGTTTGAAACGTTGAGTTTCATCGTTGGAATAAGCGACAGTTCCATTCATGGGAATGGAGCTATGAACGAGAGCAGCTTTCAATAAGGGACCTGATGGGTTCGAGATGTTCATTTTGGTTTGGAAAAACTCTCTCAATAAAGCAGCGGCTCCAGCAACCAATGGAGTGGCCATTGAGGTTCCTGAGGATTGACACACAAAATACGATGTGATTCGAACAATACATTTAACAAAGTACTAACCTAGACCGGTCATGAAAGCAGCTGTATTTCCAAGAGTTGGAGAAATGGTTCTGCATTGATTGGTGGTGATGTTCCCATCGGAATGGGCACTCACAACGTTGTAACCAATTCCTGTCACGTCAGGTTTGATATGATTACCTATTGCTGGCCCTCTTGATGAGACTAGAGATGACAAGGTTGAAAGATGAGAGAAATTATTCCAAACAAATCGAATGTGCATGACAAGAAAACTTCAAGAGGCCAAATTGAACTCATTGAAGATGGATGGATTACTGGTGTATCTGGTCTTCATTTGACTTGGACAGCAGGCATTACGGACTGTAATTGTTTCAACAATTATTTTCCAAAAATGGTTAAAAGGGAGATTCGAATTATTCCCTCGAAGACAAACATACCTAAATCATTATCTTTTCCATTATAGGCACAACATTCTTCAGTAGTTGAGAATTTAAAACCAGACTTTTGAATGACGTTTTTAAAATCTTCATAATACATTGATTCCTCAAATGTAGAATGTAAGTTCATACTGGCGCCCACAGAGATTGCATTCTTTGCTGTTGAAGGAGCTGCAACATTTCCTTTCGAAGACATTTCTCCTATATTTCCCTAATAATAATAATAAAGATAAAGAATAATTATAAATTGTATTAACATTAGGTATTGATAATAATGTTATTAATAATTCCAAATAAGAAGGAATCAAAAATGGTTTACATGAAAAGAATGGTTCAATACTCTTACCTGTGCAAAAAGAATGATACTATCTTGATAATTCCATAATGTTTGGTCCACATCTTGACATTGAGAATTATATTGATTAGAAATAGAGCAACAGGTATCACTTCCAAAAAAGGTTCGACAAGTTGCATCTGTCACTTTCAATCCAGCTCTATAACCATATGCTGAAATCCTCCACACACATTCTTTACAATCGTAACGACAAGAAAAGTATTTTTTAGGACTATTGATGTCCCAAGAATTTGAAAAGATTCTTGCTCCACTCTTGTGCGCTGGTTTGAAAATGTCATTTTGATACGAAGCAGGAAATAAAAATTTTGGATTTCCTGTTATTTGTAAATCTGTAAAATAAAGTCTTGCGTTGGGAGCCATTCCATGATATTGTTGGATTTGATTGGCACTCGAATTGAATGACAAATTTTGAATACTTCCACATATAGAACCAGCGATGTGAGTTCCATGTCCATCGACTTCATCTTGACCATCAGAAGAGAAGTTTCCAGACTTTGAATAAACAGTCACTGTGTCATATCCAACAATTTTACGATGATTCATATTGACATTATTGGTTTTCACAATGGGATTGTTTGCATCTCTAAATAAACAATTGTCCCAATCAATTCCAGAATCAGAAACTCCGACAATTTGTCCATTTCCTAAAATTCCCATGTCATAGAATGGAGTGGCAGACATTCCTACACTTGGAGAAGGACCAAATCCTTGCATCGTGACACTCGATTTCTTATTCAACAATTCAATATCTTGTTTTCTTTCAATGAAATGAAGATGTGCATGTTCTTTCAAAATGTCACCCACTAATTCAGCAACGAGTGGAGAGAAACTCATTTCCAGTTTATCCTTTGAAGAAACTTGAATGGGAGAAATCATGATGGAAGGATCATTGTTCCAACTAAGTTGCTGTTTGGATAGTTGTTCTGTAAGTTTGGAATTCAGTTCATTAGCAATGAGATGAGCTTCTTCGAGTTCCTGATGGACGAGAATGGCGTCCAGAGATGGAAGGATGGTAATAAGGACATTGATTAAATTGTTATTCTCTCCATCGACAGAATTGGAAGTTTCAAAGGTCGTCTCAAGTTCTTTCAAAGTGTGAAGTTGTACTTGAGCGAGTTGTTGAATTTTTGGAAAATTCAAAGCACTTTTGAATCTTGGTTCATACTCAGAAATCCATTCAATGGCTTTGTTGGAAGATAAAGATGAAACATGTGAAATGATTTCTGACGTTTTGGCAACCACCGCAAAGACATTCGAAAATCCCAAAGGTTTTCCAGATTTCATCACAATCGACTGAATCCACTCTGCTTGGGTTTGAGTTTCATCCAACCGCTTTGTTTGTGGTTCATCTTCATTGGATTCCTTTGTAAACTCCTTCAACTTGACAATAAATTGACTTCGAGGTTCATCCAATTGTTTCACCACAATTCGACCATATTCTTCTTCATTGTTGTTATTGTTGTTCACATGTTTCAAACTATTTACAGAAAATGAATGAACCATTTCTCTTCGATTCATGAGTGTGTGCAGTCGATTCAACTGATTCATTAAATTATTTTCATGAGAGAGTGGAAAGGAACGACTTTCTTGTTCGATCGAAGAAGAACGATCGAGATTCTCTTCATGAATGAACGAAACGAAAAGAATGGCTTGGATTGATGATAAAGAGAAGAAAAAGACACAAGCGTTGGTCGCACTGAGGTGTCTTCATCTCGTGCTGAGTGGTTGATCAATATGTGACTGTTTTTTGTGAGATAGTGCATGATCATTCTTTCAATACTAAGGAGCGAATCGTTTGTGAGAATGAAAAAGTTGCCAAAAAAGTGATTAGCTGTCTACTCTACTACACGTTGATGTGACAGATGAATAGACTAGTGACATGTGTTATGAATCCCAAACGAAAACGGCATGTTTACAGACTCAAACGGTGATGCTTGGTTGTCGAAAGATATGTGTACTGTATTTAATGACAAGAATGCTTATTGATGACTCTTTCTTCAATTGAATCCCAGCTAGATTCAGTGGCCAACATGTACTTCAATTTTTAACAAAGATTATTACTCTGCTTCTTTAGGTCTGTCGATTCATCGTCTTGAATCGATTATAATTTTACAAAAAAAAATGTTGCACTTACTGGACCCGTTATCTCTTGAAATGATTTTTCTGTTTTGTACGAGCGATGAATTAATTGCTCTGTATGGAACGAACCGTAAAATAACAAAAGCGATTGATATTCTTGAAACCGATCACATGAAGTATGATGATTCCGAAAATCCGAATATTAATGATGAAACCATTCAACAAACGTTGACGGACACACATATTCTTCATGATGGATTGTTTGGGGACCGTAGTCCACAAACATACATGCCATTCCGAAGAAAAACTTCAACCACTCAGCGAGTTGCGACTCAGTATCGTCTTCAAATTTATCATCCCTCGTATACCATTTATATCAGGTTTGATTCCCATGAAGAATTGAGAAGAAAATGTATTCAAGACTTTCAAGAAAAATTCGGTTTTAAACAGATGGACGTCAGTGCTAATCATTTGATTGTACTTGAAAGTGAAATATTGAAATCAGATCTATTGGATCGTGTGAGATCAGAATTGAGAAAGAAAATGAACTTGTATGAGAGTATGAATGAAACACACAAGGAAGGCCTGAATGTGGTTATTGAAAGTGAATACAATCCGTACTCGATGAATACCAAGCCCTATTTATCAAATTTTTATGAACGATATACGATTCGATTGGTGATTGTCAAGAATCAATTGGAATTTGGACATTTCCTTTCCTGTGCTCAACAATTGGTCATTTCAACCAAAACCAGTTGGAATTATCTTAAAGTGCCTTCTATTTATTTGGGCTTGCTTAAAAGCGATTCTGATTTACTAATTGCCGCTGGACACTTATTTCCAGGTGTTCCGAAAGAATACGATACAACAACTATTTGTGAATTGACACTTTGTTTGATTTTGAATCATTTGATGCCAAAATACTTTTTTGAAAAGTATCGAGTTTGTGATACTAAATTGGAATTATTTCAAAAGCAAGCATTAGTGGACACATTTTATAATGAATTTCTCAATTCTCCAATCACAAATACAAAGCAAAAATCACTGCCTATATTCGAATCGAACAATTATTTTGATTCACGATTCTCATTATTTAAACATGGACTGGAAGTGTGTTTTGATTTGATTTATAATCAATTATCGTTGACAAAGAAAATTCAACTCATTGAAAAGTTAGTGGATACATTTCTAGTATGTTCTTCATTTACCAACTCACAACTTACAGAAATTGCTAAACATACCACGTTCGATGTTTTTAAAAAGAGATCTTACGAAACATCTCCAGAAAAATTTCTTTTTCTAAAAAAGCTCAAACACTCTCCCTATATTGAACTCTATGTCATCCATGTGGAAGAGAAGGTTTATTTTGAAAAGGAGACTAAACGAAGCGATCACTACTTGTATGAGCTTTGTATGAAAATTCCTGCAAAACTCAATGGAAATTGTGTTTGTGATATTGTGTTTGTGAGGAACAAGATTTTGCAAAGCTCCCATGTCGTCTCAATAGTTTCAACACCTGGTATGACACTCACTCAACGATCATGTAGTTTGTTGTAATTGCATTGTCTTTTTATTCAATATGATCTCTTACTAAGGATGACTTTTTCAGGAAACACAACGCCAACTCATAAGGATGTAGGAAAGGACTGCTGTTTGGGATAAGAACTCATGTTGTGTTTAAAATTGGAACGTGTCACCACTTTGGTGCGAATGAACAAGTTCATACTAGTAGAGGTGGCTCAACAAAGTATTTTTAGTCATGGACAGTTCATTCCTTGAAAATCCCTTTGGCTTTCAGAACACTCTCACTCATGGCATTATTCTTTCCAACATCAAAAAAAACAACATGCAATTATTTGTCAAGACACTTACAGGTAGAACGATCACATTGGATGTTGAGTCCAATGACTCAATTGAGAATGTTAAACAGAAAGTCACAGATAAGGAAGGTATTCCAGCGGATCAACAGCGTTTGATTTATGCTGGTAAGCAATTGGAGGATGGAAGAACTTTATCGGATTATAATGTACAAAAGGATGCAACTCTTCACTTGATGTTGAGATTAAGAGGTGGTATGCAATTATTCGTCAAGACTTTGACAGGAAAGACCATCACGATTGAAGCAGAGTCCAATGACTCGATTGAGAACGTGAAGAGAAAGATTTGTGATAAGGAAGGTATTCCAGCGGATCAACAACGTTTAATTTACGCTGGAAAACAATTGGAGGATGGAAGAACAGTTTCTGACTATAGCTTGCAAAAAGATTCAACTATCCATCTTGTTTTGAGACTGCGAGGAGGAGTTGACTTGTAAATATTGAAAAATAAACTCTCTCTATTACTTGAAATTTGACAGATTTGGAACGCGATCAGCAATTTGAGTGACAATGAAATACCATTCACAATCCAATTTTTAGTGTTTTTCGAGAATGTGTTTTGGACAACATTTTATTACAAATCACTAACTACAATTTGATGTCTTCAAATAATTATTGTTACTTGAAATTAAAATGTAATGCAAAGCATCTACCAGATAAAAGTTACTTTTGATAAGGAAGCCAAATTCGATCTGGAATTGGAGGATCATAATTTCCCAAATATTCAGTTGGTGGCAATGGATTCACCATCATCAACTGAATGTCAAATTCAGTGAGAGAAACACCACTCATATTGAAAGGGCACATACATGGTCCAAAGTGACCAGTATGAGTCACATTAAAAGGTGAATTTTCTGGCAAATTAGAGAGTGGAGCATCTTTTGGATTATAAATCTTATTGGCCATTCGAATCCAAAAACATCGATCGTACAATTTCAATAACCACAAGTCCCACTTTCCATCCAGAGTGGTCTTAAAGAAATCCTTTCCTTCACATCCACTTCCAATTTTAGTATCCAAATCAAAGAAAACTTGATCCAAATGTGAATGACTTGTGAAAATCAAAAAGTTCTTTTCATCATTCTCCTCTTCCTTGCTTGTATTCTTTTGTAAATTCTTATAAGTATATTTACTTCTAATTCTCTCAGGAGCGTATTCAATATTTCCAACAAGAGTCTTTTCTTCACCCAATCTCGAATAAGCTTCTCCATAAATCACTCTCTCCACAGTTTGTTGATGTTGTTCTTGTTGTTTCTTTTTTCCAAATAAAGCTTCCTTCACAATATCATTCATGTAGAGAGACATGTCACTAAAACCATACTTTTCAATTCGATCGAGAAGTCTCTTCACTGAGAGACCACATGGGAATGAAATTTTTCCTGGTTTTGATTTATCTGATGAATCTTCAATGGGGAGAAGATCCAAAGAGAGAATAACATCGTTGACAAAATGTTGATGATTGCAAGTATGAGGATGATAAATGTGAGTACCATTCCAGAGAGCACAAACTTCAGATAATCTTTGAAGTTTCGAGGAAATGTTTTTGGTACCTTCAATTTTGCTGTTGTGACGGTAGTGGTGGTGTGTGAATAAGGTCACAGTCCAGTAAATTCATTCAAAAAAAAGGAAATTTGCAAAACATGTGAAAAACATTGTCACCCATGGAGTTCATCAATCATAAAAAACACACATACCTTAAAGGAATGAAATGAAAATGTGGATTAAATCGAACAAGTCCTTGAGGTGGTTTTCTGGAAGGAATGACCAACGAATTCTCTCTCCATTCCAAAAACCAATTACCAATCATTAATCCAGTTCTAAAGAATTTATATCTTTGCACATCGTTCATTTCCATAATGAGTGAATCTCCAAACTCGAAAATCACAAGTTGTACTTGTAAATAAGGTTCCTCTTTCTTCGAAGAACGACTAAACAATTTGCTTAATCCACTCTTCTTTTCTTGAGATGAACTTTCGGCATGAGAGTGATCATTTTCAGCAAGATCAAAGAAGATTGCACCTGATTTTTCACTGGTTGGGTTATCAAAGAAAAGATAATTGTAACAATCAGCAAGTGCCAAATTTTGTGCAATGAAAATCTTTTCGCGGTGTGAAAAAATTCTTCGATCGATGGTTGCAATCTTTTTAAAGGCATTCGAAACACAAACTTTTTCCAATTCGTTCAAATGTTTCAAATCGATGAGAAGAGGCAAATGTTCACTCAATTGGACCGATGCATAATCAATGACAATACTCGAAGTGGTTGCATGAGTTTGTTCAGAGGCCTCAGATGGAAATATTTTGTCAAAATTGGGTTCAGTTCCTGGTGAAGGAATGCTTCCTTCTCTGGAATAATTGGATGCCTCATTGGTGGAAGACACTTCAAACAATTTCTTCTTTTTGGAATCTTTTTTGCGTTCTATAATCGTGTCATAGGAAGTTGGATCCGTCAAGAGTAAATAAATATTCTTGTAGCGTGACTTGTATTTTCCTAATTGTTCGATTAAAATTAAATCATTGTTAAGAAAATGAGGATAACTTGTTTGAGGAATTTGTTTCTCATCGATCGATTTGATGTAGCTCTCCAAGTCATAATCAAGAGTGCATGTAGGTCGATTTTTGTTCTTACATTCCATTTTCTTTTTAAGTTTGTTCACTTTTTCATCACTTGAAGAATGTGACAAGGTGACATTACTTTCAGAACCAACCATAACAGGAAAACCACCACTACTGGTACTACTACTCGAATCAACCGAAGGTCTCGTATTGGAATCTGGTGAATCAACATCCACAGAGGCACTTTTTTGTTCACGTGAAGAAGAAGGTAAATTCTTTGCATTCTGAGGAGAAGTATAACTTAAAGTCACACTATGACTACTCGTGATGGAAAGAGGTGACTGTTGTCGATTCTGTTGTTGATGATTCTGTGTTGATTTGTAAGGTTGTGGAACGGTTGGTGGATGTGAACTATTGACATGATGTGAACTATTAGAGGACACGTCTTTTGAATCTTCTGGAGGTTGTGGTGAAGAAAACATGGATTTACGTGCTGAGTATCCCATGGGTTTGGGAGGTCGTGTCATTGTTGTTGTTGAGGTCGAAGAAGACACTTCGGAAAATTGTGTGAGAGTGGGAACACTATTGGTTGGACTGGATAATGATGAATTTGGTGAGGTCGAAGAAGTGTTGTTCGAAGGTGAAGATTCGGTACTGGTGTCACGTCGAGTAATGACCACTGCCTGTTTGTTGGCGAATCGACCAGTATAATTACTGCTGCCACTTGTCATCGAAGGTGGTGGTGAATCGTAGGAAAACTTTTTGACGGATTCCTTTCTGTAAATGACTGGAGTGGAAGGAGAGCTGTTTACAGCTGTTGAGGATTCTTGTGTCAATGATTGAGAAGAATCCGACGATGGAGGAGAAGAATTTGAATGTTCTGAAGCTTCATCTGTAGTATGGGTGGCTGTTTGAGAGGAACTGTCACATGTCATTTGTTGAAGTGAGGACAATCTTCTCTCAAGTTTAGCTTTAAATTCTTCTGAAAGCAATGTTTGATCAGAATTTGTTTTTTTGTGAAGAGACAAATGTGCAGTTGTTGTTTTTGAAGACATTTGCACATCAGAACTCAAACTGGTATGGTCAACCACTGCAACATCTTCACTGCTGAAAGAAGCATCACTCGAAAGAGACAATTGAGAGGACGCGACATGCATGGTTGCTCTTTTGTTGCTTCCACTTGTCACATTCGAAATGGTAGTTTTGGAAGTCAATACCTGTCCATTCATATCAATACCATCATCCGTGTCATTCATTTCCTTTTGAACTTGAAGTAAATTTTGAACGGCATTGAAAATAATTTCGCTCTCATTGTTTGGAATTCCAATATTTTCCAAATCCATCTTTGAAAATGAAATTAACGAATTTCCATCCCATTCTTCTTGCACAAAAATGGAAATGGTGGATTCAGAAATTGTGAATGAATCTGAAGGTACTTTTAACAATCGAATTTTTTGACAAATTTGATTGTAATTTTCATTCAATTGTGAGAGAAAGAATGTGAAATGACGGACTTTCCAATGTTTGACTGGAAGAAGTGTTGGATTGAAGGAGAGATATTCTGTTGTTGTTGTGAGTGATGATGGATTATATTTAGAAAAAGAAGATGCATTTGGAAAATTTTGTCAAGAATGTGATGATGAATCGTGTGTGATGAAAATATGTGAATATGAAAGAAGAGAATGATGAAAATATATGAAAAGCGTGTAAATGATGATGATGATCATAAAGAAACGCAATGGAAATGTTAAGGAAACGCAAAAGTTGTCAAGTATTGGAGATGATGGTTGACACCCGAGTCCATACGTCATTGATCACATATGACAAAAATGATCCAAGCAACAATCGTTACCAGAGATGGTCATCCAACATTCATATATTTCAACAAAAGACACCCATTCATTATGAATATATTGATTCATCATCATCATGAAAATTATTGATATCAATAAATAGTAAGAAGAGAATTTCGGGATGACAACAAGTTGAAATTTCAAGTTGAAAAAAGTTTTCATCGACACTCACGCCGCACAGATGAGAAGAGCTTACCTTCATCTCTTTGAATTACTCCTCCGTTTGAACCTCCTAATGAGAATCCCAACTTCTTTCCAATAAAGGGAGACATGATGAAATTTTGTTGATGTGAATGGGATGCAAAATGTTGGTTGTTGAACAAGCCTTTCAGAACTACTACTCTTGGTGAGTGTTGGGGAGTGTGTGTATAGCGAGCTATTGTTGTAGAGGAGTGTTGGAGATCTTTTTTTGAATTGATCAGCAGGAAGGAGATTTTTGATACTTTTGACAAGTGACAATACCAGCGCGATCTGCAAATGTTAAAATGAGGAGGTTTGTTTAAAATTGTCAACAACGCAATGGGCAGTTCACCACTTAGTGGAAGAGATAAATATTTTGACTTGGTACAACAAAGGATTTCCTATTCTCATAAAATCCTAGTGACAAGTGGCAGATGGAGTCACCTGATGCTTACTAACGACACTACAAACCCTTCAAAGAGATATCTCTTGTTGAATACCCGAACAATCAATAAACATCGAGGATCCTTAAAGACAACCAGATTTTTTATTTCTCAACTATGAGGCAGGAAAATTTGAACCTCCATTTGCCATTCGAAATCGTTTTGCAAAAGTTTGTGATTCTTCGAACAATCTTTATTAAATACAAGTACCAATTCAACCACTTATGAGATTCACAAATTGGACATCTTTTTCACTCCATAAAGAGTCAACAACAGAGTGGGAGTCACAATTAAGGACCATTTGAGAAGAGGAATAGAATGCGCTTTGCAAGTGTTTTGGAGTCTCTGATGGAGTGTCGAGTTTGGAAGAAGGAGAGATTTGTTGTGGAATGACGTTACTATTGTTAGAGGAGGATGTAGCACAAGATGAAGATAGGTCGGTAGAGGTTTTGTCTGTTGATTGTGGTTGGATGGATGTGCTTGGAGCACCACTCGTTGTGGACCACAGTTTTTTGTCACCCAATAAGGAAAGTGAGCATTTGATGTCCTCACTCCACACTAAGGGTTTACTGGTACAGTCTCTAGGATCCAAAAACAAGTTCATATTCTTATCAAAAGTGATATATTCTCCCATCACAAAATTCCAAACTGGTTCACTTTTTGGAACAGATGGAGCGGTTGTGGAGGAAGTTTCAGAAGAGTTTTTGGACTTTGGAATGTAGTGCATGAACATGTCATTGTCTTGAAAAGTGTAAGCCAAGAAGGCCACTGAAAGAGATGGGTGATCGAGATATCTTTCACAGAGTGCAATTTTCATGGCATGACTGTTTGTCACATGGTACAGATAAGTGTGTGAAGTGTTGGTGAAATTTCTTGAAAGGATCAACTTTGGGATTAAGTCATTTTGAAGGTAATTTTGAATAATTTCAAGTTGTTGACAAGTTACGTCGATGGGGGCATGTGCTTGAGTCATGTTCATGATCATGAATGCTGGATATTGTTCATTACTTATTGCATCCACACCGTATTTACCCTTCCAGATTTGGAAAGTGAAATTGTTCTTTTCATCCAAGAAACATCCTTCAAAATTAGGATGAAAGTATATATTTTCCAATCGATCGACCAAAAAATTACCAGTTCCATAAAGTTTTCTCATCAATGAATTGAACTTGTCAAATGTGTCAACTCTTGTTATTGAAGCATTTGATGACATTTCTTTAGCATTTGTTGACAAGGGGAGTTTCACACCAATAAAGTTCATCCTGAGTTTGGATGGGAAGAGACCTGTTTTTTCAACAAATCCCAAACATCTTGTGTTTTCTTCAAACACATGAGCATAATATCTTTTTTATCATCACAGCAATTACCAAATCCATATATTTCCATATTTAGAATTGACCAATTCGTCCGAAAACTTTAAACTTACCTTACACCCATTTCTTTAAACATGTACAAATGCAAAAACCATGGAATTAACTTGGTTTCATGAATTCCTCTAAATTTTGGTGGAACCCATCCAGAACCAGTTAAACCCATTTTCATAAATTCTCCATTCACAACAACATGTTTCACACTGAAAGCCAAAGTTCCACTCACATCATATTTCATGGAATGTTTAGAATCTCCTCTCAATGCAAGAGTTCCATCATTGAGTGTTTTTACCAAAAACACAAATGAACCTTCGTCTATATCTTTCAATGAGAATGGTTGAGAGGTTTCGGTTGACATTTCAAGTTTCGATGAATCTTTGGAATATTGTTGGTTGAATTGAGTCCATCGTTCATAGTAAGAATCATGCACCTTGAGAGAGGAAACGAGTTGATGTTTTTTAAGATAATCAAAGTATTCATCGAATCCTTCTCTTGCTTGATCGACTTGTTTGGTATATCTTTGGATAAATTCCAAATCTGAAATCTCCTTCATGCAAGAAGAAGAAGAATTTCCAAGTGCTGGATCTGAAGAAGAATTTTCATTCGTTTCGATTTCATGGTGATTGTCGAGCGTGGATAAATACTTGTTATGAGGTTCAAGGAGGAAAATGACCATTCTTGGAGTTAAATGTTCATCGTGAGTGCCATCTTGAAGGACATTTGGATTTAATTTCAATTGTTCATGAGGAATGGCTTGCCATTTGAAATTGAAGGCAATTACTCGATGTTGAAAGAGTTGGTGAGCATGGGCGGAATTGATCTGAAGTGCTGCTTCCATGTTGAGAGTAATATACAAGGTGAGGAGTGGGTAGATGCCACTTGTCAAGAGTGATGTTTTTGTTTTTTGTTGTTAGCTGGAAGAAGGGATCAATAAAAACTTTTTGAATGCCTTTGTTTTCGTTTGATCTGAAATCCATTTTCATTCAGATCATTCTTCCATGTTCTAATAGAAACGATCAATTCGAGTTTGTTTCAACAGTCGAATCATTGGCCTTTCCGAACTCTAACGAACAAAAATGATCCGATCGTGGAAAAGAGCTTCCAGATCGATCATTATTCAACAAAATTCGGTTTGTTCCTTTGAGATGAACGATGCTTTAAAGACTCTTGCTTTTTTATTTATTGTCTTGCTTGAAAATTTAAAGATTCAAACAAATCAAAAGATGAATAATTCTCTTCGTTGCCATTTTCATAGTATTTACAATAATGGAATATTTGAAAATTCGTGAGAATTGGTATGTTTGAACATCATCCAAAATGAATAGAAATTTTCATCATTGACAGTGCTCTTTGAATATTCAAAGAAATTCATGTGTGAAATTTTCACAAATCTGAACAAGTATTTCACACTAAAAGTAAAAAAATTAAAATCACATTCCTTCTGGACCTTCTCTTGAAGCATCCTTTCCACAACAAAAACAACAACAAGCGAAGAATTCTCCATTTCATTTTCGTAGTAGACGAATTCTTCATTTTCCAAGTGGATTCTCAAGAAAAAAGACTTTCGAATCAAAAGTCTTTCTTGAAAGCGAAACGAAAGGATGATCTGGCTCTTATGGAGATCGCGACTCCACATGAAAAGAAGCTTCAGCGATTGTTGTTGATGCGAAATGTGTTTGACAGGTTGTGGCAAAAGTATTTGACACGAGTGCCAAAATTTATCAAGAAATGGTCTTTTCGAAAGGCGTGCAAGTAGTGAATGACCATATTGCTTTTCGAACCTTTCATTGTCGAGAGGTTGTGAATGAGAGTCGAAAAGATTCCAAAACTGTTTTTCAATTGTCTGGAATGGATGCTTTGTTGAATCAGACTTTTCAGACTTTTTACTCGATTTGGTTATATCCCAAAAGGGAAGTATAAATTTCCAGACAAGTATTTGAATGCCATTCATTTGGAAAATCAATGGGATGAAATATCACCAAAGATTTTCCTTTCTCAATTGGAAATTGACGAATTACCATCCTCTCGTGTTCGTAATTTAATTTTCTCGATCAACACTATCATGGATCAAGACCATGCATCTTCTCAGACACACCATGACATGTTATTCAATCCACCTCTCGATTCAAACATGCTTGAAAAACAAGACCACATACATGGGGCAACAAGGACGTCGTGTTGGAATCCCTTGGCAATGACGATCATTCCATTCTTGTGGAGTCACATGTCAACTTCTTTTCACTCGTCACTGGTGTCCTCCATTTTGGATTTTCTTCAAAGATATTTTCAAAAAAAATGTCTTACGGAAGTATTGATGAACCTCTCATTTTACATGCGGCCATGTAAGTGTTGTGAAGTAGAAAGGTGTCTTTCTTGACTCGCAATGTGTTGTTGATTTTCTTGAATTTTTGAAAATTCTTTTTTTTGACCTCATCACCATCATCAATATTTTTTTTCTTTTGAAAATTCTTCTCGTGAATTCTTCTCATGAATTTTCATCATCATCATTATTCTATCTCGCAACCAAACGATCTTGTATTTGAATGAAAATTTATCGGATATGATGAAATGTATATTTTAATATTTAATATAGAAATGTTCCACATTTGGGTTTAGTGTTTCACAGTTCACCCAAAGCTACGAACAAACAACAAACACAAGCTGCTCGTTCGAACTTTGAAAAATTAGTGATGGTCCGCTCTACTGATTCGTCACTTTCGAAACAATCATTTTATGATGGTGATTATATGGTTCATGTCTTGTCTAAAAATGGAAAAATGTATTTGTGTTATGCTTCAAAGATGACGAAATTGAGAGTTGTTTATAACATGCTGGATGATTTGGATATGGAATTGGCTAAAATTCCAAGATTGGCAAATGCTAATAAGAATGATATTTTGAAAGTACTCAAAGATATGGTGGTGGGTATTATTGAGCTAATATTTCTCAACAGTTTTTATTAATAATTTGTATGCAATCATTGTTGTGACACTTTTTTCATTCCGATGTTATGTGAACCCATGTGTGACGTGAAATATATTACTTTTGTGAAAATGGACTTTATAGAACTATTACAATGATCCACAAAACGACAAGATTACCAAACTACAACAACAAATTGACCTCAATGTTTCCAAGATGATTGAAAATATTGATAAAATTCTTGCGAATCGTGACCAATTCGATCATTTGATCACTCAAACAGAAGATCTTAAGGAAAATGCAGGTCTTTTCGAAAAAGGAGGTAAAAAGTTGAAGAGAAATATGCAATTCAGAATGATCCTTGTTATTACAATTATTACCATCATTTGTTTGGTGATATTGGGCATTGCAATCTTATTAATTGCGTTGAAGATTGCTGGAAAGATTTAAGTGATTGGTGTGTCTTATTTATTTTGTGAGTCTGAATAGTTCCTTCTCTCAATTTTGTGCAAAGATCAATACGAGCATTAAAATTAAATTATTTATTGTTGAATAATTCGTATGTCATTCACATGAGAATTGCATTTTGTAAACAGTACCGGACAAATCGGTTACGGCTTTCGATCGAATCGTTTGATCATTGAATCCAGCACAAGGAATGCTTCCTTTTTAAATGTCTCTTCTTCCATTTCAGAATGATTGAGATTCAGTTTTGTGAGTAGTCGTTTGGTAAGACATTTACGAAGAGCTTCCATATAATCCTCGACAATCATTTCTCTGGTAATGATGGCATCCATTCGTCGTTTCTTCAAATCTTCAAGAGATTCATGAGGCTCCAAAGTTACAATATCTGGATAAGTCTCTTCGAAACATTTAATCACTTCATGCATGCTCAATAACTTAGGGTCCATGATGAGCAAATCTTTAAGCATTCTCAAGAATTGTTTCACTGTCATGGTTTCAATCTTTTTAGGTTTGGTTCCGTGCCATTCCTCTTCTTCAGAAAATGTGACATAGCCTCCTCCTTCATATCGTCCGTAGTACGAGAAAATTCTTTTCAATGATTCCTTGTACTTTTCCATCTCTTTTTGAATCGTGTTTGAAAGTATGACTTCTGTGCTGATTGCTTGAGTGGGAACAAGCAGACTCTTCGTATCGACCACAACGGTAGAACTTGTCGTTGTGCTGGTTATGGTTGTAATAGTAGTTTTTGTAGAGGCCGTCAAATTTACATTATTTACAAGAGTACTAGTCACGGTGGTGGCAGGTAGAGCTTGTGAAGTTGCTTTGGAGGTCACACTCTCATTGCTTGTTGATCGTGCGGACACAAGCTCACTTGGAACCATCGAAGTTTGGCAATTAATTTTTTCATCTATCATGTATCTAAACCTGTCACATACAGTACTTGTGCCATTTTGAATGTTTCTATACAATTCAGCACTAATTCTTATGGTCGATTCGACAAATTCTCTAAATCTCATGGTGGGAGTAGCTTGTACGGAAGGTTGTTTCTTGCTCATTGTTGGTTTCACTGAATAATCCAATCTAGGAGTGTTAGCTTCCTGCAAAATAGAATTCTCAGTCTTTGAAAGTTTAAGGTTTCTTTCCGCACTGGATTGAGTAGTCACAAAAATGAAAATTCGATCAATTTGTGCACAATTCATGTTTTCACTAAGAATTCCAAAATCTTGCGAAAATTTCCAGAACTGTACCATTGTCATTCGATTATCTCTTGAGAGAAATAATTTCATTTCATTGGACGTCATTTCATCAGATGTGTCATTCAAATTGAGAATGCCTTGAATACTAATGCGTGGATTCATGGAGCTTTCCTTTGTAATTTGCATGTTCTTCTTCACACACAATGGATCTAAACCATATTTACAATAGTGGGCAAAAATCTTTTTGAATTTTCGAATGTTTCTCTGTACAAGCGAATAAATTTTGTTCAGTTCATCAAACGATCCGTCAACTTTCAACAACAAGTCATTAATGTACAATTCAATGAGAGGAGTGGTTAACACACCAGAGCTACTTTGTGTGGCGTTTGGATTTGGAACTACACGATCTGCCGCAACATTGATATTACTACTCACTGAAGACTCTGAAGAATGAGGAACATGCAGCTTGTCCTCCTTCCATACACCTTTTTGAATGGAACCATTTAAATAATAAAACACTCCTTCTCCATGTTTAAGATTATTAAACCACTCTCCAGAATATGAGGAACCATCGGCATAGTGAAAGGTTCCTTGTCCCTCTCGTTTTCCTTCAACAAAAGATCCTTCATAATAATTGCACTTCTTTCCTGACGCTTGTAAATATGTATGTTTTCCATTGCCGTGTGGCAAATCATTGAGCCATTCACCCTCATAAATTTCCAATGGATCAGTGGTCCAATGCATGACTCCGTATCCACTTCTCTTGTTCTCTTGCCATTGACCCTCATAATAATTTCCACTCTTGTAATGCATGACACCATAACCATCACGCTTATTATTTGTAAAGTTGCCCTCATATTTTTCATCGGCAGAATAATACATAATTCCTTTGCCGTGTCGTTGTCCTTGTTTCCAATAACCTTCATATTTTGAAAGCAAATCTCCTGAAGTGTAAATTCCATAACCATCTCGTAAGCCATTCTTTACCTCTCCTTCGTAGATGCTTCCGTCGTCCCATGTAATTTTACAGTGACCATTGAAACGATTATTCTCAATGTTGCCTACATAGGTTGGTCCCTTTCTATCGGCGTATTTAAACTCGAATTTACCTTCACTATCTTTCATGAATCCATTTTCAAACTTTCCTTCATAGATGAATTCATAATTCATGGTGTTTGTACTTGAGTAGAAATGTTGAGGAGAATTTATGGCAATATGAAATTCTTCTTCAATGAGTGGCATTTCATCCATCAAATGTTGATGATGTTGGTTGAGATTTTCGTGATGATTCATGTCAGTTTTCTTTGTGACACTTGTGAGACAACCAATACTAGCACTCAAATCCTGATGCGATGATTGTTTCTGACCGAATAATCCTTGACTATTGTTGAGGGATTGTGATGCTAATGATGATTTACTATGGTGAAGAATATTTGAAGAACACATGGGCAAAATTAATTGACCTTGTCCGTGATAGATTCCATTTTTCTCTGCATCCCGTTCTCCATGATATTGAAAAATTGAATCTAAAATTTTGGAATCAAGTTTTGTTGTTGATGGTGATGATGATTCATTTGGTGCTACATTTTGTTGTTGACCCGATGATGACGGTCTCAAAGAAGAGCAATATTTTTTCAATATTTTGCTTTTGGACGAGATGGGCAAAGAAAAGGAATTTTCTTCACATGTCGTATCTTCATTTTCAAGGTGTTGATTGCTTGTGGAGCTAGCAGATCTTGATTTTTTGCTGTTGGAACTATTTCCTCTCAACAGTCGTGAGGTTCGATCCAAAACGGCCACCAAATCAATAGAGGGTGGCTCTGCTGATGTACTCAAAGACATTTGAGGATTTTTTTTCTTTCGAAAAAAGTGCTAAATTGTAATTTTGAATTGGCGCCAACAGTTGAGAAGGAAAGATAACGTCAGATACCTACCGAATTTTCTATGTGTTAGTATTGTTATGTTTTGTTATAATATATAATAGATCGTCTGCCCCTACAAAAAAAGCCTCAATGTCTTCTTAAAATGGATGGGTCTATAGATATTCCAAAATTATTTAGTGATTTGAATGGAAACTTTTAATGACACTTGACAAATAATTTTGATTTTCATCTCATAAAAAAATCACGTCACTCGTGTCTCTAGTGCGGATTGTTGTTCACCCTCCAGCTTTCCATTCTCTTCCACAACATCTTCGTCTTGGTGCAGCCATCGATTGTTGAATGGTGGTTTTCTTTCATTTGTTTTCATCGTCAATAGCATCTCATTCACATTTCACAACCGAGTCTTATTCGGCATTCAATCATTCATCTTTCGAACATTACTGACATTTTCTTCCTAAATTAAAAAACAAGAGAACAACAGAACTCTGTCCATCATCATTCACAACATCACGACATCACCACCAGCAACAGCAACAGCAACAACATGGTCAGAACGAACACGCACTCCACAACAACAACAACAACCTCTTCATCCACACCACTCTTACCATCCACAACAAAGAATAGCGCACTTCTTTCGGTTTTTGATTCATCGTCGTTATCGTGGTCGTCGGCTCATGACCCTCTCTATGCTTCTGTAACATCATCACCGTTTTCATCTTCATTACCTTCTCCGAGTATTAATTCATCATTACCTTCACCATCAACACCAACATTCACAACAACAACAATTAATAGTAGTAGTGGTAGTGCTACCATCAAGCCAGCTTTACCCGGACGCTCAAACTCTTCTCCCACAAAGACATTTCCAAAAAAGTCTAACAAAGCTCCAAAGAACCTTCCTCCCAGCAATAGCCACTCAACACCTACCATCAAACAACACAAGAAGAAGAAGAAAAAGAAGAATCATTCCTCCAAACATCTCCACGATTATACCTTCTCCTTTGAAGCCATTCTCGACGATGAAGAAACCCGACTCTGTCTTTTACTCTTCATGCGTTCTCAGCACAACGAAGAAAGCCTTTTATTCCTCGAGTATTGCAATGAGTATTACCGAAAACGATCCACCTTCAATCGTTACACGTGTTTAAAGGAAATTTACGATCATTTCTTTAAAGAGAATGCAACTCATGAGTTGAATTTGCCACAAAGAGAACGTGAGATGATGATCATGGCATATATGGACATGCTCGAAGAGATTGCTCATCGGAAGAGAATGAAAGAGGAAGAGCCTTCAAGTATCAGTAGTGGAAACAATTCCAACCCGAATTCGAGTGAAGAGGTTACCCTCTCTTCTTTGGATTATTTGGATTTGGGAGAATGTGAAAGTGCCTTAAAAAAGGCTGAAAGCTACATACTCGTTAATATTAAGGAACATGTCATGCCTCAATTTATTGAATCGCCCATGTTTCAGGACTTTATTTCCACCAAGAGCAAAGCGTTTTTAAATACGATCGGAACAGCCAAGAATTTATCCCACAGCTGCTTTGTAGAATCCTTAATGGAGATGAAGAAGTGTGAAATGACTGTGGATCAGGTAAGAATGATAAAGAATCATGTGTTGGATGAAAAGAATTGGAATTTGGTTTTTCAAAAAGAGGATTGCTATGGATACATATCTTCGAATAGATACATTTTGGGTAGAGAAGAAGAAAATAATGAAGGAGTCTATTTTGCCAAGTGTGAGGTCATATTTCCATATAGTTGTGACGCAGTCATGAATATTATCACCAATGTAAAAGTACGACTTGATAATGACAAGAATTTGCACTCCATCAAAAGAATTGGTTTCAGAAATAAGAGTGGAGTGATGAATTATACACACTCTGGATCACTCTCTAATGTAGACGATAGTAGAGAGGATAATCTAGATAGTGCTTCGTTCTCAAGTGACAGCGAAGATAGTGACGATGATAGTGATGACAGTGATGATCATGACTATTCCACTTCATCCTCATCATCAACCCGTTCTAGCTCTTCTACGGGCGTATCCGGAAAAACCAAACTTGCCACAGTATTGACTCACGAAGTTTACAAATTAGCCTGGCCTTTCAAGAATAGATATTACATTCTGGCACAATCCATGTTGCATGACTCGACGGATAACATGTACATTATTGCCAAGAAATCGTGTGAACCTCCAAATTACAGTCCAAAAGAGACGAATTGCCTTAAAGCCCTCAATATTGGTTGTTGGATGTTTGCTCCTGTCATTCGCGAAGGGAATGTTGAACATTGTAAATACATTCAATTTGTTGGAACTGATTTGAAAGGCTCAGTACCTTCGTGGCTCATTGAGAAAATTGTTAAGAAAAGAACCAAAAACTTTTATCAAGACACATTGAGAATCATTCAAAAATCTGAATCACTTTCTAATACAAGACCTGAGGATTCTTGTGGCTACTTTGAAACATTGGCAGAAAATGGAAGTATTGCCCTGTGAGTCTTCTCTAAGTCCATCATCTATTATAGTAAACAATAATAATGAACTGGATTGTTCATTGGTTCGTTTTCTGTAATTATATAGGTTGTAAGGCTGGTGATTTTGTGTTGTTGTCAACAAAAAAATGTCATCACATCAGCGGCAATCACGTTTAGCATTTTCGAGAACATCCTCAAAAAAATCAAAATCCAACAACAAAACAAAGAATGATGAATCCATCACAGAATGGAGAAAATTATTTAAAGAATTGGACGAATTATTGTTGGAGGGAATTACAAGCCAAATCCAAAATTTATGTTCATATTTTCGGATGGAAATTCGGAAACATGTGGCAATTACATCGGATCAAGATCATGAATTTGAAGATTTTGATACATCGGAATTACCAACCATTGAAGATTTAAAACAAAAATTTGGAGATGAGAATGTCAAGTTGGAACTACCCGATCATGTACAGCAATTACTAGTGGAATACACATGTTTACCAGTGTGTCGAATAAGTGTGGATCCAACTCCATCCCGTAAATTTAGCCTAACGTTTATTAATGAAGTATTATTCAGACAGTTACAATTGAACACGGTATTCTCGGAGAATGTCAGTGAGTTGTTTTCGAGAGTAATTCTTCCATTATTGTCTTCAGAGAGTGATGAGGACTATGGTGCAGAAGTGATTTCAAAAAAACGGGTGACTCTCAATATTAACCAAGAAAATGATTTGATACAACTTAAGAATGAAAAAAAGAAGCAATTTATTGAGTTTTTAAACTCATATTTTGCATCGTTGGTGTTTGTTTGCCAATACGAATTGTTGAAACAATTGAATGAGTGGATGTTTTTATTTTCGACCAATGTCAAGATTTGGATTATCAAAGCATTCTTTACCAAGTACATTACAACATCGGAGAGTAAATGTAAACCTCTGAAAGAACTTGCTCAGAAAGTTTTGTCCAAACATCAAAAATTGCTCATACAAGAAGAAGGTTCCTATGTGAAATATGTAACGCAAGTAGAATTTTTAACAGATCAAATTATCAATCAGGATCGAGAAAGATTGATAAATCCACCACAAACGAAGGCTTCAATTGCCTCTCAGTTAGTTTTAAGAATATTAGACATGGCGGTGAATGATTTTTCTCAGGACTTGTCAAAACGTGCTCGCTGTCTTAAATATTGCATTGATATTCTAAAATATGGTAACCTCTATTCGATCATGGAAACAGAAGACACAAAGAGGAAAAAGAAGCCATCCTCCTCAAGTGGCAGCATTAGAGGTTTTTCTCTACTTTTAACAAAAGAAAATGGAGAGAAAATGATGGAATTGTTATGGCACATGCTATATGCATTCATTGATCTGTACGATTCTCCAAATTATGAGTTGCAACCAAACAATGCCCGCAAGCAACTCTTGCATGTGGGAGCACAATTAGTGACTCTCTTTGATTTAATTTATCCTAGCGTGCAAAATAAGGAAGTGACAAATTACTTTTATCTCTCGGATTGCTTTATACCACTTCTGTTGCGAATATTGCGGACCTTAAATGCACATTTTGAAAATAGTGACATGAAAAACTGCATAAAGGAAGAATGCAGAGCTGCCTCGATTGCTGTGAAAACATTTATCAAACACTCGACAAAAACGAGCAACACATTGGATGCTTTGCAATTCTTTAAGGTACATGAAGAGCCAGGACACTGCAGTAAGATGAGCATGAAGAAATTCCTTTCCGATATTTCAGAAGGCCTTCTTTTTGAGTCACTCCTCAACTCCTCAAAACTACTCCTCAAAGAATCGCTCTCTCAACAGACGACCGATGAATTATATTACTTTGTGGAGAGAGTGATCTTGTATTGGACCAATTTTTTCTTTTACCTGTACAACGCATGCTCTTTGGAAAGAATAGCAAATCCCAACACGGAGGCTCATGGCAACGATGAAATGAACGAGAGTGCCAATGGAAGTTTACCAATATTCAAAGAAGAGCAGGATCGATACCGACATTTGGACAAGCTAAACGTCATTTTTGTTCAACTTGTGGAATGTGCTTGTTTGTGCGATTACAACCACTTCATTAACAAATCACTCTCCACTTCTCCTGCGAGCGACAGATCCAATTTTGCTAAGAAAGCTCAAGATTTGAATGAGTTATTGAGAGCTATTTTGGTGGTTATTTTTCAAAAGCCATTCATAACCAGCTTTTTATCGACAGATAATCAACATCTAGTTGCGGAGCGACTTGGAATTAAGGTAACCTTAACAGACTAGTGGGCTGTTCGCAAGGTATTCTTCTTGTTGAAAGCTTGCCGATTGATTCCAACTCAAATTCTCTACAATTCCAACTCAAATTGGATATATTTGGAACTATTGACAATTTATTGAATAGGTTTTGAGTCGTCAAATAAGAAATATCCAACTGAAGGTGTTATATACGAATAAAATCCGAAGGGTGCAGATAAGAATGTACACCGTGTAATATTAGTTCCCTTCGTAATTCAAGTCCAAACAAAAAGTACTTACTTGCAAACACTGGAATGTACGAAAATTTTCCTCCTACAATACATAAATAAAGTTCAGCAGATACCGTTCCTCCTCCCTTCTTTCTACATAACACTTTACATTTGAATGATTTTCTTGGTGCAGGTGGCGTCTTGAGGACTCGCGATACATGAGCAATAATTTGCGGATACGACTCAGGATGAACCACATCTTCCCATCGCTCCAAGTTGTCATACAAATCAGCTGGATCATAATTGAGTTTTGTGAGGAGTGTTTTGTTCAGACTCACCAAACGACCGCCTGGAAACATGATCATTATTCCAAAATCTGACGAATCCATTTCTTGCTTGTTTTCCATGAGCATGACCAATTCTTGGTATGAATTTTGAATTGCTGTTGGTTTGTTATTAGCTCCATATGTTGGAGGTTCGTCATATTGCATCTTAATAATTCCCTTGGATGCTAACTCTGAGAATCGATTTCTCAAATTTTCATTGATGGCTGACAACATGGCTGACTCGTTTGCTTTTCGTAAATTTTCTTCTTTAAGCCTCTTATTCTCTTCTTTCAAAATTTCAATTTCTTTTTCACTGGATACACTTGTTGGTTCACAGCCTGCCATCAGTCTTTTTGCTGATTCACTTAATTTGTGCTTCAGTAGTACTGTTGTTGGAAATAAATGTACATTCAAGAATATGTAACGAATCCATACATCTTTTCATGAAATAATATTTTGAAATGAAAAACTTACATGAAATTGGGAAGTTCTGGGTTAAATATTCAATATAAGTCATACTTGCCGTCTCTGGATTGGAGTCAAATGCTTTCAAATGGCTAATCGAGTCCTCAATCATCTTCTTGGTGTCCTCACCAATTTGTAAACACTTGATCAATTCTTCGTTGCTCATCTTTTTCAATCTCTCAAACATATCGTCCTCTTTAGGTGATTGATGTGATGTCTTTGTTGTGTCTTCATTAGGATAATCTTCAATTTGGACGCCATCATCACTACTACTTCCAGCTGTTGAGGTGCCGACATTAGGATTTTCCATCGTGGCTGAAGCAACATTTGATTTTGAAAATTGGTTTTCCGAAGACAAGGATGACAAAGCATTTGATCCAAAATTGGTTTCTTTGTTAACATCATTCAATAGTGTTGTGGTGTCTGATGAAACTTGTTGAACTTCATTGTTCACTTCAATGTCATTCATTTCTACCAAGGATGCAAATAATGGGCTTTGAGGAGAAAATCGTAAAAAATCGTCGCTTGTAAAATCAATAAAAGGAGATGTTGCTCCTCCTGGAGAAACTAGCTGATTTGGAGTTAAGTTTGATTTAGAATTGTTGTTGTTGATATTGTTATTATTGTTGTAATTGGCTATAGAATTATCGTCAAGGTGAAGTGAGTAGGGTGTCCCAAATAAACTTTGATTGTTCTGGTAGTCATAGGCTGTGTTTAAATTGTTGCAGTGAAGGAAGAATGTATCTACAGGAGTTCTCATCAAAATTTGAGTTAATTGTTGAATTTCAGGAGGTTGATTCATGAGTAATGGAACAGACAAGCCGTGATTGTCACCATTTGGAAAAATTACTGAATTTCCACTTGCAAGCATTGCTCCAGGTGTTTTCAATTCAGAGTCAGTGACTTGAAGCGCTGTACTACTATTACTACTCGACTGTATGAATTGATTATTACTAGTTTGTTTTTGGTTGAATGAAGAGGATGATGAAGAAGGTTGTTGTTGGTTCTGTTGTTGTTCATTTATGCCCTCCTCCTTTTTGATCTCTCCTTTTGTCTTTTTTGAAGATTTTCCTCTCTTTTTTTTCTTTTTGTCCTCAGAGGTTGATGCATGAGCAGTGTGTTGTGAGGGCTCACCAGCCGCTGTAGAGTTTTCCGTATTGTTTTCATCTGCTTCTTTGTTCTGAAGTTGTTCCTCAGTGTCAGAGCCAGATTTCTTTTTTCTGCCTCTTTTTTTTCCAACCTGATCTTGACACTCCAATCCATGAGCAATGCATCGAGAGCATGGTCGCTTATCCTCACAACAAGCGTGACTATTGTTGGTATTGATCAAGTTGTTGTTGTTGTTGTTGCATGGCAACATAAAGGTGTTATTGTGGAGAAAGAGAAAAGGATGACACAACAATAGTGGATTTTAATGATGTAGGATGGAAAATATTTTAGGATTATTTAGTATTGACGTTGTTGAAAACACAATAAACACACTTACGCTTTTCTACAACTCACACAAGCCAATTTGGCCACTCGTCTCGGTCTCTTAGTGACACCGCTCAATTCTTTTTGGAGAGAAGGATTAGTTTTGCCGTTGTTATTGTTGTTCTTAGTGTCGACAGGCTGTGGATCAAAACTACCGGCTGTATCTTCATCATGATTATTTTGGCTGTTATTATTATTCATGATTGGTAGTGGTAAGTGATTTGTTAAAGGATTATCCAAGAGATCATTATGAACGGGTGCTGATGATGAAAATTCATTGATAGGCAATTCTAGATGACTGATACTTCCTTTTGATGAAATGATCGTATTGAGTTTTCCGGCTAGAGATCCTGTGAGAGATGATGCTGCAGAAGAAGTGGAGGGAGGCGGGATCTGACCATGAACATTATTGAACGAGAGGAGGGATGGTGATGACAGAGCGTTACTACCATTGTTATTATTATTTGTAAGTGATCCAATCAGGTGATTACCACTAAGATTACGTAATTGATGATGATGATCAACCGACAATTGAGATGAAGAAGAAGAAATTAAATTATTTAAACCGCTTCCTCCGTTCAAGGAATTTACCGTTGTGTTATTGCTTAAAGTAGCACCACTACGAAATTGATGAAGTTGGGAAGAAGAGGATGTAGTGGTTGGTGTTGTGGATAGATGATTGAGAGAGGATGGTGATGATGAAAGCAGAGGTATCCCAACTCCGTTTCCACTACTACCACTTCCAACCACGTTGAATGCATTCAATCCATTGGTCATCAAATTCGCTAATCCGACTCCAACTTTTTGGTGTCCACCCGATGATGATCCACTGCTGTTTCCCGTTGGAGAGGAGGAAGAGGGAAGATGGCTATGAAGGCCGAATTGTGGATGGGAAGAGCTCATTTTGTGGAGAGTTTGTTTTTTTGTGAAGATGATGATCGTGTATCTCACAAAAGATTCTCGGGAAGGGTCCCTAGTGTGGAATCACATGGTTCTCAGTTGTGTTGTTCTTTGCTATCCTTTGCTTGTCGGGCGCTTGCAATCAAATGACGCTTTGTGTCCTTCGAGTAATCATTTTCATGGAAGAACAATCAAAAAAACGAAACAAGTATTTATAAAATAAATAAAAAAATTAGCCAATCATCATGCTCTCTCCAAGTGCTTCATCAGCAACAGCTTCTCCAACAACGTCCTCACGCGGTACTGGAAACACAACACCAACCATGAGTAAAACAGATAGTTCTACTCTTTACATTCCACCTCATTTGAGAAGTCAGTCCAACGATTTTGATGATCATCATACCGAAAGAATTCCATCCGTGTCATCCGATATGGATGAAGATCAACAACAACATTTTTATTACTATCATCATCGATCTTCAATGGATACAAGCGGACATACAACCACTCATAGTCAACCTCCGATCATTAAAAACAAACAACAAATTATTGACTATATGAATCAACATAAAATCACACAAATTTTAAAAACCAAGCTCAATGAAGCCTTTCAGCATCAGTCTGTGGATCCTATCGAATATGTTTTCCGTACAAAGCGAGTTGAACAACAAGAAATGCTCATTCAACAACGACAACATCAAATGAAAGAGATGGATATTAAACATGATGAAGTACTCAGCTCGATACAACAAAGTAAGGAATCCATGAAATCCGAGTACGAAAAGTTAGAAAAAGAGCATTTACAAGAAATTTCTAAATTAAAATTAGAGATTGAGGAGCTCAAGAAACGAGCACAGGAGCTCGACAATGAACCTCAAAGTGATGAGAGTAACATTTTAGAACAGCAATTGGAAAGCCTCAGAAAAGAAAATGAAGATTTGGAAAATGAAAATCAAGCCTTATTGAAACGAAACAAGGATTTAACAAATATTTTGCACAACACCAGTTCCTCTCTAGCTTCTTCATCGGTTGCTCTTGCAGAAAGTACATCCAATCACTCGCCAAGTTCAATTTTCCCTGAAGAAATAACCGTTGGAGAATCGAGTATGGAGGATACAACCATTGAGGTCAATAGTCAAGAAAATATTGAGAATGTTGCTGTTACGGAGGATGATTCTGCAGATCCATTTGCTAGCTTAGACAACCAACAGAAAGAAGAACAAGAACCACAACAATAACAACACCAAGTTGTGGACCATGTTTCATAGTATTTATTAGTATGAATGTTAAATGAAATTCAATTCGATTAATTTTGATTTTCTTCTCTAAAGTCATGTGACTGCTTTCATTTACATGTGAAATGTGATCCGTCAAAGATGAGTTCCCTTGGTCTTTATTGAAGCAGCGCTTATTCAGAATCTTCCTCATCGTCGCATGAAATGATGCTAATGTCAGTAAACTTTGCACAATTTCTCAATAGGTTTTTCATCTTGAAGGCTCTTTCGATTAGCTGTTCATTTTCCCAAGCTCGTTGGTCAACCACTTCCTTGGCTGCATTGTAATCTCCTTCAATGGCAATCCTTGCCAATGTTTTGTACTCATAGATTGGTTTATGGACAAACTTTATAGCTCTTGCATTTTGTTTCACTGCAAGAAGGGCTAGTGAATAACATGCCAGATATTTACTTCGCAAAAACTGAAACAGCATGCCGTCTCGTTTCATCAAATTCACCAACAAGGATTTACATGATTTATCCATATGGGGCAGGAAGGTCTTTTGAACAAAGTCAATGTGTTCGGAATTTCCACTTGCCAAGAGTCGAAATATTCGTTCGAGGACATATGACATAATTTCATCATCTTGTTTGAGCCTGTTGGAAATGTACAAGAATGCATAGAGATCGTTTTCCATAGCTGCATAGGCAATGTTCTTATTGTCTTTGAGTGTTCCTGTGACACGAAACAGCGAACGCCCATTGTCCGCGACTATTTGGATAATCTCAGTCTCACTTTTAATTCTACGAATGTTATGAAGGGAGAACATCTTGATATGTAAAGCATAATGATGGTACGAGTTGGAAATGAAGCGAGAAGTAAAGTGCAAACAGTGTACTTGTTTTTTTGATCGATTAATGCAAAGGAAAGAATCTGAAAAAGGATTCAACTTGGTTAATTGTAATTTGAAATTGCACTCCAACAGTGATGCACCTTTAGTTATTTGAAATGACAAGAATAGAACAATGAAACCTGGTGAAAATTGAAGATTAAAATGTAACGACTTCGATATGGTCACTTCTTTTCATTACTTTCACTCGATCATGATCGTTGAAATAAATAGAAATCCAATGATGATCATTATTGTCAACTTGATGACATTCTGAAGCCAATGCACCCTCAACAATGAAGTGGAAACAGATAAATTGATATGAGAGGTGTTCCTGAACATTGGAACTGATAAACTTGGAATTGATAAACTTGAATTATCGACTGGAATTATTGATAACGTTGGATGAACGACAGAGGTATTAAATAGCTTGAAACCATAAATATTGGCATCTGCCCAAAAGTAATACCATCCGTTTTTCAAAATCACTCCACCAAAAGTCAAGATAAACGGTGATGCAAAAACCTGAGTTAATTTGAAATTGTTTGGGTCTATTTTGAACATGCCTGTAGATAGGGTAATGTAAACGTCAATTCCATTAGGATGTGGAACAAATGAGTGAGGGCCTTGTTCAACCACTGCATGTGCGTATGTGCTGTATACAATGGTTGTATTCTTTGGATTAAACACAAAGAACACATTGTTATTTGTATATCCATAGATTAGCCCAGTTTGAGGATTGGCATATAATTCATAATAAGATGTAACACCCGGAAAAGGGTTTGATTTCCACACCACTTGCATTGATGTGATGTTGAATAGATATATAGCTGCATTGGTAGCCTTTGGAATTCCACCAGTTCCTGCATTGATTGTAGTTCCTCCCATCACTAAATCTGGATTACCAGGCACATAGGCCAAACTGTTTGTGGAATGATAGGTAACAACTTGTGTGTGGTCTAACACAATGGAGGTATTTGTGATTCTGTTCCAAATTAAAAGACCTCCTCCAGTCAGGCCATATTCTGGTGTACCTCCCATGAGAATTATTTTTTTGTAGGGATGGATGAGAACACAACTTGGTCGAATAACATGAGGCTCTGCTGAGGTAAGGATGATAGGGTTGCTAGTGTTGGTACCAGGAATTGGATCACTCCAAGGTTTGTTTAGATCATACACAAGTAATCGACCATGCGGGTAAGTTCCCATCCAAACGTAAGTTTCATAATAGGCAGTCTGAATGACATTAGGCTGGTCTACTACATAATAGTTTGTAAATTCATTGGATTTACCATTCAAGGAGAAGAAATACATTGGGAAACTCGCTCCTCCGATTAAGTTTGTGGCATCTGGAGTCGTTTGTATTGTCATTATATTCGCTCCTCTACAGGTATAATTAAACGAGTTCGTCGTTTGAATTGAGGCATTCTTTTCCTGAATGGTAAATGTTCTTGTGGAATAGTCGAATGTCAACAAGCGTCTCAATGAAGGAAAATAAATATAAAACAAATCCTGATTTCCGGCAATAATGATTTTACCATTTCTTGTATGTGTCGATCCAATATTTGTCATATTCCCTCCATAGAATTTTAACCAAGGAGTTGTATTCACATTGTATCCATAAACCGCACCATCTTTGTCTCTATAAAGAAAGGCTGCTCCTGCTATTCTTTCAGATTCCTGGAGCATTGTGAATGCTTTTGAAGTATTTGGATTAAAACAAATGAATTGGCTAAATGTAAAACCAATTCCAATATAAACAAATCCGAGATTGTCCGCTGCAACAGAACGAGGATACATTAACCAGGTTTGGTTATAAATAGATCCATAATCGGAAAATTTTCTTGTGGTAGGATTATAAGACACAAGACCTGAATAGGGATAAGTGGCTGACCAGATGACACCATTATCGTCCTCAGTCATGGACATGGCACTACCAGTAAGTGTTTTTTTCACCAATGAGAAATTGAAAAATACACAATCAAATTGCATAAAGTAACCTCCAAAATGCATGTAATAATATCTTCCATTCATAGACAACACAGATGCAAACACTGAATTGTTCACTATATCAAAAACACTTGTGGCGTTTGAAGGAAATGGAATTGAAAGAGTGCTTCCATTGTATGAATTCACAACTAGAACTGAGTTCATTAATCGGTCGTCATATAGCAGAGATACAATGCATTCAAAGGAAGCTCCTGGCTGGTCACAAACAGTTACAACAGTTCCTCTTGAGGTTCCCTTGTTAACAGCCACCCCGAAATTATAGAGACCTTGATTTTGTAAAGTGTTTACAAAATATTGAAATGACATGCACAGCAAGATGGAAACAAGTGTCAGGCCTCCCAACCCTTTGATTGGAAACATTTTTTGCACTGTTGATTCATGTTTTTACTGATTTCTCACAATTTAATGTATATACAATCCCACACAACCTAGGTCGAGTGATACACGAACAACTTTTGTGCTTCCTCTTTAATCACTTCTTTTTCAAGTTCACTCCATCGAACTTGTGAGAAATGAGTAAATATCAAGAAGTTCCATCAGAGAACCTTTATTCCTCCCACTTCAGAGACAATGATCTTGGGTTTGGGTTTGGGTTTGGGTTTGGTTGGGTTTGGGTTTGGGTTTGGGTTTGGGTTTGGGTTTGGGTTTGGGTTTGGGTTTGGGTTTGGGTTTGGGTTTGGGTTTGGGTTTGGGTTTGGGTTTGGGTTTGGGTTTGGGTTTGGGTTTGGGTTTGGGTTTGGGTTTGGGTTTGGGTTTGGGTTTGGGTTTGGGTTTGGGTTTGGGTTTGGGTTTGGGTTTGGGTTTGGGTTTGGGTTTGGGTTTGGGTTTGGGTTTGGGTTTGGGTTTGGGTTTGGGTTTGGGTTTGGGTTTGGGTTTGGGTTTGGGTTTGGGTTTGGGTTTGGGTTTGGGTTTGGGTTTGGGTTTGGGTTTGGGTTTGGGTTTGGGTTTGGGTTTGGGTTTGGGTTTGGGTTTGGGTTTGGGTTTGGGTTTGGGTTTGGGTTTGGGTTTGGGTTTGGGTTTGGGTTTGGGTTTGGGTTTGGGTTTGGGTTTGGGTTTGGGTTTGGGTTTGGGTTTGGGTTTGGGTTTGGGTTTGGGTTTGGGTTTGGGTTTGGGTTTGGGTTTGGGTTTGGGTTTGGGTTTGGGTTTGGGTTTGGGTTTGGGTTTGGGTTTGGGTTTGGGTTTGGGTTTGGGTTTGGGTTTGGGTTTGGGTTTGGGTTTGGGTTTGGGTTTGGGTTTGGGTTTGGGTTTGGGTTTGGGTTTGGGTTTGGGTTTGGGTTTGGGTTTGGGTTTGGGTTTGGGTTTGGGTTTGGGTTTGGGTTTGGGTTTGGGTTTGGGTTTGGGTTTGGGTTTGGGTTTGGGTTTGGGTTTGGGTTTGGGTTTGGGTTTGGGTTTGGGTTTGGGTTTGGGTTTGGGTTTGGGTTTGGGTTTGGGTTTGGGTTTGGGTTTGGGTTTGGGTTTGGGTTTGGGTTTGGGTTTGGGTTTGGGTTTGGGTTTGGGTTTGGGTTTGGGTTTGGGTTTGGGTTTGGGTTTGGGTTTGGGTTTGGGTTTGGGTTTGGGTTTGGGTTTGGGTTTGGGTTTGGGTTTGGGTTTGGGTTTGGGTTTGGGTTTGGGTTTGGGTTTGGGTTTGGGTTTGGGTTTGGGTTTGGGTTTGGGTTTGGGTTTGGGTTTGGGTTTGGGTTTGGGTTTGGGTTTGGGTTTGGGTTTGGGTTTGGGTTTGGGTTTGGGTTTGGGTTTGGGTTTGGGTTTGGGTTTGGGTTTGGGTTTGCACGGGTTTGGGTTTTGGGTTTGGGTTTGGGTTTGGGTTTGGGTTTCTTTGGGTTTGGGTTTGGGTTTGGGTTTGGGTTTTGGGTTTGGGTTTGGGTTTGGGTTTGGGTTTGGGTTTTGGGTTTGGGTTTGGGTTTGGGTTTACGGGTTTGGGTTTGGGTTTGGGTTTGCTTCATTGGGTTTGCAGGTTTGGGTTTGGGTTTGGGTTTGGGTTTTGGGTTTGGGTTTGGGTTTGGGTTTGGGTTTGGGTTTGGGTTTGGGTTTGGGTTTGGGTTTGGGTTTGGGCCTGGGTTTGGGTTTGGGTT